AATTAAAAATTTTAATTTATATACTTTAAAAGTACTAATTTAAGCTAGTTAAAAAGTATAAATAAATAAAGGGTTTCCTTTTATATATAATATATTATCTATTAATAAAAATTGTTCTTTTAAAGGTAAGTTTACTTAAAAATATATTATTAAAGACTATTTTATAAAAACTATAAAATTCTTTAAAAATCTATTAATTAAAATAAATTTTATAATAATAAACATATTCTTTATAATTAAAAGCTAATACTATTAATATTATTTATTTATATAAAGTTTATAAAAATATAACTTAAACCTTATTATTAGAAGTTTAAAGTAATAATAGGCTTAAAAGCTATAATTTAAAAAATATAAAAGTTATAGCTATTAATAAACTAAATATAAAAAATTATAAGATATTTTTATATTTTTATAAAATAGTTTATTATAAAAAAGTAAGGGATTACTAATATCTACTTTTATATAAAAGGTATTTTAGTAACCTAATTTTTAAAATAAATATTATTAAAAATCCTCTTTAAAAATTATTAATATTATTATTATCTTTTATATAAAAAGCTAAGTTATAACATTTCTCCTTCTACTTAAAGTTATTCTTAATAAAATAAACTTAAATATTCCTTTTAAGGAATTTACTTTAAGGTAACCCTAATTAATTATTTTATTATATTAGTTTATAACTATATTATATAATTAATTAAGTAAACTAGATTATTTATTATTATAAAGAACCCTTTAAAGGTAATATTTTAATTAGTTAATAAATTATGTATTTTTAAAAAATAGGTTTAACTTTATAGTTTTTATTTAATAGCCTTATTTATTATAATTAAAATAAATATTATTTTTTCTTAAATTATAGTAATATAGAAATTAATATCTACTATTTATATATTATAAGTAGAATCTTTAAAAATAAAGTAAATAGTTTACTTATTAGTTTATAAGTTAAAAATTATTAATTATATAAATATAGTATTAATTAGCTTAAATTATATAATTTTTAACTTTTTTATAATATTTTAACTAACCTTTATATAATAAAAGAGGGTTATTATATTATAAAGTTAGATAATTATCTTAAAAATAATAAAATCTTTTACTTAATTATTTTATTAGTATAAACCTTAGTGTATTTAATAAGTTTCTCTATAACTATTATAATTATTAAATAGGGTAATTTATTAATAATTTTAGTATAAATACTTAATTAATTAGTAAAAATCTTTTAAGTAAAATAATATAAATAATTATAAATTACTATTATAAAAGTAAAACTTAAAAAGCTTCTTAAAAGCGTTAAGTAAAATTAATATATAATTTATTCTTATAAAATAAAAGGGTTAAAAAATATAATTTAAAAATAAAGAATATTATATTAACCTAAGATTTATATAATTACCTTTATAAAAATAGACTAACTTAATTTATTAGTAAATACCTATTTAGTAAGATTATTAAAGTTATTTAATAATTTTAAAAAGATTTTACTTAACTATAACTTATAAGAAATTATAGAGGTATAAAGTTAAACTTGAATTTTCTTTAATTTATTAAGGATAAAGGTGTTTATAATATTAAGTTAAAGGTTTTTTAAAAAGGTAACTTTTCTATATTAAAAGGTTTTAAAAGGGTTAAATTTATTAGATAAAATTATTATAGGAAAGACTTCTTATAAGTAGATTTTTATTAGTATAATAAGGCTTTATAAAGAATTATATAGTTAAAATTAAAGGTTAATTATACTATTTTTATACTAATTTTAAAGGTTTAAAGTTATTAATAGTTTATTATTTAAAAGGTATAAATTAACTAAAATAATAATTTTATTTACTTTATTTAATACTATAAAGAACTATACCTTATTAAGGTATATAATAATAAAATTAAATTTTTAATTAATAAAATTACTTTAAATAATATAGACTACTTTAATAACCTTAAGCTTAATATTATACTTTTATTTAATCTTATTAAGTTACTATTTATAAGTCTTATTTAGTTATAAAAATAAGTATTTAGAATATTAAGGAGTTTATAAACTTAATATATTAGTTAATAAGCTTTTAAAATACTCTTTTAATTATAAATTTATTATTAAAAGTTTATATTTAATAAATATTTTTAAAAAGGATCTATTAGTAGCTTAGCTTTATTAAATATTTTAAGGCATTAAAAAAATTAATAAAAATAAAAATTAATATAAAATAGTAAAACTAATACTTACTAATATATTTTTAATTTAATTATAGATTAATTATATTAATAATAATAATATAAAAAATATAACTTTTATTATTAAAACTTTTCACTAATTTAAAGACTATTTATCTATAAATAATAATTATTAATAAACAAATACTATTATTATTTAATTTAATAAGTAAAGTTTTCTTTCTATAATTATTATTATTATTAAAAATAATTAGGGTTTATACTATTAAAGAGTATATATTTATTTTAAATTAAATAATAATTAGGCTAATAATTACTTAAAAGCGCATTTAGTAGTATTAGGATTAATTATAATTATTTTTATTAAATATAAGGATAAAATAAGGTTTTTTTAATAAAAATAATTATTTTTATATATTTTACTTATATTTATATATTAGAATACTAAAATTTATAAGGATTTTAAAGTTTAATAATATAAATAGTTAGGTTATTACTTCTTCTAATCTGCTATTAAAGCGCGCCTATAAATGTGTAGTTTTAACTGCTTATAGGGCTTGCTTATGTAATTAGACTACGGATCCATAAAGGTATGTAATAACTCTAAGCTTCTTAAAGTTATCTAGCTAACTACTATAAGGCTTAGGCTTACTAGCCTAAACCTATTATATAGCCCCCTTCTTAGATTATATAATAGTGTATATACCCTAAAGGCTTACCTATAATATTACCTTCTAAGCTAAAGTTCTTAATTTTATAGTTAGGTATTACTATAAATTAAACCTTAAACCCTAAAGTTTAAAGTTATATATTATAGGTTGGCCTTAAAGGGGCTATAGGCTGGCTAGTGCCTTCTATTATAAGTTAGTTTAACTAGCAACCCTAAAGCTAGTTAGGCTAAAAAGTATGTAATAACTCTAAGCTTCTTAAAGTTACCTAGCTAACTACTATAAAGCTTAGGCTTACTAACCTAAGCTTATTACATTTAAATAATATATATATTATATTTTTATTAATAGTTAATTTATATATATTTTAATTATTTAATATAGTAATTTTTAATTTATTTAAAACTACTTTTAAAAAATATTTATAATATTAAAGTAATTATAATTTATTATTAATAATTATAAAATAAAGTTTTTATTATTATTATAAAGTATATATTAAAGTTTTTATAAAATTAAATATTTAATTTAAATAATAAGTAATTAATTTATTATTATTTTTAAATATAAAACTTTAATATATATTTTATTAAAATTTAATAAATTATTAAAATAAAAATAAAAAAGTTATTATTAAATAAAATAATATATATTTTTATATTAAATAATATTTTTATTAATTTTAAAAATTCTCTTTAAAACCTTTAAATAATTATAAAAGTTATATAATATAATAATTAACTATATTTATAATAAATATTTAACCCTTTTAAATATAAGGTTAAAAACTTATAATTATAATTTTTAATTAATTTTTATTTAATTATTTTATTATATTATAATTTAATTTAGTTTTTAACTTTATTTAAACCTTTTAAGTTTATTTAATATTTTCCTTTTAAATAAGTTGAATTTAAATTAAAACCTTTAAACTTAAATTTAAGATTCTTATAAATCTTAATTTACTTTAAATTAAACTTATAATCCCTTAACTTTTTTAGAAATATATTAATTATTTTAAATAATAATAACTTCTCTTTAAAATAAAAATCTATCTTTATATAGTTATAGATTTAATTATTAATAATTATTTTTTCTTTTATTTATAATCTATTAGAACTATATACCTAGATAATGGAGTGTAGTTACCTTACCTAGTTGTCTAGTTTGGCTGAGTAACTATTTTTAAGTGGTTTTGCTTATCTCTTAGGTTCGCTAGATAGGTGTTTACTTACAGAGCTAATAGATAGGTGTTTACTTATAAAGCAGAGCCAGAACCCCAGTCAAGAAAATAGTAGCTTTATCTTCACCTATTTCAGCCAACTTATATTTATACCTAAGTCACACAGCAACCTCACACATAATACTTAACGGCGTCAAAATTAGGCAACCCACAATCTATAATAGCTTCAACCTTTAACAAACCAATCTATATTAAAATTAACAATACTAACCTAAACTAATATAACCTAATATACTAGTATAAAAAGGTATCTTTTAATAATAAATAATATTATAAATAATTATAAAGTTATTATAAAAAATTCTATATAATAAACTTAACTAAGTTAATTTTTAAAAGATATATTATATCTTAGTTTTTAAAACCTTAACTATTTACTTTTAACTTAATAATAAAATTAAAAACACAAATAGTCTATAATTTATAATAAATATTTAAACTTTATATAATAATTTTTTTATAAAATTTTAAAAATTAAAATTAAAAAAATATTAATTTAATAATATTTATAAAGAAAGTTTAAAAATTAAAATATTAATTAAAAATTAATAAAATAATTAAAAGGAAAAAAATTTAACTTAATTTAAATAAACTTTTTATAAATATTAAAATAATTTAATAAATATAAATTAAAGTTAAATAAATATTTAAAAAAGTAATAAAAATAATTAATTAAAGATTTTAATTATAAAGAAAGATAAAATTATAATAATAATATAGATAAAGTTAAGGTAAAGAGGTAGTTAAAAGAGGAGGTAGTTAAAATTAGGGGGTGATCGGAATGTAGGCCGGGTATATTATTCCATATACCGCCGCAGCTATATAAAGCGTCTCCATACAATACTAAACACTCACCGAGTGGCAGGCCTAGTTCTGATCCACGGCCTTGCCACAATACACCCAAGGAAACTTCAGATGCCATCTATTCTTATTGCGAAAGACGAGCATGGTGTAGTCTTTCTGCAGACACCGATATCCAGAAAGTCTTCGAGCCAGGTATCCAATTCCAGGCCGACATTCTCCGGGTCCTCAACCAGACAGATAATAACCAAATCTTCTATGTCCCAGTAGATTTTGAATTTGGTCGAGACCAGTCCGGCATAGTGAATGCCAGTGCTTCCATAACAACGCCCGATTGGAAGACCACGCGAGGTACCGTCAACCTCTCTCACTAGAAGGTAGATGGAGTAACCGCCAGCCATCCAATTTACAGCCTCCACGATCCAATCACCTGGTCTTGACCATCGGGGAAGATAGAATTTATCGTCCCCAAGCCCAGTTGGTGTCCAGATGAAGTATTCAGCCCGACTCCGGTCGAGATGGTCAGCTGAGAGACACCATGCAGTTTCCTCAATAAAGTCCAAAGGCCCAAGGTCTTCAAGCTGCAGTTCGGATTCTGTGAAAATGGTCTCAGGCATGCCCCGACGCGCCCAAATTGCCTCGGGCACATCTTTGGAATTCTTGTCAAGTCTGAGGTTCCCCACAATCTCAGACGAAAGAACTTGCAAGTTGAAGGACCACTCCAATGCGGGGCTATTCAATTTCCCTAGTGCGCGAATAAAGTTTATGGCGGTTTGAAAGCTACTTTGTGTGTAGTCTGGTGCGATCACAGCGACATCGCCCCAGTTTATGAGGGATATGATTCCGTATACATTGTCCCTCCTGTCGGCGCATTCTAACCAGTTCGCAAGCCGCAGCAGCTCAAACAAGCGATTTGTATGTGTTCCGATGAGTTCGAGAGATTGGATGACTCTTCCGTGTACTTGCGCGTACTCCCGGGGAGGCAAGTAAGTGAAAAGATGCTGTGGCATAATTCTTCGAATGCCCCAGAGCCTCGTCACAATTGTTCCTATGAGAGTCAGAGACCTGTCACGCCCCTGTTCAAAAGGCTGCCAGAGTATTGAGGCCTTTTCGATGCCGAAGTCCAGCACGTTGCAAAGGTGGGCCAGCAAGGGCACGACTTCGCGGCGATCTATTGCCTGCATACCACACAAGAAGCTGTAATCCCGCGCATTACGCAACTCTTGCAAGATCCATAGCCGAGTGAAGTATGGCCTCATGGCAAAGCGCGCTGCGGCAAGGAGAAGGCAGCGGGTTGTCGCGGACCTGTGACGCAGGCGGAATCTCCAGGAGATCTTCCCAAGGCCGTGATGGAGCCCCCATTTGCCTCCACCTTTTGCCACCAAAGACTCTTGAATCTTCTTACAAAGGAAGAGGCTGTCATCTGCATGGTGCCCGACGCAGGCTAAGACGTGGGCAGCCCGCTTATAAATGTTGCCCATCATAGTAACCTGCTTGCTCTTTTCATGGAGGTTGTTCTGGTCGATGCAGATGGCATCTACCCAGTAGTACTGGCTCTTCCCATGCCAGCGAGCCTGCCTTAGGACATATTCGCAGTTTCTCCGCACTGAAAATGATTTCTCATTGAGCCGGATAAGAGTGTCGTCTCCGGGTTCCCCCCAGGTATACGAGATGGCGTGATAGGAAGGCAGTCCGGGCGGGTCTACTGGCCATGTCGTAAGTCTGCACGTGACCTGGGCGGGGTTGAAATGATGGTCATCGCCGAAGATTTCCAAGAGCCTGATGTGATTGGCAGGGTTTGGAAGAGGGTCAAATTTAAATGAAGGATCCGGGCATGAAGAATGGTTGTCCATCACAGGCGTCAGTGAGACGTTCTACGAGGTGAGCGGGGCAAATGGCACAATCGTTGATTTTGGAGAGAGTGACAGAGGAAGAGCAGGGACGGGTAATCCAAAAGTATTTGGATTTGCAAGGGCCGCTTATCGCCTGAAGATTGCACTGCCAACGTGAGCATTACAGGCCCTGCATATTACTCTTGTGGGTTACACAATGTGATGACACATCTAGGAAACAATCATAATTAACATCCGATCGACTTGACTATTATTCCGGGCCGTAGAATCATATCAGAATGATAGTCAGGATATTTACTTGAAACTAGATCCGGTGGGAAGAGTTGCATACCGTCACCATTCCCAGGTCTGATATAAGTCTTCGCTACCTGCCTAGGTACTCTAGGTAGCGAGATTAGGAAGTCTCCCCGAGTGTTAATAGTTCAACATGCTGTTAGTTCTCCTAGCCTCCTATAGTCATGTGTTACGTCTTGGTGTGAATTGTGAAGCCCCTTTGACGTGCTCTAGTTCACTGGCTAGGGTAGAATAAAGTGAGGGATGCCTTAGGGTAGGTGGGTAAAACTTAAGTATATTTAAGATATATCTTTAATAAGATTAATTATTTTCTAATTATAATTACTTATAAATTTTAGTATTATTAAAAAATCTAGTTTAAAATTTATTTAAGATTTCTTTAAATTTTAAAAAGTTACTATCTTAGTAGCTATTAGTAATAGCTTTAAATATAGACTATATAAATAGAGGCCTCTCCCTTAAAGGACTTTTAAAGTAATTTATCCCTCTTTATTCTTATTTAATTAGTACCTAGAAGTAACTATTCTATTCTCTTCTTTACTTATTATAAGTAGTAGACTATAGAAGTTAGGGGTAAAGGACCTTTAACTTTAAGTGTAAAGTTCTTATTTTTAACTTTATTTCTTTTAAAGTAATTAAAAGGTTTATATAATTAACTTTATACTTTTTAATAATTATAGTAATATACTTAATATTTTAACTTTATTCTATATTAATAATAAGATAAACTTTATATATTATAAATATAATTATTTAATTTTATAAGTTTTATTTAATTTAAATTAATTTATAATTATAAAAATATTATATTAATTTAATAATACTTTAAATTTATAATATATTAATTTTACAATAATAATAAGATTTAATTATATAACTTTATAATAAAATTTAACTTTTAATTAATAAATATATTAATAAAATAATATCTTTTAATAATTAATTTTTATTTATTACTTTTTTTCCCTTTAAATTTAAAATAATAATTACTTATTATTAAATTAAATAACTCTACCTAATACTAAATATTAAGCTTTTTTAAAAAGATTATCCTTAATCTTACCCTTATAATATATAAGCCACTCTTTATATAATTACTAGATTTACTTCCTTTTCTCTACCTAACTAGCTTGCTAGACGGGAGGCCTTCCATCATGTAGATACAGTACCTACGTACTGAGCCTCGCCGGCCAGTCAGCCCCCAGTGTTGCACTCTTGATTGTCAGCTCTTTATGTCTGTAATGAGATATGGGACGCACGTGGTTAATAAAACACCCCGACTTACCCGGACCTGCTGCTGTGAGTGATTGATGGACGAACCCGTGCTTCGTCGTCGTCATCGTCGTGTGTCGATGCAGAGAGCACTCTGCACTACGCACCTCTGATCGCAATGACTGCGTGCCTGCGCGCCCGTCCCTCCGTCCGTCCGTGATCGCGTAGTCCCCCTCCCAGGCAGTCCAAGCGCCCCCCAACACGAACGAGCGAGTCCCCGAGCCAAAAGGGAAAAAAAAACCTCACCAGCTCAGCGCATCACTGGCAGCCTTGGCATCAGGCCGGGCCGGCGCGACGGCCTTGGCGGGCACAGGCTGCTGCTGCTCGTCGCCGTCGTCCCCCTCGCGCCGCCGCAGCAGGGGCAGGTCCCCCTCGACCCCCCACCGCGCCATCACCCCCTCGACGGCGGCGGTCCACTTCCTCACGAGCGGGTGGGCCTCGGCCACGTGCGAGAAGAGGACCTCCCCTTCCTCCCCCTCCTGCCCCCCCTCCCCACCACCGACCTCATACCTCCAGATCCCGTCCTCCCCCCAGTACTCCGGCCCAAAGACCCCCCGCAGGTCGAGCTCCGCCCGCGCAGAGGCCAGCATCGCGCGCGCCTCCCCCGCCTCGTCAGCCGTCGAGGATGAGGACGACGACGACGACGACCCCAGCGCCGCCGCGACGCCCTCCAGCACGCCCAGGAGCCACCCGACCCGCAGGCCGACGGCCCCGCCGACCCCGAAGCCCTCGTCGAACCCGGCCTGCACGCTGCCCGCCTTGGCCGCCGTGATGCCCTCGCGGTAGCCCGCGGTGGCGTGCGACTGCCGGAGGCGGTGGATGTCGGAGGGGTGGTGGTGTGCTGCTGTGGTGGGGCGGCCGGCGACGGTGCGGATGTCGGCGGTGTTGTTGTTGTTGTCGTGGTTGTTGTAGTTGTCCTCCTCCTCAAAGACCGGCGTGTCGTCGTCGCCGTCGGACCCGAACACGTCGTCCAGCGTGTCGGTGGTGGTGGTGGTGGTGGTGGTGTCCTGGGTGGGTGAGTCGCTCATGGCTGCTGCTGCTGCTGAGATGTAGCCGTCCACGTCTGCTGGTTCTGCCTGTCGGAGGAGCATCCTTGCCTTTGCGAGGTGATTCTTTTCGGGTTTGACCTCCCCCCTTTTTGACTGTGGGGTGTTTCGGGCCTGTGTGCTTTCTGGGTCATGTAGGATGAGATGAAAATTTCATGTCTATGTCGTCCCCGTTTGGAGGTTCTAAGGCGATATGATTCATCCTTGGCTGGGCGGTTGATGACTAATGACTGCCGTGGGAGTATCACCGCCACAGCAGGTCACCAATGTGTTGTTTTTTGTCTCTTCTAGCGATGTTTGGAAAAGGAGATTAATCATGTTGTTTCTCTGATTCTTATTTCTTGACTTCATCTCTATGCATGCATTGCCGTTGATCTCTGTCCGTCTGTCTGGCCAGAAAGACTTGGTCTCCACAGGCTATGATCAAAATCATCCTTTTCCACCAACATTGAATGTTGGCAATAAATCTGACCAATATTACACCCATTCCTCGAATGCAGTGTATGAAATTATTAAAAAAATGTTCTTGCATGTCCCACCATCTCTCGTGGCTCGTGCAGCACTGCTCTGGCGAAAATCATCTACCCAGGTAGCAGACTTCCTCATCACATCTAGACAGGTCAGCTGGAGACAAAGGACCGTCCATGTGACAATATCAGGTCTAGCGAGGCTTCTAGACCTCCGGTCGCCCCAGTTAGTCGCGTGCGGCTGATCGACACGGCGGCAGAGCGATCTGGGCAGCCGGGCCGGCACGGCGAGCCCGGGAGCAGGTCCGTGGGCAGACACTAAGGGACGGCGGCAGGCGTTCCAGACCTCTGCGGCCTACCTAGTCGCCGTCCAGCGTGGATATCCACAAAATAATCAAATGGCACAGCGGCATCGCTGCGACGGGTATTTCGCTCTATTCCGCCGTGGAATTGATGGATGATGGCGTGGGCAACCACGGCCCGGCCGGACCCTGACTAGAATTCCAGGTGTATGTTGAAGGACGGCACCCGCGCCTGCGCGAGGTACGCCGCCACGTGGTCGTCGCTCTCAATCTCCAGCGGGACGCTCCCGTCCATCCCCTGCAGCTTGACCAGGCCCTGGATCCGCACGCACGCCGAGCCGGGGACCCTGCCCTCGGCGGCCTGGCGGAGCTCCCCCGCGGACGGCGAGTTCAGGATGGCGATGCTGAACTCGCCCACCCCCTGCTGGCCGGGGCTCAGCAGCTGGATGTACACCGGTATGGGCCCGGTGTTGTGGGCGACGGGGCCCGCCTGGTGGTGGTACACGACGGGCGGCGGCGGCGCCGGCTGCGGTGAGGGGTCAAAGGGCGACGGGACGTCCATGGGCGGCGGGCCGCCGAGGAACTGGCCGTGGGGGTTGGCGAACGGGTCCTGGGCGCCCGGGCCCAGGAGCATCGACGGCCCGAGGTCGGAGCCCATGGGCACCTGCAGGCCCATCTGGGCGCCGAGCAGGTGGTGGTGGTCGGGGATCAGGCGGCCGGCGTGGGCGTGCCCGTGTGGGCCGTCGCCTGCGCCGGGCGGGACGAGCATCTGGGCGCCAAAGCCGGAGGCGTCGCCGGCCAGGTCGCCCATGACAGGCGGCGGGTCCCCCCTGAAATCCTCGGCGGCGGCGGCGAGCGCCTCGGAGGACCTGGCCCTGCCTTGTCTGGGTTGGCCCCTGCCGCGGCTCTGGTCGTCCCTCAGGCGCTTCATGACGTCCCTCGCCAGGGCCTCGACGGCCCTCGTCTTCATCTCGTGGCCCTGCGCGCCGTCGTCGAGCCGGCTCAGGATCCCCCGCAGCATGTCGGACCCGTCGATCCACCTCTGCTTGAGCTCCGTCCAGCGCTGCGGGCCCATGGCCACCTTGGACGTGAAGCCGTCCGCCTGCAGGATCTTGTAGAACGCCGACCGCACCCGCCTCGAATCCTCCGGGTTCAGGCCGAGGATGTTCTTGGCGTCCGCCAGCAGCAGCTCCCTGTCGGCCCCCGAGCGCATGCGCTTGGTGACGTCCGAGCACACCACGTCCAGCGCGAGCTTCTTCCTGTCCAGGCCGTCCTTGCCGGCCCACAGGGCGTCCCGGAGCTGTTGGAACTCACCGATGAGGCTCTGCTTCGCGGCCTCCCAGGCCTCGGGGCCCGCCACCGTCTTCTTGGTGATGCCCGCGCCTGCGCAGATGGACTGGAACTTGTCCCGGACGGCAGTGTAGGCCGACTTGTCAAGCCCGAGGATCACCTGGCTCTCGCCCAGCGTCGTCTCAGAGGGGAACCGAGGCGGCCCGGGTGGGTCGGCGGGTATGCCGGCGTACTGCCGTGTGCGCCGCCGCCGTTTCTTGGTCGCCCAGCGCTGGACGGACTCGGCCTGCATCTTGCGCCTGCGCTCCTCCTTGAGCTGCGACGCCAGGTCAGGCACGGCCGGGAGGCCAAAGGCCGAGGCCTGCATGGCCATGTGCAGCTCGTCGTTGTCCTGGTCGTCCTCGCCGTTGCTGGCCCCGGCGCTCGGGGACAGGTCGGCGCCATCCGCTGCCTTGCCGGTGGGCACCCGGAGCAGCCACCTGTGCTTGCTGCGCACGCGGTTCAGCTCACGCGACTTGATGCTGTACCCGTCCTCCTCGTTGAGGACGTGCAGCATCTCCGCCTGGGACAGGTTGCGCTCCCATAGCTCCTTGATGCGGGCGACGAGCTGGTCATTCTTGAGGGCGGGCTGGTGTTTTGACGGGAATTCCCAGCGCCGGAATTGAGCCTGATACGCACGTTTGCTGTGGATTTTGAGAAGATGTTAGTTGTTAGTACGGAGTGGAACACGGGAATGAGGTGTGGGGACTCGGACAAGGAGGCAGCGGCTCCCGACTCGACACGCTTGCTGTCGTGCGAGTGGTGTCTACGGCAGGGGACAGGACGCCCCGAGGCAGCCCGGAAAGCAACCCGGCGCCGTACCGGCCGCTGCCCGGGGTGCAAGCAGACACGACTGTGGGCGGGCGACGCACCTGGGGGCGAAGTTGTGATTTGTGCGCATGTACGAGATGATGTCTTCGACCGATCGCTTCTCATCCACGTAAAGCCGGCTCAGGGTTTCTCTATGTGTTTCCCAGTCGTATACCATCGTACGCTGTGATGGGATCTACCGGGCTTGTTGCCGTAGGCTGGTGGTGACCTTCATTGTGGTGTCGGCGATGCCGGACCTGCACTTGCACTCCTGGTCTATCCCGCCGCCAGACTTGGCGTCGTTGGCCGCCCCACCAGCCCACCCACCACCACCAGCTGGGCCGCACCTGGTGGAGCTGCTTATCGATAAGCTACAGCTGCTCGAAATTTCTCGATTGTCAACAGGCGCGGGTCCAAACTTCGCATCATTTGCAGGAGGGCGATAAACCCTCCCTACAGAGTACGATGTCGCAGACGGACCTGAAATAGCTGGTCCAGCCCTCGCAAATCTCTCCTGCGACCCTACTCGGCGAAATACGACCGGTAACTAGCCTTGGATCAGCTTCATCCGGCACAACACCGAACTCGATTCTTGTCGCAAGTCCCCAGAGGGCTGCCCACGGCGCAACATGGATATCTTTAGGGCATTGTCGCTTGGCACGACTGTGAGGAAAGGCGGAAAGCCAGCGGCTGGCGGCGCACTCCCTTCAGCTGGGAGTCGGGCGAACGCACAATTCTACCATGACGATGTTGGATCAACGAGGGGCACCAAGAGAAAGAGGGCAGACCAAGGCGGCGAAGAAGAAAGTGACGACGACGACAACGACGACGACACCAGCAGCCTGGACTTCTTCGCCCACAAGGAACCCACGAAAGGCACCAAGAAGGCTCCCACCCAGCCCAAAGCACCGCAGAAGCCCAAGCCGTTACCGAAGGCGAAACTCTTGGACGAGGACGAGTGCAAGCAGATCCTGCGGTCGCATCGCTTGAAGTTCACACTCCTGTCGGCGGGGGCGGACAAGAAGTCAAAGGTCAAGAAGAGCAAGAAGAAGGCCAAGGCATCGGCCAAGGAGGTCAAGCCAGAGAAGAAACAGCTGTTCCCACAGCCACTGCAGAGATTCAGCGAGCTGAGGTCTACCTACCACATTTCGCCCCGGCTGGCGGACAACATCGATGCGCAGGGATACCGGGAACCGACAGAAGTGCAGATGGCCGGCCTGCCTCTCCTGCTTGATTCTGCGCGTGCCCTCGGAAACTCCTTGGGCGAGGATACATCAGCGGAAGCGGTTGACTTTATGGGGGTGGCTCCCACCGGCAGCGGCAAGACTGTCAGCTTCTTGATCCCTGCCATAAACAGCATAATGAAGAGGCGGGCTGGCTCCGAGGAGCGCAAGCTGCATAACCTGGAGGCGGTCATCGTGGCGCCAACGAGGGAACTGGCGAACCAGATCCACAACGAGGGCCTCAAGCTGACCGCGGGCACGGGTGTCAAAGTAATACTCATGAAAAAGGGCATGCGAATCGTCACGGAGGATGCCGAGCCCGAGGACAAGGACAGCGAAAACGAGTCTTCTGAAGAGAGTGAAGAGGAGGAGGACTCTGACTCGGGAAGCGACGAGGACGACTCGACGAAGCCGGTCACAAAAGCCGACATACTCGTGACGACGCCCATGCTCCTGCTCAACTTCCTCAACAAAGGGAAACTGAAGCGCACCATCCCGTCCGTCAGGTCGCTGATCCTGGACGAGGCCGACGTCCTCCTGGACGAGCTGTTCCGGGACCAGACCATGGGCATCTGGCAGGCCTGCACCAGCCCAGACCTCCACCTGACCTTCTGGTCCGCGACCATGGGGTCCAACATCGAGACGCTCGCAACAGAGCAGCTAAGGTCCCACCACAAACAGCGGGGCATGGCGCCCAAGCCCCTCGTGCGCCTGGTCGTCGGGCTCAAGGACACAGCCGTGCCGAACGTGACGCACAGGCTGACCTACACGGCCACGGAGCCGGGCAAGCTCTACGCGCTGCGGCAGCTCCTCCGCCCGGCCCCCGGGTCCTCCTCCTCCGAGGACGGGCCCCCCCTCCGCCCCCCCTTCATCGTCTTCACGCAGACGATCGAGCGCGCGACCGCGCTGCACGACGAGCTGCGGTACGACATCCCGCTCGAGGCGGGCGGCTCGGCGCGCGTGGCGGTGCTGCACTCGTCGCTGCCGGACGCCGCGCGCGCGGCCATCATGCGGCGCTTCCGCCTCGGCGAGGTCTGGGTCCTCATCACGACGGACGTGCTGGCGCGGGGCGTCGACTTCGCGGGCGTCAACGGCGTGGTCAACTACGACGTCCCCACGAGCGCGGCGGCGTACGTGCACCGGGCCGGGCGGACGGGGCGCGCCGGCCGCGAGGGCGGCGTCGCGGTCACGCTGTACACCAAGGACGACATGCCGTACATCAAGACGTTTGCCAACGTCATCGCCATGAGCGAGCGGCAGGCCGGCAAGGGGGAGTCGCGGGTCCTGAGGGCGCTGCTGGACGCGCTGCCGGACGTCAGGAAGGAGGACAGGAAGAAGCTCAAGACGCGGGGGGTGGAGGCGCGGAGGGCCGGGGGTGCGGTCATCACGTCCAAGAGCGGCTGGGAGAGGAAGAAGGAGCATAACCGGAGGGAGGCCATCAGGGAGAGCCGGAAGAGGAAGAAGGGTGGAGAGGCTGAGTAGGTCGTCTTCTCCCAGGGCAACTGCACGGAAGCAGGTCCATGGAGTTTTCAACGGATGCGATACAGTGCGGAGGTCTTGACAGTCAAATACAACCGAGCCAACTTGTAATTGCAGATGAAACCATGTCAGCGAAACAATGTCAGGGTGTGAGCGAGTATTCGCCAAACGGCGCCTCCAGGTTCCTCGCTAATCAACTCAACCCGCTGCTCTGAACACTCGACCCCTCCCTCATACCTCGTTGCTCACCCCAGCTAGCCCTGGCCAGGCCGTCACAAACTCATTTAGTGACTCGATCAGATTAGTATGGTGGTGAGAAAACAGCCCGGGAGAGGGGCGGGGGCAAATACGTCAACAACTCGAGCCTCATGGATCAACGACTTCAAAGGGTCTTGATCTTGGTCATCTTCCTCTCAGGGGGACCTCATGATGCAGGATTCATGCCTATAACAGAGGGCCGGTTACTATCCGTCCTTCCTCACAGGTGTGCATCACTCTCGCCAGTCAGCCAGCACCCAGTGATACCAATCGATCCGGTCCCGAAAAAAGTATCTACCAGCAACACATAGTTACACAAATAAACGTGATATCATCCATTCAGCAGACACTCAAGAGACCCTGAGTAAGCAAGTAGTTCACCCCCTCCCTCCAGCCGGCCCAATACACACACACACACACAGACACAAAACCCCCACATCCATCCATCCACCCATTCCCCTCCAACACCGTGAAACCCCCGAGCAGCACCGAAAACACGTAGCGCACACCCAAACAACCTACCCACCTAACCCCCCTTAGCACGGCCTGTAAGCCCACCCCCGCGGGTCAAGCACGACCTCGGCGCCGACGAGCCCGAACGTGCCCACTGCGACGGACAGGTCGTGGTAGCCCTCGAGCCCCGTGACGGGGAGGTCGGCCTCGGCGTCGAGCGACTCGTGCAGGTCCCAGCGGCCGTCGAGCCTGCCGTTGCGCGTGAAGAAGACCTCCGTCTCGATGACGGTGCCCCCCTTGCCGTCGGGGGAAGGGGATGTTGTCGTTGTGGCGCCCGCGCCCAAGCCAGGGCTGAACGTCATGCCGATGCCCACGACCTCGCCCTTCTGGAACGGCCGCGTGAAGTCCTTGCCGCCCCACCGGTCGTTGATGAACCTGTGCCCGTCGTCGCCGTGCACCGCCAGGCTGCCGCGGTGCCAGCCTGGCATGCTGGGGTGGGGGGGGGGGGTGGTCAGCTTGGTATTGTCAGGGTGGTGAGGAGGAGTAGGAGGGGAAGGGGGGGGAGGAGACGACCGTGTTCCCACAACCTGCCCTCACAGCCGCAGAAGGCGCACCAGACGGTGATGGCTTCGGAGACCAAGACCAGATAACAGTATAGACAGACGACCAGTGGTGAAACACCCCCCCCCCCCCCACCTTCTCCCTCCCTATACATCAAGAGAAGAAAAAGGACTCACCGAAAAACAGGATAAGGCAACGCGGCAAACCCAACCGCAAGCCCGGCATCCCCCCCCAGCTCCCGCACATAAACCTCAAAGTACACCGTCGCCGGCCTGCCCGTGGCAAGCGGGCTATCCCGCTGCACGAGATACACAAGCGGGTACCCCAGGACACAGCAGTCGCCGCTCCGCCCGCCCGTCCGCAGCGACCACGAGCCCCCCGGCCCGGACGGGTTCTGCGCGAGGGTGCTCCCGACCTTGGCAAAGAGGTTCGCGGGGGGCGCCATCAGCCGCGGCACGATGTTGCTGTCGCGCAGGCCCGCGGTGTCGGGCCGGGAGAGGTCGAGCGGCGCCGAGAGCGGCCACCGCGCGCACCACGCCTCGCCCGCCTCGGCCTGGCCCTCGCTCGCGTTGGTCGCGGGCGACTGGTCCCAGCCCGAGAAGAGGGCCGGCGGCGGCGGGAAGCCCGACGTGTCGGGGACGGCGTCCTGCCAGTTGTGCTGGGGGGGAGGGGGGCCGGGGGGCGGGGCAAAGTCGTCGTCATCTTTATCTTTGCCTTTGCTGTCGTGGGAGGGAGGGGGTCCTGGTGGTGGTGCGAAGTCGCCGTATGAGGGCGGTGGTCCCGGGGGCGGGGCGTAGTCACCCGTTCCGGGTCCGGATGCGGTTTTGGATCCGCCGCCGCCGCCGCCGCCGCCGTAGGAGGGGGGCGGGCCTGCTGGTGGGGGCACGTCGTCCACGTTGTTGCTGGTGTTGCTGGACGAGTGGTGGCGGAAGGGGTTGTTGGATTTGAGAGACGAGGTGAAGCCCATGGTGAGTGACGATGAATATGGGTACCTAGGTAAGTATGCCGGGTGCAGTGAGACAGACAGTCGGAATCGTAGGGTGATGATGGTGATTGTGTCTGAGAGAGGCGATGAGTCCAGCCGGACTGATGTTGAGTCCTCGTACTCTGTATGATTCCGACGACTGAGTGTGTGTCTGGGCCAAACAACAATCATCAACAATGCCCGCCTGCCCGCCTACTCGGTCTCAAGCTTGAACAGGACAAGGCAAGATACCCAACTTACTAGAGCACCCCAGCAAGCCCCCGCACGTGTTCCAAACTCGCACTTGCTGCCTAGGTAGATGATACTATCCTATCCCTGATACGCAGTGGCAGTGGCAATGTAATCTCAGTCCGTCCTTCAGTCAGTCAGTCAGTCAGTCAGTCAGGCCTCCCGATGACGATGTGTCGAGCTAGCCAACCAAGTACGGAGGTACAGAACAAAGCGAGAAGAGGCTGTGCAACCACCCACCCAACGCCTGGCCGCCAAGCTAAATCCTCGCGGAGCAGCCAAGCCACCCAATCACGACAGAGCGGACCGGCCTCGACGCTTACGACCTTCGTCCTTCGGCCGGATCTTCTAGAAGGACATGGCTGATGCAAGGTGCAGACAACTTGTTCACGTTCACCTTCGACGGGGCGCCAACACCCAAGTGGGAGAGCCACCGCCACTCCGCCACGCTGTCTGTGTCCAGTGCGCACGAGGCAAGACATAGAGGTATACACGTGTTTTCATTTTATCATCAGTTAGTTGGTCCCACGGAATGAGAGAGAGCACCGGTTGTGTAGCGAGTGACTTTGGTTAGATTTTCCTCTCTCATCATCTCAGTCAGTCAGTATCAACCGGCAGCTCATCAACCAGCAGCTCGTCAATCTGGCCGCATCGAGTGTGTCTGTCCCAAGTAACCCCACCCCCTCATCCCAGATGAGTTGGACATCTGTTCAAAAAAAAAAAACCAAAGAAAAAAAAAAGAAAGAAACAAAGAAAGAGACCCAAATTCATCCCTGCCCCTGTGGCCCGACCCAGAACGTAGTAGTAGATGGCCCCATGGTGCGTGCCCCAAAGTACCCTGCATCATGGCCCGCAGCCAAAATGCATCACATGCCACCCACCCACTGCTTTCCCACACCCCCTCCCCCCTCAGTCCCACGCAGCGACTGCACAGCCAACAGCCAACCCCCCCTACCCTACCCCCAAACACTAGCATCCTCAGCATTAGGATAAAAGAACGCCGCCAGCGCGATGATCACATACGTCGTGCAGAGCAGCGCCCCCTCGAGATAGTTGCTCCGCCCGTCGAGCACCAGAAAATTAGCGATGAACGCCGACACGAACAGGCACACCGTCTCGAACAGCGTAAAGTACAGCGTCATCTCCTTGCGCAGGATCCACCCCAGTATCACCGTCAGCGGCGTGATGAACAGCGCGATCTGGATCGAGCTGCCCACCGCCACCCCGATCGCCAGGTCCATCTTGTTCTTCATCGCCACCGTGATGGCCGTCACGTGCTCGGCGGCGTTGCCCACGATCGGCAGCACGATGAGCCCGATGAACGCCTCGCTGATCGTGCTCGTCTTGACGAGGCCCTGGATCGAGTCCACCATGAACTCGGCGCACAGCGCCACCAGGCCCGTCGAGCACAGCAGCAGGATCACCGCGCTCGTCCGCGAGAGGTCGTCCGCGTACGGGTCCTCCGCCGCCTCCTCGGCCGTGGCGAGCGCCGGCAGGGCCCGCGCCGGGATCTGCGACGGCAGCATCGCCCCGGGCGGCCGGATCTCGGTGTTGAGCCGGCCTGGGAGCGAGTTGGTCCTGCGGATGCCGTATCTGACACGGGGGATCGGGCCGGTCGCCGCCGCGGGCATGCCCGCCTGGCTGGCCTGCTGGGTGAAGACGGTCGGGGTCAGGCTCTTGGCCGCGGGCTTGAGGGACAGCAGGGGGTTGAATGGTCTCCTAACCACGCCGCCCTCTCCGGCTGCACCCTCGCCGTTCCCGGGCACCGCGTCCAGGGCAAAGTCCACGCGCCGGGGCTCGCCGCCAGCCGCAGCTGGCCGCTCTGCATTCTCTGGGCTCTCGTCGATTGTCTCCTCGGTCGGGCTGTTTGTGCCGTGGGTGCTGTGGTAGCGGTGCTTCCTCCGGTACTTGCGGTCGCGCTTGGAGCGTTTCTGCTTCTTGCGGTACCGGCGTGACGATCTCTCGTCCTCGATGGCCGACTCGTCGCCCTCAAAGGAGATGGTCCTGCCGAAGACACCCGGTCGGGCCTGGGGTTCCCCAGGTGGGCCGTCCTCGTTGGTGGGGCTGGTGGTATTCCCGAGGGACGGTGAACTCCGAAGCGCACTGGTCTGCGCAGTCTCCACCGTATCCACCGAGGCAACACTGGACTTGCGGCGGCGCCCATGACGTACCATGCGCTTCACACGCTTCGAAACGGTGTCTCGCGAGTGCCCGGACGAGTCCGAGTCGGACGAGGACGAGGAGCTGGAGTCAGAGCTCGACGAATCAAACCACGCGACCGCCGGGCCGGGGGTGGATTCAGCATCGATGACATCCTGTGGCGTCGACTCGTACATGTAGGCATGGGACTTGAGCTGGAAGACCAGATAGATGATGTACACCAGAAGCAACACCTAGGGCAATCAAAAGCTGTCAGTAGTTGCGTGGAGACGAGCGAGTGGCCGTGTGCCTGGCTTACCACACTGGTTCCACGACTGATCTTGAGAGACTGCTCGTCTGCCCTGGCATTGTCGCTGAAGGAGGCATGGAAGGCCGTCTAAATGCTCCGGTCAGTAAGTGTTGTGAGGTTTGTATCAGGAACGGCAGAACAAACCGGTAACACGAGACTGATGACACTCAAACTCAAGAGACAGGCGCTCATCTGGGTCACGGTGCTATTGTAGATCTGGGAGATGGGTTGTCAGCACATCAGTCATTTTTATCAGGTCGCTGTGGCTGTCTTACCTGCTCGCGGAAGCGCAGGCCTCCCAGGACGAAACACATGCCCAGGATGAGGAGCAGGTTCGCCAGGATAGACCCCAGAAGGGACGCTTGGACAATACGAATTTCATCCTGATGACCACGATTAGCCGTGAGCACGCATGTGTTTGATGGCGCGGAGGGGCTGTAGACTTACTTTCACAAGAGCAATGCTGTAGCGTTGGGAGAGTGGGTGTTAGTGAGCAAAGAAAAGGATGGGGTATTCGGGTGGGCCACAGGCGCGCTGGGGACAGCGGCAGGGACAGGCAAAAAACGGGCACTCATGGTTCAAGGATATGGGACGCGATTTGATTTGATAACACCCATGAAGGGTTTCTCTCTTCTGGTTCTTGTCTTGATCACTTTAGCAAGGCGGACATACATGCTGTAGAACCGGTTAGCAACGATGCACGAGTCCCCATGGCAAACGAGGCGTCGCCCTCATGTCCCACAAGTTCAAGGACTGATACAGACACGGCCAGCGCCAGCAGACAACATATGTGCAATTCACGTACAAGATAATAAGCTCGACGGCGTTACCAAAGGTGACATTCATCAGGGCACCGATGGCATCGCCGAAGCGGTGGGCCACAGTCTCGGTCGCGTGGCTGAGGAGGCCGGCGAGCGGGACGATGGCGATGGCATTCATGGCAAAGATCACACCGGGGCTCATGCCGGGCACGAAGTTGACGGCGATGCCGACGGGGACGAAGACCAGCAGCAGGTTGATCCAGCTGTGGAAGATGACCTTCCTGAAGACCAGGGCGAAGCGCCTGAGGACGTTGGGCTTGTTCTCACCCGCGCCCTGCTTGTCCTGGTCGGGTTCTGACTTTTCGTTCTGGGAGGGGGGCCCGGAATCTAACTGAGACCCCTTCCGTGAAGCCTGCGGAGATGGGCCGGCTGACACGCCTGCTCCTCCAGATCCGTTATGCGGACCACTGTGCTTGGCGTCGTGGGGGACGTCGTCGAGGCCGAGGCCGACATGACTGGTGCTGGGGCTAGACTTGAGGACGACATGGTCACTGTGGTGGTCTGGGTTGTTGGGATTGTGACTGCTCGCGGAGACGTCGAGAGTCGAGGTGGTGCGGTTTGTGGGGTTGTTAGCTATGGGAAGCAGGTCTGCATTGGTGTTGGGAGTCGGTCGTCTCGCCGTGCTACGGTTGCCGCCATGAACTTTGGATTGTGCCCAAGAACGAAGGCGATTTATATGCGGTTCGTCAGGTGAAGTTTCCTTCATCGAAGTTCGTTTGGCAGGACAAGAGCAGGTGTGTGTTGTGGGCGCGAGGGTTTGCTGACGAGCAAAAGGGTGGGTTGGTTGAGGGGAGAAGGAAGGAAGGGGAAAAGAGAGGCAGGGACAGATAACGACGATTAGACGTGTGCCGCTTTATACTGAATGGGTATGGGGTATGGAGAATGGGATAGGTGAGTTTGCATAGACGGAGCGAGGGTGACGGAGGCGCGACGGAGGGAGGCAGTTGGTAGCACAGGCACGAGCTAGCCTGCTCCGTACTGCAGGCGTGGGACCCCTGCTCGCAGGGGGTGGGTGGGGGGCAAGAGACACCCGCCCGTAAGTGACTGGCAGCACTGAGTGAGTGTTAGTGACCCACCACACACAGCCCTGCCCCAGCCCAGTGGATTCATCATCCCCCTAAAGAGGCATGGCCAGTGATAGCGCAACCCTGCCGAGTGCTCAGTTGACCTGTGACGGGTCCCGAAACGGCGTCCTCGTCAGCGTCCACTCGGTCCATCATCATGTCCATCTCACCTTGGGCCACTCACTCCACCGACCAAGTCACGGCAGTATACGAGGCGTGAAGCATCAACAACACTGTGCACTGTATCATCATCTGCAGCATCATCGCCTCCACTTGCACTTGCTGCAGCACCACCTCGCAGCAGACACGTCTCCAGACGAGAAGGAGAAGGATATCCCAGCCGAGATCGACGCAGCAGGGTTGAGCTGTCATCAACAAAGCGGCACGGCATAGAGCCCAACCATCGCGACACGGACCGGTGGCTCTGCGACCGGACGTCTCCATCCACCCATCAGCACGTGCCCGCCCTGATGGCCAACCCTAGCGTGCCTACCGGCCTCATCAGAGCACGCGCAATGCAATGTAATGCACTGCAGTGACAGGCGGTGCAGTTTGGTCTCAAGTCAGGGATCAATCGCCGGGCGGCACAGTTGGATGTGCAAACACATGCCAGTCAACCAGTTCAACCCGCCTCGCTCTCGCTCTGCCAATGCCCGCCATCAGTGCTGCTGCACCTCCACGTTGCATTCCGTTTCCGTTGTGCTCGTGGTGCCTGCCCTGCCCTGTCGGTCCCCCGGCCCCCCCCCCTGCTTATCGCCGGGCTCGGGGAGCCATTCTAGTCCAAGGCTGGTTGGTTGAGGTTGAGTTGGTGGCTCGGCGCACACGTTGCTGCTTGCTGCTGCTTGCTTGGTTGGTTGGTCGATACGTGTGCAGCAAACCAACGAACGAGTCGAGGACCCCAACTCAATCCAACCCCTCCTGCTCCTCCCGTTCCTGCCCGCCAAGCAGCACCAAGAGGACCAAGCTCCCGACTGGCAGGTCGAACCGCCCATTCCAAGGCGCCTGCCATCTATCTTGCTATCTCTTGGACACTTGGCCCCAAAGCTTGTCCGAGTCGTGAGAAACAACATAAGGCTGGGTTACAGCGGGGAACCCTCTCCCATCCTTCAAGGAAACATTGCTTGGTGTCCTCCCGGTGGGGCAGAATGAGTGGCTCCCTGCTCCCCCACACACAGGAATGAGGCTGCACGCAAATGAGCATCCACAAGTTTGCCATTTCGCATACCCAACCAAGCAAGCCAGCCTAGGGAATACCTACCACAATTGAGGCTTCAAGCTCTTTACGACTTATTCCACATCATCGCAAAATTGATCAGAGGCCGCCTACCCGAGGACATGGACAACAGTACGCGTGGCCAGCCGGACAGGGCATCCCCGCCACTGGAAATCCCAACTCTAGAAGAACAGGAAGCTTTGAAAGAAGCCATGATGGAGATGCCAGAATCGAACCCTGAATACATGAATACAATCATGCATCTCTATCGTCAGCCCGACCCAGAATCGAAGCCTAAGGACCTATTCTTCTACGGATCCCTTATGGACCCTGATGTCGTCCGAGTGATTGCAGAGACATCAACTGAACCAGAGGTACACGAAGCTTTCATCTACGGCTATAGACTAAAGATGTGGGGCTTCTACCCGACTCTGATCCCTGGAGATGCCGAGGATAGAGTCTACGGAGTATATTGGCAAGCAGAGAATGACCGACAACTAGGCTTACTCCAGCGGTATGAGACACACCGATATAAGCTAGCAAGGTGTTCCATCTATATTGACAAGGGTGGGAGGACTATTCATGATGGGCTAGTATTTGTGTGGGCTGATGACCCGGGGAGTAGTGGGCTTAAGGATGGAGAGTTTTCACTGGAAAGATATCAGTTGTACTTTAAACCAGATGCGTTTAAACAGAAAGCTTAGGTAGCGATCTGTAAGATATCTGTCCTGTAACATCTTGCACTCTTTCATCTGTATTTAGAGGCAGATAGTGGCAGGTACCACTCATGACCTATGAGGCTGGCAGTGCGGCACGGCTGACAAGGCCAATCATGAAAGCGGCAGCGCGGACCGAGTCACAGCTATTACAAGGCGACGGCGACACTATGGGATTTGCGAATATGACGCAGCACTGCCAATCCATCTCTTCGGGGCGACTGCCACCACTGGCCCAGGCCCACTTGGACCCTGTACAACTTGAGGCTCGGGACATGCCCACGTCGTGTTATCTCGGGATCCGAGCCTAAAACAACGACACTGCCACGTATAGACTTAGTCTAACCTGTGTTTTCGCACCTGGTTTCAAAGACAACCCTATATGATTTCTGGCCTAAATTCGGCCCTTAACTATAGTGTCGTTTTTTGCTTTCTCCTTTGCTGCCAAAGAGGCTTCTGTTTGCTCAAACTGAAGTTGAACTTGGTCTGTGAGAGCGCATCGCGCCAACAGCACGAACGTTAGGATTGGCCAAACTTCAGTCAGCCAAGATCGATATCCACAACCACCACTCTTTTGCAAGACAAAATACTGTGGATTGTTTTTTGGTGCATATTGCACGTACCGCACTTTTCTCGACTCTAGTCAGGTCGAGTACAGAGAACAGTCAGGACCAGTAGTGACTCAACGGGTGCGGTCTTCATAGGTCTATGTGTATTGAATTCTCTCTACTGTCATTGACGTTGTGTTTGAAAGTAAACACTGGGTCTTGAACGTTTACTAATGTATGAAGGTGCCACATACGTTTTACATGTGTGGAGATTAGGAACGAAACCACATATGTATCCTCTGCGTTCACCTATTAAGCCGGGACAGCAGTAAGTGCCTTAGAATGACATGTCAATTCATCCTTCAATATGATTATGATCAGTAGTTTTCCCCCTAGGGAGAACGTGACAGTAATTTGACTAGTTTCCTAACTTTAATAGTAAGTAGGAAACATGTAGTTATAGATAACACAATTCTTTTGTAGTCTTTGAGGTCTAGTGAGACGGACCAGTGGAGTGCTACGCCACAGACGCCCCGGCCAAAAAAAAACATGATTCCAAGTTGCCCAAACTTGGAATCCAGCACTTATTAACCCGTACCGTCACATCTAGAAGGCCTTACAGACGGTGTAATATAACGGTATAGCTATAGATACTTATCAAGAGTGTTAGAGGTTCTACTATTCTATAGCTCTATTATCTATAACTACATGTTTCCTACTTACTATTAAAGTTAGGAAACTAGTCAAATTAGTGACGGTACGGGTCTTATGTACTGCTAGGAATAACTAATGTGTAGTTTGGTTGTTAGAGTCTTTTAGCCAGGCGGTCTATGGCGAGGAACTAGCAGTCTTGCCTGACCGTTGCAGTCATTTGAGACATGTGGTTCTAAGTAGTTTTTATAGCTGAGCATTATATACTACTGAAGCATGAAAATGAGGTTCTTACTAATTACGGAAGTTCCCCGTTGGCAAACCCGTTGTGGCACTGTACTGGGTTGATCCGAACTCACCGAATGAAGTCTTCCAAGTAGGCCTCGTCACCTACCCGTATAGTTGTTTAACCCGTTATGTGACGACTTGCCCATTACTACCGGCGCACCCATGTAGTCTAGCAGAAGACCAGCAATACGACTGTTTGTCAGCGGTGCCTATACCCGCATTATCACTGGTTTCACGTCAAGATCCACGAGTCTTCCCGCACTTTCTGGTTTGGCACTGTACCAAGGCGCCGTGTATGACTTCGATCGTACACGGGGTATGAGCGGACCCAGTTCCTAGATTAGATTTCAAGAATTTCCGACATGGTGATTTTATAACTTTATAAGGAAGTCATGGACTAACATCATGGAGCTCCACAACCGGAATCCGACCCCAGTCCCGCATGATACAGTCTCACAAGAGCCTTGTCCGCCCTGGTCTCGCGCCCTTGTCCTTCCTCAGGGTCCAGGTTATCCCGGGCGTCCTCCAGCGTCCTTATCGGCACCTCAGTCATCTCGTCATTTCTCGGGTGACCAATGTACGCTGGCCCCCTCCGGATGTAGGTCAGAGTTCGGCTCCGGCGGGAGACAAACGTGTTGGACTCGGTCCATCCGCATCTTCCCATCATCATGGACCAAAATCCCAACTTCGCAGCCTGCGGGGTGTCGTCTGCGTTGTGACGATGATGATGATGTCGGCGCTGGGCGCCGTCGCCGTCGCGATTTCCCATCCAACTCTTCAACTTCCTCCGTACTTGATCGTAGACTGGGTGCAAAGTCGATATGGAAGCCGCGATCATTATCGTGTTGGCCTCAACCACTGTTGGTATGATGGTCTTGGAGAGTTGAACTGGCACGAGTTTTAGCAAGCCAGAACCATGAATGGCGTAATCATGACATTTGAGATCTGGATCTTACAGGTGAAATCATCGTCAAACGCGAACACGCTAAGCGTCATGATTTTATATATTGACACGACGGTTGCGCTGCCAGGCGTACAAGGTCAGCCTGTGTTCCATAGTACTCCGGCCGATGAGGCCTTGCCCAGCAGAGCCTTGAGCGGAGTGGATCATTATCATCACGTACCATATTCCAAGCCCCATAACGCCGGACAACACCGCTTTCTTCTTGGTATCCCATCCAAGCTTGCGAAACACAAAGCCCGGGTATAATGCGAAGTACAAGTCCACGACAGAAGAGAAAGCTAGAGAAAGACTGTCAATTTCGCATTCTCACTCGTGTTCCTTGCATCTCCCGGGAGGTTGAGCTCACTGGCAGCAAAGTAGCAGAACTTGACGTAGGCCCAAGAATCCACCATGCCCTTAGCTGTATGGCTGGTGTCACCTGACGGGGTATCGGGCGAGATGAGCCAAATCAGCAGTATGGCAACGGCAAAGTTTATGACACAGATGATGGCCATACTCCACAGTATGGCCTGGTGGAGTTGCCCCGGCTTGAACACCCGAGTCAGGAGGCTCACCACCGTCAGCTTCGGGAGACCAAGGCCCAGGAGCAACGGCCCGGTGAGGATGTTATTCCAGAGGACGGCCTGCGTTTTTTCCTCGGCGGACAGCGTCGCCCAGTGTCGCCCGGCCCCCGTCGTCGCGTACATGTAGATAACCAATGCTGCGGTCACCCAGAGGTCGATCTGAGGAACTGGCCGGTTAGTGGGGCTTATATTGGAAAGTGAGGCTTGCCAAGACGGCTATGACGATCGATCCACTCGAACCCACCTGGTTGATCACGCTGAGCCATTCCTCCAGATACAGACGACGTCGTAGCAAGTAGACACAACCGTACAGCCTCAGGCCGATGAATATCGTCGCCACCAGCGTCATCACCACGGTGATGACGACGGTCGGCATGTCATCTTTTTCCGTCGAGATGTCCGGAGGCCAGTTGTCCTGTGCAGTTGCCATAGGGGACTTCTATCCGTGAGAGGAGACATCCATCGATGCAGAGTTTCTGGTTCGGTTACTTCTTCTAGAAGTATGTCAGGTCGAAGGTGTGGAGGAGGGGAACAGGGCTGGTTCCCTTCTGATTTTTCCTGCACTACAACCCAAAACTGTGAGGAGGGTTGGAGGGCTACTTGACTCAGTCAAATTTAGAGCTGAAGTTAATCTAGCGGACCCGTCCATAATTGGACGGGGTCCAGAGCAGTCCGCGCCTCTTTGGTCCCCGATTGGCAGTTTCAGGGATCTCAGCTTCGGGATTTCTTCGAGTAGCTGCACGCTTCGACCCGTTTCAAGGTGGTACGTTGGACTGGACATGATCGGAATCAGACATGAACCTGGGACACTCAAGCTTGGGATTGGCCAGGAGTTGAATGATGGGCATTCCATCAGCATAGTGACACAATCTCCCATTGCTCAAGCAAACCCCGGGCCGTCATCTCATCCTATTTCATGTGGTACTCCATTAGTCATTTTCTTATCCTTCTCGCCTCTCCACAATGCGCATTTCTAAAGTTCAAACAGATCCATGCCATGTTCTACGGTAGAGACCGAAAAGGGACCTTGGAACACGCGATGCTACCCTAGATGACTGGGCCCGGTCAAGCGCTCGAGGCTCAGCTGGACTTTTCGGAACGGGGGCGCAGAACGCGGCTGACATCCCAGGGATTACCTTGAACTCACCCGAAGCATATCCGTATGCCTCGGATCGCGGTTTCACAGATATTTCCCCATCCAGCATGTATTGGGAGTCTGTCTGTTGATATTTGCTCATACAGTGGAATGACTACAAGGTACTTAGTATCCCGATCTAGGGACTGCCCATTTGTGGTTTCGCTTCTATTCCGTATACGTGCGAGGACATACATGGCGCCTTCGTACGGTGGGACTGCCCATTTACATACAATCTTCGAGGTTCGTCTCATATTCAGCCACGAACACGAAAAGTGCTCTATAAGGGTGAGAGACAACTATCAACGACATGAATACACCACACGGGCCGATGCAATTGCGTTCATTCTAGGCTCAATGATAAAAGCGGTCAACTAGTCACAGCGGGGGGTGTTCGGATGCACACCTGGGCACCACCCGCACATCGACAGTCTCCGGATGCCGGGCCTAGCTTGTGATTTTGAGCCACCGATCGACTTCCATGTGTAATATGTGGATCTTCTATTGTTTCTTTAAATGACATGGTGGCCTCACCGTGTCGAAGGGAACGCCCGCAACCAACCTTGGAAGCCGAAATGGCTCCAACTGCTCGATTGAGCAAATATGGCAGACGGGTGGTGTGGTTTCGTTTCTAATCCCAATAATATAATATGTATGTGGCGCCTTCATACAGTGATAAGTGGTTTCGTTTCTAATCCCAATACATATAAAACGTATGCGGCGCCTTCATACAAGTAGTAAACGCTCAAGACCTAGCGTTTAAAAAATACAGTGCCAATAACAGTACAGAGAGCATACAATACGTCTGTGACATAGCATCCTGTCACGAGGTCCTGCAGTGCAACGAGGGAGTACTGCCGAGATTTGCTGCGAGAATTCCCTTTACGAAACCAGTGGCAATCCTGCCTCCTCGGTCAGCTCAGATCGCCGTTTCTTGGCTGCTGGTTGAGAATGATGCTGCGGGGAAGCCGAGGCGGGATACTTAATAAGCATCCCGTTCTTTTCGCCTTTTGGGGTGAACACGCCTGCACGCCTAGGTGCCACCCGCAGAGCCTAGCCTCCGCGAGAGGGGTTGCCCAAGCAAGTGGGCAGTTTGTCCTAGTTGGAGCTTGTTCTTCTTGTGCCGCTGCTAATACTACACCGCCGCTGACGACAAGGCACAGTAGCCCCACCAGTTGCGAGTCTCGCGATACATGCAGCCATTGGTCTGTTGTCGGCCCGGTGAGATCTTGTCACTAGCCCATGCCTGATATTGCGGCACCAACAAACGCACTGCTCTGTGGTTGGTCTTTCCCCGTTGCGGGCACGACAGATAGTCTAATGACATGCGATGGACATCACCATGCGTGGAGAAGACTTCTCCAAGAGCGCCCTCGCCCCGGGAGGGATGGCTGCCCTCTTTCGGCCAAATGTTCGCTTGGAGATCCCCTCGATATTTAACTTGGTTGATCCGGCCGTTGTCTTCACCTTCTCCCTCTGGCTCACGCTGAGGCTGTCACTCCCTCACAAGTTGACCAAGTACGTGGACATGGCAGCGATGGCTTCTCTTTTGTTGACTTGGTTTCTGCTGGGGATGGGCCCGGTCGGGTTGGCCCAAACTCCCTCGTCCGCATCTAACCAGACGGAGACGACAACGAGCTATCGAGAGGTCTTCACCGTCCCTTTTGATACCGATGTGGGGCAAAACCTTCTACCAAACATCGAGGACCCGGAGGCTGTCGATGCGCAAAGTGTCTGTCCCGGATACACAGCGTCAAACGTGCAAAACACAACAAATGGTTTTACGGCAGACCTAGACTTGGGCGGTGACGCTTGCAACGTCTACGGCAACGAGATTGAGCAGCTTACTCTCACCGTCGAGTACCAAGCGTCGGACCGTCTGCACGTTGGGATCCAGCCTCGATATATTGGCGCTGAGAATGAAACCTGGTTCCTCCTGCCCGAAGCCATTGTCCCCAAGCCTGCGTCATCCGATGATGGAGATACGACCTCTGACAGCAGCGACTTTGAGTTTACATGGACGAACGACCCTACTTTCTCGCTTACAGTGAAGAGGAAGTCTAGTGGGGATACTCTATTCACCACCGAGGGAAGCAAAATTGTGTACGAGGACCAATTTATTGAGTTCATCTCGCCTCTTCCTGAGAACTACAATCTTTACGGTCTTGGCGAAGTCATGCACGGCTTCAGGCTGGGGAATAATCTTACCAGTAGGTTTTATTGGCGAACATTTATTGAATGTAAAAGACTGGGGCCTAATCAAAGAGCAGGGACTTTCTACGCAGCGGACGTGGGAAACCCGATAGATGAGAACATCTACGGAGTGCACCCGGTCTACCTAGACACTAGGTACTTCCAGGACGTGGACGGACAAGAAACCTACGTGGCGAACGCAAATGACACGTCAGCAACGTATAAGACGTTATCGCATGGTGTCTTCCAGCGCAATGCTCATCCACAAGAGGTCCTGCTGCGGCCCGAGGGCATCACCTGGAGAGCCCTGGGAGGCACAATCGACCTCTACTTCTACTCCGGGCCGTCGGCTTCAGACGTGGTCAAGTCATATCAGGTCAGCACCGTGGGCCTCCCAGCCCAGCAGCAGTATTGGACCTTCGGGTTCCACCAGTGCAGGTGGGGCTATGAGAATTGGACCAGGCTGCAGGAGGTCGTCGACAACTTTGCCGCAGCTGACATCCCGCTTGAGACGATCTGGACCGACATTGATTACATGAACCAGTACCGAGACTTTGAGAACGACCAGAAAAGGTTCAGCTACGACGAGGGCGCTCAATTCCTCGAGAAGCTACATGCTAACGGGCAGCACTACATCCCCATCGTCGACTCTGCCATTTATCACCCAAACCCAGACAATGCGAGTGATGCCTACCCTACATTCGACCGCGGGATCGAAGCTGGTGCTTTCATGCTGAACCCTGATGGGTCACTATATATTGGCACTGTTTGGCCTGGGTATACTGGTAAGTCTATTTTTAACCACGGCTAAGGCTCTTAAGAGGTATCCACACTTAACGAGGCCATTGTGAATCAGCTGGTAGGAGAATATGCTAACAACGGAACAGTTTTTCCTGACTGGGTTGGCGACTCTTTGGGCGCGACCAATGGCTCAGGTGCCTTTTCCTGGTGGAGCAACGAGATCTCAACTTGGTACCAGGATGTCGCCTTCGACGGGATCTGGATCGACATGAGTGAAGTCTCATCTTTCTGCGTTGGGAGCTGCGGCAGCGCCAACATATCCCTCAACCCTGTCCACCCACCTTTCTTGCTTCCGGGTGAGCCGGGCAATGGAGTATTCAGCTACCCTGAAGGCTTCAACCTCACCAATGCCACCGAGGCTGCGGCCGCATCATCTGCGAGTGCGGCTCAGGCCTCTGCCTCCTCGGCGACGGCGACGAGCTCCTCGTCTACAACGACCTCATACCTTCGCACAACTCCTACCCCAGGCATGCGGAACGTCAACTACCCACCCTATGTCATCAATCATGTGAACGGGGATCTCGCAGTACACGCAGTCTCACCTAACGCAACCCACCACGGTGGCACGCAGGAGTATGACTTCCACAGCCTGTTCGGCCACCAGATCCTCAACGCCACGTACCACGGAATCCTCAACACCCTGCCCGGCAAACGGCCCTTCATCATCGGCCGGGCGACATTCGCCGGCTCGGGAAAGTGGGCCGGGCACTGGGGCGGCGACAACTACAGCGTGTGGTCGTCGATGGTGCTGGCCATCTCGCAGGCGCTGTCCTTCAGCATCTTCGGCGTCCCCATGTTCGGGCCGGACGTGTGCGGCTTCTCGGGCAACTCGGACCTCGAGCTCTGCAACAGGTGGATGCAGGTCGGCGCCTTCTTCCCCTTCTACCGCAACCACAACGTCCTCGGCGCCATATCCCAGGAGCCCTACGCGTGGGACAGCGTCGCCGAGGCGAGCCGCTCGGCCATGGCCATCCGGTACGCCCTCCTTCCGTACATGTACACGCTCTTTGCGGAGGCGCACTCGGCCGGCAGCACCGTCATGCGCGCGCTGGCGTGGGAGTTCCCCGAGGAGCCGTGGCTGGCGAACGCGGACCATCAGTTCCTCCTCGGCGGTTCCGTCCTGGTCACTCCGGTCCTGACACAGGGGGCTGAGACCGTCGATGGGGTGTTCCCTGGCTCGGGCGATGGTACCACTGTGTGGTATGACTGGTACAACCAGACTGCCATCACCGGCGTGTCCAGGGCCCAGAACGTAACCATTGACGCGCCACTGGGACATATTCCGGTGTACATCCGTGGCGGGAGTGTCATCCCTACTCAACAGCCCGGGAAGACCACAGCAGAGAGCCGGCAGAACCCATGGGGTCTCATTGTCGCACTTGACCTGCAAGGCAATGCCGAGGGGACGCTGTATCTGGACGATGGCGAGAGCTTGGAACCCGACGCCACCACCTGGGTGAAGGTACGTACTGGTGCGGCGATCCCTCACTTATCACATGTGAGACTGACTTGAAACCTCTGTAGCTTTCTGCTTCAAACACTTCCGTGACTGCAGAGCCTACGGGCGACTACACGGACTCAGTCGCTCTCGGCAATGTCACAGTCCTGGGCGTGACGGGCCAGGTGTCCGACGTGACGCTCAACGGACAGCCATTGACGAGTGGGTGGTCTTGGGATGGCACAGCCAACATTCTCAGTATTTCGGGCCTCAGCAATCTGACTTCTGATGGAGCGTTCAACTCAGACTGGAAACTACAGTGGAGTGTGTCTGGCACCGGCTCCGGCTCGTCCAACGGCAGCTCTGGCTCGTCCGGGGACACAGGTGCGGGTGGGCAGTCAGAGGTCTCTGCAGCCTCTGGCTATATCCTTGTTCCTGCAGCAACTCTGATAGCCATGCTTGTGGGTGTTTTGATAATGTTGTGAGCAGGGGCCTGTGCCACTTTTGCGTCGCCGAAAGTGCTCGGCTCATTGCACGAGTTCTCCAATCGATTTGGAAAGTCACTCTGCTTTTTGTGTTGAAGATAAGTAGTACTTGCGAACCTGGAACACCGAAAACTCCCGACCGGAGACCTCAAGCTGCCACCGGGCTCGAACACACGAAGGACGACTTAATTCGATACTCATCCTTAGATTTTGAGATCCCTTATTGCTGCCCAGCACCTGTCGGGTATTACATATTTATTGGAAGATCCACGGCGGTACGACCCAAGACGTTATTAGTAGTCGAGACCTTAGCCTTCGCTTTCGCGGAGGACGCTCGCACGACTATTAACATCAGGACCATCTGTTTTGGTCATCTCCCGTGCCAAGAGAAGTCAATAGTTAGGTATCGTACGCATCAAATAGTAGCCCCTATGTGTGATAATCATGAGTTTGTAAGCGCGTGTAGGTATTCATATGAGAGCTTCTCAGGGCCAGATATTCAGACTCAACGCGAAGCAATTGCATAGAGCGTCACTCAATCGCACGACGTTGTCATGTCTGGCCACTTAAAAGTGCTGCGAGTGGAACCATGCTTCTCAGGTCTCGGGCGGAAGAGAAATCAGGTCACTAACTGTGACGCCGGATCCAAATGGGGGATGCAGTGCAGCTCTTGGTCTACCATTTATTTTCTGTACAGCTACCTGGGCTGGCGGATGACAACCTTGGAACCGCTACTTTAGGAAACTATGGTGTCTCCCCAGATGGAAGTTGTTGTCTTTCTTTAGCTTCACTGGCACATTACTCACACTCAGTATCGTTTTGGAATCGAACGAGATATTCTTTCACGATGATCTCAATAAGGAAAGTCTGGGCTGCCAACTGGTCCATATTCTTTGGGGGGTGACGGATGTTCCGTCTCAACAAAGATTGTCTGGCAAATTCTTAAGGTCAATAAGGTCTGCGAGATACTGTGGGGACGGGTTTTCAATTCACGCAATTGGTCTGGGAACCAGACTCGAAGTTTCAACGCGACCTTCTCACCGCCCCCCCTCCCCAATTGGGGGAATCGTAACCCTGGGAAGGGTTGTTGATTGAAAAAGAGATCATCTCCTGATATCAGGCCGTTTGCTACGCACGTCCTACTTGCCACATGCAGGCCTTCAAACAAACGTGCCTCCCGAGGTCACCGTACGCAACCCCACCAAATCAGTATTCAAACAATGAGGTCCACCAAATGCATCACTTTGACCCCTTGCCAATGCGAAGTTTGTGGGAGCCGCAGTGGTCTGCTCCGCTGTAGCGGCTGCCAACTGGTCTATTTCTGCAGCAGTGCCCGTGAGTGACCGGGTGGGCTCCTGCGCCCACACACCTGCGCCCGTTAACTCATACATTCATCAGATCAAAGATCCCACTGGAAAAAGCACAAGACCCCATGCATAGCCATCAAGAAAGCCCGAGCGAAGTTTCTCGAGGAGGAGGCCGCCCTGCAAAACACACCAGCCAATGAGTTCGAGAGCGTCTTCGAGGCAGACGTCGGCCACTTCGGGCACACCGAGGGCACCGACGACTACATGGTACGACGCTCCGACCTCGTCGACGCCATTTTGATGTACTTGCCTCGCCACGAATCCTCCGTGGAGACCGCTCTCGACCACATCATGGACATGTTCCGACTGAACCGTAGCGACTACCTGGGTCAGAGGGCCTTGGTCCCCTCGCTGATGCTCCGCCTCTGGCGCGACCAGGATGCCTACGACTTCATGAAGTGGTGGGCTATGTGCGACATTGATGAGTATGACTGGGAAGATCTGGAGCTGCCGTACCTGGACACGAGGAATGCAGATGTTTTTGAAGAGCCCGTGTGGTGGACCGGCAAGGCTCTGACGATGAGCCATACATCTGCTGTGGCGTTGATCAAGTTGCGCGTCCTGTTCAAGCTGCGGGATCTGCAAAATACGCTGCGGGCTCTGCAGGCATCTGCACTGCCGCGCGAGATTATAGACCAGGTGCTCTGGGAGTTGTTGGCCGACAGTCTTCTAGCCGGACGCCTGGACCTTGTTTCCGCTGACACGGAGACCCTCGCTACAATGATTGGAAGGATAATGAAGCAGATTCGGGGGTTGTATGCTGCCGTGGAAAAAACAAACATGGGATTCTGGCCAATCCTAATTTCTTTCCAAGACGATCACCCAAAGTGGGAGACGCCGGAATCCTACTCCCTTGATTCGCGGTCGGAGGCTGAATTTATGGTTATGTATACTCATCTGGCGTGGGAACAAACACCCGGGGCGCTTGATGAGATTGAGGCGATCCAGTCTTGTCAGAATCATTAGTTATAGCGAACATGCATGGGAAGCTGGACCTGTTCGCAGACAAAGGTGGCCTCATTCTTAATTAGTGCAGAGGATCCCGTGGAATTGGGGAAAGTTTGTCGACGTCAGTGAGTCCGGAACATGTGATATTCAATGTTGAATAGGGCGAACGATTTCACTCTCCATCTTTCAAATTTGCACCGTGGTCACCCAAGAGCTCTATCAAGCAAACAGCTCGGCCTCAAATTAATGCGGACTGGTCCAAGCTGGTCGAAAATGACCCCTGGCATGTCCCCTTGGGATACGCAAGCCATCAGGGCCCCTGGCCTACTGCAACATTGCAGTCTAGCTCAGACTGAAGCCAACAGCACTCTCATACCGGGGCCGAATGAAACTCCGCGAGCAGTGGATAAGGAAATCTCACGACCATAATTACGATTTTTTTGCTCTCTGGAACAAGCTGAACGCGTGTTACAGATCTCAAACATCACCACAAGCACTTGGATGCTTATGCACCTGCCGAATATGTTTGCCCCGGAGGATTGGGACTACTTTGTGGTCAGTGGTAACCTCGCTGGGTCAGTTGTTTCGAACAGAATTTGCAGTCTTTAAAATTCAGAGTTCCGACATATACCTAGGTACGGAATAGAATCGAAAACACTTCAACCATCAGAGAGAAGCCTGCCCCATGAATCGACTCATAGAAGAAGAAAAGGTCAACAGTAAATAATTACCGTCCTTGGCTCCTAGGCGGCACCGGTGGCCAAAGCCATGAGTCCAATGAGTCCTCCGCCAAATGTCAAGCCCGCCTTGAACAAGTTCATCCATTTCCACCTCCTCAGCAGGCGCTCCACCTGAACCTGGTCCATCTCATTCACCAATTTCACCTGGTCGGAAGTACCGAGCAGAGCCCGTGTCACACCCTTCATAACGAGCCTCGTCCACAGAAGGCTGGAAAGGATTAACCCAACCGCATGGGCTAAAGCAAGGTTGAAATGACCTCGTTCTCCGGCGTAAAGATAGGCTGACACCGCAAGTGTAGTCGCCGAAAAGGCAGCCAAGGGCACGCCGATTTTGGTGCTGCCCCGGTGGACTTTGGAAAACAACTGGGTGCTTGTGTCGACGGGAAGTGCGTAAAGTAGCGGCACTGTATGGATTGCCCCGAGGTGGATGCCCGAGACTAGCAGGGACGAGGAGATTCCTAGGACTAGAGCTGTTGTACCCAGATTAACCGCAGAGTGCCGGTACTCAATCAACGAAGACATATCGCTGGAGGGTTTATTGGAATTATCTGTTCTGGAGTGTGCTTCTGGTAGACCGGATTGTGTTGAGGGCAGAGTAATGCAAAACAGTAAGGCTCAGCGTTTTAGGTTGGAGGGGATTTGTGCTTTGTGTCCTCTGGAGTGCATGGGGAGTATGGATTTTAAATATTCTTGCCGCCTACTTCAAGCTCCGAGGTGCATCGGCGGATAACAAGCTGACTTTCTTGGTTCCCGACTTGAAGCAGCCCCTACTAGTAGCGTGGATGCATGCGGTATGGCGCACATCACAACTACTAATAGTACCGTATGACGTAATATTCTTGGTTCTACCTTATTTATTTTGTGTATCTCGTTCTCACAAATACTGCACATCATAATCACCATTTGCTTGCCTTTGTCTTATGAAGTGTGCCACCACCCTCTAGAGGTGTATAGTGTAACATTTAAGTAACATCTTTGCCTTTCCTGCTGTCCAACCTTGTCAATTGAGAGGCACGTTAAAGTAGGGAAAATACCAATCGCACGAGATGGCTCTTTGGCTTGGAGCTATCTATCGCCGTCCTCAGGTGCAAATGTCCCACGTGCTCATTCCTCACAAGAAGCCGCCCCTACCGAATTCGAATCGCTACCTAGGTACCTATGTATACATCACTCATGCTATCAGACCGATACCTCCACAGAAAATAGCGATTCTAAATAATCGAGGCGCCTTAGCTCTGCTGGAGTTGGTGGAGCCGGTTCCGTAAAAAGCCAAATTTCCGGATCTCTCTCTCGTAGCGCCCTTACAGACCGTAAGACACCCTCAGTGTCAAGTCCATAACCGTCGTCATCACGTATATACCTGAGATCTTCTGAAATATCCAGGTCCTCATGTTGCAAAATAAGTGATACGTACGGCAAGCCCCTGTGCTGATTTATCCAATGATCTTGGTGTCTGAGCACGTAGAAAAGAGTACTTCTCCCATCTTTGTCTTTGGCGTTCACCTTGATATTGGGGTTTTGGAGGAGCATTGCGACGAGATTGTGTCCGGATTTCGGCTTTTCGAGTGCGTGGAGAAGCGGCGTTCGGCCACGATTATCGCCCAGGTTGACTTCCGATCCCTCGATGTCTAGTAATAATTCCACATCTTCTTCTCGACCAAACCTGCAGCTATACATCAAGGGCGTAATTCCCGCTATGTCAGCGTCATTCGAATGCTCCCGGATCTTGTCATTTGCCAACAATATCGGCAAAACTGATCGCTGTCCCCACTGTAGTGCATATGGTCGACAGTCTTCAGCCCCCGCCGCATAGGAGAGTGGCGTCCGACCAGTGACATCTTTTGAATTCACATCGACGAGAGGATGTTGAAGGAGCATTCTGACAAGGTACTCGAGGTGAAACTCGGATGCATATGACAGAGCCGTCCGCCCAGAGTCGTCCGGGGTGTCTGGATTGAAGCGAGGATCATTCAAAATCATCTGAAGCTTGGTAATGATGTGAAGTCCTTTGTTGCCTTGTTCAATTACCATCGAAGAATTTGCGTGGTGCTCCTTTAACATCCCAGAGATCGGGTTGTAGTATTGGCCGGTGTAGTCGAAGCTAGGATGTTCGAGCAACTTTTTCAATGTGCGGGTGCATTTGTCATCCGAAAATTCGTCTTCCTTCTCCCCGTCCCTAACATAAATTTCGCCAGCCAGGGCATGGGGTAGAGCGGTTTGCAACACATTTCGGCCGTGACTGCCTCTGCGATGAAAGTCAATGCTTGAATTATGCAGAATCAGATCCAGAATCGACTCCTGTATATCCATTTCATCATGAGTGAAGACGTTGGAGACCGCGAACTTCATAACATCATCGAGTCCGGTGAACGGAAGTAGGCGGCTCAAGTCTTGGTGCTCGAGCAAGGACTTCATAAGTGCCATCACTGGTCTAGGATCATGATAGCGGGGATGTACGAGATTTCGGAAGACTCGAACAGCACTGGAATGAAACAAGTCGGCGGCGGCCGGAATGCTCGAAACATGAGACAGCAGCATGCGGAAAACCTCCACGTGGCCACCTTTTGCTGCGAGTTCCAACGCATCTCCCGGGTCGCGCTTGCATACTTGTACGCCCGGAGAGTTCAGCAATACACGGACAATTTCGAGACAGCCCGCTGCGGCAGCAAGCTCAAATCCAGTTCGGAGCTGGTACCCGGTTCGGTGCTGGTACCCGGTTCGGTACTGGTAATACCTAGTAAAAGTGGCTTCGACGTCAACGCCATGTTCATGAATATATTTCACCCAGAAGGAAGCGCTTTTCCGCTCAAACAGTTCATCCAAACCGACAAGCACCTGATCAGACGATACGGCCAGCGTGCTGTGGATCAGACAGTTTCTGATCCGGACTTCGTCTATGGAAGAGCACATGGCGATTTCGGGGAGGCATATGGCGTCCAAGGGGCACCTTGTTATGAGAAAGGCAAGCGTGTCAAGGTCATTTTTCTCGTTCACTGCCCAGAACGCTTCGTAATAGATGTCGTCCTGTATCGTGGTTCGTGCAAGCAGCATGGATGCAAGTTCCAAATGCCCATTTTGACAGGCGAGTAGGAACGGCTCGTCACGAGCCACCGCCCACTTCAGGCTTGGTGCCACTCTCATCTCGTAGCCTTGATCCAACAACTTGCTCATCATATGGCCGAGGCCCCAACGAGAACAGATCGAAATTGGTGTAGCCCGCCGCAGACTAACATCGTCGAAATGCAGGTATCCGTTGAAAGGGGTAGACCTTTGCCATCGCGTAGGTCTATAACACCTCATGCACCAATGCCAGTCTGTCTCAGCATACACGATGGCGGCTGGGCCTATGAGGAATTGGAGGAGCAAATCCTGCAGTGGGGTCTGAAATCCTGAACAATGCGACGCCCAGTGTTGCTGGCAGTAACTCAGAAACGGCCAGTCCGTGAGTGCACTTCGGTAAATCATGTCCAAATCATTGCTTTGACCCATCCACTCCTCGGAGTCGGGACACCATGGAAAGTACTGCTTATCCTTTGTCACATGCTCCGACTGAGATTTGTTGGCGCACTCAATAGCCTTCGATACTTTGGAGTTCATCATATAGGCAGTACACACCCGTGCTGGATCCATGTCTGCACCTGGTAGCCACTTCGTGAGCCGGTCTCGTGTGAAGTACTCCTGTGTAGTGTAATGAACAAATCGAACGACATTCGACTCGTGGTCGATCGTGACCAGTCCGGCGCAGAAAGACACAAGAGAATCCAACTTTACAAGGCCCGATGCCGTGAGATCCCTCTCCAAGTGTTCGGGTTTTGTGACGGCGTGCTGGAGCTCAATTGGTGTCAATGGCCGTAGACATTGAACCATCCAGGAGATGGTCAGGTGAGCATAATATCGACGATTCGCAGGCTGATGGTCGATACGCTTAGTCGCTTCCTCATACGCCCTGTCCAAGGCATCCGGCCCTGTGGACAGACTTCCCAAGATGTCCTCGACTTCAGACTTGGTGTACGCATCTTTTAGAGAGTCTGAATGCAGAACCGCAAGCAGGAAGCTAGGTGGGCATTATGAAATTGTTAGCCCTCACGAGTTAAATTGCAGGTTGGACAGAACCTGGGTACTAACATTCCAGCCGAAGCTTCCACAATTCGATCCGCGATACTCAGGCGGAGGTCAAAGTCATCGGGAAGGTGTCGAAAGTCACAAATTTTGTGATCCAGATACGTACGTAGGTCGTCGTCAGAGGCTGTTATCTGGATAGTGGCATCTGGCCACTTACTGATGGCGGGGTCATCGGTCAGGTGTGGCCGAGTCGTCATCATAATTTTCAGATTACCAGAAGTCTGAAGTCGTTTCACGAGACGCAAAAACCGTGAGCGGGCCCCGTCATCGTCATAGAACTCATCCAAGGCATCCAAAATGAGAAAGCTGCTCTCAGATAATTGGATGAGACTTTCGAGGATAGATACTATATCGTCCTCACTCAGCAGTTCCGCTTTGGTTTTCCTCCCATCGTACAAAGTCTGGAGGCGTTCGGGAACACGTTCACTCCAGGAAAGAAATTGTGCCAAGACTGCGAGAAGAAGTGTCCGTTGACCATGGTCTTGCAAGTGTCGCTTGTAGTTGAAATATAACACCGCTGTGAGATGAATGCCATCCGTCATGTTGTCGTCCAAATGGGATTTCACGACGGAAGCCATGACAGTCTTTCCTGCGCCTGGGAGGCCAGGACAAAAGATGGTGGCATGGGTGCCCTTGAGCCATTGTCGGAAAGTATCCGAGCCCAGGAATGCCTGCCCCGTACCATCCTGCGCTGTAGCGTTGTAGTCCCGCTGGAAGTTTTCGTGGTTCACGGTGGACTGGTATATCCATTCGATGATCTTCTTTTTGTTCGATTCTGCCTTCTCTGTTGCCTGTAAAGTTGCGGTTGTCTCGATGCGGCCTTCGACTCTACCTAGTACCTCATGGGTATGACCGGACAAGGACCTTTAAATATCTAGTCAGACAAGTTCAATACTGCATTGCGCCGAACAGCACCATTTTTGCACTTACAATTGATCATGTGACAATGCGAGCTGGATGGCAGATTTGTGTCGCTCGACCTTCCTGAATATGTCTTCGATCTTCCCCTTCTCGCGATGCCAGGCAAAGACCTTTCGGAAGCGATAATTCTTGATCCGAAGCAAGATGCTCACAACTTGCTCCATGTCACTCTTGTATTGTTTCAGCACTCCGTCCTCGCCGGCCAAGGCCTTCAAGTGGTTGGACCATGGCTCCACAGTGTTTCCGACTGCCGCATCTGAATGGAGGCGCTGCTGTGCATGTTGCAAAATGATGCAGGAAGAGCTGGCTTCGGATATATACTTATAGCAATCCAGCCCAGAGCTCTTGATCTCTTCAAGGACTTTGATAACCTTGTAGACCGTCTCAATGGTCGCGATGATGTTTGGGACAAGGCCAAAGGCGTCCATTGTAGATATTGCCTCGTCAACTTTAAAACTTCGCCAACCCCGAATGAAGAAGTCTGGATCCGCTTGGCAGACAGTGGGAGATAACAAGGTGAGGAAAGATAGCATGAGCTCATCTTTGGTATAAGAGGCTTTTAGTAAAATGTTTGCAATGTGGCTGAGTCTGACGTCGTACCTGTGCGCTGTCAGCAGGCAGCAATAGGTGTTTGATTGGTCCATGTCCATGAGCTCCCCCTCCCCTTCCCACCCGGGCGAGCAATGAACAAGGGTGCCGAGCCTCTGATGAGCTGTTCTGGGCTTTTTTGAGTTAGGAGTCCAATCGAATCGGTCTATTGAAAGAGCAAAACAGCCCTGGAGCCCTTCATGTTCGTAATTTCCATTCCACCTGGGCAGACTACATATGTACCTACCTAGGTACCCGCTGACAGGAGGTGTTCATCTTGTTCTATGTAGTAGACTTTTGGCGGCGAAATTCTCAATATATGGATGATGTGCTATGGCGAATCACTTTACTTGTTCGCTACTCATGAAACTCTTCAGATTTAGCCCCATAGATTAACGTTAACAACTTTCATCACCTTATCCAGGAGGATAGGCTTCTATGGGCAAGTGTTGTACCCCATTCGGAAACATGCCATGTCAGAATAATATAGGATGCTACTTTTCCACCGCATTTTTGCTATACATACCATGAAAGTCTCCTAATGTCCCCCAATGGGGTTATGTGTTGTGCATGTGTCGCCAGATGGAGAGACGGTGTCTGAGACGAGCAGGGAACGGGGAGCTGGGAAGACAGATCTAAATGTCTTCGATGTAGACATTTTTGAGCCTTTATTTTCATTTAAACTGTAGTGATACCTCAGCGAACATCTTACATATGTGCTGCAGAATCCATCCGTCCCAAGACACAGCTGACATGACCGGACCGGCCTGGATCTTTTCAAAGCCCCGTGCCAATAGGCCAAAAAAAAAGCAAAGAAAAGAAAAACAAATGTTGCTACTGATAATGAGTTTCAATTACTTAAGTAGGCTTATGGAAGTCCTATTTATCTGTACATAGGCAAAATTCGCCGGCAGCCGACATAGCCAGGGCAGCTTCGATGTTGCCGATGAATCTCTCCGTCAAAGTCTCGTTCTTTTATGTCTACCATTTTCTCTCCCCGATAATTACTCGTTATGTTCCAAGGAAATACAATCGATGAGTCCATACCGATGACGATTTGGGCACACAAAACCGTAATAAGTCTGAATTTCCGGATGCTGGCTAGAAGACTCACCAGAGAGGTCATGACTTCCCTGCAAGATTATAGGTGTCTTTGACCCAAATTAGCAATCCAAAATGACCTCTCGCCCGCGTGGCCACATTTGGCGACCGTCATAAGTGACAGGCGGGATATACGCAGGAGATGGCGCCAGATAATAAAATTGTTTCTTTGTCACGTCGTCTCCGACACCTGAGGGCCGTCATCTATTCTTAGAAGGGCGGCTCCTGAGCTCTTTGATGCGAATAATGACGACCAAGTGTATATGAGAGGTGCAATTCCTCTTTGTCGGGCCGCTCTGGATTCCCCACGAAATCTAACTTCTACGCAGCGGCATCAACACACCGAAGACATTTGCAGTATCGAAGATCAGTACTATTGCTCACAAGCGCAGAAATGTCACACCGAACCAGCCCTCTCGACACCACATCTCAGATAATGTCCTCCACAGGCGCAGAACCCGAAGACTCCAAGGACAAAGCCCTCGAGGTGCTAGCCATCTACCTCTCGGACGACGAGCTGGTCGACTTCAGCAACTTCAACATGGCAGGGGGCGCCCACGGGCCCGAGGACCGCGACAGGTTCATGGCCCTCACCAACATGCACCAGCACGCGCTGTACCAGCTGGGGCTGGCGATCATGGCCTCGGAGGTCGGGGGCGAGGGCGCGCTCGAGGTCTTTTCGGACATGCTCGCCATGACAGGGGAGGCCCTGAGGCAGCTCAGGCAGCAGCAGCCTGAGGGCCAAGAAGAAGAAGGATCGCCCCGGGTGGAGGAGGTTGTTACTATTAACCCTCACCGGCATATGCAGCCCCAGGGGGACGGTCCGGAAGTCGGTGGTGGTGGTGGATCTCCGGAGACCGGTTTGGGCCGGGTCGAGTCGATAGGTGAGTGAGTCAGTTGAGTCTGTTGGGCTGTATCAATCAAATACTATGTTGAATTGTTAGTCGCCGCGCGACCCTGAACCACATTAACGAAACCCCCTTTTCGGCCTGCGCCTGACTTGATCAACCTCTGATGTCCTTCTTGATCCTATACTTGTAGAATAACAACACAAGACACGTATGTGTTTGTTTTCGAGCCTTATCGTGAGATCCCGTCCGTTCCGGTCAGGCCGACCCAGCGCAGTGGAGATGCCCCCTTCAGGGCTCTGGGGGATCGTCAGGCGGAGACCCGCAGTCTCCAGAGTGTCCTGAGAGGCCCTTGCCCCAATTCTCCTGAAGATCAATGCCAAATGGATATGCCAACAAACCAAAGGATTGCATGTTTACGAACGTTGTTGCTAATGGGAACTCGTATTTATTGTGTGATTTTGTGTATATAAAGCGCCCCTGGGGGACTTGATATCCGGCTCTTGTTTTTTGTCCCTATCCATCCTCATCCTCTTCCTCAACCCCCTCCATCAAGAAGACACGAACCTCAAGCACAGATTCATTTCTGTTCAGCCTAAACAAATCCGACAAAATGAAGTTCTTCGCTCTCGTGTCTGCCACCTTTGTCGCCCTCGCGGCTGCTGCCTGCAAGGACGGCGCTTACTCTTGGTACGTGTAGACCCAGTAACCCCCCCCCCATACAACCACTTGAGAGCCATGTTCACGCCCGGCCTCAAGCACCCCTTTGCGATGGAGCCAGTATCTGACATTGAGAAACTCCGTCTAGCGAGGGTAACACGCCCGCCGTCTGCCAGAACGGCAACGTCGTCAAGATGGGCGCCTGCGGCCCCAGCCAGAACTGCACCATCATCAGCGGCAGCGCTGTCTGCAAGGAGTACCGCCCTTAGGTCTTGAGAGTGCGGAGTGGTGGAGAGAAGGGTGGACTGATTCGGGGCCCCCCTGGGGAACAATACTACCTGAGAGGGTCCTTGCATACCATGCCTTGACTGGCCTGTTGGCGAATTGAATCTGTTCCAGCCCACTTTATTGGTCTATATGCAGGCTACACGTGAGAGACTTGACTTCACTAAGGTTGTGTGTGACATGTACTCAGTTGCTTACTGTACGTAAGCGCTGACACGCCTGTCATTGGCCCTCGGGCCTCGTCCGGAAGACAGATTCGATGCCCGCCAACGATGCTGGGCTTGATGTGTGTCGCCGTTGAAGAAAGCAGGAATACCTGCTAGTTATCTAACGCGGTAGGCTGCCCGGACATTGGCAGAAACCGGTCGCAACAAGGACATTTTCTATGCTGGGTGCCGAAGTAGGCTGCGTCACCAACAGGCTGCTCAGGGGTTTGAAAACGATTCTCAAGGGAACCTCTTAATGATCATGATGTCCAGATACCGCCTGCATATTTACTTTGTAGAACAAAAACCCGAGCCCCGAAAACACCAGTGCGGACAATGCCGTGTGCAAGACAAACCCAATCAAAGGAAAACCAAAGCATGAGACGTGAGCCCCGTGAGCTCATTCCAATTAGCCACCTTCAGCCCTCCATCTTGACATCATCACCCCCTGCCTCCTTGCTCAGGTTCTTGAGCACGTAACTCCGCTTGAAGTACTCGTTGGGGTGAACGATGGTCTCCAGCTGGTTGGCGGTCATGACGCCCTCCTCCTTGGCCTTCTTGATCTCGTTCTTGTGCAGGTATTCGAAGACGCTGGGGAAAGAAGATGGTTAGCATCCTGACGCGACAGGTTCAAAAAAAATACACGGAAGGCGCCACCCGCTTACCGATTACAAGCCATGTGATACTTGGTCTTCTCCTTATCCTCCTTGACACCATTCATCACGCCCCTGTCGTTAACACCCATAGCCTGCATGAGGTTGGACAGGTTCTCGAGGCTGAAGTGGCGGTAGGGGCAGCCGTGGGCCTCGCCGGGGCCGGGCGGGTGCTCGGTGAGGATCTTCTGGCAGCTGAAGGGGCTGTACCCGCCGCCGCGGCGGTTCGAGTCGCCGCCGACGTCGCCGTAGCTGTGGCGCACGTTGTACCGGTAGTCCTTGTTGAACTGGTCGTCGGTGACCTTGTGGAACGCGGTGCGCCAGAAGACCAGGGCCTCCTCGAGGTTGAGCCCCAGCCCCTTGAGGAAGAGCGTGTACTGCAGGCGGCCGTAGTGCTTGAGGTGCGCGTCGCGCCGCAGCGAGCGGTGCAGGTGCGACATGCAGGCCGGGAAGTGCGCCGACAGCTTGTCGATGTTGCGCGCCGAGATCTCGGCCCCCGCGGGCAGGTCCCCCGTGGCGCTCTGGTAGGAGGCGTCCGGGGTGATGAAGTTCTTGGACAGGTGGTCCAGGATGGGCGTCAGGCGGTCGTCCTCGTCGAGCCGCGGGAGGGCGCGGGCGGTCAGCTCCAGGGCGCGCTCGAGGCGCGACGTGAACTCGGTCACGACCATGCTGGTCTGCTCGCGCGAGGGGACGTAGGCCTTGCCGGCCCTCAGGAGCACCCTCCTGCCCTCGACCAGGTCGGGCACGCGCTCCCAGTCGACCTTGCACCACGTCTCGTCGGCCGGGGCGGCCTTGCGGCCCGAGAGGGCGGCCAGCTCGGGCTCGAGGTCCCGCCTCTCGTCGTCCGAGATCATCTCCCAGTCCAGGGCTAGGTTCCTGACGAAGTCGTTGCGGTCCCTCGTGTCCTCCTGGTTGAGGCGCAGGCGGAAGAGGGTGGTCTCGACGCGGGTGAAGCGGCGGCGCAGGTCCTCGGTGGCGGCGAAGGCGAGGCGCAGGATGAAGTGGCTGTAGTGGTCCTTCTGGCGCTGCAGGGCGAGCTGTGTGGACTTTGAGGTGTTGAAGTCGAGGGGCAGGTACTTCTCGAGGAGGGGCTTCATGTGGGCGGCGGTCTCATCGTGGGACTTGTTGCGGAACGAGCATGCCTCGAGCTCGGCGAGGACTGCAGGATGATGATCATGTGGTCAGCAGGGCGTTCGATAGACACCTGGTGGCTGTGGGTGGTGGTTGTCTTCTCTTGTACCTCTGAGGCGGTCTATTGCCCATTGCTCGAACTGCTCGAGGGTGATGTCTGCGGTGGGCGGCGTCGCGTAGAAGTTGAGCCTGTGTGGGTATTGCTGCTCCTTGTAGCCGCGGTCGGCAAACTGCTGCTTGCGGTGGTCGACGTGCCGCCGTTTGGCGTCTATCCTGTTGAAGTCTTGTCTGAACATGATGACGGTCGCGTGCTGCCCAATGTCACGATCGATTAATCCCGAGTAACAATTCCAAAGACTGTCTAAAGGCGAGTCCAGAAGCGGGTGGGGCCTTGGGCTGGGAGACGCGCCTGGACGCGTCGTGCCACAGGTTTCCCATTAAGGTAAAAAGGGCCAATTGGGCCAATCGCGGGTTAGCTGATTGATCGATTGGGCCTGCTCTTGTACCTCTGTATCTTTCCAGGCAGCTGCTCAGGAACCCTCGACCCTGGACCCTCGCCAGCGCCATTCGGGGTTGCCAGGAGGGCGCAGCAGACCCGACCCCTGCTCCCGCCAACAGCAGACCTCACCCATCATCCCATCACCCCGTCACACCGCTGACCGTCCTGCAGCCCTACTGCAACGGCATTGTACTAGTATCTCGTCATCGCTTTTTCGTCGTGCTCGTTCTCGGTCGATTCTCTACGGACTGCCACACAGCCTCCTTCTTGGCCCCCCGGATCCTTTCTGACCACGGCGCTTCTGATTGGGAGAAATGCGCCCATTGACCGCCTTTTGAATCGGGGACCAACATTGAACACTCACTCCAAGTCATTTTTTATATTTCATTATCGTCGTCGGTTAAGGGACCTCGGCGCAAGGCGTCTGTTCTCGGCAAGGCACCCGAAGATCCATCCCGAAAAAAAATGCACTTCTCACCTACCCCAAGCAGTCAGTGCCAGTCACACAACGTTGTCAGCCAGGCTCCCTGTTGGCCCGTCATCGATCTGGACCCACCCGTAGGGCTGAGTACAGATGAGGAACTAGCCTGTGGTTGGTTCAAGTCCTCATGGCCCTTTCGATATCACCTCTGTTGGTAGTCCTCTGCGTGGCTTGCGCCTGGCAAGTGTCTGCGTGAGTGTGTGTGTGCCTGTCTTGGTGTGTTGGTGTGCCTCTCTCTGGCCGACATCCTCGGCAGTCAACCCTAGCTTGGCCAACTTATTCAACGGTGCTCTAAACTTAGTTCTCACTTACACATCACAGGCTGCCTCTTCGTGAAATATGGATGCCTTCGGCTTTGTACAGGCTGCCGGATATATATGGCACTGGCTGCCAAAGTCAACAATGCATCACGGCCAAGGATCTCCATCACAGCTAGCCTCTCGAGATCAGGTGCCGAGCTGATGATCCGCCTAATATCAATACCTCACTCGTTAATCTCATTCGCTTTTCATGTCGTCATGTCGAATCAACTACCCCCACGCAGGCGTTGGGCCGAATCTGGTGACTGGGATCCCGTCCGCCCGCTCATAACGAGGATGTACAAGGTCGAGGGCAGGTCATTGAAGGAAGTAATGAGGATCATGGAGACAGAGCACCAATTCCTTGCCACGTAAGTTTACCATGCTCCTTGATCGCCCGCATAGAACCCAAGCCAATAACCACCACGAGCAGGCCAAAGATGTACAAGAAGAGAATAAAAGACTGGGCCATTGACAAGAACCACAAATCCGAGAGGTCGCCCCGGACGAGACAGCAGCGGGATCTGCCGGGCGAGCCACACTCGAGCAGCGTCAGGAGCGTTGCCATTGGCCCTCAAAGGCTAAGAAATCCCACATTCAACCCCAGTCCCGGCCCTGTCCAGGCTTATCAGTACGGCACGCGTCCACCAGCTGAGGGATCCACGCAGAGAGGATACCCCAACCACACCCCCGGGACCATGCAGCCACCACAACAGGGCCAGCCATACTGGGCAGCAGGCACCAGCCAGCCCAACAGCGACGGCTACGGCTACGGCTCTTATCACACCTGCCCATTCCCACAGAGCGGGCATGCAAGTATCAGCGAGCAACCCAGGACCTCCCCTCCCTCCTCCCCCTCGTCCTCCTCCGCCGCCCTCCTCAGCAGCATCCGGGACCGCTTCCTAGAGGCATCAGACGCCATAACCCGCCGCGACACCACCGCCGACCTCTTCGGGATCCTCAACCCGGCCTACGAGGCCATCAGCGCCGTCGCCGCCTCCGAGGCCGGCACCAGCACGGAACAGCTCCTCGCCGCCGTCGCCGACCTCTGCCGGCTCCTCGCGGGCAGGCCGGACCACCGCGACATGCTGCGGCAGCTCCTGCAGTACGTGCTCGCGCTCGTGCCCGGCGCCGCGCGCTCGGGCCGGTTCCTCTCGGGCGACGGGGTGGTGCTGGCGGTCCTGGGGCAGGCGGGGGGCGGGGGTGGTGGTATGCCGTCGGACACGGCCGTGCCCGCGCGGGATCATGACTGCTGCGAGCAGCAGCAGCAGGCCACGGGGGCTGGATCAGCCTCGGGAGGCTGCTGGTTGTGACGGGGGGGCTGGAGGCTTCCCTGTTGGTTTCGATTCGCTTCTGGTGCCACTGGTGGATGACCCTCTTGTAGGTTCACATGGCGAGTCTTTGTATTTTTATTTTTTTCTCCGTTTCTCTTTCATATTCCCTCAGGGATGGATGCTGGATACCCAACAGATCTGCCGGGTGGCAGATTTATTTATTTCTCTTATTGGTTCTACTTCCCTTTTTAGTCGAGCTTTCATGTAGGCGCCTCTAGCTGTGTCCTCTCAATCTCAACCTTCTTATCTATCTTACTGTCTCGGCTCTCTTGCCAAGACCATGTGTGGTCATTGTGAAGTGTTCTGTCGGGCCAGGATCCTTCTGTATCTGGGCAGTCTCCTTGACTATTATCGCCCACCCGTCAAGATCATCTCGTGCTGATCCACCTGGATGTCGTAGAGACTTTCTCTTTCTCTCCCCTGCGCCATTACGGAGTATAGGAACTGACCATACCGTCCGTCCTTCTCACCCAGGTCTTATCCGGTGTGACCACCACCAGCCTAAGTGGGAACTACACATGGAACAGTCCAACATAGCTACCATTAACCACCCACTAGCCCCGAGTAGCCTCTCACAACCAGGCCCCGGCCAGTATAAGCCAGAAATCCGGCCCGCCCCGTCGGCTCGGTTGGTCTAGCTGGTACGATGCCTTGGGTGGTTGGCGGCAGCACAGAGGAGATGGAGGTCCGACCCCTCCACTGAGGCAAAGTGTCCCTACACGGTGTTCTTTTTGTCTCCCGGGCGATGACCACTGGCCTGGTCGATATAGCTTGGAAGTCCAGACCCCCTCCCGGTTCAGTTGGTCTAATGGTAAGGCGCCCTTGGTGGGTAGTGGTGACACAGGGGAGACGGAGGTTCGACCCCTTCACTAAGCCAGACTTTTTTTAATTTCTTGTTTCTTGCTATTTTGCCTGTCTGCCTTACTGGTCTGGTCGATATAGCCTAGAAGTCCAGGTCCCATCTCGGTTCGGTTGGTCTAATGGTTAAGGCGCCACTGTAGCACAGAGGAGACGGAGGTTCAACCCCTCCACCGAGCCAGACTTTTTTTCATTTCTTTTTTTACCTGTTTGCGCCACTGGCCTGGCCTGGTTTGGTCTGGCCTGGTCTGTATAAGTCGAAGCTTATTTGTACTTGTGGTTCGGTTGGTCTAATGATAAGGCGCCTCGGATGGTGGACAGTAGCATAGAGGAGACGGGGGTTCAATCCCTCCACTGAGCCAGAACATTTTTTTTTCCTTTACTTTTTCACATGTTTCTCTCACTGGTGTTGTTCGGTCGATATAAGTCAAATGCTATCTTTGCTTTTGGTTCGGTTGGTCTAATGGGAAGGCGCCTCTGGGTGGTTGACAGCAGCACAAGAGGAGACGGGGGTTCAACCCCTCCACTGAGCCAGATCTTTTTTTTTTTCCCTATCTCTCCTTTTTATTATAAAAAAAAACCCGCCTGTTTAACTAACTGGTCTGGTCGATATAGGTCGAAGGCTATCTGTCCTGTTAGTTCGTCTAGTGGGAAGGCGCCCCGTAGTGGTATATAAGTAGTGACCGCAGCGTAGCCACCGCAGCTGGTAGAAGGATGGATAACCACTTCAGGGGAGACGGAGGTTCAACCCCCCCCCCCCCACCGAGCCATTTCTGATCTTTTGTTTTCCATTTGTATCTTTGATATCCACGCTGACACATATCATCATTGCAAAACTACTACCTAGCTATTTGCACACATATTACGTACCTTGTTTAAACTGATATACAACTATAGTACTTCCTAAAGATACCTAGGTAAATATTCTTCTAGAAGTGGCCACAAACACGTATCGTGTTACACGTGTCAAGTAACGAATGAATAATATCTACTCATGGATATATGTTTCCCCATCCTGGCTTCGCTTGACACTTCTGGTTGATGACTTCGTTGATGCAGTCTAGGTGATGGGCGATTGAGGTCTACTTGGAGGTGTGTGTAGTTAGATCCCATCTCTCTTGTAATAGATAGCATTTCCGTTCGCCTGATAATCCACATCGCCGTGCTACTGGGGGTGTATCAGTGGCATTAGAACATGGGGAGAAGGCGAGTCCGCTTTGGAGAAATCTGTCCATGACCAAGGCTTGCCACTGGTATCTTGCAGGTGAGGCGGTGCGACGATGCGTGGTGGTATTTACTGTACGTATACTAGCCTTCACCCTTCCCACGGCTGGTTCCGGCTCGTGGCGACGCTGTGGTGGACTAGTATGTGATAGGGCTGGTGGTGTATACCTATAGGTTAAATCGTGCTCGATCTAGCTAGCTTAGCTGCCTTGGCCCCCTCGAAAAGGCAATGACCATGGCAGGCGGGTGTGGTGTGGTGATACCAGGGACGGACGGCACAAGGCCGTGACGGTTTGACGGTCTGGGGGCTATTGGGGTTGTGCTTAATAACAGCTGCAGGCACTCAGCCTCATCTCCCCCGCCTCCTCTTGCCTATGTAGGGGTGCAACGTGGTTAAGCCTGACTCTTGGCTGTAGCCTGTCTGTCTTCTGTCTGTGGCTGTCATGTTCGGAACCAGGAAGCCGGCTGTGGCTGTCCATAAATCGTAAACAACAACGGCAATCCTGCTGATCCTGCTGCAGACCAGTCCGACGGTGGGTGGGTGGTGCACTTGCGAGGATGGATGACTACCCTGCTACCTAGGTACTTTGTATATTGCACCTGCTGTTGTTGATGGCAGATTCATCTTGCAACAAGAGATACATGGTATTCGCGTGTGGCGGATACGTCTGCAAAAACGTGTGCGGGCTGGGCCGACTTATACGGTCGACACGGAAACGGAAATGGAGGGGTTCGACGGTGTTGAGTGACGAGGGTCGCATAACGAAGGACAGAGCTCGGTGAGCCTGGCAGGTACCAGTTGCCCAGTTGAGCCGAGGTGACGTAGGGGCCGAGATGACAGCTGTTCGGGGCCGAGCTGCTGCAAAGAGGACAGGCCCCGCCCACGCAACACGCGATAGGGAGAGGCGAGGTTACATCAATCTCGCTGCCGTGTGGGACCTACCTCTGCCGTGTGCACTGGACTCTCGAGAGCTTAACCCTATTTCTGGAACCACGGTCGTCGTCGCATCACCCGGCATCTAATCAAACAGAAAGGAGTTGCTGTCCCTTTTCCAGTCCTTTCCTGTCCTTTCCTCTCCTTGCCCTTCCTTATCTTGGGAAGAAGGGCTCTTCCTGCGACTGCGTGCCAAGAAGAGGATGATTCAAACACTCTGCTCCTCCTCTCTCCTGTCCGTCTTGTCCTGTCGCACACTGCATCATTCCTCTGCATAACATTTGAACCTACTCTCGAAGCTTGTCCCTTCCTTATTTGCTGGCCGTTGTCCAGGCTGAAAGAAGAACAACAACAACAAGATGGCCTCCTCGGCAGAGATCCACGACCCCAACGACGGCATCCTGCGCCCGCGCCCGCGCAAGCCCGTCCACTCGCAGCTGTCGCAGCTGACCTCGAGCACCTCGGCCAGCACCAGCGGGTACCTGGACCACCACAATGAGACCGGTGCGAACACCGGCCAGACAAGGTGTGTATGCGTGTGCCTGCCCGACCTGACCAACAGCTGACCAACACGCCCCCTCTGAACAGCGGCCGGTCGACGCCCGTCCCAGCCGATGCCCTCCCGTCCGTCAAAGTCCTGTCGAGCGCCCGGCGGCAGGCCCGCGCCGAGCAGAAGCGGAGGATCTTCCCGACCATCGAGTTCGCCAGCCGCGTCTCGCACTTTGACCCAAACTCCGACTACCGCGACTTCCACGGCTTCTTCAACCTCTTCTGGGTCGGCCTGTCCATCATGGGCCTGACCTCCATGCTGCGCAACCTCAAGGAGACCGGCTGGCCCTTCCGCGTGCAGATCTGGACCCTGTTCACCATCAAGTGGTGGCACCTGGGGCTGGTGGACTTCGCCATGGTCGCCAGCGCCTCGCTCGTCTACCCGCTGCAGCTCTACGTGAGGAAGCAAAAGGCCGGCGGCGCCATGACCTGGGCCAAGGGCGGCATGGCCGTGCAGAGCATCTACCAGGTCGGCTGGATGGCCTTCTGGGTGGCCGCGCCGTTCGTGCTCGAGTGGCCCTGGACCTCGCAGGTCTTCCTGATCCTGCACACCATGGTCATCCTCATGAAGATGCACTCGTACGGCTTCTACAACGGCCACCTCAGCGAGACCGAGAAGCGCCTGCACGACCTCGACAACCCAAAGACCGCCTCCCGCGAGCCCGCCTACCTCTACCCCACCGCCGAGAACCCCGGCGGCTCAGTGTCGAGCCCCATACATAGCAGCAAGCACGCCCACGCCGACCACGCCGACCACGCCGACCACACCGACAGCCAGGAGGAGGAGGAGGAGCTCGCCCAGCTGCGCGAGGACCTGGCCAGGGAGCTCACCAGCCCCATGGGCAACGTCACGTACCCGGCGAACCTGACCTGGGCCAACTACGTCGACTTCCTCTTCTGCCCCACGCTGTGTTACGAGATCGAGTACCCGCGCTTCGCCAGCATCGACTGGAAGAACCTGTTCGCCAAGATCACCGCCGTCTTCGGGTGCATCTTCCTGCTGACCGTCATCTCCGAGGAGTTCATCCTGCCCACCCTGCAGGAGTCCCAGGCCCGCCTGCACGACCGGCCGGGGCGCCTCGAGTCGCTGCTCATCCTGGCCGAGACGGTGTCGTGGCTGCTCTTCCCCTTCATGCTGACCTTCCTGCTCGTCTTCCTCGTCATCTTCGAGTACGTCCTCGGCGCCTTCGCTGAGATCACACGCTTCGCCGACCGCCACTTCTACAGCGACTGGTGGAACAGCACCGACTGGATGGAGTTCAGCCGCGAGTGGAACATACCCGTCTACAGCTTCCTGCGCCGCCACGTCTACAGCGCCAGCAGGCCGCACATCGGCCGCGCCTACGCCACCGTCATCACCTTTTTGATCTCCGCCGTCGGCCACGAGATCGTCATGGCCTGCATCACCAAGAAGCTGCGCGGGTACGGCTTCATCTGCCAGATGCTGCAGCTGCCCATCGTCGTGCTGCAGCGGACGCGCTGGGTCCGCGGCAAGAAGACATTTAATAATGTTGCGTTCTGGTCTTCTATGATCTTGGGGCTGAGCCTGGTGAGTTATAAGCACGCTATTTTACACCTGCTTGCACCTACGTACCTTTTTGCAAGGTTGCTAACGACTTGGTGCCCACAGATCTGCTCCCTCTACGTGCTCCTCTGAGCCATCATCCACCCACCTACCCCTTCCTCCGCTCACCAAATAAACCGAGCACACACACACACACACACACACACACCATATTTGAATCGAGAACAGGCAGAAAGGCGAGAACAGCAGCAGCAGCATCCATTAGAACACAGATACCCACCCACCACGCCCAGACGAAACAAAGACACTCTTCTGTTCCCGGCCCGGGGCTCGACACGCGCGAGCGAGCGAGCCCTGTGCTGACCGAATCATCATCATTGTATCGCATTATATCACATCTTTCACCTTGACATTTTCAGGCGTTCATTTTTTCTTCCTTTCGGCGCCGGGGGTTGGGTTTCCAAGGGTTGGGTTTTGCATTGGTTGGATGTGGCTAGATGAGAAGGGGGGGTGGGGAGCTCCCAGCTGCGGTCGTTGGGAGGGCTCGCAATCGGGGTTTCTGGAGGAGATTCGCGCGGGCTCGCGGTCGGTCCATCATCCGGGCTTGATTTTGGGTCCCGTCTCGTAGCATAGACCAATGCACATTTTCCCACTCGCGCCAGACGTGAGAACGTCGACGTGGACTGACTACGCGGGAGTATTTCCGGGATGACGAGGTACCTAGGTACACATGTCCTCCCTCCGGCTAGATATCCATCCAGTTTTCCCCAGACCTGCTTGCTGTGGCGCGCGTGATGTATGGTTCACTTGACAGCATCGAAGGCGACAGACAGAAAAGAACAGGTACAGAGGACTTCGTCGATACCAAAACCTCTCGAGAAAGAATCATCATCTTCCAATTCATGATCATCATAGATAGATAGATAGATTGTCTAGACCGAACAAAGACTAGATAGAGACCAAGACGAAAACCAAAGCCAATGGCAAAACGAGCTATGCTATCGTCGAGAAAGAAAATCCCCCGTGGCTGGACATGACCTGTCGCGGGCGGGGTTGCATCCTCAATACTCCCTTCCTCTTTGTAAACGGTACTCCCCTCCTCCGTATCCGCTGATGGCGCCGGCGTGTGTGTGTGTGTTCGTCTCCCAGATGAAATGAATGGCTGGCTGGTGTATGTGTGGGTGAGGGCGCACTGTCATGAATGTATGTAATGTAATGTGGTGTCGAACCTTTCGTAATCGTCATTTCCCGCGCGCTTTCCCTGTTCCTGTAGCTATGCATTGGTAGTGGTGGTAGTAGTAGTGGTAGTAGTAATGGATAGATATCGTTCCCCAATATCGCGGGCACGAGGATGTTCTCAGCTGGGCCGGTTGGTCTAGACTTCGCGTGTACGTGTTGGCCTTGTTGGTGGGAAGGGGGGCCCGCAGGCAGAGTCCGCCAAGCAGGAATGGGGAGGATGAGGCTGTGAAGTGTGACTGACGCCGACGTGGTCGGACAGGACAGGGCCCTTTTCCAAGGCTCCCTGTCTGTCTGCCTGCAGTACCGGATGCGTATGAACGCTTCCGGGCCCCTTGGTGTTGCTGGCAAGCAGTCCAGCTCGACGAGCCACGTCACACTTCTGCCGCTCCATGCCATGGGATGATGTCGTCCCTCGATCCATAACTTGGCGGACTCGCTGCGCCATCCCAACACCTCTGGTCGACACACCCACTTAAAAGTCAGAAACCAGCCCCGCTAAGCCTTTCCCCGTGACCCCCAAAAATGATTGTCGTTAACACACGTGGTTCGTTACTGCCTGTCACCTTCACGATGCCCTTTCGTTCATGTCCAGTAAGTAAAGCCCCCGAGAAGAGAATGATCCTTAAAACGCCTGATAAAATCGCAACCATGACAAAAGTAGAGAAATGGGGCTCCCGCCCTGGGTGGCCCGGTGCAAACGCCAAAAAAAAAAAAACCAATGAAAACCCATATATGGTAGGAAAGTCTGCACGAGATCCGCTGTCTCTTCTCACCACGATGTACAACTCGAGATAGCACTCCAGTGTGTGTGATGCAAGGACAGGGCCCTACAGCCTGTGACCGACAACTCGAATTGTCAAATCCAAAGACAAGAGTCCGTGACGGCGCGCAATGACTAGCGGGCAGCAGCCGCCGTCCTGTAGTCGTACTGCGGGTGCATGTACTCTGAGGTCAGCACGTCCTCCTCTCCGTAGTGCCTAGAGGTTGCCACATTCTCAGCTCTATACGCCGGCGTCGTTTTCACCTTGGTAAAGGGCACTCCCGCGCCAGTGTACGGGTCCCTGTACTTGGCGTCGATGACCCTGGGGACGCCCGAGTCTCTGCTGCTGACGTGATATCTCGTCTGGATGGGAGCCTGATAGTAGTCCTGCACATAGTCGTCGTCGAAAGACGACCGTTTCCTTGCCGACCTGTGCTTCTCAGCCGGCCTGCTGTACTCGTACTCGGGCTGCATTGTAGCCGCTCGGTTCAGGGGCACCCGAGGCGGCAGAGGGGCGGCGGTCTGTGCTTGAGGTACGTAGCCAGGAGGCATGGTATGTGACTTCTGCAGACGCGGAGGGGCCTGTTGCGCGTGTGATGGCGGCGTGACCACTTCGGGCTGGACCTCCGGCTCAGGCGCGTCAACGATAATGGGCTCATCTTTGGCATGTTTCCCATCGCCAGACGGGCGCCGCTTCGGCGCCCACTTCTCGTTTGGATCCGGATAGGCGGCAGAGTACGTAGGCACCTCCGGCGTGTGCTTTGGTGAGGTCTTGTTCGTCTTGCTCCTGATCTTCTCCATGTACGAAGCTGCAAACGCCAAATGCCCCTGGTACTTCTCCCCGCCGCCCACGGCGGCTTCGACAGGACTTGATCGTTCTCGTTGCTTGGTCGACTTGTCCCGGCTCGGGCTGTCTGATTGTTTCTTGGGCGAAGAAGACGACTTCTTGGCTCGGCTCCTCTGCACATCGTCTTCTTCTTCGCTGTAGGGCGGGTGTTCAAGGTACGGTTTTGACTTGACTCTCGCCTTGTCTTCGGCTTCCTGCTTCCGTCGGGTCTCACGCTCCCTCTCTCGCAGCTTCTTGGCCTCTTTTGCCTCCTTCAACTTTGCCGCTTCGGCTCGCGCTTCGCGTTCCTTGCGTTCCTTGCGCATGAGTTCTCGCTCTCTCGCCTCCTCGTTCAGCTTCTGTTGTCGCCTGACCTCTTTCCGCACGGCTTCCTCCTCCCGCTCCTTCCTCTCTCTCCGCCTAGCCGCCCGTTCGCGGTCTTCCTCGTCACGCTTCCTGCGCTCCCGGGAATCCTCGCGTTTGGGCTTCTCATAGCTGGCGGCCCGACGGGCACGGCGTTCATCGTCGTGATAGGCTCTTGACCGTGACGGAATCTCGTGCTCCCAGGACTGAGAAAACTCCTTCGAGTAAGGCTTGTAAGGACTCGATTTTGATGTCGTGTGTTTTGAAGGGGACCATCCCGGTGGCGGTTCTGCGGTCCGAATGTTCACGTAGCGGCTTTGAGCCGGTGTGCTCGTGCTGACACCTCCACCCCTTTTGGCGAGCTCCTCCTTCAGCTTCTTGTGTTTGACCTCGAGATCATAGTCCTTCCTCCTGTCGTCGTCACCAAGGATCTCGTAAGCCTGCTGCACCTTCTGGAACTCCTCTTGCTTCTGGGCCTTGAGCGTCGGGTCCGGGAACTTGTCGGGGTGACATTTCAATACCAGCTTCCGATATGCGGTCTTGATGGCACCGGCATCTGCGGACGGCTCGACGCCAAGTGCTCGGTATGGGTCCGGAGGTAAAGGTGCGTTCATGATGGGTGGAATGGGGGCACACAAAGGTTGGCCGTGGTAGATGCAGGTGGGCAGCTGTCAAGAGACAGCAGCCTGAAAGACGTCTGTCTGGGTATCCAGCGGAGGGCCTGGGGTAGGCAGACAGTAACGTGGTGCCCAACGGAGGGGAGCTGAACCAGTGGTATTTAGTTGGGCGGGCTGTCCTGGTCCAGGTGGTCGGTAAAGAGATGGCTGACACGTGGTTTAGCTGGAAAGGGAGCGGCCAAGGGATCGGGATCGTGTGACAATGACGCTTAGCCGAGTTAAGCGCGCACACGATGAGGGGAGTCTCCAGACGGCCAGGACAGCGGACAGCAGGAGAAGAGACGTAATGAGACTTTCCGGACCGGTATTAAAGAGAAATGCGCAACAACGGACCTGTTAAAGGGGCGAAAGAAAAGGGATGGGGAAGCGAAAAGCTGAAGGTCCAAACTCCCTCCCCTAAGGCTTCTCAGGGCTGGCCGGTATGGATTGGATGGTCAAGGCGGTCCGTGGCGTTGCGCGCAAGTAGGAAGTGCAGGTTTGGATGGTAAAGAGAGGAAGGGACGGATGAGATCACCCTTTCCAAGGCAAGGACAAGGTCCAGGTCCAGGAGGGCCGGTCCAGCTGGGCAGCTGGGGGAACGTCGGCAGGTCGGATGGTGTCAGTAAGGCGCGGGCAGAAGCGAGGTGCGAGAGTCGGGGTAGAGGCAGGGGTTGAGATAGCGGATGATGGGTTGGTGGGCAGCCCTCAGGCTAGTCAAAGTTGGATTCGCCGGCACCCCGGGGCGATCGATTTGGCCCTGAAAAGAGTGGATCCCAACGGTCCTCTCTGGGAAGAGCGTCAAGGCGCGGATTCCTGTTAGCGGGAGGGTGGGAGACGATGGCACCCAATCAGTGTCAAGCCAAGGGTTGGTCGGTGTTAATGGGCAGCCAGGGGGCACCCAACGAGATCAAGAGCGGGAACGGCGATGGCGTCCCGTCAAAGCTCTGGTCCCAGGAATCAGACAGGATGCGGCGTAGATCCAGAAATCCAGGCCCCTTTGGAGGCTGGAGCCGTCCTGTCTTCGGTCACGGAGAATACCCTGGGAGGAGGATTGATGACGTGCTGTCCACGGGTGGGCTGTGGTTGAGGCAGCAAGAAGCAAGGCAGCAGCAGTAAGCCGAGACGCCCCTGTCGTGTTCTATCGGCTTCCCCTCGAGGAATTGTCCTGCAGGTAGTCCTCGGGCCGCAGGGTGTCTAATCACGAGGTAACTCAATGAAGAGTGAACAAAAAAGCACCGACGACTGGTGGAATGTACGGTAAAGCTGGACACCCGAACCTGCTGGCTGTGCGGTAATCCGCCGCCTGTGTGTTCCGTCCAGGGCTGTTTTGTGGCTGGGAAATAGTTCAGAGATCCTGGCAGTGGATTGTGGAAGAGTTCCGGGCGTGTTCCAGCGGGAAAGGAGCCAGGTCTGTTTGTTTGCTGCGGCAATAAGACGTCTTCACTTCGAGCACACAAGGTTCCCGGTGGCGGGATCCAGAAATTGAGTTGTTTGATGGCCCCGTCAAAGCGGAATTCCAGGTTGAGAACAGTGGGAAGTATGACAATTCGCAAGACCTGGCAAAGCGGGTTCGTTCAGTCTGAAAAGGAGAGCCCAGAACGGCGAATTCCCTCAGGAGAAGGCTACCCGGTGACAATGCCCTCAGGCTGGGGCAAAAAACATCCAATGTACGGCCCAGTGATCCCCGTCGGTCCAGGGCTGTTGCATCCAGCTATGGCGATGTCCGACTCGTCCACGCAGCGGTCCCTTGGATTGGCTGTTGGGTCGAGATTCTGGTGGCTGATGGCGCCGGCGGCGGTGGCGATATTACCTCAGCTCTTGCCAGCCGAAGGAGAAGTGTAGGGTGGTGGGATAGTAGGCCAGTCAGTGGTCAGGATGGCCTTTCAGGTCGCTGATCAGGCCCTTGCCATGGGGGCAATATGGCAGTACAAATTGCTTTTTACTTTGAGGCAGTAATGTGAAAAATACAACAGAGGCCGAGGCTCGAGGCACGCGAGAGCGAGAGGGTTCCAGGACTGGCCGGTCGGAGGAAACTGACAGGCACGGTGAGAGTGGATTACCAAAACAGAGGCGCGGATGGCACAGCAACTGGATGCCTGTAACGTCCAAGACCCTGGGCAAGTCTCATAAAGACAGCAGGTATGGGGTGAAGTGCGCGGGTGAGGTAATCCGCAGTGGGCAGTGGACAGAGCGGGTCTGGCGGTGAGTAAGAGGTAAAAAATAGGGACGACCGAGGGGATTCGTGACAACCCGTGCAGCCGTGCAGCCCGTGTCGGCGGTATGGTATGCCTTGCCCTGTCCGCAGCTGGAACCCCAGCAGGGTCGGTTTCGAATCGAGTAGGACAGTCAGTCAGTCGGTGCTTGCACAGCCCGTTCTGGTCTGTCTCGCCTGACAAGTCGGAATGGGAGCCCTGCAAGCCTTGCTGTGGGCTGACAAAATGACCTGGGTCTCGGAAGATTTATTTGGATGGGAGAGACAAGGCCAATGCCAATGCCAATGCCAATGCAGTCAACAAGAGCCGTACTGTTTGGTAATGAACAATCAATCCTGATTAATGGCAGAGACTAGGCCTGAGACAAGGCCCCGTTGAGGCAGACGGACGAGGTCTTGCATTCGGGCATCAAATGCAGAGGTCAGCAAAAGGCGAGCTATGACGAAGCTGACAGTTGACAGTCGACGAGGGCCAACAATCGACAATCAGTCAGCAGCCTGCGAGCAGATCGGCCTCGTTCTGGAAGGCCTGGGCAGCCGCAAAGGAGGGGAAGGCTGGGCAAAAAACAAAGGCATTCGCCAGTCGGTTATGAGGACGATGGACGCGATGATGGGCCTCGCATGTGGTCGCGTCCAGAAAACACGACCCACGTGTGCTGGTGTGCTGGTGTGCTGGTATGCAAGAGGCAGACAGGACTAGCAGACTGGCAGAGATGGTGGAATGAAGATGGGAGATTACAGAGACAGAGAGATGCACTGCGAGTGCAGTTTTGGGCATCAACTTTGTGCAGGCAAATTGCACAGCTCTTTCCTTCCTCTACCCAGGTACCTGCTCATTACCATGCGGTCGTTGATGTCCAGACTGTCCAGTTCTTCCGTGGAAGGAAGGAACAAGATTAAGCTCTCGACCTGCCTTGCTCGATTCGACTCGTCCTGAGCTTGACAGCTCCAACAGATCGACCAGAGGTTGGTTGGGTGCCCAGGTGTTAACAGAAGGTACAACCACGTGGTGTTTTCCCCCAACCAGTCGGTGCTGTCGCCCTTGTATCCCAGATTGCCCGTTCTTCTCGATCCTTCCCTGCCTCTACTGTGGTATACCCTCCTTCCTGGTACCTGCCGCCGGCAGATCGGCTGGGCTGGCGTGGAGACAGAGACAGCCTTCTTCCTCAGGACACAGCCCGAGGGCCGAAGCTGAGCCTGACAAAGTCAAAAGGCTCAGTGCCAGCGAAACACGACATCGGATGAATACGACCCGGCAAGACTGGCAGACAGGCATGACCTTCCGGCCGTGCGGTCTGCCTGCCTGCCTTCCTGCCTGCCTGCCAGCCTGCCTCCATGCCCCATCCCTGGGCGGCGATATGCTTTCTCTGGTGCTGTCTGGGCATTCAAGTCGTGCATCTCGGTGTTTATTTGCATGTCTGCATCTGGCTGCATCTCCAACATGGCCCGGAGGCATTCCGTGTTGCAACCTCTGCAGCTCTGTTGGAACCCGACATGGTCCTTGCAAGGGCTGGCTGCACCAGTCGGAAGGGCATTCGTGTCATCCAAGTGACTTGGCTCACATCGTGGGCTTAGTTAGCCCGAGTATGCATCTGACGTCCAATGCGCGTGGTCTCTGGGCCGCCGACCTGGAGGGCTGGCTGGGCTGGTGCCGATTCTCTGCCTTCTCTGCCTCTCCCACGCCGCATCAACGAGTCAACACGCACCCTGCTGCCACACATTCGCCAGCCCCCCGGCCATTCACGCATGGCCAGATGCGGGTTTGTCACTCTGGAGTGCTTTGGCCTTGCATTCTGCCTCATGCCCTCTGCACAAGCCGTGGCATATATCACACCCTCGACCAGAATGGGTGGAGTGGAGGCCACCGAGGGAGCAGGGGAGACAGCACAGTAGTCGGCCGGCACACCCACACCAACACCTGCATGCACCAACAGCCAGACACCATGGCCCGTCTCACCCTCTCGTTCATCAGTCATCAGTTACACGACACGGCAGCATCTGCGGCCCCTCGTGACAACCATGGCCAACGCAGGTACTTTATTAGCTGGTCGTCCCACGGCATGGTGACCGAGAGGGGCACATTGGTCCACCTCAAGTCAACCATCCCACCATCCTCCCCACAGGGAGGGCTCGCGTGTGCTTCCTTTTTCTTACACTTTGGTGTGTGATGAGGCTCAGGCTCATATTAATGGCAACTCCAGCCTACAAAGAGCATTCCAAGCAAGCAACAGACACGGCCGTTCTCAGCAACCGGTTCGACTCAAGCATGCTGGCGCCTGGGGGTGCCAGACCTATACCGTTGCCCTTGTCATTCATCTCTGATGATATCTCACATCGGGATATATACCGGGTACAGCTGCTATATTGTCCTTGGCTCGGTGCATTCTGGCCATGTTTCAACGGCAAAGGCCGGCGGTTTGAGCGCCAATTCCGACGCTTGAGTATCGTAACTCGCAGCCCAATGGAGGGGCACGAGACGTCCACCTTGTCTGGAGCTGCTGCTTTTTTCCACTTGTTCTGCCGGGGTGGCCTGCCCGCGAATCCAGTGCTTCCCGAGTCTTCCACGCGCTGCCGGCTGATCAACCGGACCACACTAACCTCGTTGTGGACTCAAGCGCTCCCATTCGCCTTTTCTGGGGTCGGCCGTGAGCTGATCTGCTCTAGTCACCTGCCAAGTGGCAGCAGCGGGTGGGAGCTCGCGCCAGTCAGGGTTGGTAGCTCTTGCTTCATCATCGATCCGATGTCGTGAAGCGAATCAGCAGCACACGACTTCCCGTGCGCGATGCAGCAACCTGAAAGCGTGCGCGTTCTGTTTTGGACCTGCTGTGTCGGACGAAAGCTACTCCAGCAGCAGCCCCTGGTGGACCACAGGAGCAAATGGCATCCCTGGGGCATCGTGGCCGACGCGGGCATCCAGAGTCGCAGTCGCAGCTGAGCTGCTGAGTTGGAGCCGGCTGGTTGCCTGAGATCCTGCACAATCCAGGGGCCTGGAACCCCTTGCCCAGAATGCCCCTCCAACCCCGCCAACTGAGATCCTACCCCTCCTTCGATCCAAACATCAGTGGGCCCAGGTTATCCCAAAAGAGCAGCCTGCTAACAGCTCAACGACAGAGTCGGGCATTTTTCTGCTAGCAACAGGTCCTGGGCATCCCTGCCCGTCACAGTAACACAAGATCCTCACGTCTTGTCAGATGATGACGTTCGAAACCGGTCCCTATCAACCTTGGGAACTGGTCCGACAAATCTGGTGAGCGAGCTGCGAGGTGCGGCATTTTGGCCCGAGGCCGCGAGCGCATGACATGCGGTCGCTTCCCTTGTTGGTCTCATATTTCGCCTGGTCTCGCCTGTGTTGATGAGCTCTAGCCACCTTGTCCGCTACATCTCCCGCAGGGTGCACTGTGTAAGCACTCAAAAAAGCCCTCGGCTTGATATTGCAGGGGACCCTTCATAACACAGCGAAGGGCTGGTGGCACGGCGCTCTAGTGAGTCCCGCCAGGCCTATCAGCGGCGCCTCTCACGACGTCTCAGACACTTGCGAGAGCGGTGAATGCTGCCCAAGTTCTTGCTACCAGATCATTGTTCCTCTCCCGTATTCTCCGTGTTTGGCCCTGTTCCCGCGAGCGGTGAGGGTGTTCCGCAAGTCGGTTGATCTGTGTTCCGTGGACTTCTGCAGCCCTACGTCAAAGACGCCAGTTGGGTGAGCGAGCCGAGGCAGAGGGCCGGCCAGCTTCTGGCGGCGTTTATGCCGGCGGATCGGCGACGGGGGTGGGTGCCCGCCCCAGTTTATTGCCTGAAGAGGATCCGATTCACACAGATCCAAGATCCATATAGGGTCTTACTGTTGACCCTCTGGTCACAGCCCCGTCTGACCAGCTGTGCAGTGGGCCCCGTATACCGTCATTTTTTTGCAGAACGTGGGGGGACGGTGCACAGGAATACTTGACACTCCATGTGGTATGGTATGGTAAAATGGCGCAAACCAGGAGTGCCTGCGGGATGGGAACACACACACACACGCCCGCCCACATGCTTAGTGTGCACCAAACCTCGGTGGTAACCACCTGCATGCGAAGCGCATCCAGTCTGACCCAACCAGGCCAAGACCCGGTCTTTATTGGTTCGACATGACTACTGCAAGCGCCCTCAGGCTTCTAGCTGGTTCTGCACTTTTCGTTTTAGTGCTGGTTGCTTGCTTGCTGCGGCTCTCAGGGTAAAAAAGAAACAGAGCCGTTGCATCGCGTTTCCGCTTTGCTTACTCCGGACGGGCGAATATGGAGCTCACGAGCACGAGTCTCGCGGTTGTTGGGGAGCATCGCCTCACGTCTCACACCCATATCACGAAAGCTTGTCTGGCGGCGTCTACGGGCGTGTGTTAATTGGCAGGACTTTAGATAGATAGTGTGGATAGCATTGCAGTTGACAATTGTCCGAGGGGGACGAAAGGGTGGTATCGAACCGGCCACCGGCCAGCGGCCAGCGGGAGTCTATCTGCTGCACCCACAGCACATGCAGACCACCGACGGGGTGACGGTGGCCTGACCAACCGAAGGTCATCCCACCAGCGGCCCTCTTGTCTGTCTGGTGACGGGCGGCCTATGGCGTGGCCTGGGAAAGGGGAAGAGGACGGCAGCCGAAAAGGAGAGGGGCGGTTGTCAACTGAACTCCCGGCGGCCCTTTTCATGGCCTGTTCTAGGCCCCCCACCAACCTTGGAACCAACCCCGTCGTCCGTTGTCGTCCAAACATTTCCCCGATGTGGTTGAGCCTGTTCCTCTTCAAATGTTAGCACGTATGTATCTGGTTGGCCTAACGCATCAAGCATATGCACATGCGTTGTGTAAGCTGAGACCATGGTGTGGATTAGTTGAGGATTGAATAGGCACGTAGGGGTGGGTGGGTGTCATCGAGCTTTCAATCAATCAATCCCCATGTCCAGCTAGCTACTAATCTACTGTGGCTAGCTAAAAATGATGTCGGCGATGCCACCATGGCATGGCATGGCGCCTCGGCAAGGGTTCATTCAAGAACTTGCTGTGGTTGGGAGACTGGGACTACGTTCCAAGGTTTGAGGTGCGAACCGGTTGACGACGAAACTACGTCGTTGCTGGTGTAGCTGCTAGGAGGTAGGTAGCAATTGTGTCGGCCCCGAGTGCATGTGTTTGCGCACGCGCGGGCGCGCCAGCACGTGGGACTCGATCGCAGCGTGGCTGTCCGAGTCTGTCTGTCTGTCTGTCTGTCTGTCTGTCTGTCTGTCTGTCTGTCTGTCTGTCTGTCCGTCCGTCTGTCTGTATTGTCTCTGCACATGTAGGAAGAGACCCGCCGGCGCCGGCGCACGTGTTGTGCAGTGAATGTGTTCTGACATGCAAAACCATGGCATGGCGCCCGCCGCGGATTCTGCAGATCATCTGAGTGATATGAGTCCGCCGTTTGTCCCCTCCTGCTCGTTCGCACTGGCGCCCGCCATGGCGTCCGAGTCCCTCCAGCCCGGCGGTCCCTGCTTGGTTGGTTAGTGCGTGCGTGGCCGCCGGTCCGGGCTGGTCTTGATTAGGGCGAGGCGAGGCGGTGGTCGGTCTGTCTGTCTGCGCTTCAGCCGTTTCGGGCGGGTCTTTTTTTGAAGGGTTTGGATCGGGGGCCGGGTGGGATCAATCGGGGCGGACTCAATCGGTCAGATCAGGGCAGGCCCTGAGAATCAGAACTGATGTGCTGTTTGGATCGGGATCTGTTACACGTGTGGTGGTCTGCCTTGAGGACGGAGGTGGTGTGTGTGGGTTTTCTGAGGCGATGGGTGTGGGTGGGTGGGTACCCCATTTTGTGCCCGGCGTGGCTTCCTTCGTTCGATTCGATCTTGGATCAATCTGGGGGCGCGCAGCTGCCGCGGTACACGGGACTCTGTGGTGGAGACTTTTGGTAACGTCACGGTGTGTTTGCCTGTGATGAGTTGAGAGGTCTTGATTCCGTTGCTACTTTGTTGTGCCGCGAGTGCCCGGTCAGCTCAGGTCAGACGTCATGGCAGGCAGGCCATGATGGTGTTTTCAGGGTCTCGTGGATTCGAGACCTGTGGGCTGAGACTGAACGTTAGCCTCCAGGTCCCGGACGCCTTGTCTTGGACTGGGCGGACGGTGGTGTCGAGAACTGCACAGCGTTGTTGCTTGTGAGGCTCCTGGCTGGCATTAGGCCATGTCTGTGGAGGTGGGTAAGAGGTAATATTTCACCTCGAGTGTTTTCCTTCTCAGGGAGATTGTGACCTTGGACTGAGGAGTGTACAAGTACATGTGTGCCGGCAGGTCGAACGAGATTCGGTTGTATTGTTTTTGTGCTTCACTGAGGTGATAAAAGAATAAGTAGTGCGTTGAGATGATGTTTATAGAGCTTTTAACCGAGCGAATTCAATGTTCTGACAGTGCTTTTGTTGCCCGGTGGAATTTTCGATATCCTCTCACAGATACAACAGCACATGCGAGTATTTAGACGCAGAGACCCGAACAGTTGAGCTCTTATTTGTACACACCGTCAGACAGAGACATGACCTTATCTCTAGAATGGCGCAGGGCGTTCTCCTTTTCTGGGTCTTTGGCTGAGCTTTGCCAACATTCTCGAGCCCTGGAGGTCTTGCTCGAGAGTGCTAGTTAGGTGGTGATCCTATAATATGTCACCTGAGAGTAATGTTCTAGAATTCTGACCCGGGACTTATACGTCGCTATCAGACAAGAGAATCATTACATTGAATCGTCTAAAGGACGTTCTCTTGGCTAACATAAATCAGTATTTGGTCATGTGTCTATGAAAGTGGGGCTAAGTGAACACGATCAGCGAGATCTGGGTAGAAGGTAGATATTGGTACCGGCACGGCTTTTCACTGGCGGATTATAGCATCAGTACCTAGGCATATTTTGCTTTGGATGTACCCATAGAAGATATCCAATCTACGCGAAGGATCACGCTGCTTGCACGCACTTAAGCACAGGTTGCCCTCAAAGCTAAGGAGGCTGATGTTTTTGGACTGCCCACAATTCAGAATGGCACCCACAGATTCAAATAGCTCGCTACGATAACCGGTAAACAAGCCACTGGAAGACAACATTCTCAAGTCACTAATGCTGCCACGTTTTCCATACTTTTGAGTCCCGTTTGATGGCTTGAACCACACTTGACGTCAAATTTTGTTTTCATTGGCCCGTAATTCATGCTATAGCTCGTTTCAAAGAGTGACTTGAAAAAATACGTTCAGTCTCCTACTGTATCCATCCCCGCCTCCTGCTTTCTCCACTTTAGCAGTCCCGCAAGATACCTAGCTAGCAAAGACTTGCTACCATAAGCCCCGGTCAATCTTGGATGGTTGAACATCTAGCAGTCGCCTCCATTGCAGCTGCAAACGCCGTTGATGCAGGTTCCGAATCCACCACGGCACTGCTCAAAGGCATACCATATCAGTACGAAGTCACATGTGCAGTTGTAGAGAAACTCCTATCTCTGCAATGAGGGGGAACGGCAAATCGTGACTTACAGCACAGCAGGTGGTCGGGTCGTTGGAGGCGCATGGGAATGACCGCCCGAAGATCAGGGCGTCGGAGACATCCCTGGTGTCGAGCTTCTGGACCATACCGGCAGAACCAGTCTCGGGGACGGCCACGGCCAGGGCGAGGTTGACGAAGAAGGCGACGGTGGCGATTGAGAACTGCATTTTGGCGAGTTTTGAGAGTTTTGTCTGAAGAAGACGGAGAGTTGATGAGAAATGTGCTTGGTTTGATGAGATTGAGAGTGAGTTGCTTGGACTTGAACCCAACCGAAGGGGAATTGAGCGGACTTTTATATACACGTTCGGGAACTACTGGATTGTGCGTTTGGAAGATTTCATCATGACCGAACAATGTGGAAGACACAGCCTCATGGACTCTTTGGTGAGTGCTGCATCGATACATGGATGGGCCCGCGGGGATGAAGTCCGAAGGTGGGTGTTTCTTCGAAGGATTGATGTGATCGACAAAGTATTTCTCTATTGACGATGCAGCAGTTGACTACCTCTGCTGTCTTGGAGGATTGAGGCCCGCATGAAATTGGTCATAGCGATGTGATGACAGTTTCGATGCGGTGCACCTGGATGAGCAGCGATCGTCACCCAATCTCTAGAGGGCTGACAAGGCTTCCAGTTGTCTGGTACGATCTTCATAGCTGAACTTCACGTAGCATAAGGCCCGCCAAGATCCTCATTTTGAAAGCCAATGGCAACATAGACACAAGGAAATAGATCCTCCTCGGACTTCGGCCGGGACTGCTCGGATGTCGGTGGATTTCCTAAATACCCACTTATATGGGGATGGACAGTTGTCACAGCTCCTCAGCAGAGTAACAAGGCGTATCATATAGAGTTCGACCTAAATCCTTCAGTCCACTTCACAGTGTCAAACAAATGTTCGGAATACTCATTACCCCGCGAGGGACTCATCACACATTTAGACTTAATTTGCTGCTTGCCGTTGAGTCCAGTCTTAAGACACCTGCCAATGTAGCGCATGATGTATTAATAGTAGTATGAGCAGTCACAGATGAATCGACGATGACTTTGAAATGGCACATCAGTGAATGACCACGGCATTGAATCCACGCCGCCTAAAGAAATCTGAGTTATAAACAATAGTAGTAATTTTCGTTCGGAAGACAACTTTGACAGTCTGGCAGTGCCGTATGCTCCGCCATCTGTAGATCACTCGGCATTTGCGAGGCTTACGGAGGATGACCACAACTGCCGAATTCAATGCTAAGGTGCAGAAGCTGGGGGAGTACATACATGATCAGGCAGCAATGAAAGACGAGTCATTGGTGCAAAGTAAGCCTGGTTGATCCATGGCTTGCCTAAAACGTACTCCCAGACAATAATACGGTATAGATCGACAACGCGAGTAATATGTGCCTGGCACCGGACTCATCTGGATATGCGGGACGCAGAAGGGTTAGGAATCTACTGGTGAATATGAAGTCAAGACTCTATGGTCCCATTCTCGATTGCGAGGGAGCTTAGGATGCCGGTCTTGACGTGGGCGACCCAACGAACGCAAATCCGTCATCAAGCTTACTTAGGTAGCAACAAGAGCATATTCGTATAAGCTGGTTGGCTACCCAGGTAGATGCGGCTTCGGTTCGGACCCACAGGTCGAACTCTGTTTGTCGAGATCTCACTGAATCCTGCTACCACAGTTTCCTGAGGTCGAGCATCATCTGAGCATCATCGTCTAGTGTAAGCAGACTCACTACTAGTATATTAACCTGGAGTAGAGTTCAAAAGGGCCTCTTGCTGACACTTCACTGCATATTCTCTGACCTAAGCAGCGTATACTTAGTAGCTACTTCAAGTTAGGTACCATTTTGCTCCAATTCGAGCCAAGCCAAGATGATCTTTCTCTCAATTCGGCATGCGATCGACGGAAGAGTCGTGATCTCACATATAACCACCCCCCCCCCTCAAACAAACAGATTGATGATCATCCTCGGGCCGTTGCTAAATTTCCGAGACCAAGTCCGAGGCCTGGCCGAGAGTGCGAGGCATAAGCGTGCCCTAGGGTACGTAAATTAATTGTCTAGGTAGAAAGGAAATCTTATTTCTCCATTTCTCCCAGAACAAAAAAGCATCCCGAGGTACACTCATACTCCTACCACCTCTAAGCCTTCTTCTTACATGCCCAGAGACAATTGAGCTGTATGGGGATAGAGGACACAGACCGACAGCCGGCCTCTACCCTAGGCATCAAACTCTGGATCATTCCTACACTAGTGCTATAAAGCTGTAGCAGAATTCGTTCAAGGGCAAAAAGATTTCACTAATTCTTACTGCCATGAACAAGGAATGAACTTTACTCTTGAAATGAAGTGGGAAATTGTGTGATCGGACAAGGTATGAAGGGCTGAACAGCTAGAAGGGTTATTCCAACGATACTGAACCCCACTAGCGAAAAAGAAAACAAAGACCTTAGAACAAAATGGCAAAAGACCCGCCCACCGAAGCGGGGGTAGAAAACTGTCAGGGTGAATTTCCATGGCATGGCGGCCTCAGTCACCCCGTAGGATAGTCGAGACTCTTATAGATTGGGTGCACACACGAGGAAACTGGCAGACGGACGAACCGTGAGCTCGCCCACACCCGAAAACACGGGGCGTTCAGTACAGTTTTGCTGAGCGACTCAATAGGGAATTGAACTCGGGCCTAACCAATTGTCAGGTGTGGTACTTTGAAACCACCCTGCACTCCAACTAGGCCATCTTGTCTCCGCCCCAAGTCGAAATCGGATGAAATCTGTGGTTCATAAGGGGGGGGGGGGAGGCTGGTGGGTCGGGTGCCTAGTGAATCAAGATGAAAGCCGCCGAGCGTCCGATGCATTCAAAACAACTTCATGAGAGGAAAAGGTCTGTCGGCCAGGTGGTCCTCTGTCAGACAGCTGCGCTTTCAACGTGAGAGCAAGGAAGTTGATCGCAACTTCAGAGCAAAGGACTTTGAGGTTGAAGCAGCGCTGCATTTACGACTCACCAAAGTCGAATGACAGGCAACTTCCCTCCGATCCTCCATTCCCAACCTTTACAATTTAATAAAGGAGTCAGTCCAACTATTTCATAACTTTCATATTCCCCTAGGCAACTTTCCTGGGTTCTCTCGACGATGATGATTCCCATTTGTGTGCCCTCGTAGAATCCAGATGTCCAATTATCTGGACAGCGATGTCCGAACCAACCAGCCATTTTCAACCCCCGATTCCAGAATCCATCCAGTTTTTTTTTTGCGTTTTTTTCAGGAAACATGTTTTGTTTCTTGACAACACAGATTTTTGTGCCGGTATCCACACACATGTAACGGACCCTGGTGATTGTGCCGCCGCTTGCAGCGCCTGGCACGTGGCTCTGGTGAGTACTACCTAGGTAGTAGGGTGGACGGGGTGCTCGCAGGAGCACATGTGGCAGTCCCGACGTCCTAGATGAGAGCCCGGCATTGGTGAATAGCACGGTGCGCCTCGATATGAGGTGCTGTTGAAGCACCCAGCCGCTCGGCTTGAGCTCTGGACGCCTCCGATGCGTACCAGCACCTGGACCGGAGATGAGTCCGTGGGGGGGGGGGATGTTTCAACGTTAGTTCCCTGCGACGCCTTGATCTGAGGGCTAGCTTGAGTATTTTGAAGTGCTTCAGTAATCTGCGGATATTGGCTGATAAGTGTTTTTTTTTATTTTTTTTAGACGCTGGTCTTCGTTTACCACTGTATGAAGGCGCCGCATTTTATATGTACGGGGATTAAAAACGAAACCACAACTGTCGCAAGCTACTTTCAGTCAGATCATGTCCAAAACCAGCAGACCTTTCTCAACAAAAGTGGCATGCTAAACCTTTTGCCCACCTATGAGGCCGAGTCGTTGCCAGGCCCAACCCCGTGATCCTCAACACTCGACGCCCGGGCGCCCAAATCCGTATATTACGGCGCCCCTTGGATTACTCAAAGCTTGGAGCATCGCAAAACCACCCAACCATATCCTGCCAGTCTCCTTTTTCTCCCCAAAAAACTAACAAGTAAATGGCAATGTGGTTCATTCCCGCGCTATAAGATCAATCAAGAGACCTCGTTGGGCAACGGCGAATACAATTGTGTCTCTCCTTGGGCGTTCTCGGCGGCCCGCGCATACATTTTGATGTGCATCCTGGCGACCGCTTTTCAACAAGAACTCCAGCCTCAGAGTCTGCGTCATGGGCCTGGATGGGGCTGGCGGGTGTGCTTCCGTCGGATAAGTCCCATTCGCCGTCATCCACGCACTTCTGGAAACACTTAGTCATCTCTGCCTTGCTGCGAGAATTATCAATACAGTCGGATGCACAATCTCGCTTCTCAACAACGCCCTCGGGGTGTGCGTCCTGTGCCTCTTTGGTAGAGCTGGCCAGGTTTTCGTTACTTGCGACGTCTAGGGACTCGGCCTTCTCGCTACAGCCGCGCACACATGCGGCTCTGGCGGCTACCTCCTCGATGGTTCTCGCCGGCCCACGGAGACAGCTTAGGAGGCACTCGACCGTCGGAGGGGGGTTGGTGATATCGGAGCTTTCGCGACGGGCCTGGATGGAGCTGGCAGTTGGCCCATTGTGATGGCCTGGTTGGCCGTGGACGTGATTGTAGTGGGATATGACCTTGGTGCCGTAGGAGTCTATGATCCACTTCTTCATGTCTGGGCGACAGTCGCCATGTTGGCCCAGCTTGTCCTCGCACTTGGGGTCAAGCTTGTTATTCCACAGACAGTCTTTGTAATCGGCCACGCCGCACAGGCCGGCCTCCAAGGGCCACCTGTAGGTCTTCTCCTTGTACTCTTCGATGAGATCCTGACACTTCTGGATGTCGAGGTATGGAAGATTCGGGTGGGTGAGGCTTCTCCACCTGTCCTTGGGAGGGGCCTCGTCGGAACGGTATGTGCCAATGTAGTATGCGTTACCGAGTTCGACAAATTCTTTGACGAGATGTTCGCACTTTAGCACTTCTAGGGATGGTGGGTCTGGAAACTGGTTCCAATGAGGGCTGTCACCGGGGGTCGGCAGGGGTTCTTGTAGTGCCGCGGCGACAGCAGCACCCAGGAAGATGCTCTGAACAGTAAGATGCATCATGAATGTATGATGATCTTGTGGATAGAACAGTAATGATGTGTGTAGGGTTGATCAAAGGGAAGAAGCCAGTTCATATTGGTGGAGGGATCTGGCTGGGGGACCGCATGGATTTAAATGGAAAGGATTATTGTAAGAGTATACCCTAAGCCAGCTAGGTAACAATAGTCACGTCTTCTAACTGAATTAGAATTCCAATTACGATAAGCCTGTTTCCGAGTGAGAGCCTATGCGCCTTGTTCGTGTTGGTCTACTTGATCTCCTTTGCTTATTCGGTACCTTTACACAGCATCTTTCCCACTAGTCGATGGGACAGCGCCTCGCATCATGTCACTGGTACAATCCCGCTTGGACGTGTCTTTCCACCAAAGACCGAGGACCAACGTCATTATAAACAATAGACAAGTGCTCATGAACAGACTCGTCATGACTAGTATGGACTACCATGAGACCGTCTATACCTGGTTGAAACTAAAGTCCAATGTTTACTCGTATACAACTTTAAAGTCGAGCTAAGGGCCTGTGGTCAGGCATGAGTCTAGACCTAAGGCATTTGCTATTTCTACAGCTGTGAGGGCGTTTTATATATCCGTCGTTACCCGGGCTAGCCTCAGGCCACTTTGTAACAGTAGGTTTCGTTGGAAGCACCGTTGGAAGCTAATCTCAACTAGCCCCGTCTGTACGGTTGCCACGAGGCTACCTAGGTATCCATGGTCCTACTGGTTTCCCCTCCTTCGTCTCGCCTGCAAGTCTTTTCGGTGTACTAGTGACGTACGCAAACATTATCGACGGAATATTCTACCTTGCAGCAGCTTTCTCGACGGTTGCCTAGTATTCCTGTGTGGAATGGGCTGGAATGACCTACGAAAGAAGGAGGGGGATAGTCCAGTTCACGGTGGCGAGGCCACAAACTCCAGTGGCCCGAGAGAAGTAGGGGGCAAGGCAGCTTGAAGTGACAGGCTGGGCTCGCTCCGGGGAAGTAGTCAGGTAGTGATCGGTCGCCAAAGATGAGACGATGATTGATGTAACACCGGGTGAATAGAAGGCTGGTAGATACACTTGCACATATTTCTATCGACACCAGAATAAAAGGGTTGGGCAATTGTCAGAGGCCGCAGAACGTTTCAATGCGACAGATCCACCGTCGATTCCCACCGGTAGTAAGGCGCTCTTCTTCAACGAGGGCTTTCAAATGGCTACCAAAAGGAGCAAACTAATACAAATTTTGATATAGGTCAATATCAATGAAGTTCAAGCCCGTGATGCCTAGGTATATTACTTATTCCATGAAGTTTGAACAGTCTTCTTTAAAAGTTTTCAAGTCGTCCATTTTTGGATGGACAAAAACAAGGCGAGAAAAGATGTAGAAAGAATCACATCAGATCTATGGTTGTGTGACACCTGGTGTCTTGTGTCAGGGGTTTGTTCACAAGCGGTTCTTGCGATTTGAACGATCAAGTGCTGCTGCCAAGATACGGATTTAATTCAAGTTACCTACTTAGTAGGTAGGGAGTTATATGAAATCACGCCTACTCACAATCCCAACACGGAACTATGCACAACATGTCGCAAAGAACAAGACCAGTACATCACATGTTCTTGAAGTCAGTTAAGCCCAGCAATGATCACCGCATCATCATACTCCTTGTCGTAGTTAACCACTTCAATCAGTCTTAGTCCAGCTTCATTCAGCAAAGTTTTCCATTGAGCCTGTGTGCGTTCTATCCCACCTGCAAAGAATTAGCAAGCTAATACCTAGGACTCGTGACTAAGAGACATTCAAAAAAGTCTATGCTTCATAGTATGCCAACGGTAGACGAGTTCAAAAGCACAACTCAATAGTACCAGAAAGGGTGCATGGGTTTCAGTTCACGTACCTACACATATCATCACCTCCATATCCATCTGGACCCCTTGAGCCGTTGCTCCACTCTCGGAAAGGACTATTTCGTCGATCAGGATCACCGACTGGTCGGTCATGCCTGCTTTGGCGTTGACTAAGATCTCCTTGCATTTCGCGTCTCCCCACGCATGGAAGATCTTCCGCATGTAGTAAGCTCTGGCTCCTAAAGGGATATCAGATGTCAGCCGAGATGCCTCAGTCCTCCACATTAATTTTAGAACAGACTAGTCATACCTTTGACGGGCTGCGGCGTAAAGATATTATACACCTCTGCCTCAATCTTGGCAGAGCTGGGGAGCTGCGCTTTCGCCTGCTCCACGACCTCCGGTCGGTCTTGGATGAGAACACGCCCAGGAAGATCCGGATATCTGTGCCGGAGGGCGAGGGACTGGGGACCCGTTGAGCCGCCAACATCGACGAACAGAATGGTCGAGTCGGTAGTGTCCTGGCCGAAACGCTTCTCGAAATCTAGGGTATCAAGAAACACCGGCCTACCCTCCCAGTGGATTCTCATGTGTGCCTGGGCAAGCTTCAGTGCCCAGGGATTCTCGGCCAAATATTCGTAGGGTAGCTTGTCTGTGGGAACAGAGCTGGTCCACGCTGTGGGCATCATGCCAAGAGGATCTCTCCACTGGTGTGATTGGAGCCAGTCCGGAAGGTTTAGTCCTCCTTTCGCAGTGATTTTACCTCTGCTCGCGGCATTAGCATCGTGGAATGGAGACCAAGAGCTTAATATCCTTACGTCCAACGAAGGGTATTGGCGTGATCATCGTTGCTTAGAGCTCGACAGACATTGTTCGACTGGTACTTGTCGTCGTCGATTTGAGATATCATATCAGTGGCCTGATAATACCGCAGCAGTCTCTCTGAGCATGGTTAGTATTCTCCCAACTAAAATGAAGAAATGAGCACGTACGCAAGAGGGCCTTGTCTACGCCCGTCTTCTCGGCAATCTCTGTGCTGCTGGAAGGGCGAGATTCCGCCGTCAAACCTGCAAAGATACCGGATTCCACACCGACGAGAGCGAGAGGTAACTGGAGGTGCTGAGGGTGGCTGCCATGAGTTATGCACCTTTGAGAACAAGGTCAACACTACATACCGAGTACCCGATTCTGTTCAACGTGTCCTTGGGCCGTTCTAAGGACGTGGCGAGTTTGCGGCCACCTTCGACTAAGCGGCGGCGGGTTTGTTCATCTCCAATCTGTGCAGTGGCAGTTTCCGGATCCTTCAGAATGGATTCAATCTGCTCCGCCAGTGCTTCATATTGGGTGCTATTGAGAGGCATTTCGAGTTCAGTACGCTCACTTCCAAGTTCAACACGGTGGTGCAATTGTTGTTCGGCCTTGGAATCGAAGATAATATCGGCAGGTGGAATGCGATTCCCTCAACTAGAGCGACACGACATGATTTTGATTGGAGGAAGAGGTCAGGCTGTCATGTAGGAAACTTCGACTGGGTTCGGGTGATCCTGCATTGAAATGGGCGCTCTTCCTTCGCCGCCTGAACGACACAGTCCTCAGCTCGCGTAGTGCCCGACTCGGAGAGCTCGGAATGATCGGCAAAGCAGTGTGGCAATGCTTGAGGAGGGCCATTTTCGTTGTAACATATCAATATTGCCTGTTGGTGACTGGCTGCTAGAGCCGCGACAGTGACTTGTCACCTCTAGCGTCGCGGCACAGGACTCACGTTCGTGCCACAAGCATGAGGCAGGCGTACGCAGTCATCACATCGGAACGAGAAGCGAAAGTATCCTGCAGATTGCAGATATCGGTCCTTTTGTCGGCAACACAACTTTCCATACACCCCACTTCGCCGTGGTTAAGTATACAGTGTGGCAGTCCATACAATACGTCAGTTGGCATTGTAACTTTGCGCTGGGACTGGGGGATGCTGACGAGTCCTTTTGAACCCCGGGGTGGCACAAACCGCGTACTGATCAGCACCTTATCGACTCAGAGGGAAATTCATATCTAGTTGGAGGGACAAATTCTAAAAAATGTTATCAACATCAATGGATTGAAGATGCCCATGAAAGCACTTGAGATATACAGACAGCCGTGGAGAGAGCCCTTGGCAATCGAGTCGTGCGACTTGCTGTTTTCCCGTCTAGAACGGCACATACAGAGGAGGTTACGATTGCATACGTCGGTCGCCACTTCCCATTGAAAGATGACGAAGTAACTGAGATTACTCGCTTAGCTACGTAAGTATGTCTCTTCCGAACAATGACCAGTCCCCGAGTCTTTGCGCTACGCTAAGAGTCTTTGCCCATGATTCCTGTATCCACACTTGGGAAGATATCAAAGCCGAAGATGACATGCATGTTTGAGGACAAAAAGTTTGCACATGACATATGCTTACATGAACAAGCAATTCAACGCGCGGTTAAGTCCACAAAACTCTAACAGGACAGGATTAGGCCGGCGAACATGGCCGAGGTACCGTTGATGGACGACTTTGCAGCGACACTTGACACAACGCGCGAGGCCCTGGGTATGGACATCGGCACGACTCTGTTCGAAGCTGGTTTTACCTCTATGCATGTGTTGAAGCTCAAATTCCGCCTGGATAAGAGACTGTGCACCAGCATGCCCGTCATAGAGATCATGAAACACCCCACCCCGCGTGGGCTCACGGCCATGTTCGGCGGCAGAAAACAGTCCAGTACTCCTCCCTCTACGCTCAATGAAGGAAACCAACTAAATCCGGACGACCCCGTTGTAATCTTGCACGCTACAAGTTGCAAGACTCCCCTATAGCTCATCCACGCTGGCGTGGGCGAGATCCACCTCTTCATCAGTCTGGCGCAGCACATCGCCGCGAACGACCGGCCCGTCTACGCCATACGGCCGCCCGGGTTCAAGCCGGGCCATGTCCCCTCCGGTAACATCGCGGAGGACATGGACACGTACGTGACCACGACCCGGGCACGCCAGCCCCGCGGTCCCTACGCGTTTGCGGGGTACAGCTACGGCGCGATGCTGGCGTTCGAGACGGCCAAGCGCCTAGACGGTACAGCCGATGTTGGCAAAGGCCAGACGGTGCGCTTCCTCGGATCCTTCAACTTACCGCCGCATATCAAGACCCTCATGCGCTGGCTGTGCTGGAACAGTTGTCTAGTACACCTTGCGAATTTCGTGGGGCTCGCGACGGAGGACTTTCTAGAGAAGAAGGACGCCAGTGGTTTATACCGCCAGCTACCGAAAGCCGAAGCATTGGAATGCATAATGAACGCCGCGGACAAGGCCCGGTTGAGAGCATCGGCTTTGGTCCGGACTCGTTGGCGAAATGGGCTGATGTTTCTTTCGGTCTGCAGAGCATGGCGACGGAGTATGAACCGTCCGGTCAGGTGGATTGTATCGACGTCTTTCATTGTATTCCACTCAAGGCAGTTTCCCAGTCGCGCGAGGAGTGGTTGCGAGACCATCTCAGCACGGGAGCTGCCACGCTTTCATAGTGTAGGCGGCGCGCATTATACCATGATAGGGGCTGAGCATGTAGAGGAATTTGTCAAGATCCTGAGGGGGGCCTTGAAGGCGAGGGGACTATAGATCTAAGTCTTCGGCGGTATATAAAACAAGATTTACGTCTAAGTGTTTAGTCTGTGATAGAGCAGCCATGGCCTGACCAGTTAATCCACAGCAAAGTTACCAAGTAGGTTGTGGGTCGGGAACTACCATTGAGTCTGAGGATGGAATAAAGGACCTTTTCGAGCCCCAAAGCCTGTTTGTCAACGATTACAATCCATGATTTTGTGACGGGTCAGAGATGTTTCTCCGCGAGACGCACCGCGATGGTGGATGCACGAGCTGTTCTCGACAGAACACGGGCCGTCCCGGTGAAGAGGAGAGTAGTAACAATCGTCTTCCACGAGGACTAGGACGATTGTGAAAATCTGTTTAGTCACGGACCGTCGCAGAGTCGACTCATGAGTCGTAGTTAAGGAGAAATTTCAATCGCGGAACAGAGAACTCTGGCAGGTCAAGGAGATCGGGTGGCGGCAGCTGTGATCCAGCTGGAAAAGCGGTGAACATTAGAAGCCAGTCCTGGAGAGAGATAGCTCAAGTGTGGATAATCGTTGGTGAGAGAATAGAATACGTAAAGCTGCTGTGTACTACTGTGGCACAATTCCTGCCACTCCACTTCATGCCCAGGTATCTTCGGCTGCTATCTTACCGAGGTCGACTCTATCGAAGGATGGGAAGGATCTCGGCCGCTGTCCCGTCGGAGATGTTGCATCTACCAAAGACGTGCGGTGAAGGGTCCAACCTCGCGAGCTCTCTCGCACCTGCACGAGTTTGGGTTTTTGTGAATTCGCCGACCAGAATTGCAGCGTTTCCGGGCTCACCACCCTCCGCGTAGGATCCTGGCCCGGCTCGCATGCAGTCTGTACGACATCCAAAGCTTCTGGGATGGCCCTGGAACGGCCCAGACCTGTCTCGTTGCTTGTCTCCTGGGCGCTAAACTTAAACCCCAGTTGGCACTCCAGCACACCGTTACTCCCGATACCCGGTTTGGGCTAGCCGGTCCATTCCTCCCGAACTTCAACGTAGCACTGCTGAAGCCATCTGCACCCGTGTCTGGCTGGGGCTCCGCTGATAAACGAGGATAAGCAGGACCGGCATGAAGAGGCATGCCGGAGACCCCACCCAGAAGCCACGGGGAATTGATAAACATGGCACGAGACCCGGGCCACCATGGCTGCCGTGCGAGTGTCAGCCCTCCAGCTTTGCCTGCAGACGACGACACCGAGAGTTGCGAGAGGAGACCGTTGCTGCGGGAGGAGAATCGAGACGCAGAAGAAGACGACGAGCCCTCAGACACCGCATCGAGTCGACAACAAGGAGGACAGCGCAAGGCCAGCTATAGCACATTCTCTCCTTCGTCGTCGTACAAGAGGAACAGGCCATCAGCCTCACAGCCCAGCATGGCAGCGGACAGCCTCACCAAGCAGCCCACCGCCGAGGATGCGGACGACGGCATCACCAAGCCCGTCATCGGGCAGACGGAGACGACGGCCCACGCCATCCAGGCAGAGCACGAGCTCACCTTCACCCAGGCGTGCCAGCTGTACCCCAAGGCCATCTTCTGGAGCGCCTTCGTCTCCCTGGGCGTCATCATGCTGGCCTTTGACCCGCAGCTCCTCGGCAACCTGTACGCCACGCCGCAGTTCCAGCGGGACTTTGGGTACCCGTACGAGGGCGGCTACATCATCTCGGCCGCCTGGCAGACCGGCCTGTCCATGGGCAACCCGGTGGGCCAGGTGGTCGGCGCGCTGTTCGCCGCCTACCCGATGGACCTCTTCGGGCGCAAGTGGACCTTTGCCGCGTGCGTCGTCCTCACCGGCGCGCTGGTCTTCATCCAGTTCTTCGCCCGCAGCCTCGAGGTGCTGCTGGCCGGCGAGCTGCTCGGCGGCCTGGTCCTGGGCTGCTACGTCGTCATCGCGCCCGCGTACGCCAGCGAGGTGTGCCCCGTCGCCCTGCGCGGCCACCTCGCCAGCTACGTCAACCTGTGCTTCGTCATGGGCCAGCTCATCGCCAACGGCGTCACCGCGGGCACGCAGACCATGGACGACCACTGGGCCTACAGCCTGCCGTTTGCGCTGCAGTGGGTCTGGGTCGTCATCATCGTCCCGGGCCTGTTCTTCGTGCCCGAGAGCCCGTGGTGGCTGGTCCGCCAGGGCAGGAGGGAGGAGGCCGAGGTCTCGCTGCGGCGGCTGGCGAGTGAGAAGGTCGATGTGCTGGCCACGCTGGCCATGATCGAGGAGACGGACCGGCTTGAGATGGAAATCGAGTCCGGGAGTACGTATTGGGATTGCTTCCGCGGTGTCAACCTGCGCCGGACGGAGATTAGCTGTGGGGTCTACTGCACTCAGGTTCTGAGTGGGATCTATCTCATCAACTATGGAACTTACTTCTTCCAGCTTGCTGGGCTGCCCACGAGTATGGCGTTTGGGATGGGGATTGTATTCTTGGGTATGTCACCGTCTTCTTATTCCTCGTTCTCTGTCTCCATGACCCCTACTGACTCCATATCTTCAGCTGTTGGCTTTGTCGGCACGATCCTGTCCTGGTTCCTCATCATCCGCTTTGGTCGCCGGTCCATCTACCTGTGTGGTCTCGCCGCTCTCGTCTTCCTCATGCTCCTGATCGGTATCCTCGATTGTGTCCCCGGCCGCCCAAGCGGTGTTGCGTGGGCCGAGTCCTCGCTTATGATCGTCTGGAACTTTGCCTTTGATCTGTCTGTTGGCCCGATCTGCTTCATTATCATCTCCGAGGCTTCTGCCACGCGAGTGCGATCCAAGTCCATCGCTGTGGCCACTGCCGCGCAGGCTATTGTTGGCATCGTGATGACCGTCGGCATCCCATACATGATCAACCCGGATGAGGCCAACATGCAAGGGAAGTTGGGATTCTTCTTTGGGGGGTTGGCGGCGCTGTGCTTTTTCTGGGCGTACTTTCGTATCCCTGAGACCATGGGGCGGACGTTTGAGGAGCTGGATCTGTTGTTCGACCGGAAGGTGCCTGCTCGACAGTTCAAGGACTTCAAGATTGATTTAGCAGAGACTTGATCAGGGGGGGGGAAGCTGTAATGACTGTATATGATCTCGTGGAGCACAACCAATGGGATGTTAAAGGGCCATCATCTCGCAAGACGAGACCATGATTAATGACATAGAGCATTGCTTAATATTTCTAATGGATGGCATCTGAAATGCGATTCTGTTCATGTCTCTACCAGGCGACTGTTGTTGTAGATGCCCCCCCCCCCAAAGTTGCGTACACCCTTTGACGGCGACAGGGCATCGTCCCGCATCCCTTTGAGCCTTGACATATTACGCGCTGCCGAAGTGTTTTATTTGTCCTTAAACCATAGCGATCCTAAAATTTCGTCAGGCTTTTGGACCAGCGGTCTTTCTTCATCTCTGCTTGTAGCTCCAAAGTACCTGCGAAACAACCCTCTATAAAGGCTACTGGGAGAATAGACTTCTACGGGATGAATTCCTACAAAAGAGCACCTGGGCACCTGAGCCATCCATTCAATGGCCTCATCACTGGGAATTTCTCAGACCAGACCAACAGCGCTCTATAGTGAGTCAACTCAAGCTGTTTAAGCATTTGAAGCAGAAGGGAGCTCCTTCCGCGCGCCCTGCACTTCGTGGCTTCCGAGGTTGCTAAATGGTAGGTGGTTGCCTGGTAGCTGTTTCCATGCCAATGGCTTAACTGTAAAACTTTAGCCCAATACGATTTACCGTCCCTTCACCGGGAGACCTCGTCCTCCAACCTCAACACGCCGGACATAGTTCCTGACGTCCTGCCATCTCACACTCCTGCGCCTCTCTCCGTCAACTTCGCCACTGCACAACGCCATGACCGACATCACCAACTATGGCCTGAAGGCCATGGTTCAGTGGAGCAAGATCTGGGTAGAGCGCGGTATGGAAAAGCGCGGTATGGAAGGGCGGGAATTTGACGATGAGGACATGGATGAACTGCAAGAGTGGGTCAACGACGAGCTTGACCCGTCTCACCAACTTGACGCGCCGACCGTCGAGGCAATCTTCCTCAACCTTAACGAAAGCCCGCTCACCGACCGCCCAGCGACCAGCGTAGGTGAGAAGAAGCGCGATGATTCTCACTTCGATCGCGTGGTGGAAGAAGCTTTCAAGGTCAGCCATTCCTCCCCCCAGTTTATCTCTCATCATGTCTCGCCATTTGGGTCCCTCTTTTAGGTAAAAAGTACAACTCCCCTAAACAGATTTTGGTATAGGCGTTCCGAGACCAGGAGCGAGATATTGTTCTCAATGCGCCGAGGGGCTGTGTCGCAAGCAATCCAGTCGCAGGCTTTGAGGAGTTGCCTGCCCTCCATCGCAGCGACAATTGCCCCGAGGGCCAGTTTTGGGCGGGCGCAGCCCACCTGCGCCACCACATCGAAATTCTGCTTACTCTCAAAGGAGTCAAGCCGTGCGTGATGTTCTACAGGTTCGTAGGCGGAAATAAGCGGTTGTTCTCTTCCGTCGTCATCGACTGCCTCGTCCCCATCATGAACCGATTTGACCTTTGGTCCTACGGATTTCGCATTAGTTTCAAGAGTGGATGCTGGGTCTTCTATGATGCCCGATTCCAGAAGATGCCCCTAATCACTAAGGTCTTCCTGACCCACGAAACAGTCATGCAGGCGGATCCCGATACATACGATCCGCAATATTATCCTGGTGTCCCTGACAGCTTGTGTGCTGAGGTGCTTGGATACCCAGTCCCATTTGAAGATTTTCAAAAGGGATATTCTGTCATCTTTCGTGACACCACGGAGATGGAGGTCTTGGCCACTCGTGGCTGGCCCGAGGACGAACGCTGCTGTGTTCAAGCCATGCACTTCACTTGTCCGGAGGGGCCCAACAGGGAAGGAAACAGCTGGAATACGGTTAACGAATTCTTTCTTCGGTGTCGTGCAGCCGCCAGGACGGTGGGAACTGATCTGTGTCTGTGTGTTTGATTAACCTGAGATGACCGTCTGGCTGGAGCAAAACCCGGGAGTTCTTGATGAACTGGTCATGTCTTGGCGGAAGTACGCCCCTCTCCGATGAGTAGCTATTGTTTGCAAAGACCATGAGGACATTGAGTGGAGCGTACTGTGAGAACATGACCTTAGACGGATTGAATGCGCGGCAGGGAAGAATCGGCATCAGACTCCCAACGCCGGATGAGTAAGGTTAGGGGTCGGGCGACTACGTTTGAGTTTCAGTCTGATCCAGCATGAATAGGGACAACTTGGCATTCAGAGGCGGCTTGGGCCGTGGAGATTATTAGCCATTCTCAATTAATTTCGCAACACAGAGTGGCACCCTACATATACTAGTATAGCCTGCCTAGGTAGACAACAGCTTGGCAGGGCGCGGAAATTGAGGCGCAATCGGGCTATTAACCATACTACTGCCGTCCCAGAACCCCTCGCGTATATGTGCTGAACACAGAATATCCAGGGCCCGTCTATGGTGTCTTTCTTTGTCACTGTAGAAGTAGATAAACGATACGGAGTCGACGCCCCATATACAAAAAGCGTATGCGGCGCCCTCATACAGTGGTAAACGCTCAAGACCCAGCCTTTAAAAAGAAATTCGACGCCCGGGCCATCTACTCGTTTGAGGATAGTTCAAAGCTCAAGGTATGCGGTGTGCAATGTCTTCTTGTCTCCGACGTGAGTCTGCCTCTGCGAGTGGCTCCCAACGACGCGGTAGAGGATCTTGGCCACGCCGAGACTCTGCGCCGCTGGGCAAAACCGAGGTTTGGCGCAAAGAGGTACGCAACTGGACAAAGCGTCTCAGATGCGATGGCCGCGACTCTGGTCATGGGGCAAACGGGAGACAAGTTTGAGATTGGCGCGGGATCATACTCGCCACTACAAGAATGGTCGACACAACTCGACGAGTTCCTGTTCGCGGAATCTCCCACACGTCTCAGTGATATTGGACGCAACACGTTATTCAGTCGAATTTTCCAAGGAAGGCAATTTCTGTTTTCAACGAAAGAGGGGTTTATTGGGCTTGCCCAGAGCCAGCTACAACCAGGTAGGCGTTTCTATATTATTCACAACTGTTTTTCGAGAGACTTTCATTTACTCAAACATCAGGCGACAAATTATGTGCCATTCTGGGCTGCATGGGTATGGTCATTCTCCGTCCAAATGCCAACAGTGTACACACCGGATTTGAGGTGGTTGGGGAATGCTATGTGCATGGTTTCATGGAAATGGAGGCTCTGCTGGGACCATTGAAGGGTCCATGGTCTATCATAAACAAAGTCAGACAAGGAGCTACATGGTAACCCTGGTTCTTCAACTCTGTCAGTGGGCAAATGTGTGAGGACGATCCGCGACTTGGTCCACTCCCCGCAGAGTGGGAGAGACTTCCGTGGAAAAGAACGCCCGAGGACCCACCCTACTTTGTCCGATTCAAGAATAAGGTCACCGGCGACGTTATGAACTCAGACCCACGCCTACTGCCTACTGCTTTACGAGCACGAGGAATCAAACTGGAAATGCTCGAACTGGAGTAAGCAGAGGAACTGGTGGAAATCAAAATGAAGATGGCTATTCCCATTCTCCTTAGCGGCTTTACTGGGCATTTCTGTATAGGTGATCTGATTGATTAATGTCATCGAAGCAGCACAGTCTCGAATAAGGTATCCGCTGCGGAAATTCATCTTTTGGTATGATGTACTAGTCAGGCATATACAGTTTTCATCTTAATTCGCAGACATGTTTCGATGGAGTACCAAGGTAAGTCCCTGTTTTATATGTGCCCACTTACACACAACCACAATAAAGAAGACTGCCGCAACGGATGCTGATGCTGTGCGGAACAGCTTCCCGGCAAGACTCGTGAACTCATCCGAAGTCGAGACCTGAATCCCAAATGACCGAGTAACCCAGTCAACATTGGTATCCTCAAGGCCATTACTACAAAGGATGAATATCCTACTGCCATGTACAGTTGTAGCAACCGTAAAAGATCAGTCTAGGTTGCAACTGCCTACTGGTAACTAGGGCACCTACAGGAGGTCCACACGTGTAACTGTGCCACAGCTGCCGACTGCGAACGCAGTACACGGGAGATATGCTGTACTCCGATCGACTCTGGCCGAGATTTGTGCTCCCACCACCAGCGCGGGCCGATCGTTGCATCCGCCGCCCCAGTTCGGCCAGTTGTACCACAAGCTCACCTAAGTCTACCTCGCCTCTCGGGTGGAGGCACAAGCTAGTGCCCCTTGCAGAGTCCGAATTGTGGCGGGTGCCCGTCAACTGGTGTCCGGGAAAGGGCTGACGACGAAGACCGGCTCTCCGACATCGTGGACGTCTCCCAGCTCGTGGTTTGCCACCGAGTAGTCTAACTATTCATATCCAACAGCTCAGGCCATACCAGAAGATTGGTAGGTCTTGAAGTATGAAATTCGAAGGGGCAAGGGAGAACAGCTAGCCCAAACATACTTTTGCTCATAAATGGCTTGGTGTATGACACTCGAGGAGGTTTTGCAATGGGGATGTCCGCGTCGTATCACTAACATTGCATCATTGCAAATATCCCCCGTGTCAGAGTACTGAAATCAATTTCCTGTTGAATGTACCCGCTATCACAATTCTACTGACACCAAATTCGTAGAAGTAGGGCAGATATATCAACCACCCACGAGTAGCTTAGGCAAATCAGGATAGCAGTAACAGTGAGATCACGCTCACTGCCAGAGCAACAAACGACGCTCGAGAGACATCGAATCTGCCAGCCATGTTCTCCTCAGATCCACCTTCGCCACTGCCGTCTCCTCCACTGCCATTCCCACTACCTCCATCACTGCCACCACCGCCAGTTGAGTTCCCAGTATCACCTCCCTCCGAGATGACAGCGAACTCGGCGACCGTCGCCCCGACGCCGTCGTCTCCGGTGGCCTGGTTTCCCCAGATAGTCAAAGTCACGTATCGGCCGCTATACACCCCACCGTCTACCGTCACATTGGTCGTGTTGCTCGCGTACGGCGTGATCAGAGAGACGCTCTCGGCATCGTAGACATTACTAATCTCCACGCTGTCGCTCTCCGTGGCATTCGAGGCACCGTTCGCTGTGTCCGACGCGCCATCGCTGCTGCTCGTGTTGGAGAACGACACGGCGTAGCCCCGCGGTGGCGCCTGTGCCCAGTCGAACCTGAACCCCGCGACGCGCTGGCCGGCGGCGTCCTCGCCGAGGTCGATCGTCACGCTGCTCGACACGTTGGCGGCGATGGGCTGCCACTTGGTCGAGACTGCGCCGTCGTTGGCGGCGAAGGGGAACTGGCCTGGCTCGAAGTCCTCCGGGCTCGTTGCTGGGAGGCACTGGGCTAGGTTGCCGGCCCAGGTCTTGATGGTGCCGATGGCCCGGTTTTGGATGGTCACGGAGTCACCCGAGGCTGGGAGCTCATGGACAACTTCTGTGGTGTTGCTGCCGATCGTGATTGGGATGGACGAGTTGGCGTAGGCTTGGTTGGCGTTCGGGAGACTATTACCTGGGATCCTGCTGAGAGTGGTGTGTGTTGCGTTGGAGGTCGCATTGATAGCGTGGCCTTGCCAGAAGAACGTCCTGTAATTGAGGTTGGATATTTGCGGTGGGAGTGATGGGTCGATGTTGAGGGATTCCATCTGCAACCGCAGGCCTAGGTAGCCAAAAATGGCCACTCGGTTCGCGCCTCCAGATCCGGTCAAGAAAGGATATGCGGGGTGGGTGCCCCCGTTGGCGGTGTAGTCATCCAGCAGCTGCTCCGAGTACTGAAACCAAGGTGCTCGGATATAGGGGTGTGAAGCGTACACGTCGTAGGTATATGCGGAACAGCCAGAAGGAGAGAATGCGTTGGCGACGATGCTGAACACGCCGTATGTCATTCCTGGCCCATTTGGAGACTGCTTCCCGGCGTAGTAGTCCAGATCAGATAGGGAGTATGGGTTGGGGTATGCGAGGAAGTCGTCGATAAGAACGACATCAGCTTGCTTGACCGAGATAGAGCCGTTCATGGTGGCATACTCCAAGATCAAGTTAGCCTCTTCCAGAACAGGCACTTCGATCTTGGAGCTTTGGTTGGCGGCTGCGTCATTCAGCCCCAGTTGGAAGTTCGAGCGGAAGTTGTTCGTCCGGTTGAGGTGGGTCTCAATCAAGGCCATAGTGAAGCCAGGGTTGTCTACATGATTTGCGTATTCATCCTGCACATGTCGATTAGCAAACAGGTGATAAGTCCTTGGGCAACTTCGGTGGAGACTTACGGGATCGGTGGCATTCGTTAGCTCCCATCTCCCCGTCGTCGCATTCAAGGCAAGCAAGTCGGAATAGAAGGTCGCGATAGCGTCGTATATAGGGAACATTTCCTCTCTGAACGTGGTCTCATCGCCGGTAACTGCGTAGTAGTTGTACAGATCGAGTCCGATGTCTCCATTTATATGGTACTCGTAGTCAAAACATGGTCCAGTACCTGCAATGAGCGATTAGTATCGGCGTCCGTCTGCCGACTCTGCCGTAAACGGTGCCCTGGGGCAAGCTCACCTGTGCAGTTACCGAAACGGCCACTGGTCCAAGGGTAGACCGCGCCTCCAGATGAGAATTCAGTGGCGTTCTGTGAAGAGATGAAAGACATTTCAACGTTCTTCTGTGCTTGTGGGAACAGTCTTGTTCTGTAGTTGTCTATGGCTTTGGCAGCTTCCGGGAAGGTGACAACTAGGCCCGATGACATCCAGATATCAGCATCCCAGAAGACAAGCCCGGCGTAGCTATCAGACCCGAGGCCGCCAACGCTGATGCTGTTGACATTCAGCATGGAGTTGTTTCCAGCTGCCGCGATGGCATTTGGGCCGACGGTGTTCTGCAAAAGCTGGAAGGGGTTGGTCACAGATGTGATTTGCTGCTCCACGATGTAAGGGTCGTCAGGGAGTTTTCCGGTGTCTGGGATGGAGAAGTCATCAACAGAATCCGCTGTCAGAATGCTACCCCATTCTGCCTTGTGCGACTCGAGAAGGGTGCTGAACCCGGCTTCTGCAGCAGAGGCCGATGCGTCTCGGGCGACAGACTGCGGGTCGGCAAAGGCATCTGTCGAGGCTCCTCCAACATACTTGGTGATGGTGATACTGCTCCCGCCGCCGATGCTGACTTCGGCGGACTGCGCGATGCTTGACTGGTTTCGGCCAATTTCGGGGCTATCGGTGATCGGTTTTGTTGTTGAGAAGCCTTCTCCTGAGAGTGTCGAGTAGATGTACGCTGTCACATTGCTGATGCCATTGGGTCGGACGGCCGTCCAGATGGTGTTGTTTCCTGAACCCTTGTCCTCAAAGTCCGTCCGCACAGCAGAGTCGCCATCGATGACATCTGTCACGGTGACATTCAGGTCAGATTCTGTCGAGACAGTCAACTGCACCGCGGCCTGGTTGACATTGAGCTTGTGGACAAACATGGTGTAGCTGATTCCCAGTGATGTGCCATCTTCAGGCGTCCATGTGTAGTTCCACGTCATGACACCAGCCTTGAAGTTCACGGCCGAGGTGAAGTCTGAGATCTGCGATGCATCCACAGAAGCGTTGAGGGTTTGCCCACCAGCACTGACAGTCAAGCCAGCCCAGTGGGGAACACCGCTGATGACGCTCTCACCGCCGTACTCTTGCAGCCACTCAAAGTTGGTGCCATTTGTGGTGGGCTGCAGGTCCCAGAAGCCACTGATTGTCGCAAACGTCTGTCTCTGGCCAAACAGTGGCCAACCGTTGATGTTGTCTCCATTCACAGGTGTGTCGGTCTCGAAGAAGGGCCCGACGGCCGCGAGGTTGATCCCTAGGTAGCCATTGGCGAGGGACATGCGTGACTGGTAATGCCCTTGGTCGAGTGTGGTCGTCTTCAGGACCCAATTGTCGTTGTCCCAGGTCACTCCGTCGAAACGAGTGTCGTATGTCTCGGCTACTACGGCTGCTGTTGCCAGAGTGAACAGGAGGAGCGCCCTCTTGACGAGGAGGGGCACAACCGCCATGATTCGGGCTTGTGTGTATGTTTCGTACAGGTCTGTGAGAGTTGAGAGTCAAAAGGTTGGGACTCCTTGGAAAGGCAAAGAGAGAAAATCAGGCAGATGCAGGTTGTTTTGGCCCACAGAAGTCACACCGGAGTAAGACATGAGGGGTAGGACAGAAAACAATAACGAGGCAGGCAGTCGCGCAAACGCTGTCGAGTGAATGCGATGGAATAGCACAAGCTCGAATTAGCCAGTCAAAGCAGCAGCAGCAGCAGTACCTCAGCTGCAGAAACGGCCGGAATCGTTTGGTGGCTTCGTTTGCAGGTCTTGGCTCTCGAGTAGCTTCACCTCCAAACCGTGCAATAGGCAAAGCTCAAAGTAACTTCAACGAGGTGATCGTCATCCCCACACCCGCCTGACCTGCAGCGGGAACGGCAGGGGGCCCCGGATTACTCCAACGTCATAATGGACAGAGCAGTGTGGCAGTCTGTCCCTTGCCCATCGCCCATGTGGGTCGGGCCATCCGGATGAACCGGTTTGCCGGGGAGAGTGACGACAAAGGCTTGAAAACGACAAACAAAGAGGGGGGATTAAACCGAAAGAGGATCGTGGCCGACACGTTTTGCAGGGGTGAGATGTGGGGTAGCAGTCTACAGTGAATGTGCTGCAGGGCAACTCAGCTCCGATTCAGCTCAGCTGCGGATCGAAGTGCCAAGATTAAATGGAAGCCGATGAGGTGGTTGAAGAATTGAATATCTACGGAGAACAACAGCCTCCCATGCAGAGTCAAAGCTACTGAGGGCCGAGTGCTGCCAAACGCTGGCTCCAGTCCACAGCTGTTGTCTTGGACACTTTTTGTCGCCTCTGTCGAGTCACTGCCCTCTTCGACTGCGCGTCACCGCCCTTGATCGATGAACCGACCTTGGGTAGAGGTAAGATCCCCTCCTTGACGAGGTCCTGTGCCAACCTGACTAAGAGGCCATCGCATCCTTTTGCAACCATCACGTCAACGGAGACAGGAAACAACTCCTGGTGTTGCGTGATACCACTGAACTCGCTGACCTCGCCCAAGGTAAAAATACTGTCGGGTGCCCCGCTGAAAGGGCTCAGCCTACTGGTACCGAGCCCCAATGGCAACGAAGACCCTGTCAGATACTGGTCTCGAGTGCCTCGAGATGCCCAAGTGCGGGGGTAGATGAGGATACCAGAAGAGCAGTGGGCGGAGTCATTCGAGGCTGGAAGGATCTTGGAGTTGAACCACTCCTGAAAGACTGACTTGCTCTCGATGGCCTTGCTGAGGGCGTCGGCGCCCTGTTCCTCTGCCCAATCCCAGCGGGACAAGGGGACTGGGTTCACGAATGGGAAGCGGTTGTCATGCGCAGCTATGCGACACCATCAGTCAGAAACCCACAGCAGAACATTTTCGGGTCAACATACCGGCATAGTCTGCGTAGAACGGGTCTCGCACAAGCTCTACTTGCTCTTGTCCGATCAGAATTGGGTACGTGGTGTTCATGTACTCCATCACACCCTGGCCTTGTGCCTCTGCGGGAACAGACTCATTCCACGCCGCCTCGAGGTCAAGTGCTGTGACAGTGCCTCCGACGAAACGAGCCAGCCTCTCGGCAAAGTCCACCAGAATTGCGTCACCGTCACTCGAGTTGGCATCGAAGAACTCCATCGTATAAATCTTGCTTGGGTACTTGACGGCCTCATTGCCGACTAAAGAAGTATAGTTTTCCCCGTACAGCACTTTTTGAGCTTCATCCCATAGATACGGGTCCCTTGTCACGAACCCCGCTGTGTCGAGCCGTGTCGATAAGGACATTACATGGTCCAAGGGCACCAGCCCATGAGAGGGCCGATTGCCAAAGACACCTGACACACCAGCAGGATCCCGAATGCTGCCGCCCGTGTCCGTACCCAGAGCCAGGTCCAACCAATCGTAGCTGGCTATGCTCGACCCAGCACCGGCGGACGAGGACGAAGAATCCTGGTATCCGTCGCCACGTGGGTTGAATGGCGAGTGGTAGTCGACCCAGTCCGCTGTCGCCCTCTCCCCGTTTGCGAACTGGCTGGCTTTCTGTAGCCCGACGATTTGCGCGCCGGCGTCGATGAGGCGTTGGACTGCTGTCCCGGTGCTGTTGCTTGCTGGGTAGAGATCATACCATGCTCGGTTTCCGAGTGAAGACTTCACGCCGGCGAGCTTGTAGATGTCTTTGACGCCGACACGTACTCCGGCCAGTGGCTTTTCGGCCGTTTTGGTGTAGTACAGTCGTGAAGGGACGCCAATTGTGATGGTAGCTGATGAGGCGACGCGGGCCGACAGAGCCTGGAATGTTCCATCTGGTGCTTGTATGAGCGATTCCGTAAAGGCTCCTGAGAAGTCATCGTAAAGGCGGTAGGCTTGATGAAGGGCGCCTGTAGCTATCTCCAAGAAGTATGGCCCGGAAGGAACATTTTGAGAGTCAAGCGGGAGTATTTGAGATCCGGCAATGCCATTTGTCGCCTCAGCTTTACCGCCGAGAAAGACTGATGGAGAGAAGCCATCCTGGAAAACATCGTCCGTCGAGGTCCAATTTGCAAAAAGTTCAGGAAGTGATGCCTCATCGACAGCGTCTTGGACCACGGTGACTGGCGCATATCCATATATGCTGTTTACGCCGGAAAGAGCCGTCGATTGCACCGAGATGGTTTGAGTAGTGAATGGAGATATAAAGTAGTGGATATCATTGAGCACCACAGAAACGCCCGTGCCAGTCAGCTGCGCTGCCGCGACTGTCAGGCAAGACAGAAGAGGGAAGAGTAGTATAGGCATTGGATGCTATTTGATAATTGCCCTGTCAGTAACTAGGCATCTTTGTCTTCCCAGAGTAGTGTCCACAGGTGAAAATGGTGGATGTTGGCTTGCCAATGCTCGCCGTTTTCGCACTCGGTACCTGGGCTTCGTCGAAACTAGTCCAAGAAACAGAACAGGAGGGCGTCTTGTAGTGGCTCACCGAGAGTTGTTGTTTGTCGGTTACAACCCCATAATATCCAGAAACTTGAACTTCTTGCTTTCTAGTTACAAGCCGATGTGCTGCCAGTTAAAAAGGAGTGGCAACCGCTTTTGAGCGCAGCCTTGATGTTGTACGGCTCCTCAAGAGTAGATAAGGTATGGGCAGAAATCCTGGGATGAACATGTTCTTAGTCTTGGCTGTGTTTAAAGGCCGCTAAATTTTGTACACGGGTCAGTCGATCGAGGGTTATCTCGGGCTGTTCGTAATTACCGCATGAAATCGCGAAGCTATTCGGTTAGTATGCTGGCATTCCGGGGCTCGCCAAGGTAATCTAGCCCAAAATCACGAATCGCAAAGTCTATTTAAATCGCTGCCATGCCGCATAAGGAAATCGTATTTTGTTTTCTAAGGGGCATGCCAGTGATGTCTGAAGCCCGTTGGTCTAGAATGCGCATTGGAAATTTGTCTTCTGATCAAAGTTCCGTAGCCTCCTTAGTATGGCCATGTTGTTTAAAAGTCGCAACTAGAACCATTGTGGGCCGCGCGTGTGCTGACTCGGAATGCCTAGAATCTGAAAAGCCGGACATTGGATTGAAGATCATGCCTGAACCTTTCACGGGCATGTGTGTTTCTGTGATAATTTTCAAGGGGTTATTTCATTATTTGTAACCTTTAGTTCATAATCACATTGGGATTTTGAATGCAGCTTGAATAAATAGCATGAATAGTTGACAATGCTAAAACGGTGTATTGTGACAAATGGCAGTACTGTGTGCATCCTAAAATTAGATTGGAGCGCACAATATATATTGAGTGGCCCATGGTTCATGTATCCTCCCGGCAGCAGCACGTTCATTATTAACTAGAAGCCTGCAGAGTGCCCAGATTTTGCCATGGTGAGATCCAGCTTAGACTTCCAATCCTCAATATTACTAAAGATATCAAAGAAATCCTCTTCAGTAATCTCTGGATTGTAATCAATAAAAGACGTGGGTAAGGGGACGGTCGTCGTGCACCACCAGGCAACCCGTGGGGGAGACCGGAATGCATCTTGTCCGGCTTGGTGCATGTCTGCCATCCTCAGTCGCATCATAAAATGGAGGAGATTATAGTGTTTAGGTATAAGGAATAGCCTAGCATAAAGAAAGTATCAACTAGGTTAGAAGCTACCTAGGTATTAGAGGATATGTTTTGTTAATAACTTTATATTCCTAATATGTACAGTAAACTAGTAGTGTAAATCAAAGGCATTGTACTAGGGATATGTTACCCTCCGTTTTCTCGCCCTGCAAATCTCCGTCCTCATACTCAATACACCTGCCCCGCGTTCCGAGACAATGTCCGATCGTGACGGTGCCCTGATTAGATAATATGGAAGTTTTGTTAGTTACCAGTTGTCGAGTCTCCTATCATCCGGTCTTTTCCATTACAAGCTGGATGGACTCCTCATCCACCTTCGAAGGTGTCTCAATTCTACAACTCCCTGTATTGCACTGGCATCCCACGCAATGGTTCCAGTTCCGGTCCTGCGAGCTCACACACGTCGAAGCCATCCAGTTCAGAAGAGACCAGAAGGCAGACAACAACACGATATTCCCGATGATGACTGAAACCACCAACGAGAATATTTCCTTCTTCTGCGGAACCGAGCACACGTACTGCAGTGATAATTGCGCCGCCGTGGAGCTCAGAGGTGCCATCTCACCCTTGAAGGTTTCCAAAGCTTTCGTGGGGTCAACCCCAAGTATGGTATCGTTCCTTTGAGATAGCAAGTACGTGATAAAATCGCCATCTGTCAGCAGGCTGGGGTTGCCGAGATCGAGTAGCACGAACGAGTAGAAGGCCTTTGCGAACCCGTCGAGCGCGGAGGCAAGGCCTGTGTTGTTCATCTGAGACAGTGGGATCGGCTCCCAGCTGTGCTCGTTGACTACCATGTGAATATTTGCGTCTGCGGCAAAGAACTTTCCAATTCCAAAGAAAAAGTCACGAGAGCTGAATTCCGGAGCACTGCTGCTATTGCGAAAAAAGCCTGCAGTATCACAACTGGTCAGTCATTGATGTCCGCATTCAAAGAACGCAGGATCTCATGCTTACTGAAGTCCCCGCAGTCATAACCCATGGCTGGGTGATCATTGGTTTCTTTTATGAATTCAGAGCCCATATGTATAGACAGTGAGCCCCAGGTTCGAGTTCTAACGATACTTTAGCATGAGAGCTGCTGGACTGTGACTTATAGAGTATCCTTACAATGACTGAAAACCCCACCACTGGCTAGAGTCAGTGCGGTTGTCAAGCCTTAGGAAGTCTTTGGTAACGCCGGGAGTCCAACGGTACTGAACCTGGAATGAGGCTGTCACAGGCGAGACAGGATGAGGGGGAGGACCAGGGATGAGGCAAGACACCTTTGCCTAGAGAGTCTGTCAGCCACAATAACCCCGGCCACGATCATCAACCGCGTGTGTTGCTTACCTCTGTATACGTGTTGCTCCACGACCAATGGTAAGGAGATTTTACTGATGTATCCCTCCGGAGGGGAAAGATGTATACCTTGTCTACCGTGCAATTCTGCAGGGTGTTATTCAGGTAAGGCGTCCCTTGCAACTTTATAATATTCTCGTTCTCGTCCGGTTGGGACAGGGAAATTAAGGTGTACGAAAAGGCCATGTTTGTGGTCATGTAGGTGGAGCCCAGCATCAACGATTGAGATTGACACGTTGTTTCGAGATTGCTCAGCCATGAGACTGGAGGCTTTTGGAACCAGGCAGTCCCATCCGTACCGTTAGGGTTTGTGGTATAGAAGGGCCTGCTGTCCGTCAGCAACCGACACTCGATCTCTCTTCTGACAGACTTACTTAAGGTCATAACCATTCGTTCCAATGTTCAGTAACGTGAACAAAACACTTGCACATATGAACCCGATAACTGCGACCCAAGTGAACCAGCGGAAAGGATACGGACGGGTGAGACGGTACTCGAAGAACGACTCGTGGCGTGGAGGCATAGTGGGCTCGCACTTCGTAAATTGCTTCGTGTATGAAGATAGGGCGGAAAAGATACTTTGAAATTGAAGCAGTTCCAAGAAATGAGTGGTCTTTCGACGAAATATCTATATCATGTCTTCAAAGCACGCACAGCAGACACAAGTGTAAAATCAGCCTTGGATGGGTTGGCCGCATCCATGGTTGCCCTGGATGGTGGCTGAGAATCTTGAGGCTGCACTCAAGTTTGTCTGCACACGTACTGCGCAGACACAAGATATGTCGTGGCCAATAAACGCGGCGTGGTTGCAGCAGGGCCAAGGCCCCAAGGTTGGCAGCTGCAGAATACGTAGAGTTGATGATTGGCGCGCTGCTTGGTCCGAGACTAATTACCCCAGTCGTAGCATGCGGCTAGCTCCTACATCACAACCTCTGGACCTGAAGGCAGACCGCACGAAGTGAAGTGTGGCCGACGAATGGCCGCCGCGACAACTCTCCGAAAACAAGCCCTCGGGCGTATTCGCTTCCATGCCTGCTGAAACTGCCCGCCGCGGCAGGGGGAAGCACGCTGCCCTTCGTGGAATCGTGCTGAACCATATTCCCCGGGCAGAATGCCATCACTCCGATGGACTGACTACCTGAAGCCGAAGCAGCTGCCGAGGACACATGAGCCTACAGGCAGCCGTGCTATGCCTCGCGTGGACTACCCAGTGCGGAGACTACACCAACACAAGGCTGGACTGGGACATGACATACCCGACGACAAAGTGGGGGTCCAGAAACGGTGCACATCAAAATATGGAGTAACACTGATCATTGAGGGCTGGGCCCTTGTGGCTGACTGCCATGCAATAAAACGACCCGCGCGGCAGTGTTCCCTGGATAGATGGTATCGACAGGAAAACGCGCAACGTGCCGCTGACTATCCAGTAATATACGCCCGAGGCCCTGAAAACGCCATCAAAACCAATCGCCATGTCCGCATCGATGCCGGGGGAGCTGTGATGCCTGCTCCTCCTCCTCTTGCCAGGTCACCCATTTGCGCGTGTCCTCGTCGCGGATCACACTGGGTGCTTGCTCGCTGGCCTCCTTCATGGCCGCCTCTATGCTTGTGTGACCTGATAGTGATGTATCCTATGTGTGTAATAGGATTCAGCAGGGACCGTCTTCCTTCCTGCCGAACGTCTCTAGCGGCGCCGCGCAGATGTCCAGCGGGTGGGTCTGACCTTCTAATATGCATGCGAGACCCTCCCCTCATATCGATGCCCACCGGGCTTCTGACGAGCCTGGGCTGGGGCCCAAGTCGTCATGCCCGTGGGCCATCCTCTATTAGTCGTTCCGTCTCTCGCTCTTCAATGTTCCACTCCTCGTGTCTCGCCCTCACGATAATATCCTCGAAATAAGTTGCCGCGTGGCCGCCATTTGCTCCGCCTGCGCCTTGCCATTTATCCTGTCCTTCATGTTCCCGGCCTTCTCCGTCGGGATGTAAAAGTCGTACCGGTCCGGGAAGAGAATGATGTTGGCCAGCCGGACGACCTCCGCCTCGCCCTCCGTGCTGCGCTTCTTCTCGGCGGCGCTCGCGGTGGTGCTGGCGCTGCTGCTGCTGCTGTCGAGGTCCATCTTGTCGTCTCCCCCCTTTGCGGCGCCCGGGGCGGCCTCCTCCGGCTCGGGCGTGACGGCCCTCGTCCCCGGCCGCGTCATCACCTTGGACCCGTCGCTGGACAGCTCCCACGGCGCGAGGCCCATGGCCCGCAGCCCGCGGTCGCCGCCGACGGCGGCGATCTCGTCCTTGCCCGGGCGGCCCTCGTGCGGCGCCTCGCTGCCGACCGACCAGCCGCCCGCGGTGTCGAAGTCGGGCCCCGGCTGGCCCAGCATGAAGGCCTTGCGCTGCCGCGCGAGGAAGAGGGCGTTGGTCTGCGTGAGCGGGCAGGCGGGCGTGTACATGAGCATCGACGGCGCCGGCGTCTCCGGGCCGGGGGTCCCCGGCTTCGAGGCGGCGGTCGTCATGATGCTGTAGGCCTCGTCGCAGTGCCAGATCACGTAGTCGCCCGCCTGCAGGGTGGGGATCTCGACCAGGGACCTGCGCAGGCGGAGGTGCGGGTGCCAGAGCTCCGTGATGCGCTGCGCGTGGCCCGGCACGGCGCCGTGGATGATGGTGGACTGCTCGCCGTCCAGCGTCCAGTTGTCGGCGTCCAGGAAGGCGTCCCACTCGGCAATGACGTCGGGCGAGGAGCCCTCCTCGTCGTAGCCGCTCGTCGGGGGCTTCGTCTTGGAGCTGAAGAAGGGCCTCAGCAGCAGGTAGGCCATGACGAGCTTGGGCGAGGGCAGGACGCGGATGCTGGCGGGCTCGCCCGAGGTGAGGGCGAGGATGCCCTGGAACATGCGGAAGATGGAGCACACGCCAGCGCCGTTGTACAGGTCCTGTGTGACGTTGATGCGGCCGGACGGGTCCCAGGGGTCCAGGGACTCCCAGTCGCCCTTGAACACGGCGTCGTAGGCGCCGCCCCGGCCGTAGCCATCCGGCTCCCAGCGCTCGAGGCTGCCGTTGTCGACCTGCGCGATCAGGGTGGAGGAGGCGCTGGCGGTCAGGCTGTCGGCGGCCGAGTTCCCGTTGACCTGGGGGATGGCGGCGTTGGAGCCCAGGATGGTGCCGTCGTGGATGCGGAGGCGGTCGGCGTAGGAGATGGGGAAGCGGGTGGCTATGCGCGAGACGTCGGCGTCGACGCCCTTTGTCTCCCAGAAGGTCATGGACCACTGCTGCACGCGCAGCACCGAAGGGTGGGCGCGGATGGCGCACTGGGCCGGGGTCCAGAACAGGTCGAAGCAGGTGGGATCCTGCGGGATGGTGGGCTTGATGTGCTCCTTGTTGCGGGTGATGTAGTCCCTGGTCTGCTGGATCCACGACTCGGTCTGGGTCTGGCTGACGACGCCGCGGATGACGGCGACGCCATAGCGCTTCAGGTCGCGCTCGAACGAGGTGACCCTGGCGGCGTCGTCGATGTCGGCAAAGTCTATCGTGGGGATCAGGTCGGTGCCGCGCGACTGGATGTGGGCAATCTCGTCGCGCAGGGCGGCCAGGAGCCGGCGCCAGGAGGCCTCGATGGCCTCCTCGCGCCCCTGGATCAGCCTGCGCTTGATGTTGGCGAAGCGGGTGGGCAGGGGGATGGGCTCTGCGCCGTAGAAGGACTGCACGGGCGGCTCCATGGTGGCAACCCTCGCAAAGGCCTTCCTGCTGCCGATGCTGCCGGAGGGCTTCGAGATGCGGTGCTGCGAGTGGGACTTGTGGTGGTTCGTCCCGGGAGGAGGCGTGTTGGAGGCTGAGGGGGCATTGGACGACGAGACGGAGACGGCGGGCTTGGGGCCGGCTTCCGAGGGGGCGGTCTTGGCAGAGACCATCCTGACGGCCGCCGACAGCTTCTTTGTGCTGAAGACGGTTGTTGTGTTTCCGCTGCTCCGGCTGCTCCTGCGCATGGGAGCCCTGGGCCCGGATATCCTCACGGTCGTGGTGATGCGTGCTGTGCGGCCGCCGGGTGAGGGGGACGACGACGACGATGCCGAGGGTGAATTTGAACTCGACAGGCTCGACAGGCCGGGCAGGGCAGAGTGTGCTCCGACTCCTATAGCTGCGAGGGCCGGCTGGACGACGGCGCCGGAAATCGCTGCTGCTGCGGTGCTTGGTGTGAGCGGGACTGAGCAGGCACCTCCAGCTGTGTCGGCTGCCTGTGCAGCTAAATGAGTGACATGCATCGTGAAATAGCAAGTCGGGGAAGGGATGTTTTTTGGGGAAACCAGGGGCCTAATAAGCAGAGCTGGGGAACGGGGCTGGCCTGCAGCAGAGCACCACCAGCACCAAGAGGACCAAGCAGCAGCTGGGGCCGGAGCTGGGTCCCGGACGGAGCTGGACGCCGCTGGGCTTGAGTGTGGCTTGCTGCGTGCTCCTCTCTTGTTGTGCTGCTCCGCTTCCTGCAGTTCGTCTCATCAATCAGCCCACAGGCTAGCCGTGACTACTCCGCAGCAGCCCGTCCGTCAGGTCAGCACTGTAAGTAAGTCAGTCCCGGAGGCAGGGACTGGCTACGTTGCGTCGCGTGTGCGGTTGCGTTGCCTTGCAGACAGCCAGCCAGCCAGCCAGCCGTTGATGCTTGCTCCTAGCTGCTTGCTTGCTTGCTTGTTCGCCTGCTTGCTGCCGAGGTGGTGCTCCACACCTCCCCGAGGATATAGCTCGAGATACTTTTCTTTTCCCCCCTCCCGTTTGATCCACCGGCGGACTCTAAGACCTGCTTCTCCGGCTGCTTCAGCGCAGAGAATAAGCCCTGCAGAAGAAACCCCTCTCTCGGGATTCTTCACCTCGGCCCCAGTATTACCTGGCTTGACACTCGAGCCTCGGGCCTGTCACGTTAACCTGCTTCTGCTCCTGCTCCTGCAGTTGCGTCTGATTGGGATCCTGCCTCAGGAGTTGCTCCTGCCAGGGTCTGCTTCCCTGTAAACGTCCTGCCCCAACAGGTACCAACTTGTTTGGTCCCTGAAACAGTGATACAGCAATACTACTACGCCAGTAGTCCACTCGAGATAACGCGGGGTAGAGAATCCGGGGTTGTTCCTGGGTCCGGACTGCTAACAATCCTCGTGACTTTCTAACGCCCACGGGGCTGCCAGAATTGGCAACTGGATCCTGGTGGAGCGGTTGTGGTTGCCAGGATGTCCAGGATGTTGGTGCAGTACGGGTCCGGGGCCAGAAGGAATGGGAGATTGGCCCCAGTTGTCCGCGTCCTGCGTAAAGTGCCGAGACCTGTGTTCCTGTCTCCGTGGTCGGGCCAGGTTAGACGCTTCGGAGCTGGGCCGCCGGCGTCTCGTGGGTTTCCTAATCGGGCCAGCTGTGCTCGTTGCGTGATGCTCCTGGATTTGTGATGTCGGCACAAGTGCCTGGATAGAAGCTCGTGTTGTTCTGTGGGGGTGGGCCCTGCTGGTGTTGATCATGGGTGAGAAGATCTTCCTCCGAGTTGGATAAGGGCGAGCCGCGTCAAGGTGACAGCAGACAGGTGAGCGAGACAAGACAAATGCTGTACGATGATGAATGATGATGGGGGCTGTCCAGGTTCAGCCAGGGGCCGGCGCTTCGGCGTTGGTCGTGCTTGTTGGCTCCGACAAGGTGGATGTCCTGACGTGGGGGTAAAAGACCATCAACCATCACCAGCTGACGATGATCCTAACGGAAAAGGAGGGCATCGCCTCTATTTAAGCGTTCCAACAGCATCAGGAGTGGGACCCCGTCATGATACGGCCTGCATCGTATCCAAGATCACATCACCGATCCAGATGTCTCGAGGGGGCCAAACAACCGACAACCAGAGGGCGGATAAGGGGCCCTCCACGGGCAAAATCAGGTTGCCCCTGATACTGATTACGATCCGGGACGCAAAGCCGTAAGGCAGCAGACAAGCAATGCCCTTATCACAAGCTACTTTCGACAGGGCATGGGCTGGCCCACAGCCCACTTTGTGGTGCAGGAATTTTACTTTCTAGCCCGGAGACCACAAGCCATGAAGCCGTCGTGCCGGCTGCAGAGGGAAGACATAGGACGACGGTTTGACGGGCCCGACATGTGGTTTCAGGGGCCACCACAGCCCTTTAGCCCCACCACCCTACGGCCCGCCAGCCCGTGGGACCGGGGCAGCCAGGCATGCCAGAGCCCAAGAGTCGGCCTTGGCCCTCTCGCTCCGTCTTCCCATAGGCCCGTCGCGAGCGAGTGGGTGGGGTGGGCTGGCTGCGCTGGGGTCGCGCCTCATTGGCCCGTGCTGTAAGTCGAATATGCGACGCTTGGCCCCTTCTCGTCTGGGCTGGGGCTGTTTGCTGAGGACAGGGTGGACTGGGGAAAACAGGGAGGGAGGGGCCGTTACCGCGTGTCTGTTGCAACCAAGATGCACCAGCTCCTGGTTCTGCTTGTCAAGGAGCAATCTAATGCCAGATCACATGTACGACAATACTTATTGCGCTAACCATTACCAGAGTGTGTGGACATGGAGCAAGCTGTCGGGTTATTGTTCACCCTGCCTGCCTGCCTGCCTGCCCGTTTCCGGGTCCTGAGTATCTGTCTGATTGCGCGATTGTGCTGGCTGGGCCACAAATATCTTCTCACTATCTGGGTGATTGTCAGTCAGCACCCAGCTCGGTCCCAGATAATCGAAATGTACGGAGGCGGGCTCCCCGTCTGTTGTTACTGTGGTTCGTCACCTCGGGATCGATGGTCTGCGCCGGCAGAATTCATGGAAAAACATGTCAGAGATTGAGTTCCTCCAATCCTGTCTCGGGCTGCATATTGCCATACATACGCGATGCGCAATTGACACTCGACTTGAATCTCTGGACGAGGTGTATCATCTTTCCCTCAGCTTTGGGATGCCAGGATGCCTGCTTGTTTGCGTTTCACACCGGCTCACCTGGCAGACATTATCCTCGAGACGGGCCTACACTAATAAGTAGGGTAAACTTGGGTGAGAAGGGCAGGCGGGCAAGTCGGGCGCATGCTCCAGGGATCGATCGACGGTACAGACGGCCCCCGTCCCACTGTTCCATCTGCTCACAGGGCCGGATAGAGGACACTACCACCACTGTCGGACTGTGCGGTATCTTGTCGGAGAGAGCCGTCGGATCTCCAGCACTTCAGACATTGACAAGCCTTCCACGCCGCCATGCCGCCATGCCGCCCTGGCATGCTGGCTGGCTGGCCCGGGAAAATAGCGGTTAAAGTCGCTGCATATGCCTCCCCACGGCCCCACCCACCGGGCCAAAATTCCCGATCTCCAGTCCTCTCGCATTGTAGACGTAGTACTCCATACCCTTTCCTGCGCGCCCTCGCCCTCGCCCTCGTGCTCTGATTGAGCCGGCTGCTGCCACGACATGACACACGCAGCCTGCAGAAACACTCGCACGGCGTCCCCGGCACTGGCCCGGATGCCGTCAGCCTGTCAGCTTGTCAAGTGCTTGTCCAGCAGAATCCTCCGACTGACACTCGCAGAGCTTGCGGCTCGCTGTGACTTTGACGGCCGCCCCGGGTAGGCTTCTGCAGCCCTCCCGCCCATCATCCTGGCCCCCTTGATCTGACTTACATGCCTCGACCAAACTTTTCGACGCCAGCCACGAAGCAGCCTAAGTACAAAGCCGCGTGGTGCCAAATCCCCGATTGGGGCTTTTGTCTCTACACAACGTGTAGCCCGCAGGCCAAGGCAGCACACGCCTTGTCACCGTCTTGCTTCTGCTTTTCCGACTGCACACCCTGCTGCACGTGTGGGGGGCACAAGAGCGGGGGGACAAGACCCAGGATGGCAGTTTGGTTTGCCGCTGATGGTGGTGGCCTTCACAGGTTGAACATTCTAGAAAATCTGCAAACGCCATGCCGTCGCATGCAGATTTAGACTACTATATTGGCTGTATTGGTGGTCTTGTCCTGCCCTCATCGCGCCCTTCAGCTAAATTACCTGCCCAACCTGCCAGCCTCTTCCCGCTCACAAAGCGAAGGACGGTTACTGTACATTGTGCTTTTTTTTCAGTGTTGCACTCAAGTCAGACAAGATCGACATTGCCACTCCCGTCTAAGCCGCTGCAAATATAAAGTTTGAAGTTTGCGGCTCACTGGCCCGCACTCAGACAAGAGTTCTGGACCGCTCTTCGCCCCCTCCAGGGCTCTGAGGGCTGAAGTAGCAGAGAGGAAGAGGAGCCGCAACCCCCCATCCTCCAATGCGGCAATGCCAGGACTGCCTTAGCGCCGATAAGACATCGCAGTCAGTTTTGTTCTTCGGCACTCCGCGCCGCCATCAGGCTCTTGGCGCATTTGGGCTCAGGATCTGGGGTCTTCTGCCGCTGTGCCGGGCTGCACTTCCCTGGCCCCCCTGGCCAACAACCTGCCTGCCCGTCTGTTGTGCATCCCATAAGGCGATTACATGCTAGCCCGCGCAGCCACGCCCGCGCCCATGGTACTTACTGTACACACTGGAATTTATCCTAGGGCTCTCAGGGCTGATCACCATATGGATCAGGACTAGGTTGGGATCACAAAACCATCAGATCAACGTTACTTGCAACAGGGCGGCATCCTCATACCAGGTTTCATATTGACTGCCTCACCGACGGAATAACTCGTCAGAGTTCCGTGGCATGACTCCCATCACAAGCTGGCCGGCAGTGGGCGGCCCAAAGTATTAATGATTTTGTGCCTCTTCACCCAGTATATGCCTGCTGAGTTCCCCTCACAAACCTTGTGCCTGTGTAGATCTGGCCTCAAAGGAGTGTCTGGCCTCGAGCCGAAATAAGCATCCTCGTAAAGCCCGCAAAATTGAGCACCGGGCGCAGCTGCCCATCTCACGCCGAGAGACGGGATTCCAACTCGGTAGGTCATGCGGCAGCCGCGTCGGATAGAGAACCGAGGCTGGGCGTGTGCCGGCGCGTGCCAAATCATTTGAGCAAATTTCAGTCCCGGGCAGAGCACGCGCACCACGCACGATGGCTGATGAATGGCGTACTCATGAAGCCATGGACAGAGTCTGTCCTACGCTTATTAGTCACTTTCCGTATTATAAGTGCACGGGAAAGACACACTTGCTTGGAGGCGCCAAACGGTACCTAGGCTGCTTGCCGTATGCGCCAGTCACCTGGCTCCTTTTCGCTGCCTTTTGTGGGCTGCCAACTTCACCAATGACTGACTGATGAAGGCCCACACAGTAGTCCAAATGTTGCTGCCCTAATTCCGGTATTTTGCACACTGGTTAAGTCACGATGTAAACTTTGTCATTTGTGATCACTGGTTGGTCAATTACTCTGGCCCTATCGCAGTGTTCGGTCAGTGAAAGCCTCGTTGTCAGTTCTGATTGAAGACATCACAGTTGGCTGAAATAACCCTTATCCTTCTTTCCCGTGCGTACATCATTATCTTTGGTCTCTGGTCTTGGCCCTCAAGCCTTGTCTCGCATCTCGCGGCTGCTTTCTTTGTCCATTCGTGGCTGAGACACTACCAAGACGCGGTATTGTAATGAGCAGACAACGGCTAGGGACGTTGAGGGCAAAGACACGCGACAGGGCATTGTTCCTAAGGCTGGAAGAGACTATAGAAGAGATGTCATGCACAACGGTTCACCTTAATACCCTGCTATTTTTGGATAAGCTTTCCCGAGGCGTTTACACTCTTAAGCATTGCCATCAGCCACAACGTGATTATCTCTAGTCCTGATATCAACAATCCCTTCGTGAACACCCATATCTACGAAATACAACCGTAATATGCCACATATTCGTAGATTTAGCATATCCTCTCTCTTTTCCCACAGAGACGAATCCGACTGCGAAGATAGCCCTACTTCAAATACTGCCCCGAAGACTTCTGCGAAACCCGTTCCGAAGGCTACTTCCTTTTCCGCTCGCATTCAAGCACATCTGAAAGTCCTCCTGCCGCTCAAATCGCCGGCTGTCCCAGAGAAAAGGACTGTCGTGCACGTGCAAGTGGAACCACCCACGAAAGAGGCTATTTATCTCGCCACGCTAGATTCCCTGCCACCCCTCTCTCCGACAGGATTCCGGTACGCAACCGAATCGCAACAAGGGAATGTAACCTTCGCACATCTGGTAGGCGAGGGTTATTCTCGATGGTTGCACGATGGCTTACCCGGCTATGAGGAACTGGTTGGTGAAGAAGAGGCATACAAAGCCCTGCGCAAAATCGAGATCCAGCGTGACAGCGACTATGCAGAGCTGCACGACATGTTGATACCGGGCAGCCTTTGGTACACCTCTGACAGGTGGGATCCCGCCGAGACGAGCTACGTCTCCAGGCATCCATATGCGATCCGCACCATGGGCGTGGCAGTGAAGCGGCAGCGGAGTACTGTGACAAGTTCAGAGAGATATCCGCCTACGGAAGTGCATGAAAGAGCGACTTCCTCGCCTGATGTATTGCACACACTGGGGAAATCAGCATATCCTCGGGATGTTATTGACAACGGGGACAAGTCGCCGATCTGTCCAAGGCCGTCGAACACATTTGTTAAAATGTTGCAGTCGTCGATTCACGATTATCATGGTGAAGAGGATGTTCTTTTGTGGAAAGAGAAAGGACACGTCAAGCTCATTGAGAGCATTCCGTGTCATTTTGAAGGGTTTACCATACTAGACGCGCACAAAGGCTAAAATCACATGGAAGCCACGTCGTAGAAATTGCGATCTTGAAATAAGCGTCTTAATTTGTCCATATATAAAGCCTCTAATATTTTATTCAACATAGTGGGTGTTGACATTTACTACTTATTTGTCAAGCCGCTCGTTCCAAACAGTCTTCCCTTGTCTTGAAAGCAACCTCTCCTACCGTTGTGCCGCTTATTTGGCTACAGTTTCAACATGCTTTTTCGGATGTGAAACACAAAAGCTTGACCCCGATACATTTTGTTGTCCCGCGGAGGTAGTTCCGACTTGAATACACAACGCGATCTCACAAACAGCTGATGCATTGAGAAGCACCTGGGGATGTCCTGATATCCTGACTCTGCCCCGGAAACCCACGATCTGTTTATGAGATTGCATGGATCCTCACAAAACAGGAAAATAAAACAAGAAACGCGCCTCCCAATCATTTACAGGGCGTCTATGTAGTTACTGCGAACTCAGAATTTACTAAGCCTTCTTTCAACTGTGACTACTACCCTGTTTGCCAAGGCCGCCCGCTGTGGACTCAAGTGAGAACATCGTCATGCAAAGTTGGATTGCTGCCGTGAAAAGACTGTTACCCCTGGGGCTCTTTATCTGGAGGAGCCAGGATTTCTATCTCGGTCAGTCAGTACCGCCTCGAGCAAGTGACGCTCAGCACGTTGCGAGGCTTGCCGGCCCCCATGCACAATTTGAAGCTGTGAGGACCCGGTCCAAAAGATATGGCTAGAGAGAATCTTGCATGCAGCGAGGCTACCAACAATACCACCAAGAGACATCAAAACACAGTCACTGAGCTGCATAGATAAGGAAGAATAGCGACATCTTGACAGTTTTCCGGATCCCGGTGTCTTGGGTCTTGCAGGCTTTGATAGAAGCATTGTCCACTTGAGAAACGATCAACCTTCAGATATATAGAAACTGTGATCTTTGGACCCACAGCTTGAATAGCGTGAGATCCCCGAGTGGCTCTTTAGGTATCATAGCACTCCGATGTCCCCCAAACACTCTTTGCTTGTACCGTTTGGGGCCAACTGTGAAGGGGAAAGATTTGCGGCCATGGACCTTTCTTTAGTCAGGGGCATGTTCACTTGCCCCCAGGACTCTTCTCCAAATTTAAATGACGGTAGTCATAGCCTACACTAAAGCCGCGGCGGAGACATCCTTAGTCAGTGCTGATGGGGTCTCGTTCCGAGTGTTGGAATTCCCGGTAGTTTGGTCGCTGGTGAATGGCACCTGAGGATCCCCGCACCACACTTAGTGATGAAACATCGCCGGATTGAATGCCGTTCGTTACCATAGATGTCATTGCGTCACAAGCATTCCCCCTCCGATACACTCCAAAAAGTGTTCCATTACCTCCATAATTTTTATCTTCGATGTAGGGAGATTCATGTGTGAACGCATGATTCGGCTTGACATTTGGTTTGTCAAAAGCTTTCCCTCCACCACGTCCACGCATTGGATCTCTCATAATGGACCCCGAGAAAGCGCCGACTCCGGAGGTGGGATCAGAAAATGGCAGCATCAAGCCTGGTGGGACACACGTTGAGGAGTTGCGACGAGAACAAACCCACGTCGACGTTGATCCAGCCCTACACAGAAGGCTGAACCGAAAGTTTGATTCCCACGTGATCCCTTTCCTTTTTGGAATTTGGTAAGACAACTGCATAACTTCCTGCTGTGCTACGCCGATGTTAGTAACTGACGGACACTCTGAACAGGCTTCTCGCCTTCATCGACAGATCCAACATCGGCAATGCGAAGATCGATGGTTTGACTCAGGACCTGGGGTTGGAGACGGGCACCAAGTTCAACATTGCCCTTCTCGTCTTTTACATCCCTTATATTCTCGTCGACGTACCCAGCAACTGGATCATCAAACGAATCCGGGCAGGCATTTACTTGCCCGCCCTCATCACCGCCTGGGGGCTTGTTAGTACATTCCTCGGGTTCACCAAGTCCTTTGGGGGCCTGGTCGCCGCACGATTCTTCCTAGGCGCCTTCGAGGGTGGCCTTCTGGGCGGCATCATTGTATACCTGGCAATGTTCTACCGCCGACACGAGATCCTCTGGAGAATGGGCATGTTCTACTGCGCGGCTCCACTATCAGGGGCGTTTGGTGGGCTTTTGGCGACAGGATTGGCAACTATTCGGTACAATGGATATAACAGGTGGCCGTGGATATTCTTCAGTAAGTCCGAAACCGTATACGCACGCCGTTACTGTTTCGAATCGCGTGTAGGATACTGATGTTGCTGTCCAAATTTAGTTGAGGGAATCATAACGACTGTCTTTGGGATTATATGTTTCTTTTTCATGCCGCACACGCCGGCCGATGCCAAGTTCCTTACCGAGGAGGAGAGAGCTCTCGCCATGGGACGCTTGAAAGAGGATGCACACGGTGCTACAAACGTCGCCGATGTAAACGAGGAGAAGTTTGATTGGCATTGGGTCAAGATGGCATTCAAGGCACCGCAGACGTGGCTCTCTTCGCTCATCTGGTTCTTCCTCCTGATACCTCTTTATGTGAGACAGCCCGGCCATCACCTGGCGCCATTCTCTGAATGAAAGACAAGAAAGCGTTCATGGCATCATAGCATTGCTGATAATCGAATTAGAGCTTCTCCCTCTTTCTTCCCACCATCATCACCGGTCTCGGATACACCAACACAACAACCGCACAACTCTTCACCGTACCGCCGAACTTAGCGGCCTTCGTTACTGTCCTATTAACGTCATTGCTGTCAGATAGGATCAAAGCCAGAGGACCTATCATGGCTGCTGGTAACGTGATAGCCATAGCGGGATATATCATGCTGCTAGTAGCCAAGCGTGCCCAGGTCCGGTACGGTGGAACGTTTCTGGTGGCAGTTGGGGTGTACCCCTGTAGTGCAATGATAATGGTGAGTGACTGAGTCGCGGACTATTCCTGGAGCATCCAACTCTTCTTCACCAATGCTGACATGCTTTTCCCTTTCTTTCCACAGGGCTGGCTGTCGAACAACCTCGCACCACACTATGTCCGCGCAACTGGTGTGGGTTTCATGATCGCCCTCGCCAACTGCGCTGCATTCCCGGCCACCTTCATTTATCTCGCCAAGGACGCCCCTAATTACACTCTTGGGCATTCGGTTTCACTCGGATCTCTTGTGCTTTGTCTGGTCACCGTGTGCGCGCAGATGGCCTATTGTCGCTGGGAAAATGGCAAGAGGGAAAGTGGTACTCGGGATTTAAGGATCAACGATGGAGGGAACCTTTATTGGCTGGGTCATAGACATCCTGCCTTCCGTTATACGCTGTAGGTATAGCTATTTATGAAACATTTGAGTTCCAGTCCCGACCGTCTCGCCCTTTCTAGCTCTTCCCCAGCCATTATCTGCTTTTTCTAGTTGTCGATCTGATTATTACCTCTTCACCCATAGTTGAGCATCTCTGGTGAAGCTGGAATGTAAAATATTTGGCCTCTAGAGAGCACTCAAAGGCATGATTAACTCATAGTGCACCATAAAGCTCAGAGTGGCTTTAACCGTGCGGCACGCCTGCCCTTCCGCTGTCAGACACAATTTTTCCACGATTGATGTGATATTTTCTCTGCACGATCAGGGTTCGGTATCGTACGTATCTATGCGTCTTCTGCTGAAATTGGCAACAGCTGCTGGTGCTGGTCTCATCGAGATATCATACAGAAGCAGTGGGTGATGAAGGATGGGGATCCTCTTGTCCAATGGTGTTGGTCTGGTTTGGTGGGGGTTCGATGGGACTGCTGTGCCTGGAACGGTCCTGGCGGATTCTGGGAGCCGTCTGTTGGAAAAGTGCCACACGTCTTCCCAGGTGCCGTCTCATGCACAACGGTTAGTGCCAGAGTCAACAGGGTCAGCACTATACTTGGTGGCGCCAAGGCAGCGCCCATTTGCGTGTGATCGACGAAATATACCCACGAGACAGCATACGCAGCACACAGTGCAAAGCAAGAGGCTATCTACCACAGGAGCCTTCTGTATGAAAACTCATTCCTAAATGGAATAAGTGACCAATTTGTTTCTTTACGAGGAGCCCCACTATATAAAATGTGCTCGGGGTCCTGTTAGGGACCGGTCTAATAGCGGGGGATATAAGGGCACGCCTATGATAAAAATGGAAGATAAAAATGGAAGATAAAAATGGAAGATAAAAATGGAAGATAAAAATGGAAGATAAAAATGGAAGATAAAAATGGAAGATAAAAATGGAAGATAAAAATGGAAGATAAAAATGGAAGATAAAATGGAAGAGCAACATGAGTCGATGAGTGATATTATTTCTGAGGATTTGACATAAAAATAATGAGAGGAAGCCCAGCGTTGTAGTGAGGCCCATAGCATCATGACAGCAAGTCCCAAAATGGAGGAAATCAAATGTTGTCCTGCAAATGAGAAATGGTCTCCGGTGCTACCTGTGCGGATATCTCAAGGGACAGTCTGATTTGAGAGTGTAGATCGTGGTGATAAGTCACAGTTCATTCACGTATTATGAGATTTGCTGTTCGCTTCCGAGTAGTGGTTGACCATGAGCTAAACAGAACATCTTGCAGTCTCAAACGTTTGGTAGCGGGATGTTCTTGATAGGGCTTCAGCAGTACAGAGTGAGAAGACATGCAAGCTCAACCTCATCCTACTTTTCCTTTTGAAAATGGGCCCCAATTCCAAGCAAATCGTTCTTGCGTTCTTCGTTTCCCCTTCCGAGACGGTCATTCCTGCGTGAATCCTGACTCCGTGGACGTGATGGCGTACCAACTGAGCCGTGCTGGGCCGTAGTGCTAGCCCGGTCGTTGGACGTCCAGCTAGGAGCACTGGGAACTGTCAGCTACCGGCGATTGGAATAAATATCGAGAATGACACTGAAAGAAAATTAAAAACTGGATCTGGGGAAATGGAATAGTCTACTGGCTCACGTAGTAGATGCTCCTCCGGGTGCTGGACTCTCTGTGTGGGACATCTTGAGTGAGATAAGGACCTAGGTAAGGAGATCGACTGCCTTGTTCAATGGAGCTGTGACGGATGAGAGCAGAGCTGAGAAATGGGCTTTCGGAGAACGGATAGGGGACGAGAGGGGAAGTTATTAAGGAGAAGATATTGGATACAAATCCGGTCCACGAAGCGACTGGGACATCGAGTATTTGTATTTGAGAGAGGATAGGATATCTGGAGGGAAAGGACCAAATCGGTCTGTCCCGGTCGTCCGCCATGATTTCGACGCTGCCGTTGAGCTCTCCTTGACTGGCTTTGCAGATGAGCCTGCAAATATCGTTGCCCGAGTAGACCAAATCCAGAACTTCTGGCGCCGTGCTCTGCTCAGGTATTGGCTGGTCTTCTTTTGTGAGTTTCCAGACCGACCCGCTTGAGGCACAAGCTTCAAATTTATTGGCCAGTCTTCTTTTGTAACTGCGCCAGCTTCAATTCTGCAATTACACTCAACTCATTCAATGTGGAGTGGAACACAGGGCAACGGGCTGCGCAGGAGACTGATCGTCGAGCATCCTCAATGTCATTGGTCAGTCTCGTTTTGTAATGAGGCTGAAGTCGTGTGTGGTAAGGCCTTTGTGCGAGACAGGGTCATCACTCGCGGCCCCTCGGCGTGAAAGATACCTAGTAAGCTATCAGGCAGGCTGGCAGGTAATGTGGCACATAATTAGAGTCCGAACGACGCGGCATTAGCTGCATAGATACCTAGCATGCAATCGACAGGGTTCGTGGCTGACCGCTGCTACCCATGTGCAGCGTGATTGGCTACTCTCCTTTTGTTGCGCGTGCTCCCCAAGCCACAGTGATTTGTGTGGCACCCCTACCTCCGTGTGCTGTTGTCGGCAGGCCCTGGACTGCGACGTTCGTGACGTTGACTCCTCGCGGTGATTGGCTGCTCTCTTTTTGTTGCATGCCCAGGTGGGCTCGGCGGGCCACACGGCACAAGTGCGCCCCTGCAGGCAGGCGACTCTCTTTCTGACATCCAATGGCCAGGTTTGCCTTCGCGTACCTGGTGTTGCACATTGGCTTTGCAGGGCGAACTATTTAGTTGCCTTACTACGCGGCAGCCTGTCTCAAGCCGTTTGGACCTTTTTGCAGGAGTCGAGTTGCGCATAAATAGAGGCAACCCGGCCCTCCCTGCTTCTACTTCCATGTTTTCTTTCCGTATCGAGGCTTTTCTGTTACAATGACACCCCTTCACCAATAATTACCATCATATCACTGAGTTCCCTCCATGGCCCACGCACACGGCTACCAGGACCTTCCATATGAGCAACGATGGGAATACCTCAAGCCCACCATTGTGCGAATTTACTTGGATGACGATGCCAAACTTGAGCAACTTTCCAAGAGAATGATTGATGAGTTCAACTTCAACGCCCAGTGTGTCATATCCATGCATAGGCTGCACATCCCTGTCACTGGGAAGCGGCCCGCCTACATATGTAGCTTGCCAGAATCTGGCGTGACTGACCGAGCCTCATTCGATAATTGTAGTGTTCATCAGTATCGCTACCACTTCAAAAAATGGGGGATCAAGAAGCGAACTACTACTGCCGAGAAGGAGGCCGTGATAACAGCCTTGGGCAAACGACGGCGGCAGGGAATGGGAACATCCGATGTTCAAATTGAGCAAGGTGGATCGTCGAAAGCTGTCGACAAGAAACAGCTCAAGCGCCACATCAACGATTCGATCCGGAAACATAATATCGACCCTCTTCGTCCCAGGACGTGAGTCTTCCATCACCGCATTGACTCAGATGAATCTTATGGCAGCTTACACGTCAGAAGGTTCCTTAGCCACAATCTGCCATACGCTGCACTGATCCGGAGTATTACACGCCATCCTCACGACAATCCATCGCCCCTTAGCAACGGTCCTCGAACTCCAGCCTACCTCACCGTGTCAAGTCCCCAGAATCAAGGCAGTCCTCAAGACGCATTGTCACCTACCACTCAGTTGCTGCAAAAGAGAGTTCTCATTGACAGGTCGAAGCTCCTTTTGTCTGGCCGAGAACTGGAACTGATGAAGCAGATGAGTGTTGATGAGAAAAGGTATGCATCGACTATCCGAACCAACACAATGATCCTGGCTTACCTCTCTCTAGGATCACTGCCAACTGGCTGCATGACTTTCGGATGTTCTCTTTTGTCACTGCCAAGTACTGGGGCAAGGGACCAAAAGACTGGACATCATCGCTGATCAACGCGAAGACTCGGGCTCTGCCCCCACGCTATGCTAGTCAGTCGCGGCTGCTAGACGCTGTTCAGTCCCCATCGGTGGCTGGTGATGTGTTTGACCCTCCGACGCAATTGTGCAACTGGTCAATTCATTATGTAGAACGCATGGATTACGAAGAGATCCCGTCACAGTCCGTCTCAGGAGACGATGACAGCGTCCAAGACATTGAGGACGAATCCACGTGGAAGGATTGGGATTCCCCGGATGAACGAGATCTCACAGCCACAATGACCGCGGGTCTTCGATCAAACACTTTCACGAAATATCAGATTGACCAGCTACCTTTGGACCTTGGCTGCATCACGAATGCGGTATCTAGATCCCCGGGAAACGCCGCAGTTGAAGCAATCGGATTCGCAATTATGACACGGAACGTCGATGTCTTAGGGGATTGTCTGGATTCAGAAAATTATGACCGCGAATCTCTTCGTCGAATATACCCCTTTCATCTAGCAGCCAAGTTTTTGGGCGGTTCAAAGGCATGTTGTGGGGTGATGAACATGCTTGTTCAACTTTTGGACGACGAGAACTCGATCGGAGTTAACAATACGGACGAGGCGGGAATGACTGTCTTGGACACGCTTTTTACCTCAATACTTCGCTCACATACTTCGGTTACTCCTTCGGTCCTCGGGGATACCTTTGTAGCCTCTGGCCGCGGTCTCGAAGGAGGCGATGTCGATATCTGCGGAAGATGGGACGCAGATTCGCCATGCATCCGCCACCATCATGCAACAGGAGAGACGACTATCCCGCATGACTGGAAACATATGTTTTGTCATACATCAGTACAGGCCGTTTGTCATTGCATTGGCGCTATGTTCAAGGGCGAATGGGCACCTGGGATCAACACTGTCAGCGGTTTGTTCCAAAAACGGTGTCGATCCTGTGGCTTAGAGCTCAAGGTTGGCACAATTCATACTTTTGTGCTTGTTTGTTTTCATTTGGCAAACTCTGCAAGGCCGGGAGAGACTCTCTTCGGCATGCTCGCTTGTTTGGTGTGTCTTCTCACATACGGGGCTGATCCCGCTTTATCTGCTGAGATTTCGATACCGGCAGTGTTTGGACTCGATGAAACAGAGGAGTGCCAGCATCAACATCTCAACGCAGCTGAGCTTGCTTCGGCTGTTCCGGATAGTGTGGTCGACTCATGGACGCCTCAAGTGAAGCTGGGGTGGGAAGCTGTCAAAGAAGTTTTGGAACATCGCGTCGCTTATGTGCAAGGTCTGGCTGCAGAGGCCCCGCATCGACCGCCTAATCCTTTCCACGATACAGAGGGTGCGCTGCATGGGTCAGAAGTACCGCATATATCTTGCCGTCGTTATCTCCATGGATGGGGTTTCGACAGACAGAAATCGTTATGTGGAGATACAAGACTTGGTATGATTTGGGCTGCCATACAAGTTGAGCTTTTAACATACCGGAGACTGAGGGAGGGAGACCCTTGGCTTTCTTGGATGTTTGAGATGCGGCATGTTGTTGAAGGACTGCGAGACAGGGACGATTCGATCCTTCGGCAGTTGGTGGAGGAACGTGGACAGAACGCAATTCAGCGATTTACGAGCTGTGGGTTGTTTTTAGATGCAAGGAATTCAGCTCGTGTAACAAGGGAAGAAGCGTGCACTTTCTACTTCGCGAATCTCGATGATTGGACACGAACAACATTCATATAACATAGATAGGATTACTAGATTTAAAATAATGATTGAAACGAATGCTATTGACCACTTGCGCAATCGGCCGCTCAGCCAAAAGTCCAGGATTTCAAGTCGAAGAGATATGGTGCCGCACCGTCACGATTCTGGCTGCCAAGTGCTTTATCATATGAAATGAGACTACCTAGGTAAAGGGTCATGTTTTCAATTATCCGAATGCTGCTATAATTTCCCATGAGAGGGTTGCAGCCATCTAGATGGAGCCCCAAGCGTTTTCTTACTCCCTAGGTGAGAATCAATATTATTCACGGGCATAAGGATCTGCAGCGCAATTAAAAGGCTCCTAGCTGCGCACAGGATACAGCTACGGTATCGGGAACGCCTTACTTGCGGGGGAGAGAGCGATATGTGATAGTCCAAGCTTCTAACAGGTCAGTTACGGCATGCCGCGGCCGCCGACGACGCCGACGCGATATGCGGGTGGTTTCGCCGGGAGAGTCCAGTCGAAAGACAGGCGCATCTCTAAGTCCTTCTGCAGGAGCATCATCAGGGTGTATTCGTCGGGCACTTGGCCCTGGTTTGCCACCAGGGCACCCGGAGAGCATGGCAGGATGTCCAACACCGAGCTTGGATTATGTGCTGTGAATGCCTGCAGCTGCTCTCCCCAGGAAGAGAAGGGAACGACCATGCCGAAAAATAGAGAGTGTCGCATCCTCAACTCCGGAATGTCGCTCCGGCAAAGATAACCATGGCGTGCATCCAAGACGACCTGTGCTATGATAAGCTTTTGGTCGGCCAGTCTACACGTCCTTCCAATATGCGGTGAAAAGGAGTCTCAAGCGCGGTTCCGGTAGCATCTGACAACTAGGCCCTACTCCGGCACATACAGCGGTTTCTGAGGTTGGTACAAGGCGCAGAAACAAGTCGGCAGTGTAGAAGTAAGACGGCTTGCCGCTATGTGATGATAGTGGAGAGACTGTCTATTAGTAAAGAACGGTAAATGGACCTATGTATGGTTTCGTTTTTAATCCCTATATATATAAAATATATACAGTACCTTTATATAGTAGTAAACCCTTAAGACTTAGTGTTTAAAGAAATATAGTGCTAATAATAGCGAAAAGAGAATATAGTATATAGATATATAGTTAAGCTTTATATTATATAAATAAAGTTAGAAGGTATTACTTCTAATAGTGCCGCACTAAAATTATATTAATAAGTAGCTTAAAGGCTAATCTATTATAATAGTAGAGTTAAAGCTAGTATAGTAAAACAGTTATATAGTAAGACTAGAATAATCTTTTAAAATAGCCCCTATAAGAAAAAGAGGCTTTAACTATACTATATTTTTCCTTTATATTATATAACTACTTATTTCTACTTTAATAGTTTAAAGTTTATATATAAAGTCTTTAATAGCTTTATATATATTCTTATAATTTTTTTAAAAAGGAATTTTAAATTTACTTTTTTCTTTATTTCTATTATACTTTTTTATATTATTAAAGAGTTAATAGTTATTAATAATAAAAATATAAACTTAAAAGAATAAGCTTATTATACCCTCCTTTATTTTCTTATAAATTACTTTTAAAACTCTTTTAAAAGTTTTAATATTTATTATAAAAGTTTTAAAATAATATATTATAAATTATTTCTTTATTTTAATTTTTTTAAAGTTAATAGTTATATATTTAAATAAAGATTATAGTATTTATTTAATAAAAGTTTTATTATAAAATATATATATATATTTAAAGGGATAATTTTAGTTAAGCTTTCCTTAATATAATTTATTTATATAGTAACTATTTTTAAACTTAATTTTATTATATAACTCTTTTATAATATTTTAATTAATATTATTATTAAAATAATACTTTTTAATCTTATTTATATATTATAAAATTAAAATTATAAATATTTATTATATTATAACTATTATTATTAATATTATACTCTTTTTAAATATTAAATCTTAAATACTTACTACTATATAAAGGTACTATATATATCCTTAAATATATACGGAATAGAAGTGAAACCACACATAAGAAGAAGAATCCCACAACATGAGACCCAGCAAGCTAGCTCTTCCCCATCAACACACTCGATAGCCATCCAAATCTACCCTCGCCAGGGAAGCCAGACACACCATGGTCCCCATCCGTAAATAGAGCTGTGTATAACATTTATTAGTTTCTATAACTCAAAGTATTTAAGCTTAGGTCGAGGCGTTATACCGTCACTATTAGAAGTCTTAAGGGCTTTAACTATATTATATTTTTTATTTAACTATTTATCTATTTATTATCTTCTTAACTTTTAAATTAACTATTAACTTATACTTTAAATATAAAGTTAATAATTACTTAATATATACCTTTAAACTTATCTATATATAAAGTTACTAACTTCCCTTATAAAGATCTTTCTTCTACTATATTCCTTATATATTATATAGAAGTAAATAAATCTTTAATAATAAAATAATATACTTAAAGAAGGAAAATTTAATTTTTAAATATTTAAACTTTTACTTTTTTATATAATATTTATTTAATATATAATAAATAAACTTTATTTAATTTTTAAAAGTTTTAATCTTTTATAAAATTTATATAAAAGGTTTTCTTAAATAGATTTACTATTATAATATTATTATTCTATTAATAGTTATATACTTAAAATAGAGATTATATTAACTTACTTAATAAAGATAGATTTAAATAACTATATAATAAATATATTAATAAAAAGAACTAACTTATTAAATCTTATATTATAAAATTCTTCTTCTTATAAAAGCTATTTTAAAATTATTTTAATCTTACTATATAACTACTTTACTAATTATTAACCTTTAAATTATTTATATTAATAATTCTAATATAATATTATTAAGAATAATACTTTCTAATTTTATTTATATAATATAAAGCTTAACTATATACCTATATATTATATTCTCTTTCTACTATTATTAATATTATATTTCTTTAAATACTAAGTTTTAAGTATTTATTACTATATAAAGGTACTATACATATTTTATATATATAGGGATTAAAAATAAAACCACTTGGAAGTCTCAAGTGTTAAGACTTTATCGGTAAAACCCCTGAATACGCTGCACAGGATGGCTATTTCTTGGTTTAGGAAACACTCAAATCTTATTTTGTGTGTATGAGGAAGGAGTCTTGGCAAACAACAATGAACAAGGTGAAAGGATTGAAGGGACCGTGACTTGCGGCGTAGAGTCCTCCCGTCACGCAAGAGGACATATGTCCGAGTACTTTCAACGCGAACATCTCTCCCCTTTTCTCGTTTCTAATAGGAGACCGTCATCTAGTGTCGACTTACCCTACCACGTCGTCCCTCGCACGAGGTCGGAAAACTGCCTCCTTGTCCTCTCCTACGTGCCTATTCCAGTCTCAGTAGATGGTATCGTAGTTCTGCAAGGGTTGTGTGACGAAGTACAATTTTTTATCGGTTGAACTAGGGTCGTCGCCCTGCATTCTTCGATCCGAGACTGTTGGCGTGATTATTCACGGGCATAATCACAAGCATAATCACAGACATAATCACATCTATGATTCACAGACATAATCACAGGCATCAGCATAAGTACAAGCATCATCATTATGTTCGTATCTATAAGCAACTAACCGCTCAATCCGATGTTTGCTAATACGCAGGACTCCGTGCACAGCACTCTAGTATGCTATGATAAGTCGAGAGGTCCTCTCCTCTGCAGCTGGGATGACCGGTCTTGTCGTAAGATGTTGGGCCCAGTACAACTGTAGGGGGATCTCGAGATAAGAAGAGGGGCGGCGGAACAAGTGAGAGTGGGCCTACTGGCAAGCAAGTAGCCTGGTGGAATGGAAACACCTTCTCAAAGAGAGTTGTTGGCCGGACAGATTCAAGCCGCCGAACTGTCTCTGATCGGGTCGAACTGGTGGCCGGAATACCGGGTACATAGGAACTGCAGGATCTCATTCCAAAGTCCCTTGTCGCCGCCCCGCTTTTGTGGATACCGTGAACGCATTCACCACTGGAACCACAAGGACCCCATCCTACGATGACCCTTTTCCCCTTCGCCAAACGCCAACCAACATCAGCCCCAGCAAAACGTCCCAGTGTGCTTCCTTGATTCCTTGCCTCCCAAGACTTTCGCGCTTTCTCGTGCTTCTCCTTTTCCGTCACGCCACACCTTGCTCCAGTCTGCGTGCACTAGCTCTGTGTCTGCTCACGTTTCCCAACGTCAAACGTCAAGATGGCTTTCACGAATGAAGATGATGACTTGCTCCAGATGGACCAGGAGCGTTTCGATTTCAACATGCAGTTCGAACAGCTCTTCTTCTCCATCATCCCGTCGTCCATGCTCCTGTTTTCCAATATGTCAAATTAGTACCGTGTCCCTGTCCATGCCTTGAGCTTGCATTGCGTATGCCCCTACTTACATGAAAAAACCATCCCAGGGTACCATCGTGATCTATATCGGACTTCAATTCGCACTCCTCGTCTTGACCGCGATTGGGAATTTCCATACAACAGCAATGTTCATGGCCTCATCTGTGCTGAAGCTAGTGGCAGGGCTTCTCATGATAATCGTCAGCGTTGTCGACCACAGCAGAAGCCCAAGGCCATCAATACTTCTGAGCTGCTACCTGTTCCTGACTCTGCTGCTAGATATAGCCCAGACACGCACTCTCTTGTTGGTGTCGCGCAACCATCCCAGCTCGGAGCGTACCTTTAGCATCATTTTCACCACCTCTGTGGCTTTGAAGGTAGTGATATTGATGCTAGAGGCGACCCCTAAGTCTAGATGGATTGCCTGGGACAAAAATCAGCATAGCCCCGAGGAAACAAGCAGCATATTCTCGCTCAGCGTGGTGTTCTGGATGAATAGCATGTTTTTGAGGGGTTTTCGGAGACAACTTACAATGGATGACCTTTACCCTTTTGATGTATCCTTGAACACTGAGCTCCTCCACGAGAGGTTTTCCCACAACATCAACTACTCTGAGCTGAAGAACAACAAGTACGGCCTTCTCATGGCATTGGTTAAGACCTTAAAGGTCTACCTATTACTGCCTGTTCTCCCGCGCTTAGCACAGCTTGCGTTTACGTTCAGTCAGCCATTCTTCATCGAGAAGCTACTAGAGCATCTCAGCCAACCACAGGTGCCTACCAACGTCGGTTATGGTTTCATCGGGGCCAGTCTACTTATTTACTCTGGAATTGGAATCTCTACGGCCCTAAGCATGTAAGTCCACCCCAGTTCTACCCATTGCACTACTTATTGTTTACTGATAGAAGCTTGCACTATATAGGTATCCCCATCATCGGATGCGTGCCATGGCAAGGTCAATTCTTGTTACCGAGACGTTCATCAAAGCCACCGAAGCTCAACTGGCGCCTGATGAGCACAGCACTGCGGTGACTCTGATGAGCACTGATATTGAGCGTATCAAGTTGGGATTCAGAATGATCCACAACGTCTGGGCGGGTGTTATCCAAGCCGGCCTAGCTAGTTGGATGCTGTATACCCGCCTGGGGGCTGTGTTTGCGGTACCTATTGGAATCGTCTTCTTCTTCTTCCTCTGCATTGCCGTCCTCCTGAACTTTGCGGGCGACTCGCAACGGCTGTGGATGGCGGGTGTTGAGAAGCGTGTTGGTTTGACGGCTGCTGTCATTTCTAGTATGAAGAACCTGAAGATCTCTGGCCTTTCAAACAAAATCGAGGACTTCGTGCAGAAGCTTCGCGTGGAGGAGCTCGCGGCCGGAGCGAGATTTCGCAAGATCTTCATCCTCGCCGCGCTCTGTGGCTTCACGCCTATGTTGCTCAGCCCGCCCTTGACCATTGGGTTCAGTCAGAACACTCTCAATAGTCAGACGGTGTTCTCGAGTCTTTCATTCCTTATACTCCTTACCAATCCCCTATCACAGATCTTTCAGGCTCTCCCTGAGATCATTTCTGGCTTAGCCTGCATCGGCCGGATTCAAGCTTTCTTGGAGTGCGAAACTCGACACGATTTCCGGCAAGTTCTTGGTGACCGCGGATACGACTTGGAGCCCGATTCTTCGGGCAAGACCACGCGCACCGGGCTACCGGCCAGAATGAAAGAGAAAAGCACCCCGTCCGATGATGTAGTCGGGACTGGAATGGTTTCTCGTGAGGCGAAACACGAGTCGGAAGATTCTGCTATTCTTGTCCAGAACGGGAATTTCGGCTGGAAGGCAGATACGTTGGCATTGCAAGATGTCAATATCCGAATCGCCCACTCTTCACTCACTATGGTGGTCGGGCCCGTTGGCTCGGGCAAGTCTACATTTTGCAAGGTACTACTTGGTGAAACTCCTTTCAGCGAGGGTAGTGTGGTGCTGGCCAAGCGTTTTCCCCACATCGGTTTCTGCGATCAAACAGCCTTTATACATAACGGCACAATCAGGGACAACATCATCGGATTTTCTACACTCGACGAGAAGAGATATGCTGAAGTCATCAAGGCTACAGCTCTAGGCTACGACTTCAGTATCCTGTCGCAGGGAGACAGAACAGTTGTTGGGTCCGACGGGATCATGTTGTCTGGCGGTCAGAAGCAACGAATTTCACTAGCACGGGCACTTTATCTCCATTCTGATCTTCTGATACTTGACGACATCTTTAGCGGCCTGGATGCGGATACTGAGCAAGAAGTGTTCCGCCTTACCTTTGGGCCTACGGGCCTTTTGAAGCAGAGACGTTCTACTGTCGTGCTTTGCACGCATAGTGTGAAGCATCTCCCGTCAGCAGATCACATTGTCGTACTCGAGAATGGGAGAGTGGCAGAGCAGGGAGACTACGAGAGCCTAGTTACCGGTCAGGGCTATGTTGAGCGTCTGGGCTTCATATCCTCTTCGAGTCAGAACTCCGAACTACAAGAGGCGGAGCCTCCAGCTCGCACGACTGAATCACAGCTCAAACGGTCCATTACGAGGCCGGCTGATGCTTTAATGGCGACAGAACAGTCTCTCCAAGTTGGAGAGAGAACTGTATTCAAGCACTACTTCCAGAGCATGGGTTGGATACTGGCAGCCTTCTGTCTCTTCTTTGCTGCTCTTTGGGGTTTCTTTACCAACTTTCCAACAGTTTGTAAGTTCATCAAGGACTAGAAATGATCCATTCGAACACCAGTGGCTATGATAGAAGCAAAGGCTAATCTGTAACACTTCTTGCAGGGCTCTCCTTCTGGACCGACGACCTCGGTTCTCAGTCCCCCAAACACTCCCAGTCGTATTACGTTGGGATTTACATTATGCTGCAGGTCTTTGCTATGATCTCATTGCTTCTTCTTGGAATCCTGATATTTATTGTCTCGGTAAAACGAGCTGGTGCCAATCTGCACCACGAAACTCTGCACACACTGATCCACGCACCTCTGAATTACATTACGAGAACGGATGCCGGGGTTATCACGAATCTATTCTCGCAAGATCTGAACCTTATCGACACTGAGCTACCGGACGCCTTGCTGAATACTCTCTTTTGCGTACGTCTATCCTTGTGAACACCAGTAACAGCTTTTAGATATAATGACATGCTGACAAGCAACTGTAGCTCTCCCAAGCTGTCGGACAGGCTGCAGTCATGCTCACTTCGTCTGCGTACCTGGCCATCAGCTACCCCTTCATTGCCGTCGTTTTGTACGCGGTACAGAAATTCTATCTCCGGACCTCAAGACAATTGAGGCTGCTTGACCTCGAGACCAAGAGTCCTCTTTAGTGAGCACACAACGCCGTCTTTCTATTACTGATTCGCACCTGACATCACACTAGTACTCACTTTCTCGACACTCTCAAGGGAGTCAGCACCCTGAGAGCCTTCGGTAAGTCTGAGTCGGCGACACATACTTAAAGCATAGGTAGGATATCGTCATAGTATTATTGCCTGACCACCTATGCGCACAGGTTTCATCCCTAAGGACATCACCAAGAACGCACACCTACTAGATTCAAGTCAGAGGCCAGCCTATCTTCTAGTAATGATTCAGGAGTGGCTCAACCTTGTTCTTGACCTATTAGTGATGGTGATGGCGGTAGTCCTGACTACTCTCGCCGTCCGGCTCCACTCTAGTGCTGGCTTTGCTGGTGCTTCGTTAGTTACCCTTCTAAGTCTCGGAGAAAATCTGTCTGGATTTGTGATTTACTACACCAGGCTAGAAACTTCGATCGGGGCAATAGCCAGACTTAAGAGCTTTAACGAGACAGTTAATCCTGAGGAACAAGACGACGAGGATATCTTTCCCTCCGAGTCCTGGCCGCAGCACGGTGAAATCGAGTTTCAGGGTGTCTCGGCGAGTTATCGGTAAGATTTGCGATATTGTACCATCGTTGATGTGTAGCATATGTTAACACCGAGAACAGTGTGAAAAGCAAAGATGGACACCAAGATGGAAATCACGATGACGATAATCTCTCCAACCTAGCCCTCCGCGACATTCGCCTGGTCGTTCGGCCAGGAGAAAAGGTTGCTATCTGCGGTCGCACAGGCAGTGGAAAGTCTAGTCTCATCGCCCTGCTCCTCAAACTTCTGGAGCCCTTGCCAGCGAGGCCGGGTAGCGTGGTGCTCGATGGTGTACTGCTCAAGAACGTAGATCGGACCACACTCCGCCAGCGAATCATCGCGGTACCCCAAGAAGCCGTTTTTCTTCCGGATGGGACCAGCTTCCGGGTCAATCTGGACCCAGCGAATGAGTCAACAGCGGAGGAATGCGAGGCTGTTCTCGCTGCCGTGGGCTTGTCGGAGTTCGTACAAGAGCGCGGAGGCCTCGACTCGGGTCTGAGCGCGGGGACGATGAGCGCCGGCCAACGGCAGCTCATGTCGCTGGGACGCGCCGTGCTGCGGCGCCGCATCCGGAAGCCGGGCAGCGGCGGGATTCTGCTGCTTGACGAGGTGAGCTCAAGCGTGGACGTGGACACGGAGCGAGCAATACAAAAGACAATTCAGGCTGAATTCGAGGGCTATACGGTGATCGCCGTCAGTCACCGGCTGGACATGATCATGGACTTCGACCGCGTCGTCGTTATGGATAAGGGCGAAATTGTCGAGATTGGGCAGCCGAGGCTGCTCGCGGACACGCCGGAGACCCGGTTTGGCGGGCTGGTGAAATCCAGGGACAAGTCATGAAGCGATATTACCTACATATTATAATTTTAAGATTATAAGTACTTATTATATTATAACAATTATTATTAACATTATTTCTTTTTTAATTATTAAGTTTTAAGTACTTACTATTATATAAACGCGCTATGTATATGTTCTCGGATGTATACGGAATAGAAGCGGAACCACTGCAAAAAAATCAAGTTTACCTCGTATATAGACCTTTGCCCAGGGCTCAGTCTGCCTTTCCTGCAGTGGTTCAGAGGTGACAAATTGGGAATTTTCTTGTGCCCTGGGGCTAGACAACTCAAGATCACGATGGCCGAGTGTACAAGAATGCCGGGTGTCTACACCTACGACGACCCAGGGTGTCCACAGCCCGACGAGAAGAACCCAAAAAGGACAGAATGGGCCGACACCGGGCCTTCACCCTCTCCTCGGCATGTTGCTCGAAAGAACCTGAAAACTATCACTGTGTGCCCGCGGCGATCACCGACGGCATGAAATATTTCTGATATCGCTCAAAGTCGAACACGCCCTCTTCAAGCTCAGGGCTATCATGTTCCCCAGCCCAGCAGAACATCTTGGACCCTGAAAGCTTTTCACCACCCTCGACCTCAATCTCGCATTCATAGAGCTTGTATGCACCTGTCTCATATTCCTGCAGACGAGCTAATTGTGAGTACTCGTCGACGTGCCACACAGTCCCCGCCACCGTATCAACAGTGTCTGAGCACGGGATGGCCGCTGGGTATATGCCCCACATCTTGATTTTAAACCCCTTGACGATGCCTTTCTGAGTGAGTGGTGTATTTTCTAGTTTAGCCACGGTTTGAAGTACTTGTGGGCTCATGAGAGAGCCGTAGAAGAAAATGTGGCAAGGTGTGAAAGGCTTGTCTGGCTCTGGGATCTCTTGGCGCAGAGCCTTGGCTCGGTCAACCGCAGCGAATTTGGAAGCCATAGCGGCACGACGGGCGCGATTGTAAGAAGCTTCTCCATCATTTGGATGGGATGGTGTTTGCTTCGACGGCTCTTGATGGTCTTGCAATCTCGCTGGAGGGGGCGGAGGCGGTGGGGGAGCTTTCGGCGGCTCGGGTGGGAATGGCTTCCCATCAAAGCGCTTTTCAGCACCGCGTACGTCGTCCGCCATTGCGGGCTGTTGGTATGCGGGATTTGGAAATGGCAGAACGGTTCTCAACAGTTTTGGACAAGTTGTCATTGAAGGCTCGGGTACCTGGAATAATTGTTGACGGTTGCCTGTTGTCCGTCCATACAACTTGGTGATTGGCCGCAGGCATTAGAGTGGATCCAGCCAACTGGGCGGGCATTTTTCGAACAGTCATGCGTCTCAACATATACCTACATGAGTAGACATTCTTCATTAAGTCGTTGATTACGAGGCGTATCAAGCCCGAAGGCCCGCTAGAAAGTTTTGAGGCTGTAAGCATCCCATGGACCAAGAATTGACAGCTAAAGGCTGGTTGCCCAGGTGGATAGACCGTTTGAGTACACTACTAGTGGGTCAAGTGAAGGCTCATTTACTACCTCTTTGATGCGAGGCGCATGAAAATAGTTGAACAATTCTATTATCAGAGAAAATTCGGGTCTAACCATCCGTTGCGGAATTCATTCATTCTACCTTGAGAACATTTAACGCCTTCAACTTTACATGGAATCCGAGTCCTTCCAGCGGCGCACAAGCGAATAATTTGTCGCCGGCAGCGCTTCACGGATCCGAAGTAAGTGTTCAGCGTCCCCGGACTCGGAGACAACCAAGGTGTTGATTTCCAAGTCAAAGCAGGCATCAGCCACGGTAGAGCCTTCGCGGCCACATATTGGAAACGTCTTTTTCTGGGACATGCTGCAGAACACGCCCTCCTCTGTCGATATAAAATCTGGTCCCAAGGATTTGTCCGACTCGCACACTTCCGTTGCACTGTACGAGCCCCTGCTCGACACTACAAGCTGGCTTGCGAACCTGGTGCTTAATTTTGGGCGGTTAGAAATTTCAGAACGCCGCCACCAGTCTGTTCCTGGCGGAGTAATACCCAGTGTCTTTTCAGTTGGCCCCAGTATTGTCTTCTTGACTCCCTTTTGAGCGCATGATGGGGCCAGTTTCAGTTTCCTTGTTTTGGTTTTATCGTACTTGCACAGGTCCGTGTCAACAATTTGTGAGAAGTTCAGGTCCGCTCCCTGACCCTGAGAGGTGTAATCCTTTTCATACTTGAGTGGCGGGCTGAAATATGGGATGGGCGAATTCCAGTCTAAGTCTTGCCAGGTGGAGAAGCGCGGCGTGCTCTTACACAGCGTCTCTTTGTATTCCATGTATTGGCTAATCTTGTCAGCCGACGGCGCGAAGGCCTCAATTTGAAAACTCATAGCCTGCGGGACACCATTCGTATTGTCGCCGTCAAGCCAGACGCACTTTGGTGTTTGCCGATCTGGTCCGATCTCTAAGTTGCTGGGATACCAATACTAGAACTTGGTCAGTCTTCAGATTGGAACACTGCTCTATAGTGCACGACAGCAGCAGCCGATAGTGCCTCGGCGAGCGTCTCCTAACGCTTAGACATCTCAAGCATCACCATGAGATTGAGATGCGCCCTTCATCCCGGGGAATGTGACAGAAGAGGAATCCCCCTGATTCTACTTACCATTCCACAATACTTTCCCATATCACCCGCCCAATTCGTGGAAACAGCCAAGTCTGCAATGCCAATATGTGCTATGCAGATGGCGTCGTTGTCACAATTGCTCAGAAGAATGTATGATGCAGAGGGACCTGCGTCAAAACGTTTCAGATGCTTGATGTCTATCCCACCGTTGCTGCTTTCGACTGGATATCAATGTTAGCTCACAAGGATCCTCTCACAATTTGAATTGCTGAAATTTGTGATAAGGAGAAGCCATGCTCATCAGAGGCACGATGGGCTTGTCGTAAAAGATCAAATGCTATTTTTTGTAAATGGTGGTGCCGTAGGACTGTATAAGATTGCCAGGGGCAGGAGATGCCTCTTGAAACATTATTTCGTGGTGGCTTACTGGTTCTTCCTGGCCCCCAGACATCACTTCTTTTAGGCGGCTCATGGTAGCCAATCAGTCGGCCATGATTGTCGAACAGACTCACATAAGGCGCGTTGCCCCCCAGTGTATGGTCTGTGTCGGAGCTACCCACTACGATGTTGACTCTGGTCACGTCTGGCTTGGGCATAAGTGTGGTCGCCAATGTGACGATCATACTCCCAGCGTCGATAAGCATCATAGCAGCAGCCGCAGCCATCTTTACAAGTTTGCCCCGTACGGTGAAGACGGACTAGGAAATAGGTCGACCCGGAGACACAATCGAAAGCAACGGAGTTGGTCTTGATGAAACAAGTTCAACTTTTAAGGTGAGAGAGAATATGGGGTCCAAAGCCTAGATAGTATATCGGAGTGATTTCAGAAGTGAGGTAATCGAGTAGTGTCTGACAGAGGCCTACCCTGATTTCACGGGTTGAAGGGCGCTTTGAACACCGTGAATCTCAACGTGAAATGGCTTTGATAGATATTCATCTGTCATTACCCGCCTTAGATAAAGCTTAAAGGGAAGTCGAGTCTGATTCAGGTAAGGCGTCTTTATGGCTTCTCAAAGGGCGAAGAGCTGTGAAAGCAATGGCGGCGCGATGCGCAGGTGAGAAGGTGAAGATACAGACCCTCGGGGACCGTGTTTCCCGATCCTTTCAACCTGGCAAGTGGCTGGAGCTGGTCTCCCGCCAGCAACCCTATTCAAACCTCGACTCGGTAACTATTTCCTTTCCGACACAAGCAAGCATTTGCCCGGCCCGATGGGCCTTATTCAAGTAGATCTTATAAATCTACAGCCTCTCAATCCTTGGCCACCGTCACATCCAAATCCAAGCAGTGAATACTTTTTATTCAATAAAAAATTCTTTTCTTGACTAATCGCTTCCTTATTTTCCCAAATTGTGTTCCAACTTGAAGGACTTTTAGTTCCTACGCTTAACCTTCGCTTTTTGAACGCCACAGAAAATTGCAACACACGATGTTGAAGCCCATCACGGCAGGTCTCGTTCTCCTCCTTGTCACCTTCGCCTCGCAAGGCGCGTCTGCGTCCCCGGTTCCAAACCCGAGGCTCAAGATTCCGGGACTCGGCACGTACAGATCCGGGGTCGGGTTTGTTGACGACGCCACTGAACTCCCGTGGAAACAAGCAGCCGATGCCCAGGCCAAGGCTGCTAAGGCTGCGTCGGGCAAAGGTTCCAGCACCGCCTCAGCGGCCATGGGAGGGGCCGCTGTGGGCGCTGTGGCGGGTGGTGTTGCTGGCGGCGTCATCGGGGCGGGCCAGGCGAGCCCCGGTAGCAACTGAGCTCGTTGGTGCTGTTGTGCTCTGCCGTCTGGGCGAAACGTCGTAGAATCAGCTGCTTCTTCCTTTTCTGATGTCCCAATTGTTCTTTGTCCCCGTCGTCATACTGGAAACTGCACCTGGTGTGACGGTACCAGCCTATGGAGTGCGACAGAGTTCAGTTTGGCGAGTGACGGACCGCCATCTTTCGGTGGACGGATTGACTGATGTTGTCAGTGTTTGACCTTTTCCCCCGCAATTGTCTATATGACCATATATCTAAAATGTCAGTTGTGCTTCGACATCATCGCGATGTTTGATCTCTTCGACGGAGCCTGGTGTATTTCAAGTGACGGGCGAGAACAAATGTCTTTCACTCGTTTCGCGGAAATGCGAATAGTAGGTTTCCTGAGTCCGTCGCTGCTTGTATTGTTGAGTCGGCGAGCAAGAAATTCGCTGGAACGAGCATTGGCGCTGCTAGCTGAGAAACAGCAAAGGATCTCAACAAAAACACACGGCTCGGAGGAACATCTTCAGACAAACACTCTTCAACACATCCAAAACATGAGAAGCCTAGGGCTTGCTTTAGCAGGTCTTCAAAATTAAACGCCTGGGAAACACAATTCGAAAGCAAAGTTGAGACCGAGAAAGAAAGAGAACGGATATTCGCAGGGCAATAAACGGATGGTACAGGGCAACAAGTATCCCTGGTGCCCTAACCTTAATTTACACTATGGCGTCACTATATAAAACATAAAAATATAATCATTAATTATATATTTCCTGAATTCTTTAATTCCTTATCCCTCTCCTAGCTTTTACCCTTATAGTTTGCTAAGGCGTTCCTTCTGGTATGGGGCTTCTTTGCTGCTGGCTTGAGGGTATTATTGCTGATGAGTATTATTGTTGGTGAGGGTGTTAAATGTACTTGATTGGGGTGGTGTAGGTGTGGAATTTGTTGAATGGTGTGCTTTAATTGGCTGGCGATACTTGTTGCCCTGTACTATCCGTTTATTGCCCTGTGAATATCCGTTCTCGAAAGAAAAATGATATTTATATATAGTATATGCTGATATGAGATCGTCCCGACCACTACTAAAGACTTACCTTTTCCACTTACCTTTCATGGCCTAATCAATTATCTCGCCGTCTGGACCCTCCGTGCCAGAGTAGACGTAATTTAGCTGCGTATTCTGTGCGCTGGCTTGCCGCGCTGGAGGATACGGTGCCTCGAGCTGAGGGTGATAAACCCCATTGGGCTGTGGCCAATGTACCCCATGCGACGGCGGCGCAGCATACATATGAGCGTTGGTAGGATATCCTCCACTCTGTGGCGGATACACATACTGCGCATTGGCGGCGATGTATTCATAGCGATCCTCATGGGGGTGCACTCGCGGCCGGACATAATCTACCCCGGCAACATAAGCTACCCCAGGAACATAAGATTCATATCGATCCTCGTAAGGGTGCACTCTAGGCCGAACATAATCTGCCCCGGGAACATAAGCTACTCCGGGGATCTCACAGGCGCGGCCTGCGGGAGGACGGCTGGCCCTGGACTCGCGGCGTTTAGGGCGAGAAGATGATGGTTTTGCCATGGGCTCGATAGTAGTGACTTCGAACCGCTCGCCTGACTGCGCCACGTAGACTACCTTCTCGACAGAAGGGCCGCGACAGTCAGAGCAGAGGTTGTGTTTGCCGGATGTGCCGTGGCCGCACCTGGAGCATCTGATCTTGAGACTCATGCTGGAATATATATATAGTTGAAATAGGAAAGAAAATGATGATGTTACTGCTGTTGTTGGTCGGGAGGCTTCTGGATCTGATGTTCCAAATTTGGTAGCCGTAGAGGATCTGGGAATCGTGGTCAATTTGAATTATTCAGTTGGTCCATCAATCTTTGTTCGACTTCCCTTCAACCTTGACAAAGGCATTCTCAATCTCTTGAACGAATCTTTGGTCCTTCGGCAGGCCAGTTCAATGTTGGTCAAATAAGAATAAATTGTTTCCAGCCAAGGCGGCCGCCTTGTCTTTGTGCCAGTGCGCTTTTCAAGAAAGCAGAATGAAGAGCGTGCCAATGAACACCCATCTGAAAGTGAAAACAGAGGGTTGGTGTATATATTCTGATTAAGCCAACACAAGTACGTGCACAGACTTGCTCACCACACCTATAGGACTCCCGACCGGAGAAAACCACCTGTCAACAGCCCTCCCTGAAAGATAAGTCCTCCGCCTCAGTACAACAGAATGTGCCTGCTAATAATCACCTACCACAGCGTCTGCAGGCACAACACGTACAACTATGGCACATGCGCGGGGCAGACTGCCCATCACCGGTGCCCCAAAAAGAGGACGGAGGTGGGCATGCAAGACCTGCAGTGCACGGCTTGCGACAGGTGGGCGGGCCTGACACGCGCCGCGCAGGAGGAGCGGCGTTGTGTGTGGGTGTATAGGGCCCGCGCACAGGAGAAGGCTATGGCCATACGGGCTGAGAGGGACCGCCGGCGGACCTTGGAAGTGCTTGGGGGAAGGACTCTTGACACGTATGGCAATGGGTGTCAGTTTGACACGGTGTAGTTAATGATGGTACATGAAGCACAGTAAGTTTGAATGATCAATACTTTGCATGACCAAACTTTCATAGCCAGAAGAATACGATGAGTTCAGGATCTACATTTTATGACTTCTGTCACGAACAGTGGTGTCGCCCATACCACCTTACCCACTCAGTGCTCTTTTTGTTTCTATCCGGCAAATAAAGTGATGAGCTCGCGTAGGCGCCTGTGTGGGTGTGTGGGAGAAGCGGGTCAAGCCTCTCAAATGAGGGTATCGTTGCCTTGATGTTTCTACCTGCCATTCCCCTAATATAAATAGCCAAGAAATCACTTCCTCCCCTTTCCCTTCCGTTTCCTCGCACCAGTAGGCTCCTCCTGCTCCTGGATAGGGACACTCTCCTCTTCGGATTGGTCACCCTTCACTTCAACCAAATCACTCTCGTGCCCGTCGTCAGTCCTCTCTGCAGACTCGTCCCTCCCACCCAGAACTTCCTTGAGAATTCTCTTGCCCTCGTTTTCCTCCCCGTTCTTGGCTCCGCACCCCTGGCACCTCCACAATCCCACCTCGGCCAGGCTGGTTGTTCCCGGGGGCGCCTGGCCGTTGACGAGCCGGCACTCCTGACAAATCAGGACGATGCGGTTCTTGGCGGCTGTCTCGTCTTCTCCGAGCAGCGTATCCATGATCCTGTCATACCAGTGATGTTGCAGCCCAGCAGGATTCGCCTCATACTGCCCCCCTTGGACATGTGCTGATCTGGGCCTCTGTTGTTCAAAAGCGTTGGGAGCAAAATCGGCCGAGGGTCCAGTGTGCTGTGGTTGGAGAGCCCCCTGTGGTCCTGGGCCTGATGGCTGAGGCGTTGCTGGATTTACCGGGGGCATGTGGTCGCGGCGAATGTTTGCGGTGGCGGGTGGAGGCATATGTGTCCGTTGTGCCGGAGCCGGGTTGTGACGCTGTGGACGCGCCGGGCTCTTCTTGTTCCCGGCGTCGCCATCCTCGGTGCTCTTTCTCTTGGACTTTGCATTTCCGTCGCTGCCACCATATTTCTCCAGCAGCTCCAACGTAGAGTCGTACTTGGTGGCATCCTTGAGTTTCTGGATGGTCTTCGCCCTCTCATCCTGGAGGCCCTTCAACTTGGAGCTCAGGCTGTCGATTCGGACGTCGTAGACGGCAGTGGCGACAGTGCGGACAAGGTAGATAAAGACGGGCCCGCCGGCCAAGCCGGACCATTCATAGGCGCCTATATTCCTTCCTCCTATGACGACCAGGACAACGATAGCATAGATGAGGTAGGCGATGGACAGGTACAGGGTGCAGAGGAGGCGGACACGACGGCTAGAGGCACGAGATCTCTCGAGACGGGCCTGGGTTGTGGTGATGTTCGTGGACAGAACGGACAGGACCTTTTCGAAGGAGGCAGTCGAGGAGTCGTCCTTCTACACGAGGCCAAAGGGCCAGGTCAGTCAAAGATGGCCTTCCAAGGTCACCAGAGGCACGCGACTCACCTTCCATGGCCACAGAGAGACCATCTTGGCTGCCGTCGCTAATAAAGACCTAGGGCAGGACGAACAAGGGATCCTCCCTGGTCAGAGCAGCCGTATTTCGCGAGCCGCACCTGGCTCTGAGACAAGGCAGACGACTAGGAGACTAGGAGGCTCGAGGCTGCCAGGCATGAAAAGGCATGGAATAGAACTGCGACGATGGTTGAAGCCTGCTTGCTGTGCTGGAGAGGATTGAAGCGAAGTTGGAGTGGTGAGTTATTTGGGTGGTAGATATGCGGTCGCCGTCAAAGATGCGCTGGTTGCAGAATACTCGACTATGAAAGAAAGAGGAAGAGTTTGTCCGTCCACGAGCCAAGGGTGGAAAGAAGCCTTCTCTCCAGGCAGCCCGGACAAAAGTGTGTCAATCTCGCCTGCGACCTTTGGAGATGGAGCTCGGCAGGAGTGACCTCACAGCTCCCTTGGGTGGCCGATCAGCTCTAGAGGCCTGTCAGGGGGCGCTAGAGCAGCTGAAGCGAGAGATGTGGGGTGCCAGGTCCCTGCGCTAATCCAGCAATTGTATGAGAGGTACGAAGGTACATGATTGCCGAACTACTACAGTATCGGGGCCGAGCTCGCCTGGGGTGCGGCCACGCAATTGGGTGCTCTGGCCAGCTCACGGTTTAGATACGGACAGGATAACCCAACCGTCTTGGCCGTCAGAGCGCAAGGCCCGGCACGAGCAAGGCTGGACTTTTTCGAAACACATCACCAGAACAAGACCAGAGTGCCGAGGAAGAGACAAAAAGACAGTAATTTCTTCTTATCCTCACCACTCCCTCCCTTTTAGACACAACCCCCCCCCACCGGGCAGACCGGCGCTGCACGCTATTATGCCCTACCTTCCGTGGTGAACCCGTTACTTGCCTCCGTACCTCTTGGATGACCCGACCCAAGCCAACTTGCCGTTTTGCCCTGCCCTGTCTTGCGTCGCATCACATTGATCCGCACGCCTCCTCCCGGGAAACCCTCCCACGGCGCCTGCCATGTTCCAACGCTGGAAAGGCTCCCTCGACAGGGTCATCGCCGAGGAGCAGGCCCGCCAGAAGGCAGCCAGCGAACAGGCTGGCTCCGGGAGCAGCAGCGGCAGCCCCAGGCAGTCTTCGTCCGTCTCTAGGAGCAACAGCGCCGCATCCGCTGCCAGGAAACCCAGGCCAAAGAAGCAGAGCCAGGACGTCTCTAAGAACGACGATGGCGCGGCGAACCTGGACCCTGCTGTCTTCGAGGCCGCCTTTGTCATAGACGACGACGAGCCCAGCCGCGCAAACACCCCCAAGCCTCCTTCCGACGACAACGCCCCGCAGAACGGCGATGGGAGCGACGGCGGGCCTGTCAGTGGCGAGGCTGGCTCTTCGACTAAGACTGAAGGCGATGGGGAGCTTGCCAAAGATGCCGAGGCCGGGGCGGAAGACGACGAGCAGAAGCCTGCGCCGCCGCCCAAAAGCGAGACCCCCGAGCTGCCGCCAGACATACGCACCAAGCTCCGGAAGCTGGAGAAGCTCGAGGCTACGTATCCAGGTTGGTTCATCTCTCGACGCGAGCCCATGTCTTAGACCTCGGACATTTGTTGTCCAGCTGAAGCTGAAATGATGTGACAGAACTGCTGCGCTCCTACCGGATAGCCCATAGCCGAGCCACCTCCATCGAGCCTTTCGAACGCGCCCTCCGCGAGAACACTCCTCTCACATCCATCAAGGATCCAACTGCCTTCCTCGAATATCTCAACCAGCTGAACCTCAAGGGGGATATGATCATGGAAGAGTTCAAGCGCGTCTCTGCCGAGAAGGACGACTTCAAGAAGAAGTGCGATGCTGCTGACAAGGAGATTGCCGAGCTCAAAGAGAAGGTCACCTCTCTCGAGGCTGCTAAAAGTGGTGAGGGCGAGGCGACCGCACCTGGAAATCAAGCGAGCACCGGCGAATCCGACAGGGCCCAGGCAACGACTCAGACATCTCCGCGCCCGTCAGACGTCAAATCCCCCGTGCAGTCCGTGATGGGCCTTTTCTCCCCCAAGCAGAAGCCAGCAGAGCCCAGCGATGCCAAGGACGGAGATGCTGAGGGGACTGGCGAGGACTTCTTCTCGTACGATAACGAGATCCCAGAGCTGCAGGCTGAAGTGGCGTCGAAGAACGAGGAGATCGAGAAGCTCAACATCCTTGTCAACGACCTCAAGTCCGAGCTTGCAACGGCCAAGGACAACAGCGCCGGCCTCGTCGAGAACCTCGAAAAGGCAACCCGAGAGCTGAGCGAGACGCGGGACGGTGCAGCCATGGCCGACTCTCTGCAGTCACAGGTCGACGCGCGGAATATCGAGATCAAGACCCTGACGGAACGCATCGAGAAGCTGGAGGCACAGTTGAAGGACCTCCAGGACCAGCTCCAGCTGGAGAAGGCAGCAACAGCAACGGCCATCAAAGAGAAGGACGAGAGACTGGCCGAGACAAGTGCCTTGCACTCGGAGCTCGAGAGCGGGCTGACCAAGGTCACGGAAGCCAAGGCCGCCCTCGACACGCGCATTGTCGACCTGACCACCGAGATCAAGGCCCTGCGCCAGTCGAAGCTGGAGAATGAGCAAAAGATCGAGGAGCTCAGTGCTCAGGTCCAGGCCACGCAGGCGCCGCCTACACCGTCAACGACCGCACCATCCGAGTCCCTCGAAGTCCCTGCCGCGGCACCACAGCCATCCTCATCCAACAAGAAGAAGAACAAGAAGAAGAAGAAGGGCGGGGCAGCTGGAACCGCGCCCCCTGCTGAGACCACGAACAATGCTGGCGACACTACGCCGCAGCCTCCGGCGACACCAATTGACGGCCCTTCAGTTTCTGAGTTGCAGCTCGAGATCGCGAGCCTCAAGTCCGATGTGGAGAAGAAGGACGAGCAGATCGAGAGATTATCCAAGCAACGCAAGACAGAAGAGGATCTTAGGGAAGAAATCGAGACACTACGAGAAAATATTCTGGACATTGGCGACGAGCATGTCCAAGCCAAGGACAAGATCAAGGGCCTGGAGGCCGAGAGGAAGCAGCTCCAGGAGCGCATTGCTGAGCTCGAGAAGGAGCTGGAGCAGTCCTCCTCGTCTGCGCAAACTAATGACAAACTACAGGGCGAATACGATACCATGAAGAAGGAGTTTGAGGATTTGAAGACCAAGTCGTCGACGCTACAGTCCGACCTGGGCGCTGCGCAACAGCTGGCCCAGAGCAGGTACAGAGACCTGACCGAGCTTCGCGAAGTCCTGCAGAAGGCTCAGCCAGAACTCAAGAGTCTCCGCCAGGAGGCTGCCACCCTCAAATCCACAAAGGACGAGCTGGCTGCCAAGGTTGCCGAGCTCCGAGCGATGGAGAAGCGCGAAAAGGAGCTGAAGACCGAGGTCTCGCGCGCACAGCGGCTGGCAACCGACCGCGAGACGGAGACAAAGACACTCCGCGAGAAGCTCACGGCCGAGACAAATGCCAAACTGACGCTCGAAAACGCACAGCGCATTTCGGGCCGTGACCTGCGCAAGGCGGAGACCGAGAAGATTGAGCTCAGCGCCAAGGAGGAGAAGGCGACGCGGGAGCTGCAGAGACTACAGGAGGAGATGTCTAAACTACGGCCGCGGGTGAAGGAGCTTGAGGACGAGTGTGCCAAGCTGCGCAAGGAGGCGGACATTGCCAAGGAGGACGCGGAGCTCAAGACGAGCCAGTACACCAACGCGCAGAACCTGCTAGGCAGCATGCGCGACCAGACTCACGAGCTCAGCATCCAGCTCAAGGAGTCCCAGGGCCAGGCAGAGAGCCTCGAGGAGGAGATATCCGAGTGCCGCAAGCTGCTCGGCGAGCGCACCAGAGAAGCGGAGACCATGCGCCGCCTCCTCGCCGAGGCCGACGAACGCGCCAACTCCAAGTCCAGGGAGATGCACGAGCGCGTCGAAGAGGCCGAGAAGGAACGCGACCGGTTCGAGCACGAGATGCTGTCTTCCTCACGACGTGCGAATCGCCAGACCGAGGAGCTAAAGCAGCGCATCAAGGAGCTCGAGAAGGAGAGCAAGACCCTTGCGGACGAGAAGGACGAGCTCGAGCACAAGGAGCGCGAGTGGCGCCGCAGGCGGGAGGAGCTCGAGGCGGTGGAGGCCAAGGCGGACGAGGAGGTCAACGAGATGCGGCGCACGGTAAACGACCTGCGTGCCACGCTGGATGCCTCAGAACAGCAGGTGCGCGACGCGGAGAAGGCCAGGAACGAGCTCCGGCGCAGCCTCGACGACTACAGGATCCGCCACGACAAGCTGGCCAAGGAGCTCAAGATTGCTCAGGGCAAGCTTGCCGCCACGGGAGTGAACAGCCCGGCGGCCGGCAGCAGGGGCAGCATGGAGAGCCAACGGAGCGGTGGCGGCAATGGAGCTGCGGCTGGCGCAGGTGGGGGTGGCGTGGATGCGGTCTATCTCAAGACGATCATGCTGCAGTTCCTGGAGCAGAAGGACAACAAGCTCAGGGCACAGCTCGTGCCGGTGCTGGGAAAGCTGTTGAGGTTTGACAAGTGAGTTGTCCCCAGCCATTGTTTGGTTCTGTCAACATGGACCCCCCCTCCCCGCCCTTTACTTCTGGCTCGGATGCCACCCCCGGCCGGCGTTGGCTTTGATACTTGGTTGATATGTCCCGTTACATGAGGCGAAGAGGGTGGCAGACGGCGCGGGATCGAGCAAGGCTCACCCATGGGTTCTGTGACGATGCCGGTTGGGCTATCTTGTGTTTCACGACCGTAGCGATGCGTGTACGGGTATGCTGTGCAACCAGTTGACTGCCAGCCGGAAAGGGGGCCCGTTGACCTCATCCTACGAACACACACCCACACTTTTGTCTCTCTCCTTCCTTATTCATCTCCTCATCCCACGCTGGGAAATTGGCTAACGCATTTGCTTCTTCTGTTGTGTCTTAGGGCCGATGAGCAAAAGTGGATGGCAGCTGTCCAGCAGATCGGGGCACGATGATCGCAAGAGGCGGGGGCCCGCAAGCATGTCTTATTTACGACTTAGCCAGTTCGTGGAAGCGAGGGAGCCACGCCTTAGCCAATATGAAAAGCGAGGGAGCCAATCCAATGCAATAATTCCAACCGCCCTTGGCAACGATAGTGTATGCCAGCTCGCGTTTGCCTCTCGACGGCATCATCAATCGAGATTCGCGGTCGTTCAGCCATACCATATGACGCCGAAGATGTGACTAGGATGATTAGGACACGTTGACAGACCCCCGAGCCATCAGGCATTGCCGGTCAGGATGCGAATCTCTCAAGAAGCGGCATGCCGAGGATGGCAGACTTCACGTGAACAATATAGTTGGTGAGAGAAGTCCACTGATACAAGGGGGAGAAAGGACAAGATGACACGTCCCCACCACCACATGATACTTACTGGTCGCAGGCCAAACGATGCCGCCGCGGCATACAGCAGCATTGATTGCTGCCTCTTGCGGGCTGTGCCCGTAAATGGGACGGACCATGTGTCAACGGCCTAACTCCGACCATCAGGAGGCTGTGCTAACCACCATGGGGGAGTATTTATCCGCAATGGCGGCTTCTTTGGTCGAAGTGCGATGCGGTGTGACCTCCCATAGGACGGTTCCGATGACAGTGAGACATCTCTTCCTCGTCCCCGCGGCGGCTTCCCTCTTGTGGGTGGTGGAGATGCACGCCTGTCACTGGAGCTACGTTTCTGGACCCCGGCACACACAACCCAACGCACGGTCAGAAGGCACGTCCTTCCGTGGCAGGCAGGGCGGTGGCACCGAGCTGAAGGTTATTCCTCGGTCGGCGTGCGGACGCAACTGTCGGTGGACGCGAGGAAAATAAACAGATGAAAAGTCGGGAGGCCCGGGTCGGTTTCGCAAAGTCCTGCACACCTGCTTTCTTGGGCAAACCGAACCCAGGGTCTTTCGTGCAGACGGCCAGAACGGCATGGCCAAGCATTGGGCCTCAAGAGCTGAGCTCACCGACGCCGACAATGAAGATCTGGATGCCCAGGGCCATGGGTTCGCTTCCTCCTTTGGCAGGTCCAGGCGGTATGTTCAGTGCTTTCCTACGTCGGGGCCCTTATCAGATCACAAAACCTAATATCAAATCTCTGTCCCGCCTGCCTGGCTAGACCGTTCTCTTTGCTGTTGCGTTGGATTATCAATAGGCCGCTCTGCTTTGTACTCAAAATAAACATGGCGGTGGGCAGGAAATGACAGTTCGCATGTGGAGTCCCCGGTGGAGGCGGCTGAAGAGCGAAAACGAAGTGGGGCCGGTGAAGGAGGGAGGTACCCGTTAGGAGCTGCCGGTGAGGGCATTCGCCACTGGGCGTGAGGAGGAGGTGAAGGAGGAGGAACGACTGCCACCAACCCGAAAGGATATTTCGCCCGGCAGGCAGGCACGCAACCTTCCGGGCAATCGGTCCAGTCGGCCACCATCATGGCGTTGGTCGCCCCGACGGGTAGGGAGGTCAGCGCGGAATGCGCCGCTCAATGGCCGCTCAGCCCTCCTGGGCGACTGCGGCGGGCACGGAGCATTTGCCCTGAACGTGATGGGCCAGGTTCAATGCTTGTCCTTGCCGCTGCGCCTGTGTGCACGGAGTACACGCTCATCGGCTGGAGAGCTCGAAAGCTCGGATGCCCGTATCCGAAACATGGCAATCTGGGCATCTGGCGAGCGCGCAAGCATATGCCCCACGGGCAAGACCAGGCCTGGCTGGGTGTTGAGGCTCGGCAGTAGCCCTTGTAAGACCCGAGCCCAGGGCCCTTGTTCGACCTCCAAAGGGGCTGAAATAAGAGCGATACGTAACGGGGTCGGTTACATCGACTTGTGAGCGCTTCTCCGGCGAACTGGCGCGGGGACCCGTCATGCTGAGTGGCCCGGTGAGAAAAGATTGTGACGGACCTAGCTCGTCCTGCAGAGTTGCGTTATTGCGTACTGTGCTAGCTCGCTGCTTGCCTGCCTACCACTCCGCCTACCAAGCTGTTCACTTGCTTGCGGATATGTGGGAGGGCATATCGAATAAGGTTTCTTAAGTGGATCTCGATGGGCCGCCTGTGCTACATTGTCGACCCATACGCATGCAACCATAAACAAAAGTACGGTTCTTCCCAGCCCTGCCGGAGACTCGGGCAGGCACATTGGCTCGAAAACGCCGCGGACTTGCGCGTGCGAGAGATAGATGCGGAATGCACACAGCTAGCGGGCTCAGTCTGGCTCCTAGACTCGGATTGTTGGGACCGGCGTGTCGACTAATAGTGACCAGGAGCAGTCGAGGTGCAACGCCAATGGCAGTGACAGATGTGGTGTTGTGGGTCAGCAGGATAGTCTGCTAATGTTGTTTCTATCTGACATTATTTGACTCCGTCACAGCAAACAGTACATATAATTCGTGCGCATACAGTGGTTGATCATCCACTGCTGGGGCGCGCGCTTCCTGGACGGAAGTTTGGGCTTATGGGAAGCTTTTACACACCTTTTCCTGTCAACTACATACAACCCTGACAACCAACACAATTCACCGGTAACAATAGCCAGCCCCGAACCGACACTAGGCGTGTAAGATAGCCTGCCGGGTCTGTTTCTGGGCTGTGATGGTTGCATGCTCGATCGGCTGTCATCCTGGACTAGCTGGCTGGCACGTCTGGTTATGTCTTGGTGTGGAAGAGATGGCAGGGGTTCGTGTGGCCCGGTCGGCCGCCGGAGGGCTTCCGCGTTGCCCGTCAATGGCACAGATCGCGACTGCGCCAACACCCTCCCCTGGCCCCCTCACGAGGCCCCTGCAGGCTGCCCTGCCGCGTGAAAAAAAGTGCCCTGGCGGCCTGGTCCAGTGGTGGTCCTTGCTGACTATTCTCAACTGCAGGGCCGGGCAAGGTCCCCGCTGCTTGTCACGGCCTGCCTGCGTGGGAAGGGAGCACTGGCGGCTCGATCAGGGAAACCCGAGCCTGTTCGCCAGTTGGATCAAGGTTTGGTCAACAGGATAAGCGGTGGTCTTTGCACACCGCCATCACGATCTCTTCTTTTTTTTGCCTCCGCCGGCCATGCTGCAATGCTGCACAGTCTGAACTTTGGACGGGTGACTTCGGACTGGAGTGCATCGGGGCGCAGTCTCGTGAAGAGCCAGCCGAGGCCGTGGGCATGGACATCTGTGAGCCTCTCTTCTCCGCTGACCCGGGATCTCATGAACCCCCACATCCGCCGACCATGGACGAAACAGTGCCAGGTAGAGACAGACTCAGAAACGCAAGACACAGACCGGCCTAAGACATGCACCCGTTGTAGCTTATTACAAGGAGCTGCAAGCGAGCCATCGCGAGACCGACATTATCCGTCCAATAACAGCTCTCAACTATCACCGCTACCGTCAGGAATACGTACTCCAGTATGCACAGTTCAGCCTGCCTGCCGGACTGGGTCCTGGCTAACCAAGGCACGTCTAGGCCGGACAGCTAGATCCGGAGCTGGTGCAGGAGCCGAGCTGGTGTGACGAGGCCGACCCCACCAAGACAAGACACTTCCATGTTCGCTTTGGTATGTGTTGTGTAGTTTACTGGACAGACAAGACCACCATCCTTCGGCTCTCTCTTCTTCCAAGCACCACCCCTCCCGGGTCCTTCTGTCCCTCCCCTGTCCCAGCCCTGCCCCTCCGCCTCATCAGGCGGGCCTCCATATACCACGGTACACTACGAACTATGACAGTGTTTGGTTTCAAGCACGCAGGCCCCCTGCTCAGCAGGGCCTGACAGACAGTCAGACAGACTTCAGGACATCGGACAAGAGAGGGCTGCCTGACTGCCAGGGATTGCTCTCCTTGAGGCCCGGCAGTCTGGTATGAAACGGACCACCCAGGCGTGGCACAGACCTCTCTCCGCTCGACTGCGCTCACCCTTCCCAGGCCTTAAGCACCCAGACGTTTCAATGATCAAAAGACTGCCACCCTCCTCGGAGACGGCAGGTCTGCCAGGCTGCCAGGCGCGTCGGGCATCGATGAGCAACGGCTGATGACGACGGCAGATACAGGCAGCTGGCGGCCGGTCTTTTTGGGCTGTGTGATATGACACGGCTCGATCCCATGCGGTGCGATGCGGTGATGTGCTGTGCGATGCGATGGGCTGGGCTCTGTCGCTTCACCTCCCTGGTCCCGGACCTTTGAAGTCGACCGTACCGTCGCCTCACACTCGACTAATAACTCACTTGCATGGGCCCGCACCTGCATACGCATACACTACATACCTGCGTACATAGTACACTACGCTGGCGTACAATGGCCATCTCCGCAAGCTGGCTGTCAACCGCCGTATCTTAATCTGGGTGGGCCTGATGTGCATCCCCGTCCCATCCCCATCCCATCCCCGTCGACGAGACACCCATGCTCGCATCGGACGGGACGGACTGTGGTCGGGGCGTAACGCCAAAGATGATTCCGGCTGCCACGACTTGGGGTCCCGGATCAAGCGGTATGTGGCCCATGTACCGGGGTACTTTCTGTACATACTGTCCGTACTTGCAGGATCCCGTAGTATGGCACTTGCACCCCCTTGGTGGTCCCAGGCTCTGCCTCGTCTGCCGCATGCCCAGTTGCAGCATGTCATATGTATCATAGCATGCCATGGCATACTCCTTCTCAACCCACCGGTCTCGAGCGCTCGCCAGTAACCGAAAAAACAAGAGTGACCAGTGACCAGTGACCATTCCTGGATGATCAGCTGTTGTTGGCGAACCTAATTTCACACAGCCGGGCCCGCTCCCGGTGGTTGCCGTTCGTGCCTCCCTCCTCGCCTCCTCACGATACCCGGCCATACACTTCACCCCACCGCTCACTTCACAAATAAGCCCCTCCTGGTGCCCACACTCTAATCTTTGACGCCTTCCGACCCCGTGGTTTGTCATTTATAAATATATACAGACGCATTCCCTGATAGACATCAGCCGCACCAGCGACAACATCATACACAGCATCTGTCGACCCGGTTTTCGTACTCGTCCCACCTCGCCTGCACACTATCACTCACTCACCCTCTCCAAGCATGGGAAGTCTGTTCATCGACGATAGCCTCCACCACACGGCGGTTCTGGGCCACATATCACAACCGACTCCTCATGATCCCTACCGATACCAGCACGGCTTTGGCAACCACCATGCGTCAGAAGCCTTTGCCGGCGCCCTGCCAAGGAACGGCACCAACCTGCCGCAAAAGCACCCGTATGGCCTCTACGCCGAGCATCTGAACGGCACCTCCTTTGTGTCGTCACGCGAGTCTGTACTGAATTCGTAAGTCCTTCGACTGCAAAAGAATTTAAATTGCACTTGCCAACTCTCCCGGGTGTGGTCCTTTACGTACTCAGCCCTACTTGTTCGTCGACACGGCCGCTGACGTGCATATTTTGAACCCAACTAGGTGGATGTACCGAGTCAGGCCCTCTGTGGCTCATCGCCCACTGCGACCTTGCAAGATCTCCGCCGAGGTAATTTGCTTCTTCATCACCCGGGATCCGAGACGTCGTGCTTTGGCCGCTTACCAGTTCCTGCAAGGTCGAGTCGTGCTTCCTGCCCCTAAACCCAAACGTCGACTTCACACCACTCACCCACACATGGGGTCCTCTCCGGGGGCCCGTCCCGGCCGACGGCACCAGCAGATGCCCTCAGACGCCAGTGACCTTTGTTGAGAGCCTCCGCACCCTCGGCGGTCATGGCGACCCTACGCTCAAGGAAGGTCTCGCCGTGCACACCTATGCCTTTGACGCGGACATGAACCGGCAGGCTTTCGTCAACAACGACGGCGAATTCCTTATTGTCCCCACCCGTGGCGTTCTCGACATCCAGACGGAGCTCGGACACCTCCGCGTCCCACCCGGCTCCATAGCCGTCGTCCCACCCGGGTTCCGCTTCTCCGTCAATATTGCGAGCTTCCCCGAATCGGCCGGCGCATCCGGCTACATCCTTGAGGCTTTCGGGGCCCACTTCAAGCTGCCTGAGATGGGGCCACTCGGCGCGAACGGACTTGCTCACGTCCGGGACTTCCAGTACCCCGTGGCCAGCTTTGATGTGGACTTTGACCCGCTCCCACTGACCCCCATCGACAGCCAGGCTTTCCTCAGGGGGGCTTCCCCGTCGGACTGGCGCATCATCACCAAGCTGGCCGGCAAGTTCTACCAGTACACCCAGCCACACACCCCCTTTGACGTAGTCGCCTGGCATGGACGGTATAGCCCGTACAAGTACGACCTGTCCCACTTCCACCACATCAGCGCCAACACGGACCAGCTCGACCCCACGGCCTACACCGTCCTCACGGCGCCCTCAAAGTGGCCGGGCGTGAGCCTGGTCGACTTCTGCGTCTTTGGCGAGAAGTACGCAATCGCCAGGGACACGCTCCGGATACCGTACCACCACCGCACCATGGCCACGGAGCTGGTCGGCATCATCAAGGGCAAGTACGGCGGCAGCGTGAGGAGGCTCGAGGCGGGCGGCATGAGCTTCGAGCAGGGCTACATGCCGCACGGGGAGAGCTACGACTGCTGGCGGCGCGAGTCCGAGCGGGACCTCAAGGTTGAGCTCGGAGGAAAGGACTTCCTGGGCTTCATGTTCCATGCGTCCTCGCACGTCGGGCTCACCAGGTGGGCCACGGAACGGCATCCCGATATTCGGCGTGAGTTGTGTCCTGCCCCATCTGTGCACACCCTGCGCCCCTCATTTTCGCGTGAACTGCCGCTGACAAATCCATCTCTCCAGTGGAAGAACCCGCGTTCTGGGATAATCTCCGGGCGCCCTTTGCCGACAGGCTCAACCAGGCGAGTCAGGCGCTGGAGACAATGAAGGCCGCCAACGACGCCGCCATCCATGCTGAGCTGACGGCACTGGCCTTCGAGGTCATGGCTAACCGGAGGAGGCTCAGTGTTAGGAGTGTCACGGACAGTGAAGACGAACACAGTCACGTCCAACCCTCTTTATGATTACCGAGAGGGTGTGTACAAACAAACATGCGCTAATGAATGATAATGCCGAGGCAAGAAAAGAATGGGTTCGGTTTGGGTCTGCTATTGGTTCACGGAGTACTGCAAGGCGCCAGATTGTGCTTATGAGCCTGGACATGCAATTCGAACAGCCACGATACCTATACTGGATTTAATACAAGTTTCTGCTTTGAGGAACACTGGTCTAGTACTCCTAACTTCACATATGCTGTACAGAATCAAAGCATTATTGACCGCAATGGTGAGATGGCACGTTCCTATATATCCCTTCTCCATGTCAGTCTTGAGGAATCATCTATTTTCGGTCAATTATGTTACGCATTGATGGAAACTCAAGGTCTTCAATGCGGCGGCATAATGTATAAACAAACTAGGTTTAGGCATCTGTTTGCCTGTGATTGATTTTTGAGTTTCGACTCTGGTCTGGATCACGCGCGTCAACCGGCATTGTCTCTTTGGCAGGCAACGGAGCAACGGAAGTTATTGATTCGAGCAATGATGTTGACGAGATCTCGATGGCGTGCAGCTTTTTTCACACGCTTCACACGATGCCACGTGCGGCACCTGACCTGAACCTTGGGAATTTGGTCTCTATTCTAGTCTATTATTATCTCAAATCTAATTGCTCTATAATCCCCCGGGGCCCTGCTCGATTTGCTTTCCCCACAGAAGCATCTACGCCTTGGAGACCTCCCTCCACGTCTTGCCCTGCTCCAGCGCGACCAGGCTCAGCGCCGTGTCCCGGATGCACTTGTCCAGGGACGTGAAGCTCATGCCCAGCTCCCTGCCCGTCCGGGAGTTGTCCACCTTGTAGAAGTCGGCGCGGGCCGTGGCTTCCGGGTCAGGGATCTTATCCTTGCGGTCGGGCAGCGTGGCCCGAAGCACCCTGCACACGTCGATGTACTCAAAATTGCCGCTCGTGATGAAGAAGCGGCCCGGCTCGGCGCGCTCGTAGGCGCGGAAGTGCGCCTCGCCCACGTCGCGCACGTCGGCGAACGCGGGGAACCCGGTCGCGCCCGGCTCCTTCTCGCTGCCGTCCATGAAGCGGTAGATGTCGGCGATGCTGGTGTTGAGGTTCTTGATGTCCGCGTCGTGCTCGACGGGCCCGTAGATCATGGGCGGGCAGATGGTCGACACGGTGAAGTTGGGCTTCTTCTCCTCGACAAAGTCCCAGGCCGCCTTTTCGGCGATTTTCTTGGACCCGCAGTATGCGACCGTGCCAGAGCCCGCCTTGGCCTCCTCGTAGGTGACGGGGTTCCAGTCCTCCTCGGTGTAGGTGTGCCCTGGTCGGTAGCCTTGCACGGGGTCGACGATGGAGGCGAAGGACGAGGTGACGACCACGCGCTTGACCTGGGGCGCGTGGGCGGCGACCGCCTCGAGCACGCGCGTGGTGCCCTTGACGGCTGGGCCGAGCAGGTCCCTCTCGTTGTCCTGGACCTGGAGGACGAAAGGAGACGCGGTGTGGATCACGCCGGCCACATCCTTGACAGCCTCGTCAAATGCGTTGGCGGCTGTGATGTCTGGGACGATGACTGTGGTGAGTGCGTCGCCAGCGTCCGGGAACGCCTTGTATATCCTCTTGGCGGAGCTCTCACTTCGAGCCTGGCCTCGGACGTGGTATCCGTTCTGGAGGAACTGCTTGATTACATGTGTTCCGACGAAGGAGGTTGCGCCGGTCACGAGGATGATCCCCTTTTGGGTGCTGTTCGTCTGTCCGGCCATTTCTTTTCTGGATCTTGATAAAAGGCTTTGAAATGATTAAAGTGGACGTCTCTGGCTTCACGGTGCGAAAGAAATCAGGTCGCTGAAGGGTTTATGAGCTCTAGAGGCATTTCGGGTATAGGCGATACGTGTTCGCCGCCAGGGCTTGCTTATATCTCATCGGCTGATACTAACGCCGGCGGGCCTTTAACGTCATACTGTCGATATTTGTAAGCCACAGCCGTGACAAAGATTTCCTGACTGAGTATGGTTATGGACGTTTTTATGGCCCATCGAGGCCCATGAGCCCATCTTTTCAGGGTGTTGTGGGTCGACGGCCGGATTTTCGGCGGATAACGTCATGGATCCCAAGGTTGTTCAGTAATCTAAATATACCCTGGTCATGAAGCAAGCCACAGCAGTCAGCTTCTTAGTCTGCACCACAGACATTTCTTATTAGTCAAAACGACAAGACGAGTTAGTGGCACGGGTTATAGATACAGTCAACAGCTCCCAAGATTGAAGAGGAAAGTGCCCCAGGCTGAGGAAGAGAGCCCGTACCTAGGAAGGGAACATTTGAACAGTGTGAGATGAACAATATTAATTTTAGTCATGGGGAATTTCTTGGAGACCTCGGGAGGCTTCAATATATACGCCATTGATACCCTGAATGATCGAAAAATTAATTTTGACTTGTAAGGTTTACAAAGGTCATAAGCACATTGAATTCTGCTGACATGAAATGAACACCAGGTAAGTTACTAAAGTTATGCATGCACAACTTCAACACATCGATTGAGTTGCAAAACATGCGATGAGCGAGTACGTAATTAGAAAGTGAAAACAATATTCTCGCTCGGAGACACTCGCAATAACGCATGAATTGTCAGTTACTTGCAAGAGGTTTATCTACCCTAGGGTATCTGCATCTATGCCAACATTGTATCATCGACACTTTACTCTGTATTCATCACTTGACTAGAAAAGTAAACACAACGATCTGACATCTTGCTTTGAAAGTTTACAGGAGCCACTTTCTAAGAGGGTTTATTGAGTAGGTCAATCAAAATTAATGTAGATGCAGCTAGAGACGCCGATCATCCTATCCATCGCTCAACCATGCCCTGAAGACTCCTGGAGAATGCACTTCCTTCCTGATCAGCCACAGATCTCAATGAAGTAAAAGGCCTCTGCTCATTGATTTCGTCCTCGGAAAACCAAGATCCATGCAAACCATATGGAACCCTTTGTGGCAGCTTCACTCGAGCTACAACATCTTTCAATGTTTTCGCATCGATTATCCACAGCTCACTGACTGCGTCCTCGCCACATTCGCCATCTGAACCGAGCTGACTCTCATCAAAGACATACGTCAAAAGCCAGCCATCATCCTCGCTCTGCCGCTCAATTTCTCTCCGAGGAACGAACCGGGGCTCTTGCGCAAACCATCCATCAGGCATTTTGAACAACTTGATGGGGTCGTTGGGATCGTGGCTTTCTTGAACTTCAACGACAGTCCGGGTATCCACACACCCTCTTATAGGCTGTGGTGGATGCTGGACACCACGCTCTATGAGTGTCTTGACATCGATCTTTGCGAGATAGTCGATCTTGGCCGCCTTACCCAAGGCAACCGTGTACGACGCATGGCCTGTTGAGCAGCCATAAATATATCGCGCCTCGCTCATTGAGTGGTTTGGTGACAGTGTGGGGAACTCGAACGAGATGGCTGACAGTGCCCACTGGTGCCGGATTCGATGGCCAGGTTCATCCGTGCCGTCGTTCGCAGACAAGGGGAAGTTGTAATAGTACAGCCTACACTGCTCCTCCTCTGCGTATTCCGGCGGCACCGGTTTGACAGCTGGCGTGGGCAAATTTCCGGCGCTGAACACCAGCGACGCTGATGTCAGCCTGCATGCGAGCAGGTTGACAGATGTCTGTTGGATATTGGCGCCATTCATCTCACCAGTGTGTGTGACGGAATCCCAACAGTTGGCCGTGTGGAAGATGACACACGGATTGGTCTCGAACCACTGAACGAGATCAGGTCGATATCGCGGGAAGACTCCGTACCGTGATTTGCCCCGGGAGTCGTATGATAATACGGGCACGCCTCGAGCGAGGTTCATCGGGTCGAGTGTCAGTGGTAGGTCGAGAATAACGGTGTGATTTCGAGAAGCGCCGAAGTCGTGCATCATCTTTGGTGCCCTGACCCCGGGGACAGGCATCGAGAGCCGAGCGCTCAAGGGCGGCTGCAATAGTGACTCTTTGCGCTTCGACGGTGGCACAATAGAGTAGTAGCAGAAAGGTTTTATGAATACGGCGTGGAAGGCGATCAGTTCCTTTGTCACGGGGTCCACTCGTGGGTGGGCTGTTGTCCATTCCCTCATGAAGGAGAGGGCGCCGCCGCCGCCGAAACCCCCCTTTTGGTCGTCGTCTTGGTTTCTGGGCTCATTCTCGGCAGTGCGGCCGTTGAACCAGCCGATCGTTTCCAGTCCGGGAAGGGCGAATCTCAGCGGCGGACCACTCTCGCAAAGGGCGAGTGCGCGGCCATCGTGGTACATGACCGAGGTGTTTGCTACGCTGATCTTCTTGATGGGGTATCTGGATCTCGACAGATGTGACAGGAGAACCAGAGCAATGGTCCTGACAATGGCCCACAGGATAGTGAAGAACCCCAGGGCTGGGTTGACCAGTGTCGCGATGCTTGGAAGAACAGGTCGGCTCAGACTTCGGTCCAGCTCGCCAGCGGGTCCGGCCCTTCGCCTGGCGTAGGCATACACATCCGTAAGTAAGAACTGGTTCACAAATTCTGGCTGTATCGTGGAGCCCTTCTCCCCGGTCCTTCGAAAGAGCACGCCACTCAGCATCCCGTCGCCGTCGAACCAGTGAGCATCCCGGCCGAGATCGTCGTTTGAGACGGGGTTGCCGCCATTTCGAACGTACTGCCCACCGCCCAAGTCAAGGGGAATAGACCCCGAGTACACGCATGGCGTCAGAGACCTCGTCTTCTTGATCGGTGCGAAGTTCCCTGAAAGATATCTGCACCAAGAAGGTCAGGACTGAACAGGACACGATGGTTTCACGGCTCAAATTGCAGCCGTGCGCTTGTCACGGTTCAGGAGCAAGGGTGGATTACTCACGGATGTCGCGGGCTGCTTTCGGCCAGTGGTATGAGATGCTCTGATTCTGAACTCATGGTGCCAGTGCCCACCCCATAACAATCACTTTGTGCAGAGCCTTACAGCGCAGACCTGCTGCGCGTGGCGCTGTCAGAGGTCAGGCGCGACCTCGATTTTGTTGGAGACGACCGCGGCGAACAACGACGACCTTCGCGACAGGAAATGTGGGAATAACTGTGCCGTTTTCTCACGATGATTTCGATGATGTTCAGGTCACGTACAAGATCTCGAATTGGAAACTCAATTGGCCCAACTGACACTCACAGCACTCGCGGGCGGTTTCCACGATGCGCCTTGACACAATACTGGGCAACCAATGACCTCATGCCGGCATGCGTCGAAGGCTAGTCCGCATGCTTCTTAGACCGTTTACACCTCCAACGTGGTTGCGTGGTTACCACCCAACGGCCCTCGGCAGTTTGGGTGACCTTGTTTCTTATTGCATCGTATTATACAACTAGGCTGGACCTGATGCGCGAGCGTGCCAGCTAACGTCTGTCTATCTTGCTGTCTTGGCGTCACGCTCCTGCAACTTCGCAATATGTATGACATGACAGGACTGCACAGCACTGCATTATCATATCCCCGGTTGTTACATGCCCGTGGCAGCATGCGTCGTGAATTTCCCGTCCCGGCCGTCCCGGTACCTACACAGGAGGAGAATCACTACGTGTCAGTGGTTACATAATGGCAATTACATTTATACACTGACAATGTACCTTGGCAAAAGCAAAACATACGATACGTAGAAATCAGAGCCCAAGGCCTGAGCCGAGAAAAGGGAGGGGAAATGTCGCAGAGCTCAAGGCGCTCAGACTTCCCAAGACAGTGAAACAGGGGGGTTCTTCTTGCTGTCAAGAGTATGGCGCGAGTTTGTTGTTTTTCGTCAATGGAACCGCAGTCAGGTGAGCCGCAGATTGGATGACGCACAAGACGTTGCTACTCACTGCGGAGACGTGCGAGGTGTCGGTCTCGAGTGGTAGCACAGCGGTCTGGTCGTCCAGGGTTCAAGGCTCGAGGAGCTCCCAGACAAAGCTCCTCGTGCTCCTGTGACCGGGATCCAAGCTCGAGCGGGCATAGCCCGGGCATGCAGATGTCGATGGTCCTTGCTGCTGACCGATCAGCCCATAGATCGACGGGTGCTTGATTTTTGCTGAGCCTGCCACTGCATGTCGCTGGCTGCGGTCGGAATAAGCTTCTGCATCTCCAACGGATTCTCTAGGCCGGGGGCCCGTCTCCACAATCCCGTCTGCCGCCGCGAGATGTCCACGGCGGATACTGCAGCACCTGACTGCTGTGCAGATCTTGCTTGCTTCGGAGGATCTGGCCCAGGCCGGGCCTGATGTTACATGCTCCGCAAACGCCGTGGTATCCTTCACACTGCAGCAGTTGCTCAACTAATCACGTCTCGGACTGTGCCAGCCCCGTCGAGTTTCGCGCGCGTTACCCGGTACATCTTCGCTTCGAGAGATTTGAGATCTCAGTAGGCCCGTCCAAGGCCGACAAGACATGCTTGCGATCGCGAGATTTCCGCGGTCCGGACCCACAGAAGCCTAGGACAGGAGGGGCGGGACAGGCACGCTTGACTAGTCGTGGTGCGGCCTCTCATTCCCGAGATCCACGCTATTTGACAACCAACAAGTCATGATATCATCATAAACAACGGTTTTGACGTCCCACTGACGCGAGGAAGCAGCAACAACACTTGTAAATGTGTCAATTTCTGCAGTTCGGGAAAAAGATTAGCAAGGAGATAGATAGAAAACAAGAATGTAATTTCTTTTCACAAAGTTCTCCGGTAGAGGCTGGGACGGGGTTCAGGCGCTTGACATACTCTTCAGCCCTGATGTTAGTGAGACAGTTGTATGTACTCATGGTACGGTACCTGGGTAGCGGCGACGATCACGGTGCTAGGCCTTGGCCCACCACCCGGGACCTTTGTTGTCTGGGAACATCCGGTGAAGTCTCGAAGAAAGCTTCCTGGGAGCAGCTCACCGGTCATCCCAACCTTGGCGTTTTGGGCGCACGCACCGTTGCTACCCTTTCTCATATAATAGACTCCAAACCACAAGCATGGCGCACGGCAGACGAATCACAGGTACAGGCACCAGACTCTCATAACCTGGAGCTCCCTGCTGATATGTCTGTTGTCGTTTCAAGACCACCAGTCAGGAGGTGAGCATATGCAGTCTTTCACACAAAATACTACATAGACTGGGTACGCAGTACACGTCGACCCCACGATTCAGGACACCAACTCAAAGCCGATGGCCTGGATGATTGGACAATTAGCTCTCGCGATTTCGGCCTCAGTACAACATCGACGTTTGATCAAGTAGTGGTATTGCGCCCTGTGGCTGGGCTAGTGCGGCCCACGTCCCGATCACTTGCTCATTTGTTTTTTTTCCAGTTCAATATACCTGCCAAGACGTCATGGAGTATCCGAGCGACCCGCCAGCCCTCTGCAAGTTTGCTAGGAGTAGTGCTGATTTACCTGTCACGTCTCATGTACTCGATGGGTCGTGGAAACCATCGTGGTGCAAGTCCATGGATGATCTCATGACGCTCGACGACCTACCCTTGGGTCACCGCCCTTCCTCACAAAAGGTTCAAATACCCTTCCATACCCCGTCCTGATTCAATGGGATGCCTTCGATCAACACATCAGTTTTGCTTTGATACCCCAAACTTAGAAAGATATCTGTGATATCGAGTGTCGTTACATTATTCCCCCAGATCGCTCCAATCCTCGCAAGCCTTAGTAACATCAACCTGTCGAGTCACTGGTCTACATCATCATGGCTGGTAATCAGGCGCTCAACGTGAACAGCGTCGTGGCTACACACGGCGACCTCGCCATCTCCGTGCGAGGCTCAGATTGGTACTTCACCGTCTGTGCCATCATGGGTGCCTCCACCCTCGCCTTCATGGGCCTCGCCTTCACCAAGCCGCAGACTCACCGCCTGTTCCACTACATCACTGCCGGGATCACTGCTGTCGCCTGCATTGCCTACTGGTCCATGGCCTCTGACCTTGGCCAAGCCCCCATCCAGGCCGAGTTCGTCAGGCCGGGCCGGGCCGCCGTCGCTGCCGCCGGAACCCGAGAGATGTTCTATGTCCGGTACATTGACTGGTTCGTCACCACACCGCTGCTGCTCACGGATCTTCTCCTGACGGCCGGACTCCCCTGGCCCACCATCCTGATCACCGTTCTCGCGGACGAGATCATGATCGTCTGTGGATTGGTTGGCGCCCTGACCCAGACCACCTACAAGTGGGGATACTTCGCCTTCGGCACAGCCGCCCTCTTCTTCGTTGCCTACGAGCTTGCCATTGACGGCCGTCGCCACGCCAACGCCCTGGGAGGCTCCGTCAAGAGCACCTTCATGCAGTGTGGCGTCCTGACCCTCTTCCTGTGGTTCCTCTACCCGATCGCCTGGGGCCTGTCCGAGGGCGGCAATGTCATCCACCCTGACTCCGAGGCCATCTTCTACGGCATCCTGGACATCTTTGCCAAGCCCGTCTTTGGCTTCCTGCTCATATTTGGCCACAACAAGATTGACCCCGCTCAACTTGGACTTGCTATGCATGAGCCCGGGCAGCACAGGAGCGAGAAGGGCATTGTGCACCCTGAGGGTCCCGCCACTGGCAACAACGGCACCACTGCCGCCTAAAAGGCTCCAAAGCTCTGGTTTTCGAACCAAACTATTTGGAGACGGTGAGGGAATCGGGGAACGTGCAGGGGCAGATAGTGAGGGGGGCGCTGTTTACAGCAGCGGCGCGTAATTATAATTGATGTCGACCGCCTTAGTTTTAATACCATGGTGCGGGTGTCAGCGTTGTCCATTTATGGCCAACGAGTTACTAAAGTTAGTTTAATTGTTTTGGGTGAAGGAGATACCCCAGTACTGTCATTATGAGATACACGCGGGACAAGTCCAAATTTAAACCTCTATTGGGAATTTCGAGAAATTGTGATATTTGTGGAAACTCGTTTGAAACGAAATAAGAGCTCGACTGAGACCTTTGCTGCAATTCCTGCGACTAGCACAGCCTGAGTGGCTTGTCTGGACGCTGTCCTTGGCTAGCTTCCTCATGCATCTCAAGTTGAGCCTCGTTTCCGCCCCAGTGCCAATTTTTCTGATTAATCCGGGAGTCAACATTCAGCACATCTATCTTTTCCCATGATGCTAGGAAACGCATATGGCAGGTTGATGATAAACTGGCTGTTGTTAACGTACGTGTGTGCAGAGGTCACTCCTCTGCCTCGATTTGACGGAACCCATGGGAAAGCTCAATGCTGAACAAATCCGTACGCGTCTGGCTCGAGAAAATAATAAGTGGTGCATCTGTCTAAACTGGGGAAAATAAAATCCTCACTAGCGAGTGCAGTGCGGTATAATGACTGTTAGAGGACATCCCGTGGCACACTACGTGATATAAATATGTTGTCAGACTATGCCTTGTCCTGGTGCATACCTATTAAGTCAGTTGCCAAGATTACGACATGACCCAATGTATAAAGGCATGAATATAGCTATTAGAGCCTTCGTCTCTATTCTAGGGTAAATCCTGCGAACCGTTACAAAATCGCTCTTTATGGTCTTCATCTGTTGGTGTGGATATGCAGGAACAATCCGATCAGACCAATTGTGTACAAAAGTAGGACGACTTGAAAACATGAGTCTTACTTAGCAACATAGGCGTATATCAAACGTTTTTGCTGCATCACGTGTAGTATTGAGAATCTCAAACTGTTGCCTAATGGCCCATAAGAGAAAACATATGATCGAGGAGACCTGACTGGGAAGAAGTGACTGGGATGACAAAAGCTTTGCAAAGGTAAGCCCCGAATTCGGGGCTCTGCAAATACTTCAATACCCTCACTCAGTCCTTCCACCACTCAGTACTTGGCTCCCAACTGTTCCTCTTTTGAAATTTGCTCTTTATCAACCACAATGACCGCTTTACCCTGTATCTTTCCACTGTGAACCATGTCAAGCAAGTTTTCGATCTGGTCCAGGCCGTGAAAGATGTTCGTCTTGACTTTGATGCCGGTTTCAGCAATGAAGCGGACCTACCGAACGTTAGCAAGACCGTGACGTTTCCGCCCGACACTCAGAAGCTCGTTGAGTTCTCGGAAGTACCCACCATGGCATTGCTCTCCCCGGGTGAGCTGACGACGCTTCCTTTGACCCTGACATCCCGGAAGACAAATTCGCTGAAAGGGATGACCACGTCCTTCGGCTGGGCAATTTGTACCATGGTCGCGTGCTTCTTGGTGATTGCACAGCCCAGCGCTGCAGCCGAGTTCGCATCGGAAAGAGTAACAGTTGCGTCGACTCCCGGGTTCCCTGGATTCGCGTCTCGCGTTACCTCCCGGACCTGCTCCACTACCGCCTCCTTTCCTTTCCTCGCATCGATGACGACGTCGGCACCAAGAGCCTCTGATATCTGCAGTCCGTCATCCCTCGCATCGATTCCTATGACTTTTAGCCCTTTCTTCTTGGCAAATTGTACCCCCAGATGCCCTAAGCCTCCTCCGCTTCCAACAATCGCGAGCCACTGGCCCTCTTTGAGGTCTGCCTGTTCAACGCCTCTCCATACCGTCCTGCCGGCACAAGCTAGAGGTGCAGCACTCAAAAAAGAAATCTCGTTCGGGAGCTTGGTGCTGGTGCGCGCATCACAGACGGCATACTCGGCGAAGAAACCATCCCGGTGTACGCCGCAGTGACCTTCGGTGTTCTCACAGTACTGCCTCCAATTTTCATTGGGGCCGGTGCATTCAGGGCACTCGCCGCATGGGTGGAAGGGCAGACCGCACATCACTCGGTCGCCGGGTTTCAGATCCGAGGACGAGCCTGCCGCCACCACGGTCCCGGCGCCCTCATGAGAACCCGTCACAGGGAGAGTTGTGCCGAAAATCCCAGATTGAATCATGCTATCAGTGTGACAGTAAGATGCCACAGCAACCTTGACGAGAATATCGTAGGGCCCGAGCCTGTTAGGATCTGGGGCCTTGATCTTGTTGACCTGGTAAGGCTTGTTGTATTCGACGACCTTGGCTTGTCTGTTAGTGGCTGGCCCCTCCGGAACAGAATATGAAGTCACGGCATACCTGAATGGCCATCATTTCTTCAGGAACCTGTGCAGCCATGATGGAGCCTTTCAATGTTTTGAAATAACCAATTGATGTATGGTCAAGGTTCGTCCTCAAGTGTTAAAATGGGGGCAGCCAGTCAATGAGGAAGCGGCTCTGGGGATACTGAATCTTGGCTAGAGGGGACAACGCCGGGTAATCGATGATACAAGAAGTGTGGGGGAAGGCCAGCAAGTTGGCGCTGTGCTACCATTTGGGATGGGGTTCAATCGCGGCTCGGCTTGCGGTCGCTCAATCAATGTTTGTCTGGTGAGGGGCCCTTCATGACGTATCTTCGGCCACATCGGCGATAAGGTGGTGTCGTTTCTAATCCCCACACATATAAAAGTACGTGGTGCCTTCATACTGCGGTGAACGCTGAAGACTGGCATCGGCGATAAGGTTAAATGGACCGTGCTGTCGTAGACTCATTAACAAATGGAACCCACTGGTTCTGGACAATTGTAACCGCTGGCACAGATAATAACCAGTGATGGTGAAATTTTAGGCCCACCGACCCCCCTAAAAGAAATCTAAAATTTCAGGCCCTTTAGTAAAAGAAATAGAAAAATACACTAAGCTTAATTAAGTAATCCTTTATATCTAAAATAATAGGTGGTAATAATTTTATTAGATAATTAAGTATTCTATTATAACTATCTATTTTCTAACTAACTACCTATTAGTAATTTATATTAATAGATCTATTAATAGATATTATTAAACTTTTAATTAAATAATATTAAATTAAATTTAAATTATTATTAAAATAGTTAATTGTTTTCCTTTTAACTTTTATTTTAATATAAGGGATTACTTTACTTATTTTATTTATAATAGAAAGCCCTAAATAACTTATAAGTAGTGTAATATTTTTTATTATAAAAATATCTCTTATAATAAGATATATTTAATTAAGAAGTATACCCTTTTTTTAGCTACCTATAATATTTAGAAGTAAGTAAAACTACCCTTTAACTTCTTTTAATTAATGAAAAGACCTATTTATATAAATTAATTATAGAAGATATTTATAAAGGCTTATTTTATATTAGGGTAACCTTTTAATATATATAAAGGTAAGGATAACTTTATAGTTTATTACTATTTTAATTTAACTTTTATATTACTTAATTAAAAATAAGTTACTACTTACTTTAATAAAGTCTATAAGAACTATTATTAAAATATATTAAACTAACTTATTATTATAATCTATATAAACCTTATTTTTAATAAATTTAATAATATTACCTTTAATTAAATTATTAATCTCTTTATAAAGATTTTAAGTTAGATAGTTTTTATTAAAAGACTATTAATATTAATACTATTTTTATTTATCTTTTAATTAAATAACTTTTTTATTATTAATTAGTTTAATTATTAATAATAATTTTAATAAAGTTAATTTAATTTATATTAATACTAACTCTATTTAATATAAGTATTAGTAAAATTTATAAGTCTTATTTAAGCTTAATTATATATTAAGTATTCTTTATAATTTTATAAATTATAACTATTAGTTAAGAATATTATAGGTATATTATTTTAATAAGCTACTTTTAATTAAACTACTTTTATAATTATATTTTTAATATTTAAAAATAATATATCTAACTTTAAAATTTAATAGTTTAATAATATAAAAGTTATATAGCTTATTAGTAATAGTTATTACTTATTAAAGTATTTAATAAGTTACTTTATAGTTCCTTTAATAAGTATATATTATTTTATAACTTTTATATTAACCTAATTATTTAAATAGAAGTATATACTTAAAGACTTTATTAATTAATAATTAAAACTAATTAAAATATTAATCTTTAAAAGACTATTAATATCCTTTTAGTTAATCTTTTTAATAATAAGTTAACTATTTATAAATAATCCTTAACCTTATTATAATAGTATAAAAATAATTTAAATTTAATAAATTATATATTTATTAACTAATTTTATACTAATTAAAAATAAAAAATAGTAAGTATAACTTAAAGTTAATAAATAGTAACTTAAAGTAAACTAAGTAATACTTTTATATACTTTTATACCTATTTTATTAAATAAACTATTAATATATATTAAATTATTTATTCCTTTAATTTTAAAAGTTTTTAAATAATACTTTTAATAAGTTTAAATAATTATAAGTAATAAAATAAGTTAGAGTATATATACTATATAATTAAATTAAAACTATTATAATTAATTATATAAAGTTTAAGTTAGGTTAAAACTTTTACTATAGTTCTAACTTTTATTTTATAAAAGTATTATATCTATTAAAGAAAAGTAGATAAAGTAAGCTATTTTAAATATATTTTTATTCTTTATATTATATAATACTTATTTAATATACTTATTAACTCTATATTAAATAAGTAATTATTCTTTATAATAAACTTTATATACTTATAATTATATAATTAATTTAAGTAGAAAGCAGTTAATAAGCTTATATTTATTTATATAAATACTTATATATTTAAATATTTAGCTAATTAAAGGGTTTAAATTATTTAAAAGAAATCTTTAATTTAAAAATTAATTTTTAAAGTACTATTTAAGTAAAATAATAAATAAAACTAATTAAGGTAATTAATATTATTAACTTACTTAAAAACTTAATTAATTTTATAAATAGTTTAATTAAGTATAGGTAATTTATATTATTAATTAAGAGTTTAAAAGCTTAAATAAATTAATTATAAAATATATTAATATAGAATTAAGGTAATTTATAGCTTAAAACGCTAATTTAATAACCTTAATTAGGTATTAGTTATTAGTAAATTACTTTAATTTATATAGAAGATCTATTAGATTTAAGGTATCTATAAAATATTTTAGATCTACTTAACCTAGTGAAATGAAATTTAGTTAGCTAACTGAAATATTTTGAAAATTGAAATTTTACTGGCCTATCACTAATGACAACCCTTGTCATGCTGGAGGTAGTACGGGATGCTGACATTGCTTGGTGAGTTACATACATATATGCACACCACATTAGTTAAGCCTCTGTTGCAGGTGGTTTGCAAAGGGCCTGCCAATCCGTGCCCTCGGGCATGGATCCTCGGAAACCTTGGAACGCAATATAGGCCCAAGCTGACAACTGTCGTGCACGGATGAAAGGAATGTTTATGCACTCGCACATTTATGTCCATAGCCTGACGAGATATTGACAGGTCACAATGATGTCTATCAATTAATGCAGAGTAGCACTCAAAATGACTAATATGATTCACGTTGCCGGTCTTGTATTGTTCGAGGCTCTTCGCCGTTCTTTGATAGACGTGGGCCATGTTCGAGTATCCGCGGCCAAACTGCTGAAACACCAGAGTTTGGTTCAGTGGAACTATTTATATGATAACGAGATACAAGGAACCTCCTCGAGTTGGTAAAACACTCACAGCCCCCCTCTATGGGCAGCTACTGACAAAGGGATTAAGCGAGGATTCATTCGGCCGAAAATAGACATCCGGTGGAATACCGTACAGTGCGTATGGCTAGATAGGTTTGTTTGTAGGCTCCGGCCTGGAGACTTCTAAGTTGCCGAGCCTCTGGTCTTTGGAGAAATAACGCCCTGGTCTGTGATCCTGCTGATGACCAAAGCCACATGGTCCACAACACTAATTTCCTTTTGCTAGCATATTTCTGAGGAACATGCAGACTGATAACGGGCTTGGGAAGGAAACTATCGATACCGTGCCTCTGGGCGCATTGGCGGCCCTCTTTTCCTGCGAGTCAGCCAGTTGTGATTCGAGCCTCACCGGTGCAGTAGTCGGGCCCACATCAGGGTACGGACCGCTGCCGTTGGAACAATGCGTCTTCTTTCCGCTGGTTCCGGAGATTGAGAACCGATAGACTGGGCGAGGACATCCCTTATCCAGCAGCAGCCCCGCGGGCACCCCTTACTCTATCTCGTGATATCTGGGCCACTCTGCCTTGATAAAGTGCCCAGGTGGCTTGTACTCCACCTTCAATGCTGGTTGACTGCAGATATGCAATGACAGACGGACACACCGCGTCAATGCTCAGGTGACGAGGCGGACGATGGCCATATAATAATAATTGGACAGCCCACGCCATGGAGTCGATTGTCTTTGTCTTCCATCCTAGCCTTCAACTAATTTACTTAACTGGCCACACGTGTCGTTGGCTCGGAGTCTGTGCCGCCTCTCGTTTCTAATTTTCATTCCTTCACGTCACTCATTTTAAGAACTTTGCGACTCGCTTCCAAATAACAAATACATAATAATGCTGTCCCACCTCGTCTTGGCGCTCGGCCCTGTTAGTGCTCTTGCGGCATCCGTATATGCCCCCGTGTCCAGCACATGCCCATCCGGAAGCCTCGTCAGGTCAGCCGATGGCATCTCGGAATCGGAAGCAAACTGGGCAGTCGGACGTAAGGCCGTAGCCGACGCGGCCCTCAAGAGCTGGCTTGAGAATGCCCTGCCTGGAGTGGAGACCTCCAACCTGCCGACACTGGCCCTCTCGATATCAGGTGGAGGTTTCAGGTCTCTTCTCACCGGCGCCGGTGTGGTTCAGGCCCTGGATGGACGTGACAGCAATTCAAGCACAACTGGTCTGTACCAAGCCATGTCGTACCATGCTGGCCTTTCAGGTGGTGCGTGGCTGCTGAGTGCCCTCTCTGCTGGCGACTGGCCCACAATCTCGAGTCTCCGCGACAGCGTCTGGGCAACTCAGTTTGCGGGAGGCATCCTGGATGCAAAAGGTGCTACTACGGTGGGCGACTACCAACAGATCGCTGCGGACATCATCGCAAAGGGCTCAGCTGGCTTCCCAGTATCCCTGACAGACCCATGGGGACGGATGGTGTCTTACCAGATCATGTCTGGCAGCAAGGGTGCAGTTGACTTCAAAATGTCAGACATAAGCTCGTTGGACTCCTTCAAGTCGTTCGACGCACCTTTCCCAATCGTGATTGCGTCCAAGATGACGCCCGACAGCGGAGCGTGCGAGCCGGCCGCGGATGAAGCCCTCTATGAGTTCAACCCGTTTGAGTTTGGTTCATGGTCCGACGACATTTCCGCATTCGTCCAGTCTGAATACCTCGGCAGCAACATCACCTCCGGGGCCGCCTCTCAGTGTGTCACCGGGTTTGACAACATCGACTGGGTCCTCGGGACGTCTTCTATGCTCATGAATGAGTACGTCTGCAACGCGACTCTTGGCGTGGATGTCACTACCCTTTTCCCCAGCAGCCTGGTCGAGGTGGTCAAGAAGTTCACTTCTTCCGACGAGTATGGCTACTCAATGGTGCCCAACCCTTTCAAGGGATTCAACTCGACAACAGCCACCAAGCCAAGCACCATCTCCAACTCCAACAACCTCCACATCGTCGATGGTGGTGAGGCCGATCACAACGTACGTACATATCTCAAAAAAGATGCTCGTTTGAGCTCTGGAGCAGTCACAATACTGACACGATACCATCATAGATCCCCCTACTGCCCCTGCTTGAGCCAACACGCAACGTGAGTGTCATTATCGTCAACGACAACTCCAATGACGAGGGCGGCTTCCCCGACGGGACTCAGGTTGTTGCTGCATATGATGCCACGCGCACTGGACGCTTGGCTGGCCGCTTCCCCACTGTTCCGGCCGCCGGAAATTTCAGCACTTCCAAGGCACAGTTCTTCGGCTGCGACGAGCCTGAAGCGGTCACCGTCGTGTACTTGCCAAACTCGGAGTGGTCATTCGCCTCCAACACCGCCACGCTGAAGTTGACGTACACAGCGGCCGAGACGAGCTCCATGATCTCAAATGGAAACCAGGTCGCGACTCAGGGCGGCGAGGGTTCGTGGGGGGCCTGTCTTGCTTGCGGAGTCATGCTCAAGGAGGTTGGGAGATCGAACCTGCCCAGCGAGTGTGGGGCTTGTTTGGAAGAGTATTGCTGGTCTGCATAGACAGATTCATTTCATAGCGACTTTTTGAATGTTCATACTTGTTAGACATGGAGAGGCATATGAGCACAGTCAGGTTTCTGACTCGGAAAGGCTACTCTCTGTGACACCGTGACATCGACTCCATTAGTCAAAAGTCACACACGATATTCCTACGATGCAAAGACCAAGGAAACTCGGGACACTGAGGCGGTGTCTTTTTGTTGATTTTTACTTGCGCGTGTTTTCGTTCAGGGTACGATGATCGGCTGAACTGCGGAGACGATTGACAACCGGCTCGGGTTAAGCTCTCGGCAGTCTTTAATGCCCTGAGCCTGATCGGATTTACAAGCTTAGGTGACCCTCAATTAGGCAAAGTTTCGATCATAAAACCGAAGCCCCTTTGGAGTTTCGTCTGTCTTGGGCAAAGTTATCGAACCACCATTCATCTTCGACAATTTGGGAGAACATTTGAAGCCTACTGCAACTGAACATGGACAGCGGATCCGATTTCATGAGGAACTTCAAGCCTCCCCCCTTCGTTTCACCGGAGGATGCCCAGACCTTCAAAGACATCCAATACTCCTCCCACGGCCATGTCCGTCAGAGGTTAGACCTCTACCTGCCTAAGCACGGAAAGTCCGGCGATAGCCCGCTGCCCCTCATCGTGTACATTCACGGTAGGCAACCTTCTGAGCTTCGGAGTTTCTGGTCCCGTATCCGCTTCGCTAAACTACATTGACAGGCGGTGCATTCAAGTTCGGGTCCAAAGAGTCACCTTGGATGCCCTCTCGCCTCATCGGCAAGGGCTACGCTATCGCCAGCCTGGACTACCGTCTCAGCGGCGACGCCGTGTTTCCTGCGGCTGTAGAGGACTGCAAGGCCGCCGTCAGGTGGCTCCGGGCCCATTCAGAAGAGTACCGGCTCAATCCAAGTCGGTTTATTGCATTCGGGGAATCTGCAGGTGCTCACCATGCCGTGTTCTTGGGTGTGACCTCACCGGCTGGTGCTGGCGACGAGCTCGATATGGGCGACCACCTGGACCAGTCTAGTGCAGTGCAGGGCGTCGTCGATTACTACGGCCCTTCAGACTTCCTGCAGATGGACGCTCATGGCATGCCAGACGGGAAGAACCAGACACATGACCCTCCTGGGAGCCCGGAATCCTTATACGTCGGTGCAGCTGATGGAATCCAGGCTGAACCGGAGAAATCGGTGAGGGCAAATCCCATTACCTACCTTTCAGAAGCCAAGGCGAAAGGCGTGCCCCCGTTCTTCATCTCGCATGGCGTCGACGATCATGTGGTTCCATACCATCAGTCAACCCTTCTCCACGAGGCACTGAAGAGAGTGGGCGTAGCAGTCACACTTCACCCGGTTGAAGGCGCAGACCATGTGTTTGATGGGATGTCACAGGAGCAAAGTGACGATTTGGATAAGAGAACAGATGAGTTCCTGGCTTCTTTACCCTAGTTTTGAGGCGAGGATGAGGGTGAGCTATTGACAACAAGGCGATCTGCATATTTCGCAATTGGGAAACGAGAAGGTCAACAGAAAACAGAAGAAGTTTCAGGCGGCACTCCTGGTTATTTGATTGCACTTGGCTCCCAACTGTTTGTGGTTGTAATGCCTGTTGAACATGGGTTGAGCCGGTGATTCCCTCTGGGATTGTTGGTTGCACACGTCATATACGGATAAAGACGTAAGTTTAGCTGTACAGACTGATGCTGGGGAACCTGGGGTAGATGACCTAATGAAGTCCTCAACACACTGAATTAGAGCCGTTATACATCCTGCTGTCGAGGCATTCGAAGCACTTGTCATCAAATGCTAAATGTCTGGCCTGGGTCACCCCGGATAGCGACAGAGACGCTATGTATGATCAGCACGATCCGTTCATCACCGACTAGCACTGGTTCTTCCCAAAGATGCGGGATGGGTTTACAGGGCACAAGAATTTAGTCTTTTCGGATTATGGAACATGAGACGAGAGAGCCGGCTTGGCCAAGAGTTTAAATCCCATGACTAGTTCTCGGGGAGCCGCATAGTTCGGCCCCTGAGATATGAGACACACATGCACCCCTCCACGGGTGGTTGCGGAGGTGGCTCAGCTACCTTCTGCACAATGCCACAACATCAAACAGCTCACACATAAGCTTTTTGGCGAATTCCATTTCGTCTGGAATTTGGCTTGCGGTGTCCTCTGAGCCCCCGACAGCACAGCGCGCGGTATTCTCAATGTGATGGTTGTCTGTCCCTGCTTAGGCACGGCCTCAAGATAGGAAACCCTGTCACAATAAATATATCATGGTCTGGTTTCCCACCTTGTGCCCGCCTCTGCCGATCTTACGGTATTTCACTCTGCCTCTTAGTCGGAATACTGCGATCATTGACTGACCCGCTTTCTTTCTTTCGCCCAGGGGGCTCTTATTCATTCGTTCACCACGGGGCAAGGACCCGACTTCCGCTCATTGATATTGTACAATTTCAATTATTGCCGCCATGAATCTTATCAATCTGCTGGTCTTGGTGACAGGCGTCACGGCTGTTGACACTCTGGGTGAGTCCTCCTCACGTACCTACGCCACGCAGCCCTGCATGCACCAGACAATAACAGAAGACAGTCGACCTTGGCTATGCCAAATATCAAGGAACAACGGTGGGAACAGGAGTCAACCAATGGCTTGGAATGCGCTTTGCAGCACCATCAGTGCCGCCTCTGCGCTTCTCGGCCCCACAGCCGCCGCTTAATGAGACCGAAGTCCAGGACGCGACCAGAGAAGGCACCCTGTGTGTCTCAGCCAACAACCAGGAGGGTCTACAGTTCGATTCTGAGCGCCAGCCTATGGCCGAAGATTGCCTCTTCGCCGCCGTGTACGCCCCGGCCAACGCCACGAAGCAGAGCATGCTGCCAATCCTGATGTTCATCTCCGGCGGTGGCTTTAGTTCCAACTCCAACGGCAATTTCAACGGCACCGGGCTGGTGGAGGCCAGTGGGGGGCAAATGATCGTGATCAGGGCCAACTATCGGGTGGGCATATTGGGCTTCATCGGGGGCACACTTGTCGAGGCTGACAACAAGGGTGCAGTGGCGAACAATGGGCTCAATGACAGTGCGTTGATATCCCCGGTGTAAGACTGGGATCTTCCCAAGCTGATATACGATCCCAGTGGTCGCCGCTGCGCGTTGGATGCAGCAACACGCCACGAAATTCGGCGGCAACCCGAACCACATCGTAGTCTCGGGAGCATCTTCTGGCGCCAACGCAATCGACGTGCTGCTCGCCGCCAACAACGGCGCCGGATTCCCAGATCTTTTCGCTGGTGCTATTGCGGAGAGCCCCGGCTGGGGCAGCGAGGGGTTCTCGGCTGACCGCGACCAGGCGCTCACCAACAATCTCAACGCGACCGGGTGTCTGAACGCCACCGACCAGATCGACTGCATGCGCATGATGCCCATTGCCGAGTTCCAGAACAAGACGAGCAAAGATGGGTGGGGCCCGACCGTGGAGGGGAAGCTCATCGCGGCGCCTCACTACCAGATGTTCGAGCAGGGCCGCTTCCAGAACATACCCATAATCTACGGGTACGCGAGCGACGAGGCCACCCCGAACTTCATCTCGAACCAGACGGTCAACACCACCGAGGAGGTGGGCGCGGACATCCGCAGCACCGTCGGCAAGTCGATGACGGACGCCGAGCTCGCGGCCGTGATGGCGGCATACCCGGAGTCGCTCAACAACGTCTCCATCTTTGGGCGCGACGTGAGCGCGCGCGCCAACGCCTCCCTGCGCGAGGGCAGCGGCGCCCAGTGGCAGCGGGACGCGGCCATCAAGACGGAGCTCAAAGAGCACTGCATATCGGCCTTCCTGAGCGACATGTACGCCAGCGCGGGCCAGGCCCGGAACTACGCGTACCGGTACAACATCCTCGACGAGACGGCCGGCGGCGCCGCGGACAAGGGCCTCTTCTCGCCGCACGTCAGCGAGCTGTACTCGGTGTGGGGCAGCAACAACACCGACGGCGGCGACCCGGGCTGCATCAGGCTCGGCGCGGCGGACCCGCTGTCGTGCGCCGCGGGCGCCGCGGTCGCGCAGGCGTACTGGATCTCGTTCGTCCGGGACCTCAACCCCAACACCTTCAGGCTCGCGGGCTCCCCCGAGTGGGCCGCCTGGTCCGTCGAGGACCCCAACCGCATCGTCCTCGACAACGCGGCCGCCGCCATGGAGAAGATGGGCGCCGCGGTCGGCGAGGTGCCCATCGGCGAGCCGCCCATGAACCAGCGCCAGCGGTGTCTGTCGTTGACGACTAATCTCGCCAAGAGGATCAACTTGGGCCTCGGAGAAGGCCAGACCGTGCCGGACTTTGCTAACGGGACGAGGACGGATCCCACCCTTGCTGTGTTGGGCTCGTCTGGCGCTGCTGGTGCACCCCCCGTCCCAGGAGGAGGTGGCAGTTCGGGTTCCAACGGCAGTGGGAGTGACACGACTATAATCATCATCGAATCACACGGTTCTGGCGGTAGCAACACCTCGAGTGCCTCCAATAGTAGCGCCGGAAGTGGACGGCCAAGCGGCGGCGGGTCAGTATCAACTGGAAGCGGTGTCAGCGTGCTCCCTCTAGGGACGCTCTCCCCAAACGGGACAATGAATGGGACAAGGCCACCGGTGCTCACGAACAGCGCAGCGGAAATGACGTATGGATTTAAGTCACTCGCAGCTGTTCTCATCGGTGGACTCATACTCACCGCTTGAGACATGCAGGACCGAGCTTGGACGGACAGACAAGAGGACCATTCTCGGCTTGAAGAGACAGGTCGATTTTCCACGCTGATGCCGGCTTCATAGCTACCTTGTGCATGATGTACATTGTTTTAATAGTAGTAACGGCCAAACCTAGTGCCTTTGTGGTGGTTAACAATGTGATTCGCTTCGTGGCCATCGCAATCCAATGACACGCTTCAGTAAAGCATCTGCTCCCCGAATCCAGTCTCCTTGGTTAATCAGATCCCCTGGACGGTCGTTTCGACCGTGTACCCGTTTGACCCTCTGATGTTCAATACCAGTTGACAGGTCTCTTCGTTAAGCAGAGGTGGTGGGTTTCCTTCGAAATCGTCTGTGATGAGATGTCCAGCGGCTAAGCATCCTCATTGAGCAACCGGGGATCAACAGGTTCAGTATCAATTGTGTGCAGCGGTTGCTCGGGGTTGATTGGGGCGCCAGCTTGGCCCTCGCCCATTGTATGTAGCGACGTTTCGTTAGGCAGAGGTGTCGGGTCACCTTCAAAATCGCCAGTGACAAGATTTCCGCCAGCCACCTGTGCTCCTAGGACTAGATTGGGGTCAAGTGGAAGTACGAAGGGATCTTCAAGACCGCCAGTGACGAGATTTCCGCTAGCCATCCATGCTCCCGGGCCCAGATTGGGGTCAAACGGAGGTGCCAACGGATCTTCAAGACTGCCAGTAACAAGATTTCCGCCAGCCATCTGTGCCCCTGGGTCCAGATCGGTGTATATTGACCCACCTTGGGGGAAAGAGCCAGAAACATCAGGAAGATACGTGTTGGTGAACTGTGAGGACACTAAGGCGCCCGTGTCGCCGTCGTCTGTGGGGAGATTTTCGACGCCGAAAAGTGATCCTGGGTCCAGATGTGTAAGCATCTCTTGTGAGTCGGCCACTTCACTGACGGGTTCAGGCAGCTGTATCCTGCCGTCGTCATCGAGGGGAAGTTCAGACCCCTCAGAGATTTCCTTGTCACTTATGGCTTCCAACCACAGTGGAGCTGAAGGAGGGACATGTTTTGGAACCGGTTGGACATATGCCGGATATTGCTGGGGACACGCGGCAGCCATGCAAGTTTTGACCTAGAACTCTGTCTGTAGCTGCGGGTGATCTTTTCCATACGCCTCGAGATCGAGGAAGATGGCGTCGGATTCCGTCTTGCCGAGATGTTTCATGCGCTGTACATTTTCATCCCATAACTCCTTCATCTCCTCCATGGGCTCATTTCCCTCATCTTCGTTGTCCTCGTCGTCTAACTCCATGGCCTTTTCGATGCCAGACGATTCGCCCACCAGGAGGAACTGTGCGTTGGGCACGAGGTGCTTGGGCAATGTTCCCATCCATCGCAGAGCACGAAATTCATCCAAGATCTGACGGTAACACAAGTTGTCAGCCCGGATGCAGAGTCTTTGCCACCGCCATCGACCTTACCTCTTTGGGGTATTTTGGGCCATCGGGGAGGCCAGTGTTGCTGGGAGCCGGGTACTCGGGGTTCCTGGTGCTGAGGATCCAGCTGCCCTTCTCTTCCAGACCGAGATTTGTCTGCACCTCCCCTAGCTTGTGGGGCGTGCTCAGCATGTAGGCCAGATGGCTTTCACGCCCGGTCGTGGTCAGAGCATAGACACCCTGGCCGATGGGAACGGCTGCCGGCGAGTGTCTGACCCCAGCCGTCTTGGTTTCGTAGTCATTGGCAGGGAGAAAGTCGTTTTTCAACTCGTCAAAGCTCGCACTGGTCTTCTCAACGAAGGCGATCCAACGATCGCGCCCAGTCTTGGGCAGTTTCTTTTTAGGTACGGCAATCAGACGGCAGTTGCCAGCGTCGCCGATAGGACCTTGGGTGAGCTTGGCATCTTTCGGGATAGGGCGGAGAAGGATGAAGGTGCGTGCAATATCAGAGACCTTGTCCGGATGGTCGATGCCGATGCGGCCGCGGAAGAAGAAGTAGATTACGCCTAAGATTGACTCGTAAGCGAGTGCCTCCTGTTGCTGGCCCGATTCTCGGCTCCATCTTTACCTTTCTCGAGTATGTTCGACGGCGTAGGCCCCTCGCGACCGTGTTCCTCGACTGCTGAGTCTTGCTGGCTGGTAGCTTTGCCCTTGTCCTTGCCCTTGCCCTTGTCTTGGGGCTCTGGCTCTTCGTCTGCATCGGGCTGCTGCGGCTGGTCATCTCCATCCTGGTCGCTGTCCTTGCTGGTAGGCTTGTCACTAATCACCATGGAAAACGGTCAGCGTCAGGATGGTTATGGGAGGATGGGATGGGGCTTGCCTGGTAATAGCGTCATCCAACGTCGTCTGCACTTTGCCGTCCACCTTCTGGGCCTTTGATGACGGGAGGTCTCCGGCCTCGTCGGCCTTGCGCTTGTGGCCAGTGGTGGCCGTGCTGGAGTCCGCCATGATGGTTGCGTGCTCAGATGTTGGCGTGTTGCTGGCGTGTGGAACGAGTACGTGATGTATTAATGATTGAAATGCTCGTGAGCCTGCTGAAAGAGCCTGCAGTGGCACGGATGGGTGATTGATTTGCGAGTTGATAGGGAAGTGTACTTTATGGTGATGTGTGGTGTCGCGGTTGCAATTGATGATTTCCTCTCACAGGTCGACGCGTCTACCGCGTTGTGAGCTCTTCTGTGATGTCATCGGACCATCACCGTCAACACGCCCAGCTGATCCAGCCGTCAACGACAGGTCTTAGCTCGTCTCTGAGACCAGGTACCTCGGCATTATTAGCATGGTTGTCTAGGCTGCTGCACTGATGTCAAGGTACTTCTCATGACCCTGTGGAAACAGCTGCACACATATCAAGTCAGGGGAGCGTCTCACCGGACCCCAATCAACCGCAGTAGTTAGAAGTGAATGGCTTCATAAATTCTGCTGGATTCTTCAAGTCGCATCTAATGGTATCTCTCTACTCTCAAGGCTGCCCAGGCTGTTCTCTATACGTCTTGCCCTCTGCAGCGCTGGCAGATGCAGTCAAATCCCCACGTCTTCTTCAGCAGCGCATTCCGTTCCTCGCGTAGGATGCCCATGTCCTTGCCCAGGTACGAGATAAAGATCTCCTCATCCGCCGCAATATCCCTCTTGGCCCTGAAAACCCATGTCCTCCCGACCCTCTCCTTGTCGGTGTTCGGGTCGCAGTTGTGGTTGAAGTACGAGGCAGACGGCCACACGCCCCAGCCAAAGAATTCGCACCCTTCGTCGTCCAGCGACCGGATCCCAAAGCTATTGCGCACCTCCCTGCCCTTGACAGTGCCCAGCATCTCTGCGCTTGCGATCTTGGCGAGGTCCTCGGGGAGTATGAGTGACAGGAAGTAGAACGAGGTGATGTGCCGTTCCAGGTCTGTGGTCGAGCTGTACGGTTGGGCATCCTCCTCGAGCGCCAGCGTGCCCAGCCATTGATCCGGGTGGGTGTACCGACTCAGGACGGCATTGAGCTGGAACGAGACCACATCGGCTGAGAACAAGCCTGCATCTACCGAGGCTGCTAACAACCTCGCAAGCTCCTTCTTCTCCTTCTTGGAGCCACGGTTGGGAGGCCCGCGGAGCTGCTGCACGGCCTGTGCGGCCGCCCTCCATCTGCTCTCAATCTCTGGCCGGGCCGGTCTCATCGCATTCGCGAACTCGTCCGTATTTGACCCCGACCTCTTGACCTGTGCCTCGAGGTGGCGCCAGACCGACAGACAATCCGGGTCGTGCCGCTCAATCCATTTCCCCTGACAGTCCTCCGAGCAGAAGGCCAGGCCGTGGTCGGGGTCCCGGATAGGCAGTTTCTTCCCGCGGTTGTACCAGAAGCACTGCCAGCACACCTCGTTTCGGTACTCCCTGAAGAGGACATGCGCCGAGAGATCGTCGGCGACGTAGATAACCGTCCCCTTGGCGATGTCCATCTTGGCAAAGACCCCTCGTCCAGCGCCTGGGGTTTCTCTGATGCCGAAGAGGTCGGACTCCGGTGCCTGTGAGAGGGTGGCCATACTCCTGGGTGGTCTGAATTGGTTGCCTCGAAAACCCCACTGTTACTGTGATTTGCAGCCAAGGCGTTATTCGAGGCAAGAAGGGAAGGTGGGCACTAAGCCTCGGATTTCTCTTTGGTGTTAATGCATGGTGTTGTAGAGCCGGTCTGGTGTGGTGGGTTGGGGTGAGCACGGGTTGACGTAGGGAAACCTCAATGTTGCGTGCCGGATTGCTTGCACCAAGATGAAAAACCCGACACTACGAAATTTTCTATCCTTTTGGGTCAAGCGGAATGGTGGCGTAATTTGCCCCCGAGGTTTTCACCGCTTCCTTATCGAATACGTGCTTAGCTCCTAATCGAGTCATTGGTCAGCCGTTTCACAGTGTTTGTTAGCAGTTCAGTCAAAATGCCCCTATTTGCCTATTTGGGTTGAGTGATGCTTAAAAGTCTCACGACTCAACAACAACAGACACCGCTCAGGCCTTTCGCAACCCGACATGGTGGTCATTAGAACGGCCGGATAACTATCTAGTTTATATTGATATTGCTGACTACCAAGACTATCTCGTCAGTAAATTGTGTTGCGGATCGTAAAGCAGGCCTTGGTTGAGCATTCGTAGCAGTATATGATCCAACGGCAAATACTTTATGAGATGCCCTTGTTTATCACTTGTTGTCAGTATATAATGGGGTCCAGAAATACATGCAGACACAAATCGAGAATCGGGTAAGAGTCCAGCTTTACAATTCAAATAATTGTATATTGGCAACTGAATCGAGGTTACCAGCCCCTTAGGATGGACTGGACGACGATAGACCATCATGACTGGTGACTGAAATTGAGGTCATCCACAACCAATCAAGAGTGGGATGACAAACCTAATAGCCACTCTCCTCTTGTTGCGTATCTCTGTCTTATCAAGGAGCCGTGCTCAGGGGCAGGAGTTCAGCCCGAGCAATGAGTTGGGACCTGGTGCAAAAATCAAACGGATGCGCTGTTTCACTGTTACCGGAATAAAATTTCAAAGTGCCCACAGAATAGATGGATGGAGTGTTGCCATTCGTGCATGCCTTGGTTCTCGCCGGCCTCTTGTACAAGTAGCATCCCGTACAGTGTTACTGTGCTACTACCACCATTTTGAAAATAACATTAAGTTATAGCCGAGTTCCTGTACCTGAACTAACACATATCTTCACCATTACATTGAGTAGGGACCCGTATATAGACTGTTGTCCATAGGAGGGTGTCCCATAAGAGGGTGGGAGGGGGCCCACCGTGCCCAGGTGGCAGGACAGCAGACACCCGCGTAACTTAGAAAGCCCGTGATAAAAAGGGCCAATTCAAAACATCTAGCATCAGTAGCTCCAGCTTTGAAGTGAAAATTCCGATATCAAGAAATACAATGCAGCTTCCATCGTTTCATTGCATCGGGCAAATCATGTGTCAAGAAGAACCCTAGTCAGATGGCAGTCTTTTGATGGAAGTGTGAGACGCCATCGCTTATTAGCCGGACCTGTCAAAGTACATCTCAGACATAATACCAACCCCGGTGGTCACTGGTGAGTGAATAGAAAAAGTATTGTTTTAATGTGCATGATAAACCAACTGCATCTTGAGGCTTGCTCACTACTGCAGGCATATCACGACCCCTGACTCTAGCTCGCAACCTTATTTGATCCGTGGACCACCCCAGCGATAGCCGCAGCCGAGTTAGCCGAACTACTGCAGGAGTGACTGGCGGTTGGGTGTGCCGACGCCCTTGGCCCCGTATTACCGCTGGGCAGGCGTTTCCAGATATGCTTACCCACAGGCCTTGTGGATATCGAGTTTCAACGGACAAGGCAGGATGAACATGCAGTGGTTTCGATGCATTCCCCGCCGTCAGCAAAGTCCACCTGCAGGAGCTGCAGCACAGCCCGGCTCCACTTTAGCCTGAGGGCTGTGCTCAAAAATCCTTGACGTGTCAAGATGGGCCTCAAACTTTCTATCGCCTACAAGTATTACAACTTTCTCAACTAAACATCCATCCCTGACCGCTTCAATCAGATTCACACCCCTCTGACCCTTCGATTCTGCACATCATTCACACAGCTTCCACGGCACCCACCTCAACTCGCCAGCACAGCCAAAATGGTCGGACTGATCCCTAACACGCTCTTCTTGGTGGTCATCACCTCGACCCTCATCGCCGGCCTCCGACGCGGAAGCGGCCTCACCTTCCAGACAACCCAGATCCAGAACGCCACCGGCGCCAAGGTCGCCTCTATCTACCTGGCGGTCGGGGAGTGGGCATACGAGCGCCTCGTCGGCTTCGCGCGCGGCAGCAAGTACTTCAAGTACGACCCCAACGTCACGGTGGACGGCGTCAAGGACCAGGTCAACGAGTTCACGCAAGGCATCAAAGCAGCCGCGGACCATCTCACCAAGTCTGATTGATATGGCCTGAGATCGGCGGCGGCTTCAGAGACCGGTCCCGGGCCGCTGTGCGAGACTAGTGCGGCGTCTTTTGCTGGCGGGCAGTAGCAGGCTCGGGCCTGGATGACGAGGCACAGTGAGGGCTGCGAGCTACAGGAGTGAGCGCCTTGCATTCGTCTCAAAACAGCTCTTGATTGAGGATTCAGATATGATGCTGGATGAGCTTGTTACATGACATATACGAAAAGCTATGGGCAACTGTAGACAGGGATTACAGTTCTGGGGGGATTCTGCTGGTAAAACGGTGGAAGGCGACACATGCACTGCATACGTGGACAACCGGTCTGGGAGGCATAGACCTGTAGACGGGCTGCAATTCGACTACAGAATCAAACCTGGACATTCACGATAAACATCGTGATGTTGGGCTGCTGATTAGCTAGTCAACCAAGAACGGGGAAATTCTATCTGGTCGGAGTTTACATGACGGCTTCGTCTTTCGAAGCATGTGACAGTATGATATTCAAATACTAGATACCTAGGTACCAGTATGTACCTACCTAGGTATCCACTAGGGACTAATCCAAGTCTTTCCCCGGCCGGGGCCGGAGGTCTGCCCTACCATTACATGATGGACGGGCTGAAAGAGGGCATATGTCCAGCTGTAGCTGATGACTCCCATTTGTGTGTTGGTGAGGCTTCGAGGACTGTAGCTAAGCTGTGGTGTGTCGATACTAATAAGGCTTATTACTTCTTTTAGTTGTTTAGCAAATAATCCGCTAGTAGAAGTAACTGGAATAGAAGCTTAAATTCTTTACGGTTCTACCTACTAAGTTGTAATTTTAGTAGGATTTTAAAAGATTTATATATTAATTAAATTTTCTCTATCTAATATAGGAAGGCTACAACTACCCTTACCTTTGGAATGTAGTTACCTTAGGCAAGGGACTTGGTGATAAGCTAGTAATAGCGTGGCTGGTGGTGCAGGATACTAAATCAGACCAGCCTCAAGTAAAGTACTTTAGTACTTAAGCAGTCTGTGATCCAAAGATGCTGCGGGTGATTCAACTACCTCAAAGTGCCTACTTAGGACGTAGCTCCCCTTGAATGTTGATTCGAACTTGCCTTGTCACCAATTGAAAGCTGAACCTTGACCATTTCTTGGACTCTAGCTCCGAGACTTTGGGGCAAAACCTGTCGTACTTACCCTAGGGGAGGTAGGAATCTGGCGGTCCCCACCCTCCAGTCTGACTTAATCTGACAACAGCAGGAGAATCCATTCTTGGAACAACCTTCCAACAAGCCCAACTTTGACATTCAACACAACTTTGGATATCCTTCCAACCATAATCCCAGTTTCAACACTCATCGCCACCACCTACAATGAGCATCCGTTTTCTCATCCTCTCCGACACCCACGACTCGGCGTTTCCGGACCCGGGTTTACTACCGACCGTGGATATCGTAATTCACTGCGGCGACCTCACCATGATCGGCGGCCTGTCGAACTTCAGAAAAGCGCTTGAGGCGCTAGACAAATGTCCGGCCGAGCTGAAGCTTGTCATCCCAGGTAACCACGACGTGTCCCTTGACCCCGCATGGTGGGCCGGGAACCTGGACGAAGATGACGACCCGGCCGAGCCTCAGCGAGCAAAGGAGTTGTTTGCTAGTTTTGCCAGCAAGGGGGTGAAGTTACTGGAGGAGGGCACACACACAATATCATTGCGGGACGGACGCAGTTTGAATCTGTATGCGTCACCATATACTCCCGACTTCAACGGCTACGCCTTTGCCTACAGCGAGGAGGAGGACAGATTCAACACCGGAGCACACATCATCCCTCCGGATGCTGATATCGTCATCACCCATGGCCCACCGCTCGTGCCGGGCACCGATTATCGACTCGACCTGGGCAGGAATGGCGAACATTGCGGCTGCTCGAAACTATGGGCGGCTATTGAGCGCACACGGCCCAGACTACACTGTTTTGGGCACATCCACGAGGGCTATGGGTCACAAGTCGTACAATGGGAGGATCCAAATGGAATGAAAATCGGTGATGTCTCCGCCACAGAATCTGGTGCTGATGTTTCTTCATTGCCGCCACCCACACGAGGCACGACGCTGCTGTTGAACGCAGCGATTATGTCACATGGAGGCAACAAGAACAAGCCGTGGGTGGTCGATATCCCTATCCTCTGAGGAAGATGCCAACACGTGTACAAGACAATCTTGCGTTTACAAACAATGGCACCTACGACATATGGATGATGTTGTCCATTACGAGATATTAACAGTGGCACGACTCGTGATGTGTAAGCTGTATCAGATGCCACTCCTACAGCTCCGTTTGCAGCTTATGATGACTGCGTTTGTGTTTTAGAATCATCACCGTGTTGGCTCGGCGAGGATTTGTCCATGCCGAGCGCCGACTCGGCATCGGTGTTGAAGCCACTAGCAAAAACAGCCCCGCATCATCGGGAGCTTTACATCTATACACGCGGTTTAAATGAAGTATAAGTATTGGAATATCGCGATTGCTCCCTTTCAAGGATTCATATCAAGGGCCCATCATAACACACGTATGTGCTTTCTTGCCAAAGCCGTCAAGTACTTAAGTAATCTAAGACACCCAGAGCCAGTGCACCCTAAGGTCCACGGATCGCTTCACCACGTCTTCGCAACCCCAAATCAGCTCACCTGCCAGTTCAAATCCCTTGAACTTACCATCAACATGCCAGAGTCGCAAGCTGTAGGAAAGCTTCCGCCGGGATATTGCCTGGAGTCAGGCGTCCCCTCTATTGCCGAATATCGCGAACTCCGCAAGTTGTCGGGCCTCACTCCTGTCACTGAGGCACAAGCTGCTCCCGTGTCGTCCGGGAGCTGGTACGGCTGCCACATCACCTATCGCAAAACCGAGGATGAAAGACCCCGAGCTGTGGCGATGGGTCGAATTATTGGAGATGGCGGCTGGTATTTTCTCATCGCAGACATGGCTACGCTACCCGAGCACCAGAGGAAGGGACTTGGAAGCATTATCCTAACACATTTACTGGCTTACATCAAGGAGAACAGTCCGGACGATGGAATTCCCTACGTTAATGTGATGGCAGATCCACCTGGACGAAAGCTTTATGCGAACAACGGATTTGTTGCCAGTGAAACGTACGATGAGCTCGGGATGGTCTTGCTCATGCAGAAGTAGGCTTGAATCAAATCATCGCCCAGGGAAAGCTTGGGGTGTGTAAAACAAGATTTCGAAAAGGTTTATGATGTGACGGCACGGAGCGAACATCCGGATGCAAATCGTCGGCCCTGCTCAGGATGCATGTGACATCAATATGAGAGCCCTGGAGGCTAGTTACTTTAGTTTTCGATACTGTTGATGTGGGAGTCGATTAACATTGATGATTGCCTTATCTCTCGAGCCTCACCTCCTATCGCTAGATGCCTTAAACGAGACTTAGATTTTCTATGAACCCCGTAATATGTTATTGACATTCCGAGTACCTCACGTAATCGTGGCCGCCCCACAAGCTGCTGTGATTCCGGTATGCTAATACGAATCTTAGGCCTGGCACATAGGGCTCGTAGTTATTTGCACGACGTCAAGATTGAGTTCGACAGAATCCTCAAATATAACATAGTTTGCCTGCAAATTGATCTCAAACTTTTACATAGGTTGCATTTCTGGCAGTTGTTGTGCCATTTTCGACTCAGCACAGACATGCAATGAGAGACTAGCATTTTGGCGAGGCTTACCACCGCCAGCAATTATGCTACAGTGGTGCAGATGATGCAATCTGCATTCGGTGCCGCTCGGGAGGGGTGAAGCGTTTCGATTCGCAGGCTCTAACACTGTGAGGAGAACATGATTACAAATGCAGTGTTTCATCAGCAAACCTACAGCTGTATTTCATCAAGACCGTCTACTTCAATTATTGAGAACAGCTGTGTGCTCCGCACACCCCGAAATACTTCGCTTGCATCCGGAAGCACACTTCGAGGCCGCTATAGAAAGACCTCGGGAGACATTCTCGGGACCCACGCAAAATCCACAAACAGCACCAATCATGGCGTCCGAAGGAGCATCAATCAAGCTCTACACCAACCACGGGTGCCCATGTAAGTGAAACCATTCCTCATCCTGGGACGTGCCGTCCGCCGTTGTGGCCGTCATTCTGATCATGTCCCTCATGACACCCAGGGGCTCACCGCGCCCACATTGTCCTGGCGGAGCTCGGCATCCCCTTCGAGGAGGAGATCATCGACCTCGCCACTCCCCGTACTCCGGAGTACCTCAAGGTCAACCCGCGCGGCCTGGTCCCGTCCCTTTCCTACAACGGCGAGATCATCACCGAGTCCGCGGTCGTCGCGCAGTTTCTCGCCGACAAGTATCCGTCCCACCTCCTCCCGGCCTCGTCCGACCCCAATGGACCGTTGACCAGGGCCCGCATCAACTTCTTCGTCGATGCGTGGTTCAGCAAGGTCAACAGCTTCTGGTTCAAGGCCCTCTTTTCCAATACGGCGGATGAGTCCAACGAGAATGCGGAGGAGCTCGTCAAGGGCGTCGTCAAGGAGATTGAGCCCCTGTTGAAGGATGCAGGGCCCTTCTTTGGTGGGAGCAGCAAACTAACCCTCGCCGAGGCAAGTCAAAGTCCACGTCCGTTGTGTGGCGGAATTCAGGCTGACAATTCCCTAGGCTCTAACCGCGCCATTCGTTTTGCGCATCAAGACGTATGCCAAGGTGAGTGGGCACTTCCGTCACTGGTGACCATGTGTGAGGTGCTCTGCCTCAAGAGTTTTGCTAATGCATCGATAGCACGGCCTGCTTCCAGCCAGCCTGACAAAAGATCTGCAGGAGAAAACACCTAATTTCCACAAGTGGTCGGAGGCAGTGGTTGCCTCCCCGAGCGTGACGAAGATCTTTGATGTGGATGCGAACGTGGCCAGGACCAAGCAGAGAATTGAAAGGGCGAGAGCTTAAACTTGTTGGTGTCCAGACGGATTCACGACCGTGAATAGTAGAATATCGCAGACGAATCAAGTGGTGCAACCCACGGAGCAGTAATTTCCATAGGCCCTCGGCACTATATTCTGTTTCCGTAGCATGCCATTGCTTTCCAGATGAGTGCACTTCCTCACTTGGACCAATGTGAATAATCCATGCATTTCCGGGCACAGCGATTGATATGATATGAGTACGCCCAGTGCTGTAGTTTGAGCCAAGATAAGCAAATACGGACGATGGTCAATAACAACAGCATGCCTCATATCCGCTATTAGCAACATCTGGGCAACCAGTGTAGCGAGATTACCGTCGTTGTGTAAAGGAACTTTCATTCTTGGGCACAGGATATCTAGTTTCAAATCAAGAAATTGAGGAAAAGTGTCAAATGACGGGCGCTCGACAAAAGAAAGTAAGACACAAATAAACAATCTTGACGATACCATGGAGTAGTCCAATCTGGCCCGGGTAATATATGAAAGGCACCAGTCCTCCCTGACACAGGCACAGATTGCTTTGGCGGTCCAGAACAATCTGATGTGACACTGCCAACTCAAGATTGGCCAGGCATTGGAAAATAAAAGGGCTGTAAACCTCCTAGTGACGGCGGCCGCTGCGGTGCGAGTCCATGGAGTACTTCTCGTCCTTGGCCCGCCTCCGTCCAAAGCGAGAGGCACCCGTCCTGCGTCGTCTGTGCGCGGCAACGGTCTCATAGACCCAGTAGAACATGGCAAGGGCCATCAGCGCAAAGGCAGCCCAGCTGAGGGCCTCGAACTTGCTGCCGAGCTGGACCTCGAGGCCGACCTCGTCGCCGCCCCTCTTCTTGATCTCCTCCTGGGCCTTCTTCACGCCGACAGTCGTCAGCAGGCTGCCGACCAGCAGGAACAACATTGCCAGGGCGGCGATGAGGAAGTTTGCGAGAGGAATCTTCCGCCCTCCGGATGGGATGATGAACAGGGCTGCGGCGGCGGTCAGGATGGCGAGCCCGGAGAACGCGACGCCGAGGATGTACATGATGGCGAGGGCCTGGAACAGCTTGGGCAGGTCGTCCAGCTTGTCCTGGAGCTCATCTGTGATGCCCAGGTCGGATATGCTCAAGTTCAGGGGGCCGACAGAAAGCTCCTTGTCGAGCATCGCCGAGATGTTCATGTATGCTGTGCCATCAGTTAGCAACCGCTACTTCCCATGTGCAGGAAGTGACGAGCCGAGTTCACTTACAGAAATCCATGGGGGTGGTGCAGTTGGTCACGTTCTGCCCGGCGTTGCTGGCGGTGGCGTTAGGGGCGTAGCTGCCCTCGCACATGTTCATGACGTGCAGGCTGTAGAACTGCTCGATGCCGATCTCCTCGGCCAGCTTGTCGGCGATGTCGTTGCCGATGTCGTCCAGGATGCTGGCAGCCTCGCTCTGGAGGGACCCAGCAACGGCAGTGGCAGAGGCCTTGATGGAGCTGAACCAGTCGCCAATGCCGCCGCCGTCGTCGGTGGAGGTGGGGGTTGGGCTGGTTGTCGTTGATGAGGTGGAGGAGGCATCGTCGTCGTCGCCGAGCATGTTGGAGATGAAGTCGTGCCCGAGGGTGGATGTGTTGAAGACGACTATGTGATACTCTTCCAAGGTTCCCGGCTCCTTGCCTGCGAGCAGGGCCACCAGGGCGAGGGCGAAGGCCGCCATCGAGAAGATGAGCGGCAAGCCGACGGAGAACTTCATGGTGGCGAGGGCGCCAGAGGGCTGGTGGCTGCTATGATGCCTCTCTACGGCTGAGTTGGAGCAATATACGATGTGCAAGTGAAGGACAAGTTCACGTTGAACAAAGGATGGCGAGGAGAGAAACCCACGACATGAAGACCACGGGTAGTGCGAGACGACCGGAGCGGTGGATGGGATATATGTATACAGACCACAATATACACTTACAGGAGAGTGGCTTGAATCGTGGATCACTGGAGGCAGCCACGGCCATTCTTGGCTATAGATACTACCCTGCTACCTAGTACTGCCCTGAGTGCACGATGCCCAATGCTGTTGACCTACCCGGCTGCCAGCATACACAGACCTGAACGTGCCGACTCAAGCCAAGAGCTCGTAGCACAGGGTATTTTCCAAGGATGGGAGGGCCGACTCTGGCGTCACCGACATCTGGACGGGACCCTAGGGGTTCCATTCCAGCGGAAGATAGGCCCAGAAAGGGCGGGTCTTTGAACTAGGGGGGGGCCATGGGCGCCCAATTGGATTTGGGGCTGGCGGGATTGTTATTTTCGAATTGGCCGTGGTGTGCTGGCCCGGCTCATGGAGTGGTGTGTTGTCCATGGTATTACGTCGTCTGGTGAGATGTATCATGGTGGGCGGGAAAAGTTGGCCTCGCCTGGCAGGGAGCAAGTTTTACAGTGCTGCGCAGGCCTGGCTGCCTGGCAAGCCTGATGAATGAGAGCAAGCGAGTATCTAGTGTAGGATAATGAGCCCATGGATCTAGACGCGCTTGGTCTGCAGCCCTCATCCCCGTCATGGCAGGGCATAGCCAATGACGGTGGGGACATACCCTGCAGCAGTACGTCATGGCCAGGTACGATCCCACACCGCGGGAGAGGCAGGCTGGCAGGGAAGCAGATCTGTAGCCTCTGCAGAACGGCTTGGAATGTTCCCTGCCATTGCAAGACCTGGAACTGAGCTTGAATATTAGTTCGGTGAAGCTGCCCGACCCGCCAACTGCGTGATTGAGTTTGATCCTTAAGCTCAGGGTCCACGCGAAGAAAGTGAGGCCACCAGGTGTGCTACAGCCGGTTCTCAGCTAGGGCCGGTCACTAACCAGTCTGCCTTAAAACCTGCTGCAGGGTCTTGGTAGTCTTTTAAAATGGCTGCACACTAACTCACGAACACGGTGGATGTCATCAAGCAGGACAAATGAATGAAATTGCCGACGGATCGCTGACCGATGCACTGCCAGTGGTTCTGTTCTGAGCTTCAGATCACCTCAATGGCCAACTCCCCTAACCCTTGCAACGAGCAAGGTACCGAGGTACTTGTTTTAAGCTTTGTTGGGGAATGTGGGGAGCGTCACCGATAAGATAAGCCTGTGAAGGCCATTGATGGTCCGAGGGGAGGTGCCTGGCTCCCTCGACATAACCTCATCGCATTGTTTGACGACACATATCCTTTAATTGTTCCCACAGAGATGGGAAAAGCCTGTCCTTGTCAAAATGGGTGTCCAACCTGACCAGGGCGCCTACGAGAGCCATCCGCCCGGCCCTAGCAACAACAAGCGCAAGCGCAAGCACGAGCAGGTGGCTGTCCATGACACTGCTGCCTCTTCTACTGCACCTCGACATGGCGGCGATGGTGATGGCGACAGCAAGATGGCCTCACACGCACCCGTGGCCGATATCAAGAAGAAGGGAAAGAAGCCTGATGGTCCAAGCACTGCTGGGCCCCCCGCCGAGAAGCGCCTTCGAAGGTCTGTCTGCACCGCTCTTGTGCTCCTCACAGCGTCAACTCTCCTCCGTCTTCTTCTGACACGGTCATTTGGTGCTCAGATTCCGTCCCAAGGCTCCCTCATCCTTCCAAGCCGTTTACGAACGTGCGACCACCCAGAGATTCTTTCTGCTCTCGAGGTCCCGCCTCGGCAACCCCGACTGCCCCGAGGAGCTGTTCGAGCTGACCGGGTCCACCGGCAACATCTACCACGTCCACATCCAGAAGCAGCCCACCTGCGACTGTCCCCACGGCAAGGCCTCGAACCAGTGTAAACACATCGTCTGGTGTCTCAAGTCTATCCTCCGTGCGCCCCAGGCCCACGTCTACCAGCTCGCCCTGCTCAGCAGCGAGCTCCGCGACATCTTCGCCAGTGCGCCCGCTCCCGCCAATGAGCCCGGTGCCAGCCCTGACAAGGACAAGAACCGCAAACCGGTCGACGGCGACTGCCCCATCTGTTTCGAGGAGATGCGGGCTGGAGATGCCGGCGAGCCCCTGGTCTGGTGCAAGGCCGCCTGTGGCCAGAACATTGTCAGTGCCTGATGCTCCCTCCGTCCAATCTTATTACCTGGCATATGCGAATCCTAGTTTACTGATACACGAATCTGCAGCACCGTGAGTGCTTCGAGATGTGGGCGTCCACGAAGAAAAACAGCGGTGGCACCGGCAAGGTCCCCTGCCCGTATTGCCGATCTGCTTGGGAGGGCGACTTTGACATGATCAACAAGATCAACACTTCCGGAAAGCCCAACTCAGAGGGCTACGTCAACGTCGCTGACCAGCTTGGAATCAGTACTGAGCGGGACTACAGCACATACTCGACCTGGTGGTCCGGACACCCGAGTTATCGCGGTCGGCGACGGCGCGAATACTGACCCCGACGGGGCTCGGGCTCGAACCTCTTGAGGGTACCCAGAAAATCTGGTCAGGCTTGACATGCCCATTGTCGCATGCTCGACGAACCAGCCATTCTTGCATGAACCGAGGAGGACACTTGCTGCACTTGTACGGCCAGCCACGGGAAATTCCGCCGAGTTGGGTGGGAATCTGCCTTTCTTCCGTTTGTTTTCTGAACTTTTATTCTAGTCATCGATACCCACCTGCTGCTTCATGCTTCATTGGCTGAAGACGACAGTGCACAATCTACACGGAATCATTTGCTTTTCACTGAGAGGTTCATCGAGTAAGGTTAACAAATGCATTGATAAGAGATATGTGTACAGCCCTCTCTCTTCACAATTCCCCAAACTCCGCGCCTGTCAAAGGAAAGAATCAGTCTAGCTGGGTGGCCAGGTTGTCGCAGAGTCATGCATCACCAATGTGATCATGCCAGCATCACCACCAATTGCCCTCTTTAAGGAAACCCCTCCCGCACCTACGGGCTATTGTCCCTCACATCAGCCACCGCTCACAGGTAGGAGCGCTTCTTGAGCTTCTGGAGCTCCTTCTCCCTGGCGGCAACGTATCTGGCAAAGTTGCGCCTCGCCTCGGCAGCCCGGGCAGCAGCCGGCGCGGGGGCAGCGGCCGCACCGCCAGCGGGAGCGGTGGCGTTGCCACCAGCCTGGACCATCTGGAATGGCACGACACCGCCGAAGGGACCGGCGTTGGCGTCGTTCATGCACCGCATGAGGCAGACATTGTCCTGTCCCGCAACACTGCCTGTGCATGTCGTGCCGGCAGGGACGGCGGCAGTCAGGGCCTGCTCGGATGTCTGGGTGTCACGGCTACGAGAGTTCTCTCCCGGAGGCATGTCAGTCACCCGGGCAGTGGTCCATTCCTGAGAGACACCAATATCAGCCTTCTGTTCACGGCACACTGTCCTCAAGGAAAAAGGTCATAACATACCTGAGCGGTAGCGTCATTGTTGATGGCACAGCTGTAGGGGCCGCCGCCGTCGCCGTTGACCTGGTGCAGGACCATCTGGACCTCGCCACCCGGGGTGACCTGAGGCAGGGACTCGCCCGTCTCGCCCATGATGGCGGTGGTTCCGGCCTCGATGTCGTTGTCGCCACCGGCGAGGGTCTCGCCCACGGTGTCGGCGGCCGCGCCCTTGAACCGGGTCGAGTCCATCTGGAAGGGGTTGCGGCGGGTTCCGTCACGGGGCGTGGCGCTGTCGATGCCCAGAGCCATGCCTTGGCCACCTGCATCACCAGTCGCCCTGACGATGGCGGCGTGGCCGGCCACGAGTGGGGAGAGCAGGGAGACGAGGACGGCGGCGGTGAGAGTCTTGGAAGGCATGATGACGGCTTTTTGCTGGCTCTTGTGTATCGACGGTGGTATATATGGGATGGTGAATTTAAGTAATTAGAAAAGCTGCTGACTGAAGGACACGCGGCGAAGAGAATTAACAAGGCAGGTCCGGCTGCTGGGTTCTGGTGCTGATGCTGATGCTGAAAGACTGAAGATGCTCCTGATGATGGCTTCAAACTAATCATGAGGCCGGTGTGGGAATGCACACAGTTTTATATCCGCCGTGGCTGGCAGCATCACGATAGCTGACGCGAGGTGAACAACGGCCTCCCGTACGGCCTCACTGCGGTCCTCACATCTTCTCGTTGCCCAGTCAAACCAGTGTGAAGGGCCCTAAATTGATCAGATTGATGCCTTCGTCGCTGTATCACACGGGTCGAGCACACAAAACCCCGCAGATGCCGGTGTTGAAGATTAGATGCCAACAAAGCCCAAGCCACAGAACCCCCTATACAAGCTCTCCTACCCGGCCCCTGGGCAGCCCCGAACACTCCAAGCCGGATCTCCTGATGATCAACGGCAAGGCTCCAAACATCACAATCTTGGCTCGAGCCGCAGGTGATCACACGCGGCCCAGCAAGGCCGAGCAAGGCTTAGCCCAGCCACCCTGTCCGCTTAGGCTCCTGTGGTCTATTCTGTGCGCAGTCCATCCACCCTGAAGCGATTCTAGCAGTCTTGGTGCAGGAGGGACTCCTCCGGGCAGGCCCACTGCTGTTCTCAAGCCAAATACGCGCACGCACCCGATTGCCATGGCGCGGTTGACCACAAAGGCACTCGGGCGCACGCCAAAGGGGGTTCGTTATGGCGGAGAGGAACCGGGAGCCAAGCACCTTAGCTCCCAGGGCCAAGAGGAAGATCAAGCAGCCTTATATGCCCTCCGCCGCACCGTCCGAGCGCCGGTTCCATCCACCTTGCACCTATATCTCGTCTAGCCTGGGGATCGCCCAAACAATGTTCGTGAATCACTGTTTCTCTTGATCTCCCCCGCGAGCGAATCGCATGTTCTCTGGAGCTGGGGCTAGTTCCAGTCTGTGCCCCCCTCCCCCTTACTGCCTTGGGGGGCTCTCTGCTCCCGCACGCCTGACACAAACGCACTGCCGCCCCACCACTCCCGGGCTGGCGGGCTTGGCTGAGACTGTTGAGCCTCATGACTGGAACCGCCATTGCATATATCGCGGCATCGTCTGGAAAATTGGTTCAAACTCATCTCATCATTTCTGGTCTCGAGTTGCTGCCTCAGTGCCGGTGGTGCGCTGCAACGGCGACCGATGGAGATGACAGGTGCCACTGCACTGCGTCTGGTGATCTGACTGTGGCTGAGCATGCCTCCTTTTTTTCGTGACGAACTCCCTCCCGGTGCTAGTGCTGAAATGTAGTCCGGGGAAAGGGGATGGGGCGAAGAATACTTGCTCTCGTGTTAGTCGTCAACTCTAGATAGCGTGCGTGTGTTACGCCTCATGCATTCGTGCCCAGGTGGGAATGCTCTTTCAGGCGGATAAATGCCTTTGAGTTTCCGATATTCGAAGTTGCACACTCGATCAGTCTACACAGATAAAATGGCAGGACGTGCATGCAACTAGTGATTTAGGAGGGGGGGCTTGAGCGTTTACCATTGTATGAAGGCGTCGCGTATGCCTTCGAACATACACAGAATGGAAGCGAAACCAGTAAGGAAGGGGGCACCTGGGGCTAGGGATCCAGATGTCATCGTCATCATGATATCCGACCCAGGGCGCCGCCGAGACCATGCCCATACTATTCGATGAATGTTACTTGGGCCTGCTTATTACTTATGAGCGAGAGTCTGCATGGGATCAAGCCGCCGTGTCTTGATCTCTTCTCTCGGAGGGATTTTGGCCAGCCGTCTCAAGCAAGTCTTGTCTATCTTATACATGGCTCGAACTCTGCCCATTGTCGAGTATCTCACCTCTTGGAGATGAATTATGCCGTTTCTATCATATCTCATACTTCATGAGATTCCTATTGATTGTCTACATCTGCCTGTGAAGACTGCTACTTGACTTGTCAGACCACACACACGACAACCGATAACATCACGCGACAAGCTCGAGCCGCACTGAGTCATATGCCCCAGATGAAACATCTAATCAGAGTGGAGACTGACATGCTGTTTCTGACGACCAAGGCGTAGGAGGAGGTACGGCGGTGGGACACCGAGAACCATTTTCCCATGTAAGTTATCGAAATATGACTCAGACAAGGTTCACTTGTTCGCACACGCTGATGAGACACCGCAGGGACTGATACGATCCAGTTGCTGAATCTGAAAACTTGTGCGATTAGGGTGGTTTCGTTTTCAATCCCCATACATGTAAAATGTACGTGGCGCCTTCATACAGTGGTAAACGCTCAAGACCCAGCGTCTGAAGAAATACAGTGCCAATAACAGTGGAAAGAGAATACCGTACGTCTGTGGGCACGTGGCTGAGCCTCGTACCGCACAGACAAGGCTGGAAGGCTGCGATTAATTTCTTGAATTCTCTATGCAATGCAATTCTTTTGCGGCCGCTTGTATTCCTAAGCAGGCCTTGCCCAATGTCCTGTGTGCCTATGGTTCCCCAAGACGCCTGTTTTAATTCCATGAATCGTATGGCCCTTGCCAAGCAGATGACCCACTGCCTCGAACGCCTGGCCCTTGCTTCCCAATAAAAGATATACCGATCAACATGCCACCAGAGTCTACTGCCACATGGGCCGTTGCGAGTGCCCGCCCCTCGATGACATGACCAGCATCTCGAAGCCCTCTACCCTATTCCTCAGGGCCGAGTTCTCCTTGGCCAGCGACCGGTTCTTCCTCTCCAGGTGGGCAATGTACTCGGTGGCCTTGCTCAGGATCGTGGCCTTGTTGAGCTTGTGTGCGGGCGTCACCCCGCCGAGGTCGTCCTCCATGTCCAGGCCCGCCTCGGCCTTGATCTCGTCCATGATGTTGCCCGAGTTGTTGACGTCGTCGTCTGCGTGCTCCAGCCTGTGGACCATCACCCGCAGGGCCGGGACGCTATCCCGCAGAGCGGCGATCTTGTCGTTCAGGTTTGTCCTGTACCGCTTCTCGATCATGTTGTGTGCTGTCTTCTTGGGGCCGAGGGCAGGCTTGGAGGCTGTGGTCGTGGCGGGGGACTCTTCCTTTGTGGACGGCGCGGTGTGGCGGCGCTGGGGTGGTGGTGGAGAGCAGGATGAGCGGGGTGAGGATGGCGAGGAGGCATCGTCGTCTGACGAGGACTTCCTCTTGAGGTTTGCGCGAGCCGGGTATCGCCTCTGCTGGTTGGCTTGTGTTGGCTCTGGGGGGGTGGGGAGGCCTGTGGCTGGGGCCTGGGCAGACATCGATGGTTGTTGGCGTGATGGCATGTCGAGGTTCATCTGGGGCGACTGGAACAAGGGCCTTGTGTCGTTGACACCCTCACTGCCGAACTGCACAACGTCGTCCAGGCCGGGGTTGGATGCGTCCATGGGGTTCAGGCTCGGGCTCATGACAGGGATCGATGCCAGGTCGGGGCTGTCAAGGAGCTCGTTTTTGAGGAAGAAGTCGGAGTCGGGGGACTGCTCGAGCTTGTCCCAGGAGGTCCACTCGTCACCGGTGGTGAAGGAGGAGGCGAAGCCAGGGAAGATGGGGGAGAGGGGTGATGCTGATCCCGGAGACGGCGCCGAGTCGGTGGTGAGATCGGCGGCACTCCAGTCCTCTATCGAGTTGTAGAGGGAGAGGTTGTTGAAGTTTGATTGAGTGTTCTATGTAGGGGGAGGCAAGATGTTAGAGAGTCTGGCCATACCAAAGTCACGGAATTACTACAAGGGTGAGACGAGGGCAACGAGGGCGGGGGAAACATGATATAGCAGAGGGGTGTTGGTGTTCTAACAAGGACAGGAGTGATGGCTTGACAGGCCCGAGTGGGTCTGCGGGTCCGAAACAGTAACACAAGATGGTGCTCGAACGGCCCGCTGATGCCAGCAACAGCAGACCATGAGGGAACAATTCAAGCGAGCAATAGGCTCGATGGGGGAGGGGTAGGGCCAAAGAGAGCAGGGTGGACCATGAGGGTCCGGGCTTGGGAGCCAAAACTGACCTGTTGTCGTTTGATGGTGGAAGGCTGGGGTTGAGGGTAGGTGCCGAACAGCAAGGATTGTTGGGTGACACCTTCTAGGTCTGATATATCGAAATTATCCATTTGATTGGCTGATCCTGGGGAGTGAATACGCCCAGGTGGTGATGCGAGTCCGCTAGATATTGCTATGTACTGGTTTCCGCTCTGGGTGGGAGGCTTCTGGAGACTTCTGCTGGTTGCTCAAGCCGCGGGGGATGGGTTGAACAAGGGTGGAGTGCGTCGATGTCGATGTCGGGTGGTTTGTGTTGTGTGTAGGATGTTGGGTGATCGATGGCGACTGCAACTGATTTCCGGGGAGACCAAAAAAGGCGTGATGTTGACCCGGGTGGTATTTGCTTTGTGAGATGGCGATCTATTCTGATGTACTTGTGGGTGGGATGATGAGGCTCCAAAAGCGTGAGTGCACATAACCACGAGCAGAAGCATCCCAATAGATATACCCGACCTGGCATCGCGGATTTCCTCCCGCATGGGCATCTCGCCTCGGGCTCTCTCGGCGGGAATGGGAGCAAAAACTGCCACGGGCTTGGGCATGCTCGTCTGTACGAGTATGCGCCGTTGGATGGACAGGGGTCGCGGGCTGGATCTGCTGTGCGACATGTGGAGCAGTGAACTTTCGATTTTCGGACCGGCATCATACGAGCGGAAATCATGGGGATGACTGGCCACACGCCCCGGTTCGCGGCCGAGCGCGGAGCCAGCCCTGCCAGCAGCCAGCCCAGCCAAGCCCAAGATGCCCAGAGGGTGAAGTGAGTGACTGGGCTCTTGACTGCAGCCTTTTCCCCAGCCGTCTGATCCGGTACCATCTTGCTCGTCGTACGGGGCTTCCGGGTCCCCGGGCGCGAACATGACTGGAGGATTCGCCTCTGTTGGCGAACAATCATGGGTTGGCGCCAGAGGCTGGGCTGTTCTATCACGTCGGCCCTCAGCGGGCCCCATGCCGTGTTAAGGAGTACATCTGCACGAAGAAATGACCTCTCACTCCGTGGTATCAACTTGGGAAGGTTGTCCCGCCGCCCTCGCCCCGGGTCTTGTCGTGAGCAGGCACCCAACTCTAACAGGACATCTGCTGTGGCGACTTCCGGCCCTACAAAGCGCGTGTCACTGCTTGATCGTCAGCCCAGACAGCGGCTGGCCCCGTCGAGTCGCATTGGGAGCAGTCGCTAAGGGCCACGCTGCCCTGGCTGCAGCTGCCAGGTGGAGTTTATTCCCGGATTGGCACGGGCTGGGATGCCTGCGAGGTCTCCACTCAAAAGCCTGGCTATCACCCTTTTGTCCGTCTCATGTAGCTGAATGAATCGGCGCTGCATTGCTGAGGGACCTCATTGAACGTCGTCACAATCCAAAAGCAAGGACGGCATTGACCAAGGCACGACGACACTGGCGACATGGGATAGACCTGCACCCTCGCTGCAGCAATTTACTCGCTTGACACATCTACCTTGCACGACTCCATCACGAATCAAGCCCTCAGTAATCGCGAGCGCGATGCTTCGATCCCACCCGAAGACTCCCGGCCCGGTCGAGAAATCAGGAGAGTGAGGTGCTGAGGTGCCCGGCAGCGGGCGACGATGGCCAGCCAGGGTGGCTTGGGTGGCTCATGGGGCCAGGCAAAAATGGTGGTGCCCTGCAGTTTTTTCCCCCTTGGCCTCGAGGACCGGAAATCCTTCGCAGTCGCGCCAATACCCGTGTGTCAGTCAACCAGTATCGACGAATTCCCATTCTGCAGGCCACAGCCGAGGTTTAGGTTTTTCTCGTTGAGACCTGCGGCGTGCAGCGGCACATGTGAGATATCAATGGTCGGGGCTGCCCTACTACTCATGGCGATCCCGGGTGAACGGAGAGTCTCTTTCAGCCCGGCTCCACATCCTTGCCTGTGCGCCGGCCGCCGAGCTGTCTGGAATCTCTGCATGTTGGAAACGGCGTTCCAGAACCCCATCTCTGCAGCAGCATCTGCACGAGACGAGCAGACTGGGCCATTCGATTCCATCTGCGAGGCTGTCTCCAATTAATCCATCCCCGGAGTCTGTACGGGGGGACTCGTCGGCGCGAGATGGACAGGACCCGTTACGAAAGGGGCGCCCGGGCGACGGCCGGCTGAGGGCCAAGACATGGATTAGATCAGCTCGGTTCACCCAACACGCTACTCTGCTGCATGTGCTCAGAAAAGTGGCGTGATTTCTGCAAGTGGGGTGAAACCAAACACCTAACTGACCACCGGGGCTTTTTTATGACTGCTGCGCGGAAGCTCCCCTTAGAAACAATATTCCGCAACCCGCATCTTGGTTTATTATGTAAACAGTAATCTCTTATGACTGATTTCAACAAGCTTGGCTAGGTCAATATTGAAAGGGGCGGCTATTCTGCTCAAAAGTGAGAATACTAACACGCATGAGGGGTCCCTAGAGGTATAATCACAGACTCGAGCCTTCAGGTCTGGACATGGTGAAAGGGAAGATGCATCTTTAGAAATCCTAGGAACTCGAAATTGTTGCACCTCTAAGGAAAAGGACGCTCGGGGAGGTGACAGGGAACAGCTTTCATACCCGCTGGCTGCCCGGGTGTCGGTGCTGTCAAGCATAAGAACTGGGACTGGCTTACTAACCAGAGTCATCTGTAAACCCACTCTTGCCAGAGTTGTAAACTCATGAACACGACGCTGTACATATGAGCATTATCCCTGTATCAAGGCTGCATAATAGATCCGACGCGTACGGAATATGAAGTTATCAAGAGCGAGACTTCGGGAGTAGTTGAAATCGCAGTATCATGTCCTGGCAGCGTCTTTAAAGCAGGTGAGTCAAAACTGCATACCCAGGTACAATTCGAGTTGAGCTCCGAGTCACATTAATCACCAAATCACGATCACACCCCGTAAGGCAGTATCATCACTAGCATATGCAGATTCACCAAAGCATCAGGATTGACGGGCGTTTCAATACACAAAACAAGACCATAGATATGAGGGTGACCGACCGAGTGCCCAGGTGATGAAAAGAAAATATATGCTAAATAGACATTTTCTCAAAAACACATTTCGTCCTTGCCTTAAGTACAAGAGCGTGGTTTGTGCTGTCCCGGCCTGCGCGTACGGCAGGGTAGTCTCGCAAATAGAATTCTCACTATCTATTCAAGGCCATGCCGTATCCCGTTAATACAGTAGTACAGCCTGATCGACTGTTGTATCGCCCCATTTTCAAGCGAGGCTGTGAAATGACTGTTCGCGAGTCTAAGTTGGTGGTTTCGCTGCTATTCCGTATACGTCCGAGGACATACATGGCGCCTTCATGTGGTTTCATTTTTAATCCCCATACATATAAAATGTACGTGGCGCCTTCATACGGTGGTAAGCACTCAAGACCAAGGGCTTGACAAGAACATGATGTCGATAACTATGGTCATAATACGAGAGGTGCTGTTCACGAGTCTAAAAATTGGTAAAATGCAGACTATAAGGCTAGCAAGAATTTAAAAATGTATTCAAGTCAAAGTAGGTCATCCGAGAGCCGGTCTCCGACGTGTCGCACTTGTGGGACCGAATTCATGATATTCCTCCTGGAGTACTTTGCCCTGTAGCATTCGCTCGTGATAGTAAATACCGAAAAGTGAGTTTCTTTCTTAGGGGTGCTTTATGTTACGGTACTATAACGAAGGCCAGCAACACGTAGTATAGGGTTGTAAATTTATTCCTTAGTTTTTTAGTTTAATTAAGTTAGTCTTTAATTTATTAGTCTTTAATTAGATTATAATTAAAATAAATTAGTTTTTAATTACTTAATTATATTAAGTAATTAAAACTAAAAGATTAAAATTAAACTAAAAAAAAACTAAAAGATTAAGAAAAAAATAGGGCTTTTTTATAATAGATAGGTTTTTTTTTAAATTTAGTAATTTATAAATTTTAATAGAAATTAAATTTAAATCTATAATTTATATAATTATAAAAATTATTTATAAAATTTATAAAAAGATTTATTTAATTATATTATATATATTAACTAATTAATAATTATATATATTTTTAACCTTTATAAATAATATTAAAAATAACTTATAACCTATCTAAACTTATACCCCCTTTCCCCTTTACCTTTAACTTAACTATTTATATTAACTACTTTATAATTAAATTAATATAAATTTAAAAATATAATAAAAATATATTTAAATACTTTTATTTTATATTTTATTAATAAAATTATTAAAAATATATTAAATAATATAAAAGTTATATTCTTAAATAATATATAATAATTCTAATAATATATTAAAATTATTACTTTTAAAAACTTAAAAACTTTTAAATTCCTATATATATATAAAAATACTTTATAAATATATATTATATTTAAAAATAAAATTTATTCTTTAAGTAATAATTTAAATAAAATATTTTAATAAATTAAATTAATATAATATATTTTAAATAAAAGAATAAATTATAAATATTTAAAATTAAATATAATAAAATAATATTTATATATAAAAATATATTTTAAAGTTAATAAAAATATTTTTAAATTTATATAAAATATTTTAATATTTAATACTTTAAAATATTTTATTTTTAATTTTAACTATTTAATTTAAATCTTTAACTATTTAATTTAAGTCTTTAACTATTTAATTTAAACCTCTAACTACTTAATTTAAACCCTTAATTATTTAATTTAAACCCTTAATTATTTAATTTAAGCTTTAATATTTTAAATTAAAATTTTAATTATTTAAATTTAACTTTTAATTATTTAATAAAATAATTTAAATATTTTAAAAATATTATAAAATATAATAATATATAAAAGATTATTTAAAAATTAATATAAATATTTATAAAATATTTTATTATAATATTTAAAATAATAATTTAATTTTATTTTTAAAAAAATAATTACTTAAATATAAAACTTTTATATATTAAATTTCTAATATTATAAAATTTATTATTATATTATAATATTATAATATAATATTTTATTATTAAAATATTATATATTATAATAATTATTTTTTAAATTTTATTAAAAATAAAGTTAAGTTAATAAATTATTTATTATAAAGAATAATATAATAAACTATTTATAATAAATAAATTTTATTTATTAAAATATTAAATAAAGAGTTTAATTATTTAAATTTTTTTTATTTTTATATATATAACTCTTTCCTCCCTTTAAAACTTTTTTTTCTTTTATTTTTACCTTTTATATAAACTTTCTATTACCTTTACTATTATATAAAACTTTACCCTATTAAAAGATTTATTTATTTATTTTAAATAAATAAATTTTATTTTACTCCTTTTTTTTATTATAAAGTCCTTTATATTATCTTTTAAAAGATAATTTATAATTTATTTTAAAAATAAATATAATAGTATTAATTATATATTATTCCTTTTAAAAATATATATTTATATTTTTAAAATAATTTATTTACTTAAACTCTTCTATTTATTAAAAATATAAATTAATAAATTTTAATATTTTATATTTAATAAACTATTTTCTTTTAATAAAAATAAAATTATATATAAATATTACTTTATAAGTTTTATTTATATATAATTATATTTATATTAAATTATAATTAATTAAAAATAATAAAAGCTATTTTTAAATTAATTTTATAATAAAAATATATTTAATTATATTCTTTAAAAGCACTCTAATTATATAATTAATATATAAAATAGTTTTTAATTTTCTTTTAAAATTAAATTTCT